AGTTATGATGTTATTTATAATTTTAGGCTTTATTTCATAAATTATGGTTTAAGTTTATAATGACAAAAGGAATTAAAAATTTCTTATTTGATCTTAAATATTCGAAGAACTTATTTATATATGTAATAAGTTGGATTGAATATTATTCATTAGTAATTATTTATTAGTTAATATCAATTAAGAAACCTTTGAATTAGTTGCTTCACCAAGTCACAATCTGACAATCAAATAATGTAATTGATTTCTTGCATAAAATTCCATTTTTTTAATTTGAATCTTTATTATATTTTTTCTATTTTTTCGAATTAATATTTTTATTATATTTGTCGAATTGAATTAGAAAAAGAATGTACATTTTGAGTTCTAATTTGCTTTATGAAAAACACAATCATTTTTTCTTTAAATCTAAATGCTCGTTTTGCTGTTAGATAATTCATGTATTCAAGCAGATTAGATTTATCTTCACTTTTATTGAAGTTTTGAATGCCATTTTTTCAAAAATTTCCTAAGTGTTAAACTCTGCTCAGGCAGAAAAATAGAAGAATTGATAAAAAAGTGAATAAGGAGTGGAAAGTGATCTCAATCATCGATAAGAACATTCTAATTTATTCAAATGCTTTCAAGACAATGCATTTGCACTTCTAATAGAAGAGTTAAAACCGGTCAGATTGATAAATATTTAATTTTTGCAATAAATTTGTTAATTCTCGTAATGTTTGTAATTTTGTAATTGAACACTGTAGGTCTCAGGTTATTAAACTGTCCTTGAGAGTTTCCCCCACATTTTATCTGAAATTAAAAGAAGTGAAGTTTTTTGTAATTTATCATTTTTATTTTTACTTTATGTTTTATCAAAGTTCTTACTTATGTACTGATCATTTCACAAAGATTTCATAGGGGGAGAGTTGGAAATGATATAATTTAAATGTTAGGAGACCTGAAAATCCTTCAAATCTGCAAGAAAAATTATAGGTATGTTTTTACTTTTTCTAAAAGATGTATCTTTTTTTTAAGTTTTTCAGCCTAAAAATATTTACCTTGGATGAAATAAACCAATAATTACCTTGCAGTTTTAGAGTAATATTATAAATATTCTGATTATTGATTAAGCAAGAGAATTCATGGTATTTATGGACGAATGCAGTAATTAATTTAATTATTGTTATATAAGTGAAGTTTCTTTTGTTAAGAAGAACTCAATCGAGGGTGCATTAAGCCTTTAGCATCTACTTGATGCATCCCTACCAAGATTAACTTAAGATAATTTAGGAGTATCAAGTAGCAAGGATTCAACGATTGTAATAAATATAAAATATAGAATTCTGCTGAGTTTATTCATAAGTATAGAATTTAACTATTTTAGTAGAAGAAACTCTGATCTCATCATACAAATAGGATGAAAAAAAAAAAGAAATCATTTTCTTAACGGAACTATAGATATGTATTTAGTAAGCAAAATGCCAACCCTTGAAAATTATTTGACAATGATAAGATAAGTCTTTGCTATTTTTTCATTCATTAACAATTAAACTTTTACTGCTAATATTGAAGGATTAATTATGAACTTTCTTTATAAGCTTCAAAAGTGGGATCATCAATTATCATTAATCCACTCTACTATTACAAGGTCAATACATTGCCTTCAAAAAAATGTCCGAATAATAATGGCATTTAGATTCTTCATCAAGAATTGCTGAGGCAAGAATGGCCCTTTCAAAGATTAAAGATCAAATCTTGGTCAAAAAAAAAGGGTTCTTTTGAAGTTTGCTCAGCTTTCATTTTTATTTGACATAAAATGATTTAAAACTCAAAGGAATCAGAAATGCTATGCAAAAGAGGATGAGAGAATTTATAAGAATGGAAAGGCTGAAGGAGGAAGTTAAAAGAAAAAATAAAAATAATTCTGTTGAATAAAGAAGAAAAATAATACATTAAGAGTTCAGGAAAGCATAATTTCCTATACTCTACCAAAAATAAACATAAGGAGGCATAATCACACTTCATCCTAAGAATTAAAATACTTTTATATGTAATGAATGAATCAAATGAATAATAATTATGTTATAATATTTAAGTGTATTAGATTCTAATTAATTTTTAACTCTTAATTATAATTTACCTCTGATCTTAAACCTAATAAGGAGTATGACCTCATGGAGATTCTTTAAAGTAATATATATCATCAATTATGATGAATAAAACTTTTCAAAATATGCAATCAATATAAATGTAAACTATTGTATGAACAAATAATCTACTACAAATAGATAAACATTATATTTGATTAAAAATTTAATTTAATTAGTTATTCGATGATGATTTAATGTAAAAAAAACGGAAAGTTGATATTATCATATATATTTTGGATAGAAATAATTTCAATTCTAAATAACATCATATTCGATTTTTAAATTAGTCATCGATCAGATCATGAAAAAATGGTTTTAAGTTTAAATCATAAATAATCTAAATCTATTTAATTTTATTAGCCTATTGAAGAAAATAATTTGTAAATCACTTAATTAGTTTAATTTTTTAAAAGTGATAGGTTCCTAATGATTAGATGAAATTTTGAGAAGTTACAATTTTTATCTTTGCATAAAAAAAATAAAAAAAACTGAGTAATTTCTTAATAACTTTTGAAATACTTTATCTATGCTGATGATTTTCGACGTTTGTTTAATTTATTTTAGTTATGAATTCTAATAATATTTAATTTAAAAAAATAAAAAAAACTGCATTAAACTTATTAAATGCTTGTTTATATTTAGAAATAAAGACTAAAATTAAGATAATCTAGAATAACATCATAAATCAATGCTCTGAATGCAAAGATTAAACTTAAATTTATTAAGAATTAATCTAATCTGATGGAAAATCATCTTCTGCCAAATTTTCAATGATGTAGCCATCTATACTTTTATTAATTGCATTAAGTGTAACTTTGGTATTTAAGGTAAAAGAATAAACATCTTCATAATCTTACTCCAGCAATTATTTAGTAATTTCACTAACATGAACCTATCCCTTTTTGCCATTGGATTCCATTTTATTTGCAATTAACACATCCGGTCCATAGATATCGTATCTCACTATATCGGTTCCCATCACTCCGCCTAAAACACACCCTGTATGAATCCCTATCCTCATATCAAGTCCATCAAAATTGATTTATTTCCTGACAACTTCTATAATTCTTATCATTTCAAATGCTAGGTCTACAATATTTTTAGCTTCTTCTGTTGGATTTCTTTCATTATAATCAATCATGCCGAATGCCACGTAGCAATCGCCAATTGTATATAATTTATAAACATTCAATTCATAACATTTTCGATCAAATTCAACAAACAGATTTTTAAGCATAAGCAAGACTTCTTCAGGTGTAACCTTACTCGAATATTCAGTGAACCCGGCAATATCAGCAAATAAAATTGTAACATTCTCTATTTTGTCACTTAAACATCTTGTTCTATTATTATCATCAAGGAATGTTTGTAAAATCTATCAAATTTAATTATAGGTTTACATGCTTAGGAAGTAGGTACTATAATAATTATGATTCTTTAGCTTGTTGGCTTTAAAATATATTTTTCTAATTGAAACAAGCCACTTGTTACTCTTCCAAAAAGTAACAATAATTTATGTTATAAATCATCACTATGAAGGCAAAAAAAAGTGATATACGATGTTCATTCGAAAAAATCAAGACAAAGGCTTCAAAAATAAAGGAGCAAATGCAGAACAAAATTTTAATCCAAAAATGCAATAATTAAATATTGCTAAAAAATGATTGAATAAATATCATTTCTATGATGTGAGAATATCTTAAAAACAAAGACATATCAACAATCACAAAAACGCCAGCTATGATAAGCTAAAAACTCAAACCTATATAAATCAATTATACCCAATAACCTATCATTCTTTTCTTATAAATCATTAAAGATATAATATTTAGCGTGCATCCAATCCATTACAGTATTATTAAAGGTAATGAAATATCATTATATTCTCCAATCAAGCAAAACTGTTTGATAAGGTAATAGAATGAGTAAATTTAAATTATTCTATTAGTCACTTATTCTGATTATTTATAAATGTATTCATGATATTCCAAATAATTATTTTAATTTGAATTATAGGATCTTTTTAGTAAAGATAGAAACGAATTTTGCAGAATTAGTGTTTCTTCTAATCCATTCTCATTCTTTAGTAAAATCACATTCTAAATTAATTATATTATTATTACTAATAATTAATCGTAATCAATATAATGGTCTACTTCTGGTTAATACTCTTCTAAGTGAAATTTGCGATGAAATACACATGCTAATTGTTGAATAAGTTCTGGTTTTTTGATATTCCTACTCAATCTATCATCATGATCATGGTCTTTTTATAAGGGATTGAGATTATTATTGGATAAGGATAAGGAATTCTATAATCCATTTTTAATGCTATTTTCTTCAGACAACGATTGAGAATTTTATTAAGCATTTTATTGTTGGAAGTTCCAAGATAATTAGAATTGTAATAATTATTTTGAGCGTTGATTTAAATTATCTTGGATTGCAATAGATCTCTTTTTTAACCCTCCTTTCTAAAATGATTAAGTTCTCACTCTATTTGCAACGTTAATTGTATTTTATCTGCTGTTACTATTATTCATAGAATTTTTAGCAATATAATTTTTTGTATTCCCTTTCTAAATGTAAACATAAGTAGGTCTTTATCCTAAACCTTTCATTTCAACATATCTCACTTCAAACTCTATTTTTTCATTTTTTAATTATTCAAAGGCCTTCTCTGATAAGATGATTCTATCTTCTTAACCTGTTGAACATACTCTACTTGTAGTGTTGACTGTATCTCCAATTAATGAAAATTATGGTTTGTGAAATCCTATAACACCAGAAATTGCTCTTCCATAATGAATCCCAATCTTACCAATTAAAGGCTAACTTTAATGGCCCCATCTAATATAATAACTATTTAAATATACAGTTTTGATCTAATGTAAGTAATCATCATTTCTGCTAAGTTTAGAGCTCTTTAAACAGGTTGAATTTCTGATAGATATGCTAATTCTTATTCGCAAGCTTTAAGCCCAGCTGCAGCCATATATGTTTTACCAACAGTTTCAATTTTCTAAACACCACATATTTCACAATATTTATCAAACGTTCGAAACAAGTCATCCAAAAATGATATTATATTTTCTTACTCTTCCATTATAATTTAATCGAAGTTGCAAATATCACAAAATACAATGGCTACGTTTCCCTAGTTTTAATGGATGTTATATTAATCAGCTAAGCATTTTTAAATTAAATTACTTTCATTTAGACGATGTCTAACAAATTTAGGCAACAAAATTCCCAAAATATCATTTATTTTATTGTTTTCTTCAATAAAATTTATTTAGTTTGTAGCTTAATCCTCTTCAAGTAAAATAAACTATATATTTATATTAATTACATAGCTTTTGATTATGTATTATTATATTGAAAAGAATAAAATTATGGATATCTTAAATATGACAAAGTAAGGACTTATATCAACATTCAATAAAAATCTATCTATAATAATACTGATGTTACATGACAAAATATGCAATTAATACAATTATTATTGGGATTAAATATAATCTGTTATCGTAAATTGGATGTAGTTTACTAGATATTTGAAAAGTAACAATGATTTCAGAAAATGTATGATAATATGATGACATTTCAGTTATTGATAATCCAAAAACTGCCATAAATGTGGCTATTCCTGACATCATGTATTTAACTAATTCTAAATATTACATCTATCTTGAATTCAAATGATATAGTAATTAAAAAACAAATATCACTATTAAAAATATTTAGTAAACAATGTAGGTGATGAGAAAATAGTAACTAGTAGCAGACTAAGAATAAATAATAATGAGCATCTAACAATGAAAGAAAATTAATTATAATCCTTAGATTCTTGATTTATTTTTCCATTTCATTATTGATTGAGCTTTTTGAAATATTTAGGATTACCATTAACCTAAGTTCTAAAACAATTACTTTTAACTTAGTAAGACTTAAAAGTTATCATAATTAATTACGCTTTTATAGATTAAAATCCACCTATTCAATATTCTCAAAGATTTTATTTATTTCTCTTTGCAAATTTAAAATTTATGTTTGTTTTTTGTTGATAGATTCTTTTTAATGAGTTATGGAATTTGCTATTTTTTGAAATAATTCTTTCATTTCAGGTAATTATAAAACAAAAAGATGTTAAAAAAATGATTCACTTACTTAAAATACAAATATTACTAGTAATATTTCAAACAAGTTTGTAATTTCAAATTTAAACTCTATGCTTTGAGCTACAATGTTAAAATGAATTAATAAATAAAATAAATATGATAAACTGTAAATTATAAAGGCAGCAACCTTTAATTAATAACCGATTTAAAGTAGCAAACTAATTAAATCATTTAGTGTTATTGAAAGAAAACAATAAACAATAACAACATCTACTGATTAGATTTAACTTTAATAGATAAATATCAGTTAAGTCATTATGCCTTGAATAATTGCTAAAAATAAACTAATAATTTACATTTAATTCCAATTTAAATATAATAGGACTTATTTTTCGATTAATTAATTATTGATTTTATAATTTTCAATTGATATTGGTCTCTTTTAGTATTTAGACCTTACTATTTAATAAATTATATTGAAGTAACGATATAAATGATTAAGGAGTACACATAAGAATAAAATAGAAATTCCAAGATTAAATTCTTTTAATTGTTAAAAAACCAAACCGTGGTTATATAAACAGTAATAGCAAATGATGAAAAATACATAGTTCTCTGAAAAGCAATCAAAAACTAATACTTTGTTAATATGTTCAATAAAGGAACTTAATAAAACAAGAGATCATTTAGTTCATTAAATCCTTGTAATATTGCATCAGAATTGTGATAAATTAATAATTCGTTAAAGAGACCTAATTTGATAATCCAAATTTATTACATCTTTCATAAATTAATCTAACTTTCAGGGATTGTATCATATTTTTGAAAAAGGTTTGTTTATTAATATTTTCATATTTTACTTTTTGAAAGTAACTGAATTCTTGTAATAAAGCGATTTATAAATGTTATCCTAGATGGCATTTTAATAATGTTTGATTTTCAAAAATCAAATTTAATGTTAAATTTGGTTCATCAAACAAGTTTTATATGAAATTCAAAGATTTATTATTTGCACCATACAAGAGAATTACTTTTGACAAGGAAAATAGCAATTTCATATGGTTCGCCATATAGTTGCTATTTTCAATAATTTTACATGCTTAACTGTTCAGCATTATTGTAATTGGAGTGGTTGTATTGAGATCTTCCTAAACTTTCTTGTTTGAAAGTTAAGAGGATATGGGGTTGACTAATTTATTAAACGATTGCACTTAAGAATTTGATACATTATTTTACTCAGAGAATAATTATGTAAATTATGATAAAGATTTCTTTAAGTAAGCTTTTAAATCATCATCATTCTCTTGATCAAAAATTAATTTAAAATGAGTCTATATATCTGTCTATTGAATAGTTGAGTAAGCATAAGAAAAGTGTTGCTCAGTATAAAAGAATAATGATAATTCTGATTTTTCAAAATTTCTTATGAATTCTTAAGCTTTTGGTTTTAAGTTATATTTAAAGCCTAAGGTGATGTTAAATTGCAAAAAGGGCTCCAAATAACTATAAATAAATTCTTCACTTTCGTAAGTGTTCTAATATTAGAGCTATTATTAATTAACATAATATGCAGCATCTTCATGATTAAGGAGGCATGAGTAGTAATGAATTTAATGAAGTTACTCCAAATCTACTTAACTAAAAAAATTGATTGACGACTTTTAGCTAAGTTTGTTTTCATCTTAGCTGTCAGATTTCTTATAATTTGCTTCTCTTACTAATAAAATATATTCAGCATTTAATGGCTTTTCAAAATCAGGATCTAATTCAAATAGCATATAGAGCCTCTGAGTATGGTGGTGAATTTGAAAATCAATTAACTTAAATGAGTAAAGTTTTTAATTTATTTAAACAACATATGCTGAAATATTCCTAAAGTTGATAATTTAATATTTTACTAAACATTATTTACACAAATGAATTCAAATCCAAACGCTTTGGCAATGTAGATTTGTTTTTCATCCAACAAATTTACCTATGTATTTTTAACTTTTTCTTCTCCTGTCTAACCATATGTGAGTTTGGAATAGGAAATATGATTCATTGCTAATTACAGCAATATAACATTATAGATTTCGCCTTCGCTTATAATTATTTTGATTATATCATTTAACAATACAGATTTCTTATCATATCTGCTATCCTTTAGAGTCATCTACCTTACACTTTTGCTTTACATCGAAAGATGAACTTTGTTAGTGCTGGATTTCGCTTAATACTCGCTTTTATCTGGATTAATACTTTAATGCTATATCAGTCCATTGCATTCTTATTGAGTGTTATCGTTGATAGTAAAATTGCTTATTAGTCTAAAACCAACAGATTAAGGGATATTAAGAACCATTTCTTCTTGTGCTTCATAACTAAAAATTTCATCTTCTAAATATCTGCCAGAATTTTATGAATTATTTTATAGTTTAGTATTTTAGTTTTAATTAGTATAAGATGCTTAAATATCAACAATTTTGGACTCATCTTTAGAATCAGCAGACTTAAAGATATTTTAGCTAGAGATTGAAGTTGCATAGACTTAAGCTTACATCATTAAGTCATGTTCTCTACAATGACAAATTCTTTAATTGCAAATAATAGCCCTTAATTCAAATGTTCCCTCTAATAATGAATCTAAATTCATAGTCAAACGCTTATATTATTGATAGTATTCTGGATGAAAGGCTTTGATCTGCTTAATTTCCAATTAACTAATCTTATTAATAATACGTTATTAGAATATTTAAATTAGGTCATAGTATAATTTGAAACTATGAGGCAATAAAAATAATAAGTAAACTAAATCTTAAACTAGGTAGGATATCATATCTTAATATTTATTTACAAATCTATTCTAATAGGTGATGATGTACATAGACTCTAATAGATTATGAATAATTTACTATTAAAAAGGCAAAGTAGAGCAAAATCATTGACATAATCAATCTTGATGAATAATTAGGAACTTGAGGTTTAATTTTAAATTGTTTATAACAACGACAATTCAATCCAACTTAGATTACAATCCCGATTACCCAAGGAGTGTTTAATAATTTTTCTTGAGCAAAAATAAAATTTTGATCCTCAATAACTTTGGATTATGGATCTTTTTTGAGTTAGAAATATCCTGAAATATTATTAGCATTTTCATTTAGCTGAATGTTGCCAGTGAAGGACTTTTTGAATAAGACAAGATTATGAGAGTCAACTAATAATAAATAAAATTTTATATATACATTTATTTTGAACCAAGGGTTTTCTAATGGTAGTGTTTGAATATTCGCATAGTTAATTGGAAATGGCAAAGTTTTCATCATTACAATACAAGACTAGAATATCACAAGAAGCTATTTGATTCCTTTCTACTATGATAACATCTCCTATTTTAATTTCGGCAGCTGTGATAGATTTAATGAGATCAATTTTGTCAGCAGTATTAGCAGCTTTCAAATCGATTATCTTTTTTGAACGCGAAGTATTTTTCTCAAAAATACAAGGTACTTATTGCATGAACTTTCTAATAGCTGGATCCTATACAAATTTGATTTTTAATTCATTTTTAATAATCATGTCTTCATGAATGAGTGGACTCATCATTGATACTCTTGATCCCATCCTATCCATTCTATCTTACCTTGGAGATCCTGCAGGTCTCCCTTAATTGATTGATTGCCTAGAAAATTAGGATTGAACTATTAAAATATAAGGATAAAATTACCAGAAGACCTGCTTTTCCAACTTTACTGACGTTATAACTGATCATTCATTATTTGAATAACACGGTCCTTTTCTTTAATTTCATCATTCTTAGGTTTTTATGATGCCTTTTATTTGATTCGCTTTAAGATCTCTTTATTGCTTATACATTCATCCCATTATTTCAATATTTTATTTTCTTGATTGTTAAGTTTATTGTCTAGCCCATTAATTTTGAATTTATTGTACAACTCAACACTTATATGGGCTAATATTTAAAAGGAGAAGATGAAATAAAATTCATATTGTGGTGAATCTCTACAATATTAAGATAATTACATTGACCATATAGAAGCAAGTATAATCAAAGAAATAATAGACAGAGTGATATAAATGATGTTATTCCTTGCAATTCTAAAAGGAGCAAATACAACTATAGACAAAATGGAGGATGTTCTATTAATGCGATTGGAATAAGTAGAGTATCCGTCAAGCCTGATGACCTCGCCTTTCCTGAAATGCAGCTGAAATTAAGGATGAATATTGCACTTAATAAGTCTTTCTTTTGAATTGCTCATAGTGTTGAAAGAGTTTATACATTTAATTAATAATAATTTTACTAAAATTGCTATAAAACCTATCATATTCCTGTGATTAAATAAAATGTTCTTGGAATCAGATATTGGATGATTCCCCATTTCTGCTCAACTAAGCTGTCATTAATGAGAATCCTAGCGTAATATTCAGTCAAATATAAGGTGATCATCACAGAAGTTCCTATATACATCAAAACCCAAAATAAAATGTTAAACCAGCCCTTCTATAATAATGAGAAATACCTATTTAAAGATTTCCTTGGCCTAAATGAATAAAATACCTGGCCCAGTAAATAAAAGAAAACATATCGGGTAGAAAAAACCTAAGGCAAAAGTAAGTATAATCTCATGTATGACGGCAGAGCAGCCAAAAGTGATCAATTATCTAAAAAGTCGGCTTCTTTTTCCTTAACTTAATTTCTCGCTATCCAAATAAACATAATAGTAGAGGAATTCGTGAACTATAACATTCCATTTTCTATAATATTATCCAAATTCTGAGGCTGTCCACCAATCATGATAGAATGTTCTGTCTGGAAATCTCAATAGTTCTGCCCATCCATTAAACCAACTGTGAAGTAATCCAAAGAAGACCAGAACGAGTGAAAAAGTAGACGGCATCATCAACTTGTACAAAGTTACTATGAAATTCATCAAAGTCAAGTTTTCTCTACAGATTATTTTATACAATACCTCAATTAAAGTATTGGCTCTTTGCAGAAAGATCTGAATAGAATAAACCCATAATAAATGCACAAAAAGAAATTGGCGAATTCTATGATCACTTTTTTTCTAGAGTAATTTGGAGCCTTCACGTAGTAGTCTCGGTATAACAAGGTTGGAGCCAAGGAGAAATAAGTGTACCTCTTGAGTTCTTAAGAAAGCGATTGAATATTGATGTCTGGAAGCAAAGCATTTTGTTTAGTTATTCCTTTCTTTTCGAAAGATTACAGAATGAAATATTTATATTTATTTTCTGTACCATAAAGCATCTTATTACGAGCATAAGAATAGTTTTTCATCATCATTCTGACTGCTTCACACATCACAATCATCCTTGAACCAAATCCATTCTATATTAATTAAACTTATTTACCACCCAAGCAGTTGTCATATAACAAGCTGCCATAATGCTTATTATCTAATGAAGACTGAATACAAGAATAGCTGTGAATGGTTTTATCTTATTTTAGTTACAGTAGATCACCCAATATACAGTCAAATAACTGGATAAAACTAAAGCAAACCAAATTTCTGCTACTAACAATGGAGTCTAAAAGCACCAGAAGAATGTATCCATGTCAAATATGATACCTCTCTCCAAATAGTCTTATATCCATAGGTTTCCCATCAAAATAAACATACTAGCCATTATCATATGGTAAAGAGTTTTATAATCAGACTATTTCATCATTTCAGACAAAAGAGATGGTTTATATCTATTTAATTTTGATTCAATTCATACCTAAACACTTTCTCCATTTATTTTTCCTCATGATTTGTTGAACTTACTTTGTGGTCAAATTGATCATCTCTTAATTCATGAATAGTTTTGGAAATCTATTATTCAAATTGTTCCATTTCCTCTCGTATGGAGTCTTCTAACTTCTTTTATGATTGCAATATTCTATTCTCAATATGGTTGATCATTTTGGCTTTGTACTCAAATAGATCATTCTCCAATTCCTTATTGGGAAACTCTTTCAAAATATTGGCTGATATCTTTACTTTTTTAAGATGCAATTGCTGTTGTAGGTAAAGAAGAGTCGTTCTCTTTTTCCATCTTTATCAATTGTTACTTCTTTCTCATAAAAATATAATTTATGATGCCCAATAAACTTCGGCCCTTAAGATAGAATCAATAAGAAACGGCTAACACGCGTGTATTTCTGTTGCAAATTACAGATGTTGCCATTAAAGAGACACATTGATGATCAATTTTAACTTCCAAATGTACTTTGTCAACAAAAAGCCCTCTAATATTCCAAGATTGGCTTTGACGATAGTGATAAAAAGGAAAGATGTTATTCTCTCATTTTCAAATACAACATTAACTTATAAGACTATACGACGTTACATTAATATAATTTACTTGCATTAAAGATTTTATTTAATATAATGAATAGTTTAAATTTGAACATAATATAAATTCAATATTTATAGACATAATTAAATATAAAAACACTCATTTCGATATCCACTTCTATAATTCCTTGATGTTTATTTAAACTTCTTTACATATACTATGATTGGGTCCTAAAACCTTTTGATAATTTTCCAATGACATTTGAAAATATTTCTTTGCCTAAACAAATTTATCCTAAGTTCCAAACAACACTCCGAAATTGTTGTAAATATCTCCTAAGGTAATCAGATCCGAAGCCGATTTACTAGCAGCAATTAAACTTGCTGCAGTTTAATAATACTACTCAGCAGATTTAAAATCCTTCATCTTTCTGTAGACTAATCCCATATTATAATATATTTTGGCCATTCTTGTACTTTCATTATCGTTTCTCTTCATAAGGAACTCTATTCCTTCTTTATAATGCTCCAAAGCCTTATCATATTTCTGAACTCCCATATAAGAGGCTCCTAAATTCTTAAGAATATCTGCCATGCTATCGAATCTCTCATCAACAGTGCATTTGACTAAATTATCGAGGTAAAATTATTTCAGTTAAGTATAGTGTTACAATGCCTCTTCATACCTACCTTCTTCTAGAAAGCTTTGAGATAGTAATTCTTGGCTTTTCACAGTCTGTTTCGCATATTATCCATATATTAGCTTCCTCAAATTATAGGATTCTTGTGCTGCTTTTATTGTTTCTGCATATCTACCTATTTTCTAGAAACATAAGGCTATTTCAAATAGAGTATCAGATAATCTCTATTAATTAGATTATTGGTGTTTCCTATAGATTTCAGCAGTAATAGAATAGAATGAGATTGCCATATCAAACTGTTGTTTTTCATAATAAACTCTCGCCAAATTATCATAAGTTGAGCAAAGGATTGGGCTGCGATCTCCACATAATAGTTTTTTGATCTGCAAGGCACTTTTAAAATATTTGATAGCTTGATCATAGTTCTTCAATTTCTTATGTGCCATGGCTATGTTTTATAAAATGACTGCACCTCCTAAGTTGTTTTCTCCAAATATCTATTCTTTGATTTGATACGCTTATTCATAATGCTTAATGGCTTTCTCAAACTCTCCTTTTTTTCGTTTAACAATTCCCAAATTATTATACCCATCTGCCACTGAAGAATGTTTATCTCCATTCAGCTTTTTGTATAGAGCAACCGATTCACAAAAGTTCTTCTCAGCCTCATCGTACTGCTCCAAATCACAATTGACAGTTCCTAAACTATTCATAATATCTGCCTTGGCACTATCTTTGGATAATTTGATGGCATATTTCAATGCTAATTCATAATGAGATTTAGCATGTTCAGGCAAATTCAACTTTTCATATGCTTCACCTAATTTGACCTCCCTCATCATCAAATCTTAAACACTCAAATTCTAACATTAAAAGCATCATTTACTTTTTTATCCTATTAAGTTTTCAAACAGTTAACGAATACATCTTCATTAGGTTTCTTAAATAGATCTTTATAAGAGGAGATGAGTTATAATAAGTCTTCAAAAGAAAGACGCTTTTGATCATCATATTCTAGCATTTTAATGATTATCTATTCAAAAATAGATGGTGATTTCAATTTCCTAAGCAATTCAACTTCAATTTTCAGAGATTCTCTATCTAATCTTGGAATTAATTTGCGCATTAACAAAAAGGTTATCCCAACTGAATAGACATCAGATGTATAAGGATCATAATTTAAATGTTATTTACCTACAAAAAAACGACCTTCCTTGTCCTTTTACAAATCACAAAAAAAATAAATCTCAGCTAAAGGAAATAATTAATTATTAAATACGAGCCCAATAAGCTGGAGACCCACGAACTGTATTTAATTAAGTTTATTTTGGTTTCAGAAATTTTGCACCTCCCAAATCAGCAATTTTGTAAGATTTGTCTGCTTAACAATATAGGATATTTTAAGGTTTTATATCACGATGAGTAACATTGTGTTTCTTCATAATTACAAAACCTTCAACTAATTAATGTAAGATGTACAGCAACTCTTCATCTGTCCATTTGGTTTTATTCTCTTCTATTCTCACCTTGAATTATAAATTGAAATGTACTTTCAAGAGCTCCATTAGATTACAATCACACAATTCCATCACAATCACTAGATACTTATTATCATCCTTTATGCAAGGATAGATATCATAAATTTTTAGCAACCCATAACAATTAGTTTATGATAATGTCTGCATAATAACAATTTCTCTGACAGCTGCCTTGAATTCTGGGTCTTAATCACTTTCATCGTTATAGCCAATAAATTTTAGAGCGTATTTCTTTCCTGTCTTTTAATCCAATGATGCAAATACTTACCCAAAGGTACCTGCTCCAATTTCCTTAGTTATGATACCCATTTTACCTGCTTTATATCAAAGATTTCCCAATTATAATTTTTGTTAGCTGCCTTATCCTTTATCTATTCGATCTAGAATTTCATTGCTGATTATAAATCTGATGGCTCTAATACTACAATAATTTGATTCTGATTCATTCTAATCGTCATCTTCTCATCCTTCCCTCTATGCTTCAGCGATTTAGATTCGAAGATGTTTGATTCCATTAAATATTATATATAATGCAATACAATTATCAACAAATCTCAACAAAAATACACCTCAAAATCAAATTCAATACCTAATGCCTCTCAACCTTATTATAGCTGCTATGAAATCTTTTTTCGTGGATTGCCAAATCGAAATTCTCTTTATGAGAATACTAAACATTAATTCAGAATCATAGAAATCTAATATAGCAACCCATCCAATATCATTAATCATTGATATTACTAAATCTAATGAAAAAGACTCTAATAGTTTATTAAAATCTCTAAAATAAGGTTGTTCTATTGCTATTTAATACTAATAATAAATTGAATCATAATTTTGATTCTAATTCTAACTTTGGCTTGAAAAAAGAGTTGAATAAGTATTCAAATACAGGGAAAAGATTAAAGACTTCAGAGTTAAAATATAGTTCAATAGTCTGGATTGCAATAGTTCTCTATTTAAGATTGAGTATTTAAATTAGAAAATCTGAGTATAATACATAACAACGTTGGCATATCATTAAAACTTATTAAACAACTTCAAGAAAAAATAATGGAATTTATTAGTTGAAAGAGTAAATATAAATTGAATATAGAATATGAAGAATCCAATTCGGAGTTAGGGAGATTTTACGAAGCTTGTAAGAGAATTTTTTTGGATAATTTTAAAGGCTAATATCATGATTTACAAAAATAAGAAGAAGTAGAAAAAGCTCAAGCTGAGCTCTTTATTAAATATGAATGTAAAGTAAAATACTAAAATGGAAGTTCAAATAGTTTATAAAGATAATCATAAATTCTCTATCTTTATTTTATAAACTAAGAAATCACTTAAAAAATTCTTAATATAAATATTCCTATATTATTTTCTATTAAATCACTCTATGTATATTTGCTTTATGTACAATATCTTATTAGAATATAAAAAGAATTAAAAATTAATTTATTATTTCAAAATGAAAGTTGTTTAAGCTCTCAAAAATCCACGAAATTTCCCTTTGCTTCATTTACTAGTAGAGATGTTAAATCTGACTTTCAATTTCAAAAACATCACTTTGTGACTAAAATTGCCATCAAATCAAGTAATGAGAAAGAGAAGAATGATGAATTATCATATTGAAATTTGATAAAGAAGGAAACATGACAAGATTCCATGAAGAATACAGTCTAGATAACTATGACGAAACTAAGTGCTTACAACATGCAAATGTGTATGAAGAACTAACAAAGGAGATGAAACAAGATCAAATTTATAAAGATTTCTGTATAATACTCTTCAAATCACTTGCCAATTGAAACAGTTTCAAAAAGCATAAATCTCAGTTCATGCTGTGCGAACTGTATCACACTCTCTAAAATATTAGATACCCTACGTTGATTAACCTGCTTCACCTACTCCTGAAGGACCAAATAGAGTGGAAACGATTTGGAAATAATTGGAGTAGTCAATAAATTCAATTGTTAAGGGGCAGAAAGTTAAATTTACAGTTCTAACAAAACAAAACTATTTTTTGAAATGAGTCTGGAACCAGGAGAAGGCTATATAATAGATGATTAATCCCTTTGGAACTATGCATCATCTCACAAACCAATAGATTAATCATAACCTAGTATAAGAAACATTTTAGGGTTTGTTCTGAAGATTGATCATTGAATAATCATAAAATTAGCATTTTTATAACAAAATTAGAATAATTATGATTATGAATAAAATTATATTCAGGAGTCATTACATTCTTCAATGCATTAATATTATTTTCCATTCAATATTTATTTTGTTTAATTTTATTAGCTCTTCTTACTTTCCTTATCTTCAGCCTTCTCAAAATCAACATCTTATAAATCAACTTGATTTGCACTTTGAATGAACATCTGCCTTAGTTCTTCACTTTGAATATCATTTCTAACAAAATGAATTCTCAGTGTATCCTTAGTGTAGATGTATAATGCCTACAATAAATGTTCTTTGTCTTTAATTTCATCCTCACTTAATTAAAAGTTAGTAATTACTATGTCAATAATATTATCAAACTTTTTAAAGTACTTATAAGTTTTCAAACAGTTAGCTTTCATTAAGTCTGTTCTTTCAAAATTAACAATTAAGTAAAATTTTTCAATATCTTAGGAATGTAATTTGAAATATCTATTGAATTAACTTATAATAGCTTCTCTTTTATCTAATGAATCCTCAAATTCTATAGAAGGTGTATCCACTAAATCATAATGATCATTTATAGGAAATTCATAAATCTAATCTACATCTGAAATACATTTTTATCTCTTAATTTTCTTCTCTGTTGCAATATTAAATAGTATTGTTTTCCCACCTCCTGGTTGTCCAATCATGATTAATTTTTTTCTATAAATCAGCTTTTTTTTTGAATTATAGCAGAGGAACAGTATTAAGATTCCCAACAATACTGAAAAGATTAAAGCTAGAAGCAACTATTTCTATTAACAATTATCGAATTGCGAAAAAATATTTTGAGTTGATAATAGCATTTTATCATATAGCATTATTTTAATAATACTTTTCTTTATCATAAAATTCTTCAAGAAACATGAAACAATTATTTGGTTGAATCCACTTTTCGATGAAATATATCAAAATATTTATCCTGATGGCAGTGATACATCATTTCATCATTAACTTTCTTAAAAGAAGTAAAAAAACACAATTTTATTAACTCTTTTTATTTTAGAAATCTTGATTTTCTTATCGAAGATTAAATAGTTCATTACGTACTAATGTTAGGGATATTAATGTAAACTCTTTCATTTTATTTAAAATAAGATGGAATTTTAGATTAATTCTATTAGATTGAAAGAATAAATGATTATATAATACATTAGTAATTATAAGTTAGATAAAATAAATTCAAATATAACTGCCCTATTATTCTTGTGAATCATAAATTAATGTTAAAAAATCCTAGAACATGATTAAAAAACATAATAAATTCAAATTTTCTTGCCGTCCAACCACTCTCCTGTTTATTTATTACCACTTGGATCGATGACTTCACCTTTGCCATGTTACTTTCCATCCTTCCAATAACCTTTATATATTTTTCCATCTTGCCAATAAAATTCACCATATCCACACTTTTTATCCTCTTTATAATCTCCTAAAAATGGTTATAAAATCTACATACCTAGATATTTCTTACCATCAGGCCAAACAAAGGTACCTTTCCCATCCATTTTATTTTCCTTCCACTCTCCTTGATATCTTCTTTTATCAGCCCAAGTGTATTCTCCTTAGCCATGAATTTAGTTATCAAGAAACTATCCTTGATATTTGGCACCGTCATTCCAAGTAAAAGTACCATTTCCGTTCTTTTTACCTTATTTATATTATCCTTCAAAATATGAATTATCTGGCCAATACTCTTTACCTTCACCATCTTGTAGATTATCGTACCATTACCCTTCATATCGAGCTCCATCGAAATGGTAATATATTCCAAATCCCTTAGCATTTCCATTCATCCAAAACCCTTCATATGCATCTCCATCTGCGTAAATTATTCTACCATGTCCACAAATCATGTCATTTTACCATTAGCCTTCATAAAAGGACCCGTCCTACCAAAATTATTTACCATAACCTTCTCTCTTTATGCCCTCCCAAGTTCCTACGTATATGACTTCTCCCTTTATTTAATAAGGAGGTTGAATTTAACCACCAATTTACATTTATTAGATCGGAATATACTTTCCAATTCTTTCTAGAGTTCTCTTGATGTTATTGTTAGTAATTTCAATTGTTTATTCATAAAGCCTCAAATCAGGATGTTGAAGTTGCTAGGGAACCTCAGTTGGCTATTATACGTCTTGTTTTTGTGATTGTTATTAGAGGGATTTGAAAATATTTGGATCTTCGTCGCCTTTCCTTTGGTCCAACTCCTACTTCTTTTCATCTGTTATTTCAGCGGAAACTTCTTAGGCTATTATTTTTTAATTGTCCGTAGTAACATATTGTAACTATTCAATAAATGCAGCAGTTTGAGAATTGCTGATAACTTGATTACTCAGTATTGGTTGTTGAGCACAACATTTTGCTCCCATTTTGATATTAATTTTAATTTATAAAATAGATGAGTTAGAGGAAATTATTCAGATACTACATCGATCAAAGCATTCAATAGTAAAATGAATAGAAACTGTTTCTGACAAGAGTCAATAGATGGAGATTCAACACTTTGGACAAATCGAATTGTATAAAGTATTATGAATTTGATTAGTCTTGAAATCCACTAGACCCATCAAACCCATACTATTTGGTTTAGCTTGTTTGGCAGTTTATGGTACTTTACATCTCTATAAGTAGATTGGACATACGGCTTTTATCGTATTGATGAACATCATTGATTTATTATTAACAATAAATATATAATTATAACAACATGTCTAATCATGTCAATCAAACATAACAGAATTTAACTAATCCAAATTAAGATCCCAAGTAATTACGTTATTATAAGTAGTCTCGGAAATCGCATCAGATCGAGAAAATTGTTCATATCAACAATTATTAAATTCTTCTTTGCCGCTTTGCTATTTTTACTGCTCAGTCTCCAGATCTAATATCACCTGGATGTTATTTCCATTTTCGTGCTTTTTCTAATGTACCATCTGATTGACTTTTTGAATGCCTTTTACTATCATTTTATGATGAAAAAATTGTAAATTCGATTGTAAACATTCTTAATTTATACAGCAAGAAGAAAAAGTTATTGTGCTATCTTGGAGCCACAATATTTGATCTCTTTTATTTAATATGCTTATTGTTGCTAACAAAAGTGGGTTACCAATATGTTGTTTACAGTAATGCATTTTTAGTAATTGCAATTTTAATGAACTTTTACTCCCTCTACCAAGATAGAGCTTTATTAGAATCATTAAAAATGTTAAATAAACTATCCTTATTGACCAGGATCTACGTAGCAATATGTTCGATATTTATAACTTTGAAAATTGATAATATCATAATTTGGAATTGGACTCAAACCTTATGGGGTGTTTGGGTCGGCTTAATTTGTTTTATTGGCATTAGTGCAGGTTGTCTGATAGTCACATTTAGCAAGATAATACAATATCTGTTTGACAGATAAAATCTATAGAAATCAGAATGTATTACTATTACAATTATTAGTAATTTCCTACATCTGGTTAACTCAACTGCTCATATTTGGGAGTGTTTCCATAACATTAAGTTCTTTTGGATATTTAGAGTATTTAGAAAATCAATCAAACTATTCTCACAATTTCGTTGTTCAACAATATTTCATAATTGCTGAATTCTTCATCATTTTCATTTATTCCATATATTTTCGTATTGATATCTGCGAATAAATATACATAACACTCCAAGATGATGAACCAGTTAACTAATAATAATTTTCTGTGAATATGTAAGGTAGCAATCAAACATTGTAATAAATCAATCCAACATCCTCGAGAACTTAGATTCCTTCGGTTGTGTAAAAGATATCAAAAACCTATTTTGGAATTCCCACTAGAGTCAAGAAGGGAGGGAATTAAGATTCAATAAGTGGTTCACCTGTACTTAAGAAACCATCTAAAGGACATAAACGAGCATTTTCTAGTCAAGGAGTAGCTTCATAGATGTTTTAAGAAATGGATTAAATTGTTATTGATAAGTAGCAATCTAATATATTAAATAAAAATTCTAAAAACGAAGCTAAACCTTAAATTGATAAAAAGAGATGTAATTCTCAATTAGTAACAGTAAGTTTTAATATTAATATTTAAGATTGGCCAAGAGGAAAGCATTTAAAATAAGAATCACGAAATGAGCCTGAGTCAAACCAGCAACATTTGTATTGTGTGTTACGAAAGAGGACCCAATGCAGTTTTTATGAATTGTGGCCATGGAGGTACTTGTTATCAATGTGCTATTGATATTTGGAAATAGAAAATGGTTTGTTATTTATGCAGAAGTGTAATTTTATATGATGATAATAATTTAGAAAATTGAGTACATTTTGAAGGTTGATTTGGAAGACAGATATGGAGATTTATTTAAAGTTGTTTCTACTACTTAAATGATAGATTAATTTAATAAATGAAAATATCGTTTGTTAATTATAGTTATATTAATCGAACATAAATAGATACATACCTCTTATTTTTATAGTGTATATATTTTAATTCAGATTTAAGAAAATCAATAATATAATATGGTTTTTGACAACATTTACAATTTGTATATTTGCATTAGAAGTTCAACGATCATAGCCAATCATGATTTACATTTATAGATTTTATTAATTATTATTATTAGTATAATCCTTACTATATATATATATTTAATTTGTCCTTAATTTAATATACATCCTAATAATATTCAGAATCTCTTAAATAAAGGATCATTGAGCAGCATTTCGATTTACATTGCATGTAGGACTTCTTTAGTTTGATCCAATTCCTAAACCTCAAGACTGTAAATATACTTTTTGAGATGGTGCAATTCCCACCATGTTTCTAAAAAACAGAACATTACAAAGTAGATAGGCAACCACCTAACAAATCTTTTAAGAGCTTTTGCTCTGCTCAAATAAGCAAAAGGTTGTTCAATTTTATAGAGGTACTTATCTTTGTATTCTTAAAAAGTGACATCTTCAATGATTGTATTATTTAGTGCTAGTTTATCCGAATAACTTGCTTCATTGCTCTTTGTACCAATAGCATAGAGCACTTTCTCCTCTCTATCTAATTGGATGTCTTTATCTGCTGGTATATTGTTGACATCAACTTCGCTAATGTGAATTGTGTTTTCTGGCATCACAAAAACACTCCCTAAATCAGCTTATCTGAATTGCTATCCAATTACATTAGATTTCATAGAAACAACATTCACTTCATCGATAGCTACCTAACTTTCTGTCATCGCTTTAAGTGCAAGGGGATTATGTTTCATTTCGATTGTAGTTTTTGTATTTGTTGTGTAGGTGATCTCTTTGCCATCATCATTCACTATTTTAGCTGTTATTACATTCGATAAAGGGTCTTCTTCCACAAATTCCATTTTGGATGATGATTTCGTGTAATCTTAGACATATTTATGATCTTTGTCTTACTCAGTCACAATCGTCGGTTTCTCTAACTTGGGGTCCAACATCTGTTTAAGAGATTCTGCCTTTTAAATCTACTACTTTACAATTTAACCAAAGCATTATTAAATTCTTTTTTACAGCATTTTAATTACTTCATGGACGATTCTTTCGAATTAGATATATTGTGTAAACAAAATCCTAACAACTCTTTTCTCTTAAAAGAGATAGAGATTGTCAACTATCTCAGATCCCTCGGAATCTAAATGAAAACTGATCCTACAATCAAATAAGAACTTTTCCACTCAAAAAGAAAACAGTAATTCATTAAGTCCAACACAGCACAATTCGAAGTTTCTAGTAGTAAGCAATTGGAAATCTCTTCGAATTCAATTAAATCTCGTAGAACTCCGTCCCATACTCCTCAAAGTTCCCCATTAATGGTCAATCAAGAAGTTATCAGCTAAACTAGAAAATCAATATTCTCCATTAGATTAGATGCCTTTGGAGATGATAATTTTGAAGGAGAAGAAGTTGGAGACTATTTTACTAACATGTGATTAATCAATATCATTATATATATACATCATAAACACTTTTGTTCAGCATGTGCTTAGCACTGGCTCATTTTTTAGTAGTTTTCATACAATGGTTATCAATTTTAGCGAATTTTTGTAGTCTAGTCTTAATTATAGGGCAAAATACATTCTTCATCTCCTTCACTTCTTCAAAATTCTAAGAATTTAAAGCATTTGGACAAGATGGATCATCACATTTCATATTGTAAGAATTCATCCCTAGACCATTATCATCTTCTTTCAACACCTTTTATGTTTTCCAATACTTCTATTTCACTAATTTAATGCAGTAACATAATGCATATATGAATTTTATAATCTCTGAATTATTAGCCAGTTAAATAAGTATTCTTACAAATGTGCCTGTAACCTCACAAGAAAAATGGCTATTCTTAATAAATGCCATGCCCAATGCTCTCAAAATCAAAATTTCTTTTACTTCAGTTATTTTTATTTTCTGTTTGTCCAGATGTCCAATAAACAAGCTTAAAATCTTTTCATTGTTTCTTTGTTATCTATCCAAAAATTGAAACAGTTCCATCGATTATAGATTAAACTACAAATATGATCTTCTAATCTTGAGTTAATAAATTTCAACAATTTATCCTTTTTCTATCTAAGTATGTTATCTTATGATGTCAACAATTCATATGTTGCATGTATTATTTTGACCTTTTGAGTGGGGACCTTATAAAATGCCATTTTAAGCAGATTCATAGTGTGTTGCTACTCTCGGTAATTTGAGTACTTTAAACTAGATGTAAGAAATTTTTGAAGAATTTCACCATTCTTAAATATTATTATAAATATGTTACATTTTTGGCCAAGGTCTTTTTATCCAAATCCCCTTATGTTTTTGTAATTCTTCCTTTACCTCCTTGAGCAATTCCTTTTATTTAGCCATTTCTCATGGTTAACTTCTATTTCTTTTTTTTTGTCCTTCTCGTTCTAACTAGAGTACTTTTCTTTTTTGCTTTACTATATTCTTTATTTTTCCTTCTCCTACTTATTTAACTCCTTGGGTAGAAATTTGGCGTCTATGTATATTTAATTAACTAAATCAACAAAATTATCTGACAATTGATCTTCATGTTTAATCTAATAAAGCTTTATATTTAAGTGAAGATTTATAGTTTGGCCTCATGTTGTTAATTCAACTTGTTACTTAATATGTTCCAGAGAGAATTGTAATGTATATCATTACAAGTCATTAAACCATAAATTAGATACTAAACTTATTCTGTAGTCTAATAAAAATTAATAATAAATTTAATAATTTAAATAGAATTATAATTTTGAAGATTAATACCTCTGATAACAGATTTCCACTAGAAGACCTTAAGAGATCAATTTAACTAATGTAAATTGGGGCTTCAATAAAAAACTGTTAATAGTTTTCTTAAGCACTTATTTTTCTAATTTTTGATAAATTTAGTAATTATAAGTTCAAGAGCTTATTAATCAATCATATAATGGAGTAATACGAATAAACAATCTTTCCATGCCATAATTATCATTTGGATAATAAAACAATTTAATGTTTGAGTAATTCAATTATTTAAGGTAACTCTGAAAGTTTCTATACTGAATCACCAGAATTACAGTCACTTCTCTTCAATAATCTATGTGAGAGACATTGCTCTTTGATTTTTAGACATTTATTGAATTATTAAATTAATTTATCATGTTACTGAGATACTTTTTGAATAACTAAAATACTGCATTACTATATAGAATTCTAATTTGTTTAATAAAATGACACGATTACGTTGTTTTCCAGATTGAATTCAAAAAAGGAAAACTATTTTTTTATTAAATTAATAATGTCCAAATATTCTGTAATTCTGCCCACTTACAATGAAAGAGAGAATTTACCAATCATCACTTACTTGATCTTTGAGATGGCTAAAAAGAAGTACTCATGAATATAACAAAAGCAATTTAGATTTTGAGATCATCATAATTGAGGACAACTCCCCTGATGGCACTCTACAAGTAGCATAAGAGTTGAAGAAAGTATATGGGGATAAATTGATCATCCATTTTAGGGAGAAAAAGTTGGGTTTAGGGTCTGCTTATATGGATGGGATCAAACTTTGCCATGGCAATTTTATTGTCATTATGGATGCAGATTTATCACACCATCCAAAATATTTGGTGGACTTCATCAAAAAATAGAAAACAACAAATTGTGACATTGTGACAGGATCAAGATACATTGATAAAGGAGGTGTTATGAATTGGGGATTCGATAGAAAACTTACATCTAGAGGTGCCAATTTCTTAGCATCCACTACATTGGGAGTCAAGTGTTCTGATCTAACAGGAAGTTTCAGACTCTACAAAAGGGAAGTTTTAGAGAAAGTTATTAAAGATGTAGTTTCAAGAGGATATGCATTTCAAATGGAAATAATCATTAGAGCTAGACAATATGGTTATACAGTAGAGGAAGTATATATTTGAAGTAAATAATTAAAGGTACCAATTGTTTTTGTTGAAAGAATCTTTGGAGAATCGAAATTAGGGGCATCTGAATTTCAAATATACTTAAAGGGATTGTGGAAGTTGCTCTGGACATTCTGATATATGAATATAAATATTTACATAGATATATTTTAAAATAACTCATAGCTTCTTAGACTTCGCTATTAACCAATCGACCACTTACGTTATATTATTTCCAGTCAAAGCACTGCACATAGCAACTGCCCATCCATTAGATGTTATGTAATCCAAATTTAGACCTTTAATTCTAACCAATAAAGTACCTTCTATCAATTGCTTTTCATTCAAATGTGGATTTACATCTATTTTATTTCCAATCACTAAAAGTGGAATATTACGCAGGGATTTATTATCTAATAGATTATGCAATTCTTTCTTTGATGTTCCAAGCGTTGCTTGCTTTATCTGTAATATATAATACTTACATTTGAAGTATCAACAAGAAATATTATTGCATCACAACCCTGAGCATAATTACCCCATTCTGGTCGATATTAAACTTATCCTCCAATGTCCCATATCTTTTAATCGTTTTTATTCATACTTTCATTGTCACTCCTCCTTTTTTCACAGTCTTTACATTCAATCCTACTGTGGGCACAGTGAACGAAGGATCACCCATTGAAAGTTAATTAAGCATTGTTGTCTTTCCTACATTTTCCAATCCAACCATACATACTTCAAGTTTGGATGTCGAAAAAAAGTTTTTTAGTTTCTCGAATAAATTGCCCATAAGAGATTAATTTATAAATAAACCAATATTTCATTAAAATAACAAAATTCATTCATATTCCATTCTGATAATTTAGAGGTTTATTACCAATCCATATGAAGGAGGCAAAGAATTCTTTACATATAATATAGAATTAACGATAAGTTCCAAATTATATGACTCGAAATAATTATTAAAATACATTTTCTAATTTCATATAAACAGTTCATTCTCAAACAGATATACAAGGAGATTATTGATTTGATATCCATTCTCAGAAAAGATTTTAATAAATTATAATTCATTTAAATTAATGAATGTGTTTTATTAATTAAATTTAGTCCTCTATGAAGAACAACATTTTAACTACTTCTGATAGCAACCCCATCTCTAGAAGAAAACACTCTCATCCTTTAACAACCACACGACTTAATTCCTCTTAAGCACAAATAGTCCCAACAATCTATAAGACACCAGAAAAGTCAAGAATATTTAGATAAAAGACTCCATCAACCAAAACAAAAGTAAAAACTTAGAATCATGAAAACAAAGAGAATGATAATAGTACAATCAATAAAAATAGTTCTTCATTGAAATCTAATAGATAAGCTGAAGAAAAACAACCCAGCAATTTAATGAAGTAAATAAATTTAAAACTTAACTAAAAATCAGTATCAGTTCCAGATATTTTAGAAGACATGAAAGAGGACAATTAAACCAATTCGTTAGGTTTAACTTACTTTTAAAGAGCATTTGCATAAAATAGAGTCATTAAAATTCAAGACCTATTTAGTTAAAATTAAATCACTATAAGAGAATTGGAAAGAAATTGGGAAGCTCAAATTACTCAAGAATCTGAATTACTCAAATCCATTCAGCATCATGAGAATTTTCAATACAGCAAAAATGATTCCAAAGAGAATTTATTAAGCTCTTTGATCCAAATAGAAAATTCAACTGGCCTTTAACCTTAAATCTATGTTATTGATTTAGCATTATTATGATATTATGAAAATTCTATGATATTATGAAAATTCTATACACAATTTATAAGACTTTCCTAAACAAAAATACCCTTAATAATATAATTAGATTAGTTATTATATTGATTAAGTGAATGATTCAATTATAAAATTCTAATTTATTTTCTATTATTTCTAATACATTCAAAATATTGTAGTTTAAAACACTTTTTCAATAAATTTTTAATATTCCCACGAACAATGACTAGATTTCAACTAATTTGAAGGAGACTAAGCAACAGGCACATTATTGTTTAATTTTATTTAAAGAAGTTACTAAATCTTACAAATTCAACTTCTAAATTTTAAATCTAAGTATTATAGGTATTAATGTCTTCAATTCCATAAAAAATACTTTGCTGTGAATTTATCTTCAATTTCGAGATTGATTGAAGCATCCTCAAAGAATTTATTCAATCCATAACCTAAACTACTTTCATAAATATAAAGCAGTCTCTCTGGAGGCTCATAGGCTTATATATAATCTCCCTTTAATCTGTAGTACTCACTAACATCAAATTAGGCCTCGCAATGAGAGGGATTCATTTATAAGAAATTAAATATAGCTTAAGGATCATAGAAACCTTCAACAATTGTGTATTCCTATTAAAGCCTTTCGTATTATTAAGACGCAACCAAGAAAAATATTTGCAAACCTTAATCATTTAAATTTCCAAATTTGACATTAAATTTATCAGCCAATTGTATATTAACATCTGGATTATAAGTGAGGTAGGATTATTTGACATTTTTGTGTCCTTTCTTTTATTGACCACCTGCAATTTTAGCATTTTTTAAGTGTTATTACAATTCTTTATTGTAGTTTAATCTCTTGATATTAATTGCCAGAGGTCCATTTTCTTATGATTCTTAAAATTATATTAATTATTATTAGTGTTGTTATTGAGTTAATTCTGCTTAAACCTTACCAAGAAATTCGAAATCATCATCTTGATTTTTTTAAGGGTATTAAGTTGCTTCTCATTGCTATTTTTTTCTTTCTTCTTTTTATGTTTCTAATTTTGGTTGGATTGATCGTTTTATTGCTATATTGTTTAGTTCGATTCTTGTGTTTGAGTTTCTTCATTTTTTTATTCAGGTTGCTATTCATCATCTGAATCTGACATTTCCATCATTTAAAATACTTATTTTATTTTTTCTATTGTTCTATTTGATGAACCTGTTTAACCAATTATTCATCCACAACTTCTTTAGGTTAATTTTACTCCATAAGCTTTTCATCTATCTCCTCATTTTATTCTTTTATAATTATGTATTAAAATATAGTCATTTTTATGAGAATTCTAAGTTTGGGTTCAAATTTCACCTTGATTTTAGGTTATTCTGTCATGAAATGTCCTTTACATCCAATTCTAGTTTAGATAAGAAATACATTCATTATTAATTTAAAATATATAATAAGCTTACCATGATTTCATAAAATTGGAATAGTATATTAACATGAAGCATTATCAATTTGTCATATAATTTTTAAACGACTCATCGTAACGTTGAATTCAATTGAAATGGTAGATTCTTAAAATACTTGTTATTGTATTCAACCAAACATAGATGTAATTTTATTGTTGCTGAATATGTGTAAGAATCAATTAACAACTATGATGGCTTATCACTAATCATTTAAATCATAATAAAATTATTAATTGATAAATATTAATTCTTATCTGATAGAATAGATCTAATTTTAGAATCTAAATAATGCCCAATTTAACAAGAATGCTTAAAGGCCAGAACTCAAAAATTAAACAAAACTATAATAATTCATTTACTATAATTAAAATCATCAAAACTCATAGAGTTTATCAATTAATATTCAATTTGTCAATTATTTTTAAAGTATAAAAAAGTTTCAAATCTAATTAAAAAATCATGAAAATGAAATTAGACTTCTTCCGATCTAAACTTCCATTCCTCTCTATATTTACATCCTTTCAGATCTTATTAAATTCAAGGTTCCAAATTTTGAGTGATTATCAAAAAGATACACTTTTTTATCAATAATAACTAATTTAGCATGATTTCGACTGACCGATATATCATTTATTATTATGTCAGCATCATTTGACCTACCAACTCTTAATTCTGATACATTTTAAAACTTCAAAATATAAACTCCAGAATTTTTGTGGCAATCTAACTGTTATCCCTATTAATAGTTATAGGATTTAAATACTTATTTTTTCTTAAATTCCATCATCAAATAAGGGTAATCATTGGGTTTACATAATTCTACTAAATCGTAATATGTATCATCACTCTTAAACTTTGAAGGATAATTATATTTGCATAACTCACACTCCAAGTTCTTCCATAAATAAACTAAGCAATTATCACTTTGTCGACTTTCTAACTTCATCCTCAACCATATTTTTAAGCATTCCAAATGTACATACTTAATTGATCCACTGCACATGCAGGGATTCAAAAGAGGGTTGTTGGAACTATTTTAAGAGGAGCAACAAATTCTGCAAGTAATTTAATCGGGTGAAATTGATTCCGATGATTCATAATCACATCTTTATTCTTAAGCCTTAACCTCTAATGCAATCAAGCGAATAGAAAATTTCACTCTTCCCAATTTAATAACATCCCCTTCCTACAACAGCATCCCACCTTCATGAATCACATTCCAAACCCTCTTCCCAATTTTCTCAAATCCAGTTCTTTGAATTTATATTATTATTACTTGTTTATAATCGTATTGGTCTCTTCATATTTTTAGATTGCTTAATTCTTGTAATTTTTTTTAAGATTTGGAATTATTAGAAAATAATTTTCATTTCTTTTCTTTATTTTACAAAGTTGATTCACAACTAGTTATTTGGTCTCTACCCATTCTAAATTATTTCTACCAACTAAATAGCCTTCGTTGCTTATCTAAAGGAGTAATTTATAAATTATTACTGCAAATTTTTACTCATCTATATTGGCTGCATTTTCGTAATCGAACAATTAATAGACGTCCTTCTACCAAGTTTTTACTATAATTATTAATCTTGTGCAATCAACATTATTGGATGAACTTAGACTCATTTAATCACATTAACTTTTACAATTTCCCATATTAATATTATTAAATTATATGATTTTTGATCAAATTTAATTTAGGTCTCATCACTAATTTTTGTTCCCGATCTAATTCAAAGAACAAACCAAATTCTAATGTAAAATAATTTATAAGAACTTTGTAAACTTTTTTTTGCTGTGTGATATTTTTCTGATCGAAATTAATTTCCTTTATCCTCAGTTTCCTATCAAACATATTTATTGTTTATACAGAATGGATGAGTAGAGTGAATTTAGATAATCCTATATGTTAAGAATTAATTAAGTAAAATATTTTCTATTATATTTTACATAATTAATCGTTAAATTTGAATGGAAAATAATGAATAAGAAGATTGTATTTAGTTAAAGAAAAATGTAAATCCATCAGAAATATGATTAGTTTCTAATTAAGGAACATGAATGGAAAAAAGATAAAGCTCTGTATGAATAAAAGATATAATTATTGGAATTACAATTAGAGGATTACAAAACAAGAGAAATAAATTAAAAGAAGCTGAATGATACCATAACTCAGGCAATAGATATATCTGGTAAAACATAAGTATGATTTCATCATTAAATTTTAAAGCAAAAAAGTTATTCTGAATTTCAAAAATCAATGGAAGTATAATTCTCCAATAATAAAAAATATTAAGAGTGTGTAACCAAATTAGAAGAGAAAGTAAACATTATTTATAATGTCTAGCTTAGATATTTAAATGAATAATTAAACGATAAAGAAAATTAATTAAAAGATCTTGAAATATTATAATAAAAATAGCAATTTATGAATGAACACAAAATCTAAACTTTAGAGCAGGATAAATAGTACTTGAATTAGGAAGTCAATACATTAAAAGATCAATTGCAAAAACTAGAAGAAAACTACAAATCTAAAGAGTAATTACTAAAATTACAGTGCGAGTAGGAGATATAAAAAATTAAAGATAATTCCTTTAAAGATATGTAGGAGAAATAATCAGACTACGATTAAAGATACCAATAGTTGGCTTAGCTATATGAAAAAGAAAAGGATCAATTACAATAAAGACTATTAAAAAGTTAAAATACAATTAAAAAATATTAAGATCATATCGAATCTAACTAAGAGAATTAGCAAATGCAATAAAAATATGAAGATGAAATAGCTTAATTAAAATAGTAGATTGAGGAATAACAGATATCTTTTCAATAAGAAAGAAGTGCTTTGAAAAAATAATTGGAAGATTAAATAAAGTAAAGTTACTATTTATTATTATTAGCACTTAAAATAATTGTGATGCTAATTCAAAAAAGAAAAGTGTTGAGGTCGTAAAATTAAGAAATTCAATGATTTCTCAAGATAGTCCTATTTAATGCAAGAGCATACATATTCCCTAACCTGAAAGCAAGTAGACAATATAGTAATCTAAAAGCTAAACAAATACTTTCAACAAATCAAATGAAAAATAAAAATAATAAATTTTTAAAAATAACCTGTCTTTTGATAAAATAAAGCCTAATAATTAAGATACTATACCAATATCAATTGATGAATATAATATTAAGATGACCAAAAAGTCAAAATCACAGTCCACTAATTCGTTACAACAAAATCATAATATAAACTAATATTTGTAAGAGGCTTGTATCTTTTAAGAGGAAATGGAGAATGGAGAGGAATTTATAAAACATAAGATGTCACATTAACTGACTACAAGATACAGCAATGAATTAGAATAAATGAGATCATATTCATAGTAAGGAGTCACTAAAAACCCTTTGTAATCAGCAGCCAATCTTAGTAAAATGTTAGGATAGCATGATTATTGTAATTTAAAGTAAGGCACTTAACTGTCAACTCAATCAAAGACTCATAATAATACATCATTCTCACATTTTAAAGTGCCTGCATTTACTTAAAGTTAATTGAATAATTTGAAACACAGTTTATATCAACAACCATGGACAACTCTAAGGAATAATGACTCCCATAGCAATCATATTGAGTCTATTAAAGCAAGATATAATGCCTAGGAGGATTCCATATAAAACGATTCTGTCACTTAAAAAAATGTAATATTTTTAATAGCAGTAGAATAAAGAGAATCAATATCCTCCAAAAAGTGTGCATATCAATAATGAGATTAAATTTTTAATAGGCAAATTGTTATAGGCTAAAGGCAGATTGCAATCTGAACTGGAGAACACCTAAAAGTCATGCCGATTTAGGACTTGAATCAATGAGTTAAAGAAGATAATTTACTATATATATAATGCAAATTCAATTCTTATTACATAGATAGCAAAAACACTAAGATAAGAAAATCATTTCTTTTCCAAAGCTTGTTTGAATTTATCTTCAATTATGTCGCAAATTTGTGATAAGCATTTTAATCCATCATTCATGACTTTCTCTTTTGTCTCATTCACTGTCTACAATCTCATATTCATCTTATTTTCACTAGGATGAGGTAAACTGTATCCACAAAATTCAACGTTTGGTTAATTTGCTAAAATGTAACGTAAGGAATTTCCTAGTGTATGATCTTCATCAAAAAACACAAAGGTTCCATTAAATGGATCTGAGTTTTCCTGTTTAACATAGATATAAATAATAAGTACTTGAATTTCCATTCCTTTGTTGGCTTATGCAAGTATGATAGGCTTGCTCAATTCTTCTTCTTCAATATTAATTTCTTGGTCTTCTGATTCACTAGAATTCATATATTAATTTTTATTATTAGATTAATTATTTTTCCATCAACTCATATATTATAATAATGTCAGAGGGAATATTTGTATCTATTATGTTGCCTGCTTTTGTAGTGAAAAACGAAAATTAAATTGTATACATACTTACTATTTGACAAAGAATTAACTCTTAAAATAACTACTTTGCATCTCCTCTTAATCGTATGAAATATTTGAAATACCATCTAAGTTTGGCAAGGAATTTGGAGTTAAATTGATACAAAATTGTAATATTATCTGCAACATAAATTAGCATTAAATCTTCGAGATATTGAAGAATTGATAGAAGAAAATAAATAGCTTCATGCATCTTATCAAAAATGTAAAGAATCCTTGTAAACTCTTAATTGTGAATTCGAAAAAATAGTAAATGATCCCCTAATTCAATCAGAATCTGACAAAATACAATATCAAACTAAAAAACTCAAAAAAGTGAAGGAGGAAAATAAAAGACTTCGATAACTTTTAAAGTGCTACTTTTATGAGTATTTAGATCCTATCTTGACAACAGTGACAATAGAAGAATGGAGACACATGCAAAAGTAGAGTTGCTTAAGGAGGAACTTCATTCATTAGTAAAAGTAAAATTTACTATCGTTATCATAAGGAGTTTGCTGAGCAAGAACAACAAAAGAAATAAAATGATATTTTAATATCAAATTGATTTAGAGTATACAATTGAATCTTTTCTTTTTTGATTCATTTGAATATTATCGTCATATTTTCTCAATTTATTGTCTAAAATATTTAAAAATAACGAAATGGAGAATGATAAATAATCCTAATTTGAAGATCATATATTATAGAGATTTACACTTCTAGAATTTAAGGGCAAAGGTGCATATGGAGTGGTTTGGAAAGCACATGATAAATAAACTAAATCAATAGTTGCTTTAAAAAAAGTGTTTAAATAATGTAATCGCTTAGGTGTTTGATGCGTTTCACAATAAAACTGACTCATAAAGAACATTTAGAGAAGTAATCTTTTTGGAACAAGTATCAAAAAATGTGAATATCATTAAATTACTTTAAGTGATAAAAGCTTAAAACAATAGGGACATATACATGGTCTTTGAATACATGGAAACAGATCTGCATAAAGTATATAGCTCAACAAAATTAGGTTATAAGAGCAAATATACTAGAAACAATCCACAAAAAATATGTTGTCTATTAATTATTAAAGGCAATTAAATTTTTGCATTCCGGTGACATTATTCATAGAGATCTAAAACCAGCAAATCTATTAATAAATGCTGATTGTATGGTAAAGTTAGCAGACTTTGGATTGGCGAGAACAGTGAATAATTCAAGTGAAGATGATGGTAAATATAAAATTAGAATTTTTACAAGTTCCCATATTAACCGAATATGTGGCTACTAGATGGTATAGAGCACCAGAAATACTTTTAGGTTCTCAAAAATACTCAAAAGCCGTAGACATGTGGAGTATAGGGTGTATATTGGGAGAGATGATCCTAGGGAAGGCAATATTTCCCGGAACTTCAACGATGAATCAAGTCGAAATGATCTTGGAAATATTGGGTACTCCAACTGAGGAAGATATCAAGTCGATTGCAGCCCCTTTGGCCAAGCATATCTTAGATAACTTTTAATATGTGAAGCCAAAGAACTTTAAGACAGTATTTAGTTAAGAGAGCGATGACACTTTAAGTTTCCTTAAGAATTTGTTAGTCTTTAATCCTTAAAAAAGATTGACTGTGGAATAGGCATTAGCTCATCCCTACATAGCAGAATTTGCAGGTTCAGAGGATGAAAATGTAATAGGTAAACTATTTAACAAATTCTACTAGATTTTCCAATTCAAACCTTTATGGATGACAATGTATAATATAGCATAGAAGAATATATGACAACACTTTATTAGCACATCAATCAAAAAAACACACAATAAAATTTGTTTAGTTCACATTAATCTCCTACAAATGCTATGAAACCTTCAAGTGCAATTTAATAATCAACTACTCCTATGAGTGCCGTAGAAAAGAGAAACAAAAAGGGGGATTCCATTGAAGGTTCTAATTATAATTCGGAAAACAAATAATAAATTATAAAGCAGGAAGTCAAGAAAAAGGTAAGTGAGGATAATCAAAATTAGAAGATGAGTGCTTTCGAAAAATTTAAATCAATAGAAAATATGATTAAAATGTAAAAAGCTAAATTAGGTACAAGTAATGGCTAAATTACAGTATAAAATAGTTCCAAACTATAGTATGGCAATAAATCAGTCAATATTACGAGGGCTGAAAGTTTAAAAAAGAAAGAAGCTTCTTGTGTATTTTATTTTGTTGAATTTTAGGAATTATTAGTTCCAAGTCCAGCTGCAAAATCCAAAATTTAAAAAATAGTTAGTTAAAATACCTTTAAGGATCCATAAAAAATATAAACCATTAAGTCTCAATCAAAATTACCCAAGCATGAAAGCCAACATGATAAATTCTTGAATAAGAAAACCTATCTATAATATATTTTAAGTGGGAAAGCTAAACTTTAAAAATGATTTTATTATTTACATTTATGATAAAGGTTGGACATATGGTAAATACTTTGATTCATCTCTTTGGAATATATTTTAAATAATTTAAATTCATGATAGGTTATCATTCTATATCAAATAGATTAAAATAAAAAATCAAAGAAAAACAAATATAGAAACTTAATTTTCTAAAAAAGAATAAAATTTATAAAATGAATAATAATCTAAGGGCAATGTTTTAAAAAATAACAAAATAAATTTTATACTCTTTCATGTTTTTCATTTTAAATTATTGATTTCAGACACAAGATCATATTCCCCATTCAACAATCTATTTCTGAATTCAGCGTTTCTATCAATCTATTTAACAGCTGATTTAACTTTATCCATATAGTTCTAAACTGATTTTTTGTTAAGATCATAAATGGTTTGTTCAATCTTTTTTGACCATTCCGCCTCTTCTTTTCCAGTCTACTGTAAGAAGTATTTCTTTAATCCTTCAACCGCCTTTTTTCTTTTATCATCATCAACAGATTCGGCATTCCCATTTTAACTATCATTGTTTTATTATTTGGCATTATGAGAGGTTCCATTTTTATGCTAAATTGGTTTGATTTCCTTTTTCTCTTGTTCTAATCTGACTTTTTTTTAGATAATAGGCTCTTCTCGTTTAATATCTTTTTATCTTTATTCAGTTTTCTGCACATCTTTCTTAGACTCGCGTTTATTGATATCATCTGTAAAGGCTTGCTAATTTGATAATATTAATTGTTTCCAAGATTTCACTAGTTTTCTACATATTTTAATTGCCTTAGAATATTTCTCCTCGTCTTCTTCTGTGTATTTTTTCTATCCTATGCGTACAATGCTTTTTGTTATCTCACTTTCAATTAATGCTTAAGTATCGATATTACTCTTATAAATCTAAGCAATTAATTTATAAGATTTTGAAATTTGGGCTGAAGAAAATTTTTTGAGTTCCGATTTAATTTCGGATAACTATTATGCATTTAACTTCATTAAATTAAATATTTATTTCATTTCATTGTAAAAAACTAAGTATAAATATACGTGTTATAATAATAATTTTATGAAAAAAAATACTCTTTTACGAAAAAAAGTAACATTATTCTTCAAAGAGAATTTAGAAGAAGAAACATTTTTAAATAAGATAAGTTACTAAATTTAGTACAAAAGTTGAAACATGTCACCTTAAACATAAAGACTTATCTCAAGAATGAAAAGGCATCACAAATGATTATGACAAATCTGACGATATACTAAAAAAGAACAATAAAATGAATTGGCAATTTAAATACTAATTAATATTCTAGAGTTATCATCCTGATTGAATACTTGTTGTCTGATTATTGTGATGATTTTTATACTAAATAGATAATATATAATACAATACAAATTTCAATAATATAAAAAACTTGTGAAGAAATATAATTATACATTCATGTGTAAGTAATATTACTTTTTGATTAAGTTTGAAAGAATAGTATAGATACATCTACAAACTAAAAAAAGAATGATTTTTATAAATAATTTAAAGCATCCATCCTAAAATTCATGAATCCTTTATATAAAAATCATAATTAAATATGTTTAAATTAATTCAAAGAGCTTGCTTCAGATATGCAGTTGCTAGCAGCAAGGCTGAGGCAGAAATAAAATCAGTAGCAGGTATTTAGCATTGAAAAGTTTAGGACATAAACCACCCTCTTTTGAAGATACTGTCTAAGGAAAATATGCTGGAGTGCTTTTCTCTACTGCATCCTAAAGGGAAGCTCTTCATTTGGTGCTTTAGGACATGAAGTACTTCAAGGAATTGGCTGAAAAGAGTCCAGTATTCGCAGGCTTCTTATTAAACTCTGCATATAAGAGAAATCAATAAAGAAATGTTATATAAGCATTAACAAAAGTAAAGAGATTTTTATATATGTGTAGGAAGGATTCCATGAGGTCACAGTAAATTTGTTAAATACTATGATTGACAGTCAAAGAATTTCATATTTGAGTAAGACTGCTGAGAAATATATCGAATATTATAGAATCTTTAACAAAGAAGAAAATATTACAATAATATCAGCAGAAACATTATCGGAAGAACAAAGGTATGCAAGTATGCAAATGATGTAGAGCCCAAGTTGTTGGAGCCTTGAAGGAATCCAGTCCTAATGTTCAATTCTCTGTTTAATATAAAGTTGACCCATCCATTTTGGGAGGTTTATAAATGTATTCTGGCAACAAATTCTTGGATTGTTCATTATTGTCAAGAGTTAATAAATTGAGATCAGAGTTGCAGAAGTTGAGCATTTGATTAAGAATAAACAATAAAATAATAAATATATTATTAATAAAAACATGGACAGTCTAAAGGATCCCGCAAATGACAGATAAGTAAAAACACTGAAGCCACCTCCTCATCGTCCATTGGCTAAAAATTTGATGTTTCCTGATAAATTAAAGAGTATGACAATTGAGTAAAATTAATTAGATAAACCTGATTGGAAGTTATTGAAGGATCATCTTTAAAAAGAGGGAAGAGTCGCAAAGGAGGAATTATTCAAATTGGTCGCAGATTGCAATAAATTATTGAGTAATTTGATAAAATGATTATTAGAAAATGAAGGAAATGTACTTTATTTGTAAGATCCACTTACTGTAGTAGGTGATATTCATGGGTATTTATATTATTAAATGAAGACAATATTATGATTTGTTAAAACTACTTGAACCAAAGGTTGGAGGAAATCCTGAAACGACAAAGTAAAAGAATGTTTTCAATAATTAAGATATTTATTTCTCGGAGATTTTGTTGATAGAGGATCATATTCAATTGAAGTAGTGATTTTACTTTATGCAATAAAAATAAATTATCCAAATACTGTATACTTTTTACGTGGCAATCATGAGTGCCGATAACTGACTGCTTTTTTCAATTTCAAAGATGAATGTACATTTAATGTAAGCTTTAGGTTTGTATAAATATGATTAAGAAACTTATGAGATGCTTATGGATTCTTTTGATTTGTTTCCATTATCATGCATAATAAATTCAAAATTCATAGCTGTTCATGGTGGTATATCACCAGATTTAAAATCTGTAACTCATTTTACCAACATAAAAGATAGAAGACTTAAAAAAATTAGACAGATATCATGAACCACCAAGAAGTGGTTTATTTTGTGATCTTCTGTGGAGTGATCCTGTGGATTAAGATTAAGGCAATTTGGATGGACAATGGAAAGGAAACGAAGTCAGAGGATGCAGTTGGTTTTTTGGAAATGAAGCTAGTAATAAATTTCTATAAAGAAACAATCTAATAAGTATAATAAGAGCTCATGAGGTTCAATATATTATTAAACTCGTAGGCACAACTTGATGGCTACAAGATGCACAGATGGAATGGAGGCCAAGATTTCCCAGTTGTTATTACAATATTTAGTGCTCCAAATTATTGTGATGTTTATAATAATAGAGGTGCTGTTATTAAATTTGAAGTAAATCCGATTTATTAAATTTAGAATAATACTCTGAATATTCAACAATTTTAGTATACTCCTCACCCATATTTACTGCCAAATTTTATGGATATTTTTACTTGGTCCATTCCATTTGTAGCTGAAAAAATCACAGAAATGTTATATAATTTAATTTAAGCAGGAGATTAAGGAGACGATGATGAGGATATCAATTAAGAAGATATTGAACAATTTAAAATATTAACCTAATAAAATAAATAATTCAGTAAGCAACAATCTACTGGAAGCACTGGAAGCACAGGAAAAAGTAAGTGTAATTTTAATACAAGGCACTGAGAAATTTAAAAAAAGCAAATTAAAGTTTGTAGCAACAATGATGAAGATGCAAAAAACACTAAGGGAACAAAAGTGAAAGTATTATGAAATTAAAAGGTGCTTGTCCTGATAAAAGATTACCTAAGGGAATATTATCAGCTGGTAAAACTGCAATTACTGATGGTATCCAATCTGGTTCTAAATTTCTTAGCTCTTGCTGATTTTAATATCGCAAAAACTGCTGACATAGTTAATGAGAAAATGCCATCACAAGCTTAAATTCCTCAACAATCTGTATCAATAAAGAAACCTAGTAATACTGTCTAAAGTAAGAAGAAATGAGATGTTTTCTAGGAAATATATATAAAATATACAAATATTCATTGTTTATACCAAATAATTTTAATAAATAAAATTATAATGTAAGACAAATAAATTATTCAGCTTTTCGAAAAATACTCTAAACTTAATGATCCAAAATTAGTGTTCTAGACAAGTGAATAAATTTTAGAAAGAGTAAAAGAGGATGATATAACCTTCGTATTATCCAAAATCATGAATTGTTTGCAATCAACAGAATATGACACTACTATCAATTACGCCTTACTATTGAAGCAACTAATTTAGAAGTACTCATCTAAACAGCAAAAATTACAACCTAAAGCCATATTTGATCAGCTATAATAAACTTTGAGCAAAAAGAACTCATATGGTAAAAGTGAGTTTAAGCATTTTATGCTAACCAAATATTTTGTCTATTCTTACCTAGATTTTTAGAACTTATTAAATATTATACTTGAAGATAGAAAAACTGAAGATTCAGAATACTTAACCTATGTCTTATTGAAGCATCTGTATTAATTATTAAATTATTTAGTAAACCTGAAAATGTCAAATAAGTTAGCAATTCAATAAAAAATGATCTTTAAAATTTAACACCAAGAGTTTTTTGTATTTTAGTCAAACTCCAATAATTGAGTCAAAAAGGATAATTCCAATGGGATAAATATCTTTAGGAATAAATTTTTGATAGATAGAAATTCCACAAACTCTTATAATAGGCCAATGATCTATTTCCAAAGAAACAGCTTTTCTATTAATACCTAGCTATCTATATGGGAAAAGTATGATATCTAGTTTATAATTATAGTTTAGCCAATCTTCAGAAAACTCAAAAATTTTTGCTGAGTTCTGGGAATACCTTTTCCAGCAAGAAGACTTGAGAAAGTTAAACTACATCATTTTATCAGTTTTTAAATATTTCCTAAAATCGACTTCTGTTCCACTATCACTAATGAGAAATTAATAATTAGTTGAATTATGGTACAGGTAATTTGGAAATTCTAATTCTGTTATGAAAAGATTAGCAAATAAGATTGAATAATACTTGACCTAAAGAGAGATCACTTTTGAAGATATAGTTTACCTGAGAAATATCTATGGCTATCGAATTCACCCTAAGAATGGAATTGCATAAAAAATATTAGCAAAGTTCACAGAAGAGGAAATAGATCAATATTTCGAGAACATGAAATAACAAGAACAGTCTTCCACTGATCCAATCAATAAACTCTACTATTTAAATGAAATCTATGTTCTTGCCACCGTAGGTAATACAAACATTAAAGTCTTAACATCTATGATAAAGTATATTTATGAAATTGGTTGCCAAAATTTTGAATAGATTTATGAGCAATTGGATGAAGAGTCTAAGGAAGCATACTAATTTGAAGAGATAAAGAAAAAGTTCTTGGATTAATGTTAGAGCTTCTTTTACTCACTTGTTGGAAAAGTAGCTGCTGTAAATATTTAATATGATAATTAGAATGTGTAAGAATTTGATGAGTTGACGAAATCCTTATTGAAATAACTTAAAAAATCAGAATTAATTAAATAGTATAAATTGATTACAGGCAAATAACCTAAAGAGTGTATCAAGCATTTAGTAAATTCAATCCTTATGTTTTCACTTCTCAATTAAGAAGAAGGATTATAAATCTTGGAAGAGTTTCAACACATTGCAGGTGACATTTAAGATGAAGAACCATAAATAAAAAAAAAGGTAAAGACTAATCCAGAGAAGGCAAAAGTTGTCTTAACTGAAGTTTTTATTTAATTGTTAACTAAATCTCCATGTAACATTATAGAGTTTATATATTTTAGAATTCTTGAGAGATGCTGTTAATTAGTGCTGCAAATCACTTGAATTTACAACAGAATGTTTAGAGATTTTATTAGATGTATTACTTAAGGAGGACCATGAGTATATTGCAGAGATGCAACAATAAGAGTTAGATGAGTGAGGAAGGTGGAGATGAAAGCTTAGAGGAAGAAGAAGAGGAAAATTAATGATGTTCATATATTAGTGTTTGTACAATATTTATAAAATTTGTAAAATCCTTTTTCGGCTTATAATTTAAGCAAATTAAATGAATTAAACTTACAAAATTGATAAAAAATGTTATAATTTTTGGAATGAATTTAAATTAGTAATTTTATTAATGGATTATAATATAGATAATTTTTAGGAAGGAAGAATTATTATAAAAGCATCTAAAGAAAAATCAATAAAATATATATATATTGTCAATTAATTTATTAGTACTTTGCTTGTAAATCTCTTTTTAATAGAATAGTTTTAAACAGATCACTCCATTATTTAAGTAATTCTTTTTTTTTATTAATTTTATTCTTTTCATTTATTTCAATTTTGAATTACTCATAAAGGGCAATAATCTTATCATAATCCTCATTAAAAATCAAATAACCACATTTTTGAGCAAACATCCTACCATTCTATGAATCAAACCCATCCACTGCTTCAATAAACTTGATATTATTTTTTGATAATAATTGCTTAATTCCTTGCAATCTAACAAGTCTAGTCCCTTTGGGAGGAGGAAAAGAAAAGGTCTAATAAATTAGGATATAATACTTCATAGTTTCCATAAGCATTATTTGGTAAATTTCCATCATTGTCTTCCAAACTTACTTTGATATCATTAGTCTACCAAAGGGCAAATAGAGCTGTAGTTTTAGTTTTATCAAACTTTTAACTGACCTCTTTGATTGGTTATGCATCAAGTTTAACTTCTCTTAAATATTCTCTCCATTTATCTCTTGAATGAAGAATGATCACATCACTTTATAAATAAATATCTTCATCTTTGAATTTAACTCCAATTGGTTTTGCATCTGGATGTATCATCTAATATTGTGAAAGTTATGATGCTATAGCATAAAATTAACTATATTTAAATTCTTTTTCATTAGTATAACTACCTGGAGATGGTACAATTATATTTGCACTGACAGGTTCATTCACTAATTATTAAAGTCCTTTGTAGATTAATTCTAAAATATATTATTCAAAATACTTGCATTGTAAGCTAATTGATTGAACCATCTTTCAAGTGATAACTGAAATCTTTGTCCAAAAAAATAATAAGAATACTTTAATGTGACATCCACAAAATGAGTATTGCCAAATAATCTGTTTATTTGAAAATTAGGGTCTTTGAATGTTAAATCTTAAGCAGCAATAATAAAATGACTGAAACTGTTTTGAAGCTTTGCTTTTAAAATGTTTATATCCATTAACACAAACCTATCCGATATCGGATCAAATGGAATCCATGAGTTCGAATTAGAATCATAAAATTCAAGCCAAATATTCTAATTTTATGTTTAGATATCCTAATTAATTTATCTTTCATTTTGTTATTTTTTATTATCCTTCTTTTTCGATTTTTTTAATTCATACTAGAGATCATTTTAACTTTTATTCTCATTCTATTATTGTTATTATTTTTGTAATTCTTATGATACTATTAATGTTTTATCTTTCTTATTCGATTTTTAAAAAATAAACTTATTTAAAGACTCAACGTTGTCTGATTAAGTCATAAATTAAGAGTTTAGATCAAATATTGTTTTGGTATTCTGCTCTGTCTCTTCGCTCTCTTAGTCAGTTTTCTTTATTGTGCGAATCTTAAATTTTAGTTCCAGACCCAAAAATCCAACATCAAATGCTCTTACCAACCTTACATTCAGTCCATAATACTTACATAATTATGCAAAAGTTATGATATATTCTGAAGGGCTCAAATTGTAAATTTGTATACCTTTGGAGAATTGGTTTTTCAATTAGAAAGTCAAAGCAAAACCTTAATAAAGAGCAGAAACTTGTTCTTGTAAATTTTTTGCTTAATTTAGTTTAGTTTCAATCATTTCTATAGTGGGATATAAAAAATTAGATAATTTGAATGCGAATTCAGTTTAATTGTTCATAGTTTTATGATCTCGATATAACTTAAATAAATGGATAATAAGAGTGGTTCGTATTTAGTTAACTGGAACATAGCTCTGCTTTTTTGGTTTTTGTTCAATCTTTTTTTATTACTTTCTTTATATTTTTTCATGTAATTCCAATAAATCATCTGGCAATCCTTCTTCCATAATTGTAAAGTCATCCTATTTATTTGGTACAATCTTTTTTAATTGATTCACTCTCTCTATAAAGTCATCTTCATCTCGGACGGATTCTTCTGATAATTCCTCTGATTCGTGATTTATTTCAAAAGAATCATCCATTATAAAGTAAATTGTTAATTAATTATTATAATACTTAGTTACTTTTTTAAAAATTACAAGTCCTACGAATAACAACAATCCAAATAATATATAATTTACTAAAAATTTTAATTTTAGTTTGAGAATATAAAATTTTCAATGAAATAATATTATAATATAGTTAATTAATAATATGGGAAATAAGCCCTCAGTGAATTAGAGTAAATTTCAGAGATAAATGACAACTAATGATAAATAATTTAAAAAAGATTAAAGTTAATCGAATGTTATTGCTCCTTATAGAGAAGGAACGACTTTAGCTGTGGAAAGTAAATTGAAGGCATATTTAAAAAATGCGAACGAAGGAGAAGATCTTGATGATGACAATTAAGGGGGACGAAATAAGTTATAATAATTCAAGGAAGACTAACATAATGTCGAGAATATTCAAAAGGAAATTATCTTTTTAGAAGAAACAGTTTTTTCGAAAGAGAAATTGCAAAGAGTTCGTGAAGACTTTGAGTCCTATTCCAAAGAAAATAAAATGAGCAGAAAAAAGTTACTTGAATATTTTGGAATGGCAGAACTTGATAATAAAAGACTTGGAAATAGGATTTTTTAATGTGTTAAATCAACATTCTCCCAGAAAAAAACAGGGTATATTAATTAGTTATGATGTGATTTAGACCATTCTTAGATTATGCCAAGTTTCTAAAAGCTATATCGATGCTGTCTTAATAAAACGATGAGGGGAGGTTAAGATTTTTGTATTCCATGTTTGATATGAACTTAGAAGGTAGTATAGAAAAAGATGAGATGTATAATTTAATGATGATGTTTTTAGAAGTAATTCATGAAATAATTTATTAGGGCATGATGTCTATCAATTATGAGAATTAAGATTTGAATGATTTAAAATAAAGAATAAGTGAATCGCATGACAGATAGATTGAACTTGCATTGGAGGAAATTGTCAATGAAATCTATTAGAATCATGCATCCAAACAAAACGTATTGAGTTATGATGATTGGAGAAATTGGTTGATGGAATAGGAAGGTATTTAGGAAATTTTAAAATTTAATCCTCATACTGATTTTTAGGATTGAGAGGATCCTTTAATAATTTGAATATGCTTATATTATATATCATTTTATTTCCCTTTAATTACTTAAGAATTGATTATGGTTGCTCAACTAGAATAAAATACTATTCTTAAATACCTAATTTAACTGAGATATATATTTATATTATTTTTTATTATTAATATTTAAACCAAAAGAAAATGTAGGAGGCATTCGTTGGTCATACTTAGAAATCTTAAAATTTCTATACTTAAATAATAAAAAGCTAAGCCAAAAATGCGTGGGAAGTCAAAAGAAGAATATCTAAAAAATGTGCCTTCACTTTAAACCCTCTAAAGGTTCCTATCAGAAGCATATAATGTAAGACATTAAAATGCGTTTATGAGTAAGATGTCATCTAGGTCATACTAAAAAAATATGATAAAGATAATGATATATTCAAATGCATTCAATGTGAAGAAGAAATAAAAAAATAAGATCTATTTTTCGATTCTGAATTATCCAAAGCTTTAAAACTTCAAGGACCCTGCTACTTGAAAAATAATACTCAATCCTAAAAAGATTAGAAATTAAATTATATTATTGTAAATAAAAACAATGACTAAGCTAAATCAACTATAGAAATGTTGGATGAAAGCTAATATCCACTAATAGAAAATTCAGAAAACCAATAGCTCTTATAAATTTTAGCATTAAGCGTTTACAAATAGAGAATGGAGACTCTACATTTTTTAATGAACCAAGAAAAAGAAATGAGTCTATAAAGGTATGCTAAATAAGAGTTTAGTCAAGAGAAGTAATATATGGATTCATGGTTTAGAAATTAATGAAACCCTATAATCCTAAAATCATATTGAATTTGAAATTCTATAAAAAAGAGAAAATTTTAATTTCCACAATTCATATATCATTTCAATTTTTAGTTTATATATATCATACTATCATCCATTATATCAATACCTAATAGATTTCTACTGGTTTACAACTATCAAATAATAAATATATATTTATTTTTTTTCTATTATGCAAGTATTTAATTAAGATCAAAATGAGCAATGCTTGATTTGTTTCGAAACTTTAAGTCAACCTTTCCAATTTACAGACTGTTAACATGCGTTTTGCTAAGTTTGTGCAAAGGATTACTTTGAATAAAGAATTGATGAAAAATTAATAGATGAATTTACATGTCCTCTTTGTTAAAAAAGCACAGATGTCAAGTAAGTTTTAGAAATTATTGATCAATTGCATTAAGAAAGATATAATGAATAGAAAAATGAAAAATTCTAATTTTAATAACAAAGAAGGGATATGATAAAGTTTTATGTTAATAATAAAAAAATCCTTAATCTTTGTAGATGTCCTTGGTGTGAGCAAATATTTCATAGAGCAGAAAGTGGATGTAATTACATAAGATGTCATTCACTTGAATGCTAAGGAAAAAATACATTTTGTGCGTAATGTGATGTTGCTTTGACTGATTTAGATCACGAAAAACATTATGAAAATAATAACCCCTTCAAAGGGAAATGTCGAATATTAAGAAATGGTGTCTGGGTAGATAGATCAACCGTATATAACTGAATTTATATATAAATATTATAATAATGCATATATTTTAAAAACTTAATATTTCTATTAACTTTTATACTCTTTATAATTTAATTTTTTTCGAATTCCGCGTTAAAAAACTAAAATCTTTTATAGACCTATGTAGGAGCAACATGCAATTCAAAGGATTTAAAGACAAGCTAGTGTGATAAAATAATTGTCAATAAGATTTCAAATATTGGCACTTATAATTTTATTTTAATTGCACATATATCTAATATTATAATTATAAAAATGTAATGATAAAAACTATGAAAGTATAATAAATTAGTAACTAAAGATTTGTGAAATTTCTTAAAATTAATTATAAAACTTATAGAAATATCATAATTTTTACTTTGATTTAACAATGTTCAATTATTTTGCTGATGAGTTCGATTTAATCACAAAAGATTATGTCTTTTTTATTGATAATCTTGCTTAGCTATAAATAGATGCTTTTAGATTATTATATTCTTAATTTTAGTTGTTATCATGAATTTAAGTTTAGACTTCTTAATTATTAGTTATGTCTTTGTTATGAACAGAGGGTCCAATTGATTTTTCAGTGTTGTATTAAGTTAGTTTGAGAGGAGATTTTTAATTCTATTCCAAATCAGGATATCTTGGACTCTAAATAGAGAGCGGACTTCTAGGAGAGGAAGTGCTAAAAGTCAAGGTTTTGGACTATTTAATTCTTCTAGCAATCTGTTGGTTTTAGAATAAAATAGGTTTTTTCATTTGTGCTTATTGTAATTTAGCCAATTGTTCCTATATAAACCATTAATGATTAAGACACTAATGAGAGGTATATCTTTCTTCAGGGTTTGGCTAAAATGTTCCAGTAAGAAAATCCAGGCCAAGCGGACTTAGATTAATAGAACTGAAATCAATATCACCTTCACCATTTTACTGCAATCTTGTGTCATCAAAAGAAGATTTTCCAGTCATTAAAATGTATAAAATTACTCCAATACTAAATACATCAACTTTAAAATCCTAATTTTGATGAAGTAAGATTTCTGGTGCAACAAAACCATGGGCACCATAATAAACCTAATCGTAGTTTATTTCTGGATCATAGAAATCAGCCAATTAAAATTTTATTAAAAAAAGTGTCTCAACGTTATCCAAAATTCTAAAACCAACGTTTTCTGGTTTTAAGTCTCTATGGATAATGTTTTTTGAATGTAAATAGCTTATAGTCTTGACTAATCTGAAAATGATTTTAGCAGCTTGATCTTCGTGAAAACAGTTATTTCTGGCAATATAATCCATAAGACTACCACCATTAATTAACTCTAAGACAATAATTACTTATTCACTGTTTTCAAAGATCTCATAAAATTTAAGTGCAAATTCAGATTAAAGCCTTCTGTGCACCGAAGTTCTTTTTTATAAAGCAGCTCTATCGGTCTCATAAATAAAACTTTATTTATTATAAATTTTGACAGCATATTCATTTCCATCATATTTGTTTATGCATTTATACACCTACATGATAATAGTGAAACTCCTTTTACATCTGAAAATTATCCTTTTCCGATTTTCTTTTTCGTCAAATATGTAGCATTAAATTCGCATTGTATAGTAAAACGTTTGAGATAGCCAAGCCATGATTTGGCATCACAAAAGATTTCAACAACATCAAAACATCTTATGAGTCTCAAACCTGAACCAAATTTGGAATGATAAAATACTTCTATTATAGCATTCTCTATGTCAATCCATTTGGTTTTACCCTAAAATGATAAGGTGAAATGTTCTACCTATTTTGTTTCATAAAATAGATAGTTTTCAACACTTTTGAGTGTTTTGGATCTGACAACTCCTTGTTGATTAATAAGCCTAACTTCATCAGAAATGATTTGGTTTGTAGTGGCTATAGGAATCGGAGTTTTGGTCCATTGCATTGTTGAATAGGCGATTTAGAAGAAGGACTTACTGTGTTTGTACTCAGAACTAAGGAATGTTTGAGAAATTAAGTTACCTGGGATTAAGATCCTTTATCATTATTAAATACTTGGTAACTAAATTATTTAACTAAAATTGATGGGACTTGAGAATTAATTATTCTTTATAATTACTAACTAATAAATTATAACTTATTGATTTTAATACTTATAAAGAAGAATATATTAATATTAACTTAATAATTGTTTGCTTAAAATTTATATAATAATTTTTATAGGAATTATACAATTTTCAATTTGATGAATTCTAAGGAATTTGAATTCCAAATGAATACGACAAAATGAAGAGGGAGGAGTCATACACTTTTTGTTTGATGACCCTTATTTGTGATACATGTTATAAAATAAATTAATTAAAATATAGAATAAGAATGGACGTATTTTTAATAATAATCTCTTGTATAATAGCCGTTCTGCTGCTGGGAATCAACATTTATATACTAGCCTTATATTGTCATCGTATAGCATTCATGTGATATACATTTAGCATCTGATTCTGGATTTGGAGCATCTTTATTTTGTAAAATATTAGTAGTACTTGGTTTCACTTTAGCTTGGGGACAAATCCTATTAGTATCAGCAGACATATCAGCATCAAAGTATTATGATTGATCATTTAGGGGTGTTTTTACTACTGAAGGGGAATCCATGATGATTGTGTGGTATGTCATATATTGCACGATCTTGGGAATGGTAGCATTTCTAATTCCATGCGCTCAATTTTATTATGAAAGTGATGAGGATAAGCCATTAATGAAACGATTACTCGAAGTTATGTGCTATGAATTCATATTATTGGGTGTGCTATTGACTTTATTATTGGTTGGATTCACCTATCTAGGAACTGCAAGGATACCTGTTCATACAATCACATAAACCTTTGATAGTTAGATTTCAGCTACCTTTCCAATTGTGTTGAACAATTATGCTTTCAATTAGGTATCAAATGCATTACAATTAGATTGAAAGTGATACCAATGTTGAGATTTCAGTATCCTTTCCTGTGTTTTTAATGGGATTCTTGGCATTTATTGGATGGTTTTTGTTAGTGTTGTTTGGTGGAGTTGGTCTTTCTGCACTGCCTATAGATTTAATTTAGGAATACATCAGCAGACCTAAAGTAATGAAATCGTCTGAGGCTATGGAAAAAAAGATGAGATTAAAGAAATAAGCAGTTGAGTTGATATAATTTGGTTAATAAATTCAAGAGGAAGAAAAAGAGTTGGCTTTAGTAAATGGATTTATGGCAGAAAGAAAAGTGAAAAATCAAATTAAATAAAAAGCTAAGAAGTTTTAGGCTGCAACTGAAGCACTTGCAAATGAACATGAAATATTTAAAATGGAATTAGAATATTAGAATGTCAATCCTGTGGTTTGGGTTTTCAAACTCATTTTAGGAATAATATTCATAATTTTATCATTGTTATGGATTTTATAAATGTATTACAATTTATTATCATAAATTAGATTGTTATATATGCTCATTAAAATCAATGGGTATCCTGCTTATAGTTTTTTGAACAAGATGTTCATTTATTTGGAAGGAACAGTGATGTCATTCATTGGAACCATTTTGCTAGCTCTCTTTACCTTATATTTATTGGGTTGCACTTATAAGGGCAACTTGAAGTTCGGACTCAGAATTCCTTTCCTATTCACAATCTATCCGATGAAAATAAATGAGACCTTTATGAACAGTTTCCTTTTCAACGCAAACCTATTACTCATTACTTCCGTTGCTGTTACTCAATTCAGCATCTAAGCTTTTTCAGAATATACTCAAAATTCGCAAATTGCATTAATGTTCTTGGGATAGATTTAATATTTATATTTCTTTACTTGGTTCTTTGATTATAATGTGTTTGTAATAGCATTACTTTCATGGTCTGGGTTAGTTTTAATCTATTTGCTTGTAAGGAAACCACCAAAACCTTATGAATTATAATAAATCGAAAAAAAGAAGACATAAGATTTTGAATTATAAACAAAATGAATAATTTAACACTGTTTAGACAATAGTAATTTTATTTTCTTAAAAATACACTGGTTTTTATTGAATACATTAATAAATTGATCGATTCGATCTAAGCTTTATTTTAATATATATATATATTATATGTTATATGGCTCTCGTATAAAATTAAGGATACAAATTTATATATAAATTTAGAACCTTTAAACTGAATTAATACATATCTCATTTATCATAATTGATATGTGATTGTTTGGTCATGATTAGTACAAAAAAATACTAGCAATAGATGATGAGTATGTAATATAAAATTCATATATTAAAAATATGAAAAATTAGAATAAATTAGAAATTTCGTCTGTATATCCTAATGATAGTGATTCTTAAGAGATTTACCCACTATATGACATATCTAGAGCAAGAATTTTTGATACGGAAGACTTTTTATAATAAACATTGTACACTATAATACGACAATGTTATGGGTGTAGAAATTTGACTAGAATGTGGCCTAAATTATCATAATAATAGATAACCAAAAGTAAATATGAAAACTATTATCAAAAAATAATCAATAATCGAATTTCAAGATTTCCCTAATTGAATGTATAGGCGATTCAATAGATAGAAGGGAAGCGTTATAAAATAGTGCTCTATTCTGAATTAATGTTCAGATTGCATCCTCAAAAAATGGTGTGTTGCATTTGTGAAAAGGAAATATTGCTCAGCATTGTAGAGGAACATTCACAATTATGTCTGAAAAAACACATGCTTAATTAGGACATTTATGCAATATAGGATAAGATCCAGGAGTTATCAGAGGAAATTAACAATAAGGAAATTGAACTCATAACCAAAATAAATTTGTATACTAAATAAAGGATGTCAGAGAAAAATTTAAGTCATTAAAACAGTCCAGTAATGAACAGAAGCAAATAATAAATTACACTTTCGAAGTTTGCTCAATAAAGCGATCAGAGATAAAGAGGATTATAGAGAGCAAAAACAATAAACATCTCAGAAGACAATAGTATAAGTGAATTTCCAACATTCCATTAAAGAAAACCAGGTAGGAATTTTACTCGTTTAGAATCATCTATGAGCATGAGTCCAGATAGCCAAAAATAAATAAAATGTGCTATATCTTTACTGAAAGTCACTCAATAATATTGTTAAAAAATATTAAAATAAGATAATTCATTTGTTTTGGACATAGATGCCAAATTTCAATCCTTGATCAAATTAGGGTTACCTGAAATAAACCATTTGAATGATGTAAGTGAGTTAATGAAGAGATCTTTGAGTTTGATTACATAACGACTAGCATTAAATAAGCAAGCCAATAAGATTGATGCAGCATAATAGTAATTGCAATGTGGATCAATTGAAAAATTAAAAAAAATATTCCAGAAAGGGTTATCAAATTCTTATAAATAAGCAGGAACTTCATAAAATAGTCGAAACAAAAAAGGAGGGCATAGTGGAGGAAAGGTTAGGATTATGGATTTAGTCAAACCATCCAAATTCAACCAAAGATAATATAAGGAGGATTAGGAAGAATGTTAATATCAAATTCAATAAACTCCAATTTAAGAATAGAAAATAGATTCTTTAGAATACATTACATTTTCTCCTTCTGAAGAGAATGCAAATTAAAATACATAATAATTATTAAACATTCACATTTACTCCCAATAAGAAGATGATGATAGTGATGATGTTCAATAGAATATGTTTATTAGAGGGTATTACTCTGATTCTGGAATCACTCTGAGAATTCCACAATATAATTAAAAGATGTAATATATGTTATAATATCATTAATTCTAGAATGACAGTGGGATTAAAAGATTTTGAATTCTAAGAGGTATTGGGTGTGGGAGCATATGGAGCAGTTTGGAAAGTAAGAAAATTAAAAACAAATGATGTTTATGCAATGAAAGTGATTGATACTCAATAGTAATCAAGTCAAAACTTTTTTGAAACTCTAAAAGCTGAGAGTACTATATTTTCAGTTCTTGAAGGGGATTTCGTGGCAAAAGCTTACTATTCCTTTAGTCATTCGGATTGTTTGTTTTATGTCCTTGAATATGTAAAAGGAGGTGATTTTGATAAAATCTTAAGAAAATATGGTGCTTTGGATGAACCCATAGCTAAATTCTACATCGGAGAATTACTGTTGGCAATCGAGGCTTTACACAAGAAACAGATCATTCACAGGGATTTGAAACCACAAAACATCTTGATTGATGGAAAAGGTCATTTAAAGTTAACGGATTTTGGATTATCAGAAATAGGAATGAAATTATATATGAAACAATCTGAACCTAGTTAAGCTCTTAAGTTGCAACAATAGTTGGATAATAAAATTAAGGATTTGGTAAGCAGTGAGCCGAAGTCTCCGAGGTTTGATCATTGCATTTCGATAAAGGCCAGCAATCATAATAAACATAGGGTTGTTGGTACTCCAGATTATATTGCTCCTGAGGTCATTAGGGGAGAGTCCATAAGCAACGAATCCCTTGATCAATGGAGTTTAGGGGTGATCACTTACGAATTCCTGGTGGGCATCCCTCCTTTTAATGATGATACGCCAGAAAAGATTTTTGACAACATTTTGCAAAGAAACATTACATGGCCGGAAATTGGAGATGGAGAAAACCAATTGAGTCCCAAGGCCCAGGACTTTATTGAAAGATTACTGGACCCTAATTACAAAACTAGGATGACTCTTCAAGAAGCCAAACGACATTCTTTTTTTAATGGTTTTAAAATCATTTCTTAATTTAGATATCAATTTCGATACTCTTCGTAAATAACCTGCTCCCATCATACCTGATAATGTACCTGACGATCAACCTTTGTTGTTGATTAAGAAATAGAGAGAGAAGGATAAACTCACAAAATTACTTCGTGATACTTCTAGTGAAAACTCTACCATTTCAAAGTTAGGTGTTGACAATTTATTAAGGCTTGATTTACTTGTAGAAATGAATTAATAAAAAGCTCATTAATTAAGAAAAAAATATCATTGAAGCGCTGATATATTTCTACAGAATTGTTTAAAGTGTTATTTATAAGCGTATTGAAAGGAATTATTTCTTTAACTTATAATGTAATAAAAATATATGAGACCTTTGACATCCGCCAGTCCAAACAAGGTACCAATATCGAACTTTGCCAGTGTCGATCGCGATAAAACAAGAGGGCAAACCTACATTTCTTAATACACCAAAGTCGAGGATGTTTAATCCCCGAAAAGTCAGAATAATAATTTAAATGTTTCTCAATAAAATGAAATCCAAACACTCAAAAAGCTTGTCATTTAGTTAGATTCCAGAATAAACCAATAAAATGAAACAATTACTTAAATTAAAACTGACCTGGAGAAAATGAAGGAGTTAAACTCAGAATTATAGGAAAAATTAAAAATGGCTGCCTCTCCAACTTTTCCAAATTCCAATAACCTTGATAGAAGAGCAGTCGATGATCAAAAAAAAATAAAATAAGAAATCATGTAATTGGGAAACAAGTTTTCTGAAATGGTATATTAAATTTTAATTAATTACAAGAAAGTTGATTATGAAACCAAGCAGATGTCATTGGAAGAAAAAGTGCGATCAATCCAAATCTCTTTTGAAAACAGAATGAAGATATTCTTTGAATCCAAGATGGAATTCGAAGATATTTATAATTCAATCAACTAATTAGGTATTAATAGACATAACAAAAAGCAAATGAGTTGAGTCTCTTAAAAGAAAAAACCAGTCCCGCCGATACGATTAATGAAACCTACCATGTGGACTAGAAAGGATACCTGATGGACTCATAAAATAACTACTTGCTTGATAAAGGGCAAATGATAAAACTGAATGAAAAATAAATTTCATATTTAAAGCAACATCATAAATTATTATGATACATTAAATTATTTATTCTCCTTGTACTTCAACGGTTTTTCAGGCAAAATAATATCACCATTTTCTTGCATTTCGCTCCTAATTTTTTTATATAGAAAAACACTCGTTTGGTTTTATTTTTTATATATATATAATCATCAAAGATTATTATTTAATATTGATTATAAAACTCTTTATGAGTTAACATTTCATAATACTTCATTAATTACTCATAAATTTATATTATTAGCACTATTAGCAATCTTTCGAGACTCAATAAAGCTCCTAATTTGTTTGAAAATATTGATTAATTGATCCTTTACAAGACTTTACTTCTGCTTGTATTTTTATTTATTGAAATTAAAGACTTGGTTAATTTATACAAGTGGATAAATTGATTGGTTAGGAATGGCGATTCTTTTGAGTTACTTCTCTTGTGTTTTTATGTAAATTTATTAAGTATTCTTTTGAAAATATTGAATTTAGTTGAATTATTGTATGGAAAACAAATTCTGAAAAGGGAATCCCAATTGGAAGTGTTTGAAACTTGGTAGATACTCATTTTATATAAGAATGATTCGTTTGAATGAGAGTGGGGTGAGTTCGAGACTGTTTAGGAGTGAGTTTTAATTTATAATTAATGTTTAATTTATATATGTTAAAGCATATTAAAAATAATAATGCTAGTTTTTATGACAGGATATTGATTATTATTATTATTATTATAAATTTATGTTAAAAATAATCATTCTAAATCTATAAATAAATTAAATATGCTTAGATTTGTAGCCAGAAATCTCAATAATGTTTATAAATTTTCCGAATTGTAAAAGTTTGGAGTCTCTTTTCTTGGTTCTGGAAATGCAGAATATTTGGAAAATCTATTCGACTAATGGTACTTGGATAACAAATCAGTCCCTGCCACTTGGGATTCATATTTTAGACAAGTTTTGGAATCGAACAATTTTGATTTCACTCCAGAGCCATTAAAGGGATAAGCTGTTTCTCTTAAATTGGATGTATGATAATCTATATGAAAATTAGGGGCAATCAGGTGTTAGGAAATTATTGAGTGATCATTTCAGAGTGTTGTTGCTAATAAACAAATACAGGCATAGAGGACATGAGAAGTCATAGGTGGATCCTTTGGACTTGGAGCACATTTAACAAATAGGCAAAGTGAAAGGATATACAAAATTGGATTATAGTGAATTTTTCACAGAAGAGGATTTAGACAGAGGATTTTATATTCATGCTATCGGAAGCACAGGAATCACAAAGGACAAATAGAGTAAGAGATTTTAATAGTAATTAGTGATGAAATTGAGAGACTTGATAAATTACTTAGAAAAGGCCTATTGTGGAAAAATATCATATGAATACATGCATATTCAATCAAACGAGGAAAGAGATTGGTTTAGACATCAAATAGAGAAGTACGATGAATTCATGCCTAGCAAAGAGTAGAAATTGAAAACCTTTGAGAGGTATGAATTAAAATGATAGAAAAATAGATTGGGATAGGAACACGCCTTCAGTACATTTTTGCAGAAGAAATTCAATACATCAAAGAGATTTGGTATAGAGGGATGCGATTCAATGATTTCTGGGTTGTAATCTTTGATTGACGAGGCAGCAAAAGCAGGGGCAGAACATGTAGTATTTGGAATGGCACACAGAGGAAGACTAAATACATTATACAATGTATTTTAGAAGTCAGCAGAAGAAATCATGGTTGAATTCTAGGATTTGAAGAGTACTTTTAATGAGGATATTTGGGGTAATTCTGGAGATGTGAAATATCATTTGGGTTCAGTTCATAATGTGCAATTTGGAGATAAGAAATTAAGATTGGAAATGCTACCAAATCCATCTCACTTAGAAACTGTGGATCCATGTGTATATGGAAAAGTCAGGGCTATCTAAGATTATTTCCAAGATTCAAGGAGAGAAAAAGCCTTTGGAGTATTGATTCATGGAGATGCTGCAGTTTCAGGTTAAGGAATAGTTTATGAGGCTTTACAAATGGCAGATTTAGAAGGCTATAAGTCAGGTGGTATCATTCATGTGGTGTCCAACAATTAAATTGGATTCACTACTGTTCCTAAGGACAGCAGATCTGGATTATATTGCACAGATATTGCTCATGCTATTTAAGCACCAGTCATTCATGTCAATGCTGATGAACCTGAACTAGTAGACAAAAGTGTTTAAGATAGCCACTGAGTTCAGATACAAGTTTAAGAGAGATATCTTTATTGATTTGGTTGGATATAGAAGATATGGTCATAATGAATAAGATCAACCTAAATTCACTTAACCTATTATGTATGAGAAGATTGATAAGGCTCCTCCTGTCTTTATTAAATATAGTGACAAGTTGGTTGCCTAAGGAATTGTGACAAAAGAACAAGTGGACAAATTGATGAAGACTCATGAAGAGAACTTGGAACTAGCTTACCAAAAGTCAAGATAAATGGATTACAATCTCAAGGATTGGCAACCTGTGCCTTGGGAAATGATTAAAGTTCCAGTCCTTTGGGGAAGAATCAAAGACACTGGTGTTCCTTTGAATGTTTTAAAAACATTAGGAGAGAAAATTAATAAGATTCCAAATGAATTCAATGCTCACCCATAAATCAGAAAATTCTATGACGAAAGATTGTCATGGATTCAAAAGGATTAGCCTATTGATTTTGCCTCTGCTGAAGCCCTAGCATTTGGAACTCTTCTTCATGAAGGATTCAATGTTAGATTATCTGGAGAAGACGTGTAAAGGGCTACATTCTCTCACAGACATGCTGTTTTACATGACTAAAAGGATCCTAATGGTTAGGATTATGTGCCTTTGAATGCTGTTATTCCAAAGGGATAAGAACATAGACTCAGTATTTATAACTCTCATTTGTCTGAATACGGAGTTCTAGGGTTCGATTATGGGTACTCCATCACAAATCCAAATACATTAGTATTGTGGGAGGCATAATTTGGTGATTTTGCAAATGGAGCCTAAATCATTATCGATAATTATATAGCTAGTGCAGAATCCAAATGGGATGTTGATAGTGGATTGGTTATGTTGTTACCAAATGGTATGGATGGACAAGGACCAGAACACAGTTCAGGGAGAGTTGAAAGATTTTTATAATTGAGTGATGATGATCCTGCAGTTTTTGAAAAAAATCTTGGAGGTAATTTAATTATTTATATGTCTTATAGTCAGATTAACTAGATAGATGAGAAATTCCAATATGCAAATTGTTCAATGCACCACTCCAGCTAATTATTTCCATGCTCTCAGAAGATAATTAAGAAGAGATTTCAGAAAACCATTAATAGCTATGACATCCAAGAGACTCTTGAGATTGCAAGCTGCCAAATCTAAGCTTACTGAACTTACTACTCAATTCAATTAGGTTTATGATGAAGCTTTTCCTGAATTCCTTGTCGAACCAAATCAAGTTAAGAGAGTTATTTTGTGTTCTGGACAAGTGTATTATGATCTTCTCAAGAAAAGGGAAGACCTCAAATAGAATGTAATGCTATTTTAATTAATTATTGTAGAATGTGGCAATCCTGAGAATTGAATAGTTGGCTCCATTTCCTTATGAGTTCTTACAAAAAGTTATTGGCAAGTACAACAAAGCAGAATTTGTTTGGGTCTAAGAGGAGCACATGAATTATGGACCTTGGGCATTTGTTAGACCAAGAATTCAAAGTGTATTAGCGAAAACTACAAATGTTTCTAATTCCCCCATTTAATACATTGGCAGAAGACCAAGTGGATCGCCAGCTACTGGTTTTCATCAATTACATGAGAAAGAATTTTAGACTCTATTATAAAAGGCCTTTGAAATTTGATAAATTATGTTATATTATTTTCGATGTTTATCAGCCCTATAAATCTCATTAATGAAATATCAAAGAGAAATAAGCATTCCATAATTTTATTATTTTAATGCTCACCTAAGATGTCATATTCTATTCTATCGCTTCTACAATCCTGTTCCTGTACGTCTTATATTTGATATGGGAATACTCAGCAAAGGATGTGCCCTTATATATTAAGATTTTAACCTTTATATCTTGGACCCTAACCTTTTCAATTGTATTGGTCCTACCAATTGACATTGCTAATGTTTATTATTCAATCGTTAATCTTAGTCAACCAAACAGCATGATGAAACCTAATAGTTAGAAACCATGGGGAACATCAAAGTATTATGGAGGATTATGTATTGGGGAAACTTCTTTTTGGCATGGTACAAATTCATATTATGCAGGTTGGTCTTACCCTTTTTTTAAGATTATGAAGGCTCCGGAGATTTCGATATCAAAGGTAAAATAAAGTACTCTTTGAAAAAGAATTTAACAATATATGGAGTGGGAACTGTAATAATTATTGGATTAGCCATCTATTTATTGATCAAGGATAATTTCGACTCAGCTCATGTGGAAGGGGTTCTCATAGGAGTGAGCAATTTCTTGTAATCTAAACTTGTTAATCATTTAGTGGTTTGCTCCTCGTTGTCATTCTTTTGGGATAAGGTTTAGTAGCAATTCCAAAACTATACTACAGGGAACATAAGGAGGAAGAAGTCTTGGAGTAGTGTTATCAATAAGCTGTGCTATTAGATGAGCAAAGAACTGAGAAAACCTATGAACTGGAAGACATTTGTAGGGTTGTAATATATTGTAAAATACGTAGACCCTTCAATTGTTGCAGAATGAATACTCCGATAGCGAATTCAGTAGATATTTGATGATCATTCTGCAAAACATTCCTTAGGAATTTCAAAAGAGCATCAGACACACCTTATAAAAGTACAATGCTTCCAACATACCAGATAAATACAAACCATTGAATCTAGATGTATTGGCTTCCATACACAAGTATGTGAAATGCCTTATGTTTGATTTACAAAGAATTCAAACCAAGCTCAATATTGCTAATTAGTAGGCATTGAAGTTTGAAAGGAAAGACTTAGCAGATGATGAGACATAATTTGAAACAAAATTGTCTAAAATGATATATAAGATTTCTATTATTTGGAATCTAAGGCTCAGAAAATATTACTGTGTGTTTTTGGCCATAACCTATGCCCTTCTTAGTTTATTAATCCTATTTTGTGAGTTAATCACTTTTGTGGCCAAAACGAACAAGAATTTGAACCCCTATTACTTATTACTGTCCTCCATCAACAGGTATTATTTAACTGAACTTGTTTTGCTCTTGCCTTTGCTTTATATGATGTTTTGCACCTATTATGGCTTGTTTGCAATGAAAATCTCTGGATTGATTTCATTCAATAAACATCATCATACAGATGCTCCTAGCTTAATGTTTGGTTCTATGTATTTATATTTCATATTTTGTAAGTAACTTTGCCAGAGTGAGTTTCCCCTTGTGTTTCAATTTCATTCAAATTACAGACATATTGGAAGATTAGGCCACTTCTTTCAGTGAGACAGTAGGGAATCTGGCAGAGTCTCTTTTTGTATAGAGTTACAAAACCATACTGCCCTTGATGTTGTTGATTATGTGCTTTTTCAATTTATTCAATATTGGTGATAAGTTGATGAGGACTATAGGTTTGGGATAATATGCTCAATAGGAGAGGATATCAGGAATGAGTTTGTAAGGAAAGAAGATTATAGAGTAAGGTATATTTGATTGTAATATTTAAAAGAAAGAGAGCTGAGGAAGAAGAGCAATGTTAATGAGAGCAATTCTCAGATTGTATTTCAGGAATTGCAGATTATGCCAAAAAGCAAGGTCCAGGATGAAGAGGAGACTTCAAGAAAAAACTCATAAAATTAGGGAATTAGAAATTTTGATTAAATTCTAAGCATTTGAATTATATATATTTTACTTTTAATTAATATGGACTCATAGTAACAATAAGATTAAAAATAACCTTCAAGCATTGGACAAGCAATTAAATAATAGGTCTTGAAGGCTTGGCAACCCGTTCCTACACTTAACTCCACCATTATTTTGTTTGGCATATTGAGTGTTTATTTTCTAAGCATGGGTATTGTACTTAATGTGTATTCTGGGAAAATTAACCAATAAAGTTTCAGATATGATGCCTTTTGTTAAGGATATCCCATATGCGATTTTACAATAGCTCTGGACACCAATTACACAGCTCCAGTCTATATATATTATTAGTTGGATAACTTCTATTAGAATCAAAGAAGGTAGTGATTCTCAAGATTTATTGTTTAGATACATCACATCAAAATCAGTAGAATAGTTGTCTGGAACAAAGGGATTGGGAGTAGATGATTTAAGTTCATGTTATCCCGTCATCACTAATGCTTAAATGAATAAGACTGTAGCAATAGATGGCACACCTTTAACACCAACAGCTCCAGCAATTCCATGTGGTTTGATTGCTCAAAGTTTATTTAATGATACATTTGATATTTCCTACGAATTAAACAATGGCACTCTAATTAAAGTTCCTGTGTCAAGCCAAGGCATAGCTTGGCCAACTGATCTAGAGGTTTACCAGAACACAGATGCCAGTTAATAGTGGTACAATGTTACGGATGAAAGGTTCATTGTTTGGATGAGAGTGGCAGCAATGCCAAATTTTAGAAAGCTTTGGGGAGTGATCAACCAAGATCTTCCATAGGGTCGTTATTCCATAGTAATTACAAATAGTAATCCATATTATTAATATAGATTATGATTCAAGTCAATATGGAGGCAAGAAATATATAGTATTTTCAACAACCAATTAATTTGGAGGTAAAAACGAATTTTTGTCTGTTGCCTACATATGCGTGGGTGTAGCATCGTCTTTAGTACAACTATTGGATTTTGTCTGAAGAAGTATTTCTCAAGAGCTGTTCCGAAAAAAATCTGAATTAATATTTAAATCCTATCGTTGAAAATTAATTTAAATAAATTAAAACTTAGTAAAGATTTACAAAACCTCATTCTCAATAGTTCTATTTCTTCTTGATTTCTCTAATAAATTATATTTAAATTAATAAAGTTTTCTAGAATTCCATCCAAATTCTATGTTATCAAAGTATATTCTATTATTTTCATGAATGTTTCACCTTAACAAATAAGGATGTAAAATGAATTTTACCACCTTCTATTTAATTGAAATACTTCCAATTAGAATAGGTTAATTTCGATATAACTTTACAATTTATTCATTTAAATTTCTAGATACTTTATTGTTTTTAATAGTAATTTGATATAGTTGAATACAAGAGACATAAATTAGAGTTCCTAATCATATTCTACTAATGATAATCAATTAAATATTACATAAAGAGGTTGATTATCTGCTTTCATATTTTAGATTTTGCATCCACAATAATTGTATTTAGTACATTTTAAATTTATTATTTATCAATATATTGTATTTTATAACGTTCACTTCACTAATAAGTATTTTGAACTAAATATAATTCAAAAATAGAAAAATATGAAAATTTGACGTTTATTTGAGTGATACAGGTTACATAAAGAATTGAGATGGTTCTGAAATTTAGATGGTTCTTAGTTGATCAGGAGAATGAGAAAATCGAATTTGAATATTTTTATTAATTAATTATAAAATGGATGAATACTAAGTGTTTTTTAAAGCCAAATGTATAGAGTATCAAAAAAACAAAGTTGATATTTCAAGAGAGGAAATGATGATAGAGATATCAGAAATGTGGGAACAATACAAAAGAGAAAACGATTCAAAACAAATCAATGGGAATGAACAAATTTATTTTCAAATTTTTGATTTTCTTCTTACTAAGCAACAAAAAGAATACGAAAGACAATAACTGGATTCAATTAACTATCCAGCCTCTCAACCATGTTATTAAAGGAAAAAAAAAATTTAAGCTCCAACTATTCAAATTTCATATTGTACAAGTGAACCTAAATTTGTCATTGAAGCTCGGAATCTAGCCATGGAAATACTGAGAGAATTCAAAGTTAACATAATCAAAAGTTAAATACATCATTCATCAAAAAACATATCCGTAGTCCTGTATTAAGAAACTAAAAATATTGAATTATGGTCTTATTTAAGAGATGGGCCCCTAGATTACACAAAAATATTTGCTTTAATTTCAAAGTATGTTCAAAGACTGTGAATTATTATATTTTTCTCATTAAAATTTAACTACATTTAATTAGTAGTATTCTTAAAAAAGCTATGTAATATCTTTAAATCGAAATAATCGACTGCAGATACCATTGAAATAAGATAATAAGAGCCATTTTTTCTATTTAAAAAATCAGTTAATCTCTAAAATAAATTAGTTCAATATTTTATGATATTAATTAAAATAGTGAAGTATGGAGACATAGAATGTATACTAATTCTTTATCAATATAAATTAGTAAAATAATTATTCTCTGGAATTATTATATATAATTTTATTAAACTATGTATATATTGTTTTTGTTGAACTTAATATTTGTTACTCATAATTTTGGGAATTCAGCCTTCCCTTTTGTCATTGAAGCTGTAATAGCAGTAGCCATATCATTTGTGAATAGCATGGCCATATTAGTTCTGGCCATGACATCTAAGTGCGAATCTAGATTTTATTCCCTAGTCACAATGCTTTTAATTGTGTAGCATCCTACTGGAGATTTGGAAGCAATGGTCTCAGCAAGCTTGAAGATTTCATCATTTAACTAATCACTCTTAACTACTTTGCTAACTAAACCCAATTGTAAAGCTTCTTGAGCATTAAAAATTCTGCCTGTGTATGCTAATTCTCTGAAGAGGGATGTATTAGCATTCTATACGCCCAATCTTTACAGAGTTCCTATATCAGCAGCCCTATAAATATAATGGAAGTGAATATACATTCCAATATCAATTTCTTTGATTGAGAAATTTGCATCTTCCGAACAATATCTGATATCGGCAGAGGTAATAAGGTCAATGCCACCCCCCAAACAATATCCTTGAATGCCCACGATTACTGGTACTCTGATTCTGGATAAGGAAGTCATTGCAAATTGCCAATCCTTAATGAGATCATAGATTCTAATTGATCTTCTTGCTTAATCCAACTCGTCTGGAAACTGAGGAATAGGGAGAATAGGAGAATACTTGGAACATTTGTGGAGCTTCTTTGAGATCGAGACCGGCACAGAAGTGCTTTCCTCTTCCAGTCAACACCACAACTCGAACATCGTCAGTTTAATTGATGATATCGACAGCAGCCTTGAAATCTTGAAAGAGTTGACCAGACATGGCATTCCTAGGGTTATGAATGGGATGTACAATTGTTTGGGTCGATTGATTTCAAGATGATAAATTTATCCTTTTTTGGTACCCACTAGAGTTTACATATTATGAATATTATTATGCTTGGTTTAATTTTTATTTGTATTTATTTTTGATGATATAAATGAATTTTGAAAATATATATCCCAAAATAAATAAATTAATATGAATCATCTTACAGGAATTGAAGCTGTTCTTAATACAGCTGAAGCAAGCACTCCAGCCCCATCAAACATTGATTCCACATGGGTGTTGATTACATCCTTCAGTGCTTTATTAACAATATTGGGATTCGCCTTCATCAGTTCAGGAGCAGTGAGATACAAATCTGTGCAATCAGCAGTTATCACAGTCTTATTGGGAGCAGTGATCACCATATTATTTTTCTGGCTTGTAAGAAATATAAAATAACATTTCGATTAGTTAGGATATGGGATTTGCATTTGGAGATGACAAGGGAAATAAATTCATAGGTTTGAGTAGATTCGCTGGAGCTGGATATGGAGTGGATGCATCAAGAGATGATTACACAAATTTAAGTAATGATAACTATTTATTTAATTAGTTTTCTAGAGTGTTGGAGCAATAATAGTTTCATCATTGTTTGGATTGGGAACATTGGAAAGATCCAGATTTTTCTCAGTCAGTGTTTGTTTGGCTGTAATATCAGGCTTCTTATATCCAACTGCATTACATTGGATTTAACCAACAGGCTGGTTAAGTAAATTTGGATTCATTGATTTTGCTGGATCCAGTTACATCCACTTTTTCGGTGGAGTGACAGCCTTGGTTGTTTCAATCTTCTTGAAGGAAAGAAGAGATTAAGCAGGAAATGTTCATCCAGGCATCTTCCCACATCATTCCCCAATCAACATTGGTTATGGATCAATAATCTTAAGTGTTGCCACACTCATTTTCATTAACGGTGCAAATCAAGAGGGCAAAACAGATAAATACGAACAAGGATTGATAGCAGTTAACACTTTGATAGCAGCTACCTTCTCAGCCTTGACAAGTTTCGTTGCTTAATATTTGAAAACCCACAAAACAAGTTTGATTGCTATTGCAAGAGGAAGTGTTGCTGGTATTGTTGCCATCTCAGCAATTGCCAATGATGTTAGAATTTGGGAATCTGCATTAACTGGTACCCTCGCTGGATTAGTGTATATTGTACTTATTCTTGTCATCAAGAGATCTCATGTTGATGATCCTGCTTATACTTTAGCTACTCATCTTGTAATATATATATAATTTATCAATCTATAGGGACCAGGATTATTGGGTACTCTTTTGGTTGGAGTCTTGACACTCAGCAATGGATTCGTAACTGGACATGGATTTAAATAATTTGGATTATAACTTGTAGGTGTTTTGGCATTGTTAGGATGGGGATTGTTGATTGCTTTATTCGTTATCCCATTGAAGGGAACTGGAGTCTTTAAGATCAATCCCTTCTAAGAATCCAAAGGAATTGATACCAGTTATGGTAATTGTTTTTCATAATTATATTTTAGCTGAAGGAGAAGCTATTTAATTCATTGATGAACAACCAGAACCAACTCTTTTAAGTAGTACTCCAAAGAAGGGAATCTTCCAATGATTAATAAGTCATTAAATTTTCATGCATTAAAATAACAATAATTAGCTTATTTACTTTATATGTAAATATAGTTTCTTCATCATCTGTATGAATAACCTATTTGAATTACAAAATAACAAAAATAATCGTAAAATCATTTGCTAACATCCCAAATACTATAATCGCCTTTGCCTTCTATAGCTATCATTAGATCATGTGTCTAAATCTCTAAAAATTTGAGGTATCTAGTTTCAGAAGGCGCTATTCTATACTTATTTTCAAGCTTTATAGATAAATGCATTATCTTACTTCAAATTATTCGTTCAGAATCAAATAGTGATCAAACTAGGAACTGTGAAGAAGACAAAGAAATTTCTTCCTCACTTGAATTACATCAATCAATTCCAACTCCTTGTCTTCCTTTTCGAACAATATCTAACGCAAATACTTTTTGACATTCTAAAGAAATCATTTATATTTTATTTACAATTTTCTGTGGTTCATATGGTTTATTGTCTTTAGAGTTAGTTAAATGAGGTGGCAATTGTATTTTTTTTAGATCAATAATCGTAAGCACACCCTGCTGAGTCATAATCAAAAGTCGATGATTGGAAATTAACTTCGATCTGAGTACTTGGTCTTTTCCAGTCACATTCTTTATTTGCTTAAACAATTAGGAATCGTGGAAGAGATAAGTTGTAGATTTCTCTGAAGCAATTGTTAATCCATCTGAGAAGTCCACACTTTTAATTATAGAGGGTTTCAACTCCACTTTATATTACTCCAGCATTTCTCCTTCATATATTTTTGAACTGTCGAAGCAAAACTTCCACACCTTAATGAAATCTGCACAAATGGTTGCAAAATCCAATTCATTACTGTATTTAGAATATTCAACAGTTTGTCTCAAATACTTTTCATTAATAAATTTCAACTGTTCGATAGGTTGTTAATGCAAATCTCTAAATTCTGTGAGTTGCTCAATTTATTTCATATCCTAATACAAAAATAATTTGACAGTAAACCCTAAATCAATGTATTTGTCATTCAAGATCTTGATATTCCTGCCAGTGGTCAGAAACATCCCTGGAGTCTAACATAGTTCCACATCCTTCAATTCTTAATGAGGTTTCAGCTGGTGTTGATTGACAATAGAGAGATCACTCTACTCGATCTCTATCGTTATGATATTTAGAGTGCCTTCCTTTCCTGCTGTCAAACACACGTTTTTTTAGATATTTATAATTTTCAATAGGTAAGTATGTTATGTGTTGACTTGGATGATTCTCTTAAATTCAGTTCCAGTAGAATCATATGGAGCCGTGATGGGGACCTGCTACTTCACAATAGATTAAGACTATTCAGTCTTCATGGTGTGATGTGTGTAATCCAAACTCTTGAGCAACTCAAGTTTTCTGGACTTGGTTAATTTGTTCATTTTCCATCTTGATAGTTATTCAACATCGTCTTGGTCGTAATCAGTGGCTAATGTGTAGACCTATTATTAAGTGTTTTGAGAGGTTTAATATTTAGTAAATGATGTTGGGGGCACTTTTAACTATAAGTTGGGGTTGCTGGTGACATCTTTGATTTTGAATGCTTTTGGCAACATGTTAATCTTATTGATTTGGAAATGCTCTTCTTTAATTTGATTTCGAATTCTCTCCATCTCTTGATGAAATTACTTGAGATATTTATGGACTTGATTGGCCATGGGTTCTAATAATAACTTCACATTCTAGTGAAACAATTCAACTAGGGCTTGTATCTATTGTTATGGGTACTCTATACTTTCTTCTCGTAGTATTCTCTTTCTAAGTCTCCTGTATGCAAGCGGTATAAGAGGATGTTTGCTTCTTTGGTGGATATTTTAGCATTCAATGCACTCATCACTGTTTAAACTATCATGTGACCAGTTTCTCGATTACTATTTGTAAATTATGAAACTTACTTTAAAACTTATGCTGAGAAACAATCCTCAATTGATTGATTAATAAAATCGACTACCATCTTTTTCGAGGACTGGAGACTGTCGATCATTTGGTGTAAGTATTTTTCAATGGAATCCTCTAATTTTCTTAAATAATTCATTCTGATCTCATGTCTGATGTTTCCATTATTGGAGAGAAAGATTTTGGTTTTATTGCCAAGATCACTTCCATAGAGAGCAAAGTCAGGACTGATAATTGATTATAGAAATTACTTTCCACCTTTTAGGAAGGTCTCCGCCTATTATAAAAATGCAGCAGCATCCACTATTTTGTGATTGCTGTGTTCATTCGAAGTTCTGGAGCAATCATCACAAAGCAGTTTGTTGTTGCAAGTGTTATCGACACAAATGAATTTGATATATCTCAAATGGAAATCACAAATCTATTGCATAATTTTATTATTATTTAATATAATATTGTCAATTCCACACAAAGTAACCAATTTATCAAGGGAGAATCATTATCGAGAATGACAATGTAAGCATATCAAGATGTAGAAATTACATTAAATATTCCTGCTCTATTATTAAAATAAATTAATCTCATCAAAGGTACTAATTGGGCCTATCGGCTAATTTTTCTAAATTTTACAGAGCCAATTGTCTTGAAGTTTGGGAGTCTTGATAAGGTATTGTGAAAACTACAATTAGAATATGATTTAATACATAGTCCATTTGTCAAATTGATTTTCAGCAATTAAGTCAGTATTTTAGGCTGTTTGTCATTGTAACTTTGTTCAACCTCGTATTGATGAATGACATAAAAGAATCCATAAGATATTCCTCCCTGAGGGTCTTACACAGGAGAGAATATTTCATATTACACTGTTCTTCTTCTGTAGGGAGTTAAGATCAATTCAGGAGGTTCCAACGAGAATAGATCATTTTGTTTAACTACAGCATTAGCCCAATCAAATGTGTAAATCTCCCTCTGCTCAGTGTTTTTGTGTTTCAAACACTCTCCAGACAGAATCAATTGGTTGTTCCCGTAATAGGGACAACTAAAAACTGGAGATCCTAGAACTGATTTGTGATATACTTCATCCCCAGCAAATTGAATTTGGAAATCCTATTTAACATTTCCCAAGAACTTCTCTTCTTTGCAAACAAAGATCTACCCTGAATGCTATTGTTGACATCTGTAATTAGTGAGACCATCTGGATCCTTGGTTACACCGCCAAAGAATATGATCAACTTATCAAATTATTAATGAGTTATCGTAAAGAAACTACCGTCAAATCTTTCAACCAAGTTGTTCTTCATTTATTCCCATCTTCTATTGTACGCAACATCCTTCAAAACATACTGACTATTCAACAATTGAGCTCTAATTTGATTGTCATTGTTCCTCAACTACTTCTAACCGTAAAACACATATAGATTTCTAACATTTATCAAAATTTGGATACCCTTTATAACTGGTTCCCATAAAATTATACCCCTCCAATGGGAAATCAGGCAATTGAGTGATCTGGACACCCTCATCAACATTTTGAAATGGGTTTTTCGGAAATGCTATCTATAAACACTAGTTGGATTGACTGAATCTTTCTGCCTTTTGACCGCCGATTACGTAGATTATGTTCTGGGTCTGATTGCCTTCTCCTTTGATGTACAAAGCCTACTCCAATTAAACGTAGGGTTGGCCCTTGAATGTGAGTGGATACTCATACCAGATGCCATATTGGATCAAGTAGACAATTAGCTAAGGATAAATTATGAATGAGTACAATCGAATAGATTTGGTTGTTGGAGTAGATCTTTTTAAGAGCGAACACGTAGTCTTCATTTAATGATTTCTTTCCTAGAGAGATTAATTTTAAGGATTGGTTGAGTGCTTATTTGAATTATTGCTTTTTGGCTGAGACTCTGTCTTGCAAGACTTTGAAGGTGAAGTTTTGATTTTTTTTGTACAACTTATATAGCATACTGAAGAGGAGTTGTTGCAATTTTACTATGGTTTAACTTATTTCATCGAGTATTCTTCTTTGCTCCTCATTTTAAGGACCATTGTTTATTTCCTTCATTCTTCTAGACACACCCAAGATTGGTGTGCTCCCTGGCAATTGGTGTCTTTGAGGCACCACTTTTATCTTGTGATTGAAGGAGGAGGTCAACTTATTGGCCACCTTCGTTTCGACAATGTATATATTTTTGCTTTACTAATAGATCAATTATGATTCATTTAATTAGAGAAATGGATTCTTTATTTTGAACTGTTTTAATTATTCTAGCACATGATAGAAAGTGTAATCCACTCCATAATCCTTAAAATTAGTGTACTTTCGGCAGCCTGGACAAGCAAATCCCCTATTAACATAAAATATTTCATTACGTAGGTTCAACTTTATTTTACATATTTTTGAAGTGCTCCAACCAAGAATTTAAATCGAAAATACAGTGCACGTAGCTGATAGGAGAATGTCTAACTGGAATATTTATTGGAAGCTTCGAAAATTGGCACTTTGTCGTGAGGACGACTTCCTCGCTGCCTATCTTTTCTTAAAGAAGTCTTTGAAAGGGAAGACTAACATTGAAAGACTTCAAATGTTCTTCGTACAATTGCATATCTATTAATTAGATATTTTTATTTTAAGTTTAATATTCCCATTTGAAGAATCGCTATATTAAAAAATATGGTCATAGTAATAACCATTCCTAATATAGAGGTAATAGAAATATGATTTTATATTAAAAATTATTCTAATAAATTGAAAAGCAAGAATATTTTAATATACAAGCATTGTCCTTATTTAATACTCCATTTAAATTGGGCTATTCTGATGAAGAGATTAGATGCTTTTGAAAAATCAACTTTAAGCTGAGCAAAAATATTTAGAATTTATTATATAGAATTTGGATGGGTATCTATTTAAAGGGCTCAACAACATATGCCATTCTCCAATAAGGATGAATTAATTAATTTAATCACATAATGCCATAAAAATCAATATGCAAAATATTTATTATACAGTTTATGATTTCGCAAGCTTAATTCCATTCACAGTTATTTAATTAATTTTAAGACCAGGGATTTTTCAAAATTAGGTTTTATGGAACGGTGATGTTTAGGAGGCGGATTTTCAGAAATAAAATTGAATAAAATTATTAAATATATATATTATTATGTCGAAATAGCCACCTTTATAATCTGACCCGGATTCATTAGTGTACTTTGTTATTGAGTTTATTATAGCGAGGCATACGAGTAATTACAATGCAAAATGTCACACAATGACCATGATGTAGTAGATCAAATTGGATAGATTTGTTAAAGTGTTATGTGGGGAGATAAGAACAATGATACATTTTTTGAGTAAGCATCCATCTAAAACAACCTAGTTACTTTTGCGATCAGAAAACTATGTCATTGTACTTAGATTTGGTGCATACTGGGTAAAGGGAAGTTGTAGTGGCAGTAATTAAAGCAATTACGATGCTATTACAAAATATATAAAGACCAGTTAGCATAAATTATATATTAAGTCACAGTGCATTGAACGGCATTATCATAGCAGATTACAACTTTAGGGATGATGAAATCATAGCTTATTACATAAATTTGTTAAAATGTGTTTCAATTAGGATTGACGAACAGAGTTTGCAGTTGTTCTATAATTTGGTATGTAATTCCAATCTCCATAGAAATTTAGCACATTTCCAATGTTAATGAAGGCCATCTGTTTCTACAAACATAAGGAAAACTTAATTAGAACAAGTGTGAGAAACATAGTTTTAGGAATAACCAAAATAAACCTACCACCATTGCGTAGATATGTTAGTTCGTTCCCATTCACAATGTTTTACGTCCAATTCAGTTGCTACATGAGAGATGCCCTCTTTTATATTGGTGGTCTCATTCAGGAGGGCAGACAAGAGTCACACAAAATAATCAAATTGTTGTTGGATGATTAATTGGACATCTTATACTTTTTGGAAGATCTTCTAAAAACCAATATCGATGCTTTACCGATCATTGTGAATTCAATAATGGCCTATGGATTTGTTCCGACTATAATAATGGGAGTTATTAAGAGTGGCTAACAATCCATTAAATTCAATCAGTAGCCATAGAGATAATCAATGAATCATTAATAATCTCAAAAGTATTAACACAATCGTGGACAATCATTAGGTAATTTCACATTTTCCAATATATTTTCATCATCCCAATAAACAAACAACTAATAATAATAGTAGGTAATTGATGTTAAGTTTTGTCTTTTCATCTTAATCCAAATCTACAAGAGCTTTAGTTTCAGCTAGTTTTTGGATTTGTTAACTCTATTCATATTGGGAAAGGATCCTGAGATCGTTGATTTCATAACTTAATTAAGTATTGTCACATTAATGTTAGATTCGAATTCCAAATTAAATTCATATGAAAAGGATGTAAGCATGAGTGAGACATGGGTAATAAAGGAGAAAACATTCATTCAGGCATATTCTTAATTTATCTACAAAGATTGTGAAATAAGCGAAGATATCAATGTAAATGATAAAGAGGATTTGTTGAAGGGGGTTTCCTCATACTAAACATAATCAGTAAAGAGAGAATGTATAGTTATATGATTATATTAAAAAGTGAATTGTGAACACTTTAAATCATTAATAAATGATTCTAAAAGGTATGAGGATCTACTGAGTATTACTGACATGTGTGATATAACGATAGTAAAATCATAAAATAGAAGTAAAAAGTCGGCTTTGAGTTTCTTGGAGAGAAATGAATAAAATAAAGTAACTGGGAATACAATCAATACTAAAACACCCTTTTATGCTTTGATGAAACATTTAGAAAGTAATGATGACACTGTTGTATTCATGGTGTTGTTATTCATAAAGACTCTGAGACACTCAAAGAATATATCTCATTCAGTTTTAGAATAGGTTGGCATGATTACTCCAGATAAAAACATTGAATTGTATAAGAATTGTTCCGAAACTTCCTTTTTTATGCAAGATAAATTGTTGGGTATTTTGTAAACTGGATTACCACCTTTTAGATTAGGAACTTACATCTTATCAATTTAAATGTTAATTGACTTTTGCAGAACAGATCTTGAGACTTATGATCTACGCTACAAAGATAGGTTTAAAGAAATTGTGTTATCTCATATACATAAAATTAATGAATACATTAAATACCCATTAGAGGCTCATTATGTAATTGAATTCTTCTACACAGAGTATAAAGTCTTAAAGTAATACTAGTTATTTATCATTATAGCAAGACATCTATATCAATCTGGCCATAAACACATATATAATTGTTGTATGAAATGACTCAAAAGGGAGTTTGCCAAATTGATATCAAACATAACGAGAGTGTTTATTTTATGGAGCCTGCAAATCAATAGGACAAGGTTAGGAAAGACATGATGATTTTGTTGATTCTGAAATACACAGCATCAGTTCTAATTGGATTTGAGGAAGAAGAGTAAAAAATACTTGATAATCCAAAACCATTTGGAGATGGTCCTACTTTGAAATACTCGCCAGGAAATGCCTATAATTTGTAAGAAGAATAATATTGTTAACTTGCTTAACATTAATGCAAATATCAAAACATTGATTGCTGCATTTTGGAGGATTCTCAAAATTTAGTATTGTTGGACTTGACACAAGGTCAGAGTGCAGCTAAATGCGTTTTTTCGTACAATTTGAAGTATACGGATGAAATGGTAGAGAGACTAAATTTGAAAATGCTTCATGTAACTTATAGATTTGAGAATTAAAATAATGTTTTTGATTTGGAATTCCAAAACAAATAATGTTGTTAAGCAGCAAAAAAGATGACAGAATAAAAGAAAGCAGATTTGAGAAAGGAAGAGTTGGATACTGTCACAACATTTTTATAGGCACTTACAAAATCGTTGAATTATAATAAATGATAATTGTTAAATCAAATTATAATCTCGTATTCTATTGATTCCTCTAAGAATATCGGTTGCAATGCTATCTATTTAAAAATTATAATATTAATAGAATAACTCAGTTGAAAACAAAAAAATATTATTAAGTAAAATTAATAGAAATCAATTATTAAATATATTTTACATAAGATTCCATCTTACAACTACTTATTCCCAATATGGAATCTACTTTTCTGCCATTATTTTATTCAATTGTGTTAGAAATTACTTATCTGATATCATGTTCTTCTTTTCCTATTTACTTGATTCATCTTATGGCAAATCCAGTTCTATATACATATCTCTGAATGTGCCATTGGTCTATGCATCATTATTCACAATGACCATTTGTGGTTATTCGTCATCTGAGAGATCATTTATTTGATCCCAAAATAAACATTTGATCTCAAAAAATAGACAGTCAAATTTAGATTATTTTTATAAATCTCCTAAATTTTTTTCCAAATCGTCCTGTTACAATGCACATTGAATCATGTTCAATAATAAATTGAGATTCTTAACACTTGTGTAGTAGGAATTGTTTCTGGATGCCAATTAAATTACAGAGACGACATTTTCTGCTTTCAACTTTTAAATTATTGCTTCATTCTTGCTTTATCCCAAATGATCATTAACTATTAGTAGACATTCCACAAAGATCTCCAATATATCCTACTCGATTATCTCCTAAGGTTTTCCCATTCTCTATGCCACCAAACTCACGTTGCCTCTATTTTCTAGGATTGTGTGCCATAGTTCTCGCTTTTCATATAGGGTCAACTACGGCCTGTAGAGTTCTTCTCTCTCTCTCTTACATATGTACATAAATATTTTAATTGCAAAATAACATCATGATTCCTAGAAATGGTTTAATAAAAAATCATTTTTATTTTTAATCGTTATAAATTTGAAATTTCAATGGCTTCATCAGTTCTTCGTTCTCAAATTCCCTTAGGAGGAATATGCGATGTAGAGTCTGCAAAACACGTTGCAAGACGTCTCTTTGAATCTTACGATCGAGACAGGAACGGAATCTTGGATCAAGGAGAAGTGGCTCCCATGATGGTAGATGCATACAAAGGAATGTCCAAAGGGTTCAATCCAAGCAAATCCGATGTTGATACCTATTTGAGAATCCTCGATAGAAATGGAGATGGCAAAATCACAATCTAAGACATAGAAGCTTTAGCCATCAAATACTTGGTTGGCATTACTGGAGAGTCTCCAAAAAGACCAAAGAGACAGTACTCAAAATTCGTTGAAGAGCGTCTTGATGTTGCAAGGAGACTCTTTCGTAAATTTGATTAAGATGGCTCTGGATTCATCACTGAAAATGAAGTAAATTGATTCTTCCTAACATCCCTTAGGTTCCTTAATTATTAATCGAGACCTACAGATCCATGGGTATTCAATATAATCCCACTTAAGAAGATGTGAAATCATGGATGAGAATGACTGACCTTAATGATGATGGTCAAGTTTCACTTGAAGAATATGAAGACTTAGTTATTAGATCGCTTCAACATGCAGGAATCCAACTTGAATGATGATATCATTATATAAAGATAATCATATATCTGAACTTTCAAAAATTCCCTTTCTAAAAATACTTTTAAACAATTTATTTTGTTTCTTCTTCATCGTACACTTTAAAAGGCTAGAACCCTCTCCTCATATTTGTATTTGTTTTCTCAAAGTTTGTGTTATTGAAATCATCACTTAATGGATACTCTCTAATAGGTGATGGCTATCCCTTTGAACTCTTTGGGAACTCGTCAACATCTTCATGCGGAGTCTTCAATTTGATCTCTTTTAACTCTCCTCCTAATTAAACACTTGATTTCAAATATTGTTTCTCTACATTTGGAAACAAATTGGTTATCTATTACTTGTTATTGCTATGATTATATGGCATAATATGATCCATCGATTTAGTCGAAATCAATGCACTCTTATAGTTTTTCAGTTGTGAATTCTAAGAAAATAGAGTCTTGTTCTCTATTCCAAATGCCTAATCCTGTTTGAATGTCCTGATGCTCGTTGAATATTGTGTATAGGGGTTCTTCTTGATCACTGGATTAAAGGGCAACTTGCCGATCTTTTCTAATCCTTCTGATCTCATTCTCTTAAATTCAACCAGAGAATTCTCTTATTCCATATATATATAATTGTCATCAGGATTACGAAACGGTATTTGTTGCCAAGCTGTTTTTTCTGTAAACTTACCTCCAGCCTACTTGAAATCACTGTCACTCACCCATTTCTCTCTTTGAGTTGGTTTCCAATTAGGTCTATATGCCATTGACAGATCCCTTTATGTATGATCAATATAATTTGAGTGATCCAACTCCTCTTACAACCTCTAATTCTCAGTCCTTGGATTCTTACCGAATCTCAGAGGCATCTTCTCTTTGGCCAAAATCTCATTCCTCATATTCAAAGGCAATTTCGTATATGGTCCTGCCTTCAAATGTCCCCTCAGAAACTCATCTTGAGCTTCCTATGCTCTCATTTTTTGGGTCTTATATCGAACTGGAGTTCTCTCGTGAGTCCGGTCCACGAATTCATGCAAATCAGGATTAAGCAAAGGTATGCTCCCGCTTTTTATACCTGTTATTGAATATTCATTATTATACTCTTTAAAAAACTTGAGTTATGATTTGAATTGATATACTTTTAGATTCTCTCTGAGCTCTATGCAGCCAATTAAAACACATTGCTTTAATGACTTTTATTAACTTTCATATTAAATATAATTAAATCAAGCTCGAACCAACTCCTAACAATCCTGCTGCAGATACTGGAATTTAAAACAAGACAATATACGAAGACGTAAACCCGATCAGACCATCGAAAAGCTTCCCCAGCAAGACGATTCCTACCAAAAAACGAGTTTTCTAATTGATTGGTTTCAGAATCGCAACGCTTGTCCATAAAGTCTTACATAACTCATCCATAGGTATCATGGTGTATCCGCTAACATATTAAATAAAACAAATCTAATCCACTATCAAATAAACAGATTAAAGATATCCAAACATTGTAGTTCTTGACACTCCCAACACCTTCAGGTTATTAAAGGCTTTTCTCCCTTTCGAAATTCCTTCTTTAGAGTATGACTTTAATATTAATACTTGACAAAGATTTGAACTACGGAAACGTTGCAGAAATGAACAGGAAGAAATATTCAACCAATCTTAAGCTGAAATAAACTCTTAGTTACTATCTCATTTTTTATTTGGATTATTAATTATATTCTTTAAATCACACATTACTTCTCGCCATTAACTACATCTGCCAATTCCATAAAACACCAGCGAAACTTATCAAGACACAACCCAATAACGCATTTCTCAAAGGGTATCTCACTGAACTTTACTTTTTTTATAATTCATTCAATATTCTCTTTCTCAAATCTTCATTACTATTAAATTTGGCATTTGTAATCCTCTTTAAGGTTACTTCCAAACTATTCAATGTTACGAACTCTTTCCTCTTCAGCAACTCTTAGCCAAAATTGTAAAGTTCAACATCACTACTAACATTAAATATTATTTCATTTGTCCGATCTTTTGCTGCATCACATGCCTAACCATAGCAAATTAACTATATTATAGTCTTCAAATATGGATTCCCCTTGAATATGCCACAACCCCACTTTCCAGTCGAAATTGCATAATTTGGTTCTCTCATCAAAGAAATTTCAAATCCACAATAGCATTTGATTAGCTCCCTATTAATATTTTATTAGCTGAATTAATCGTCATCATCAAAGAACTCCTCAGCATCGATAGCCTATTAAGAATTTACATTGTCTACTTACTAATAAATTATATTTCTCCTCCCATCTAAACTATTCCAAATTCTTTTGTTTGAATGTGCTTTCGTATCCCGTATAATTATTATACTTTATAAGATTCTGGATTAAAACAGCTTCATTTGCTTTCATTGGTTGCACAAATAACATACTAATTATAGCCTCAGGATATAAGAGCATTAATATCTAAATGTTTATAAATACATTATACATCTTCTTGAGTACAACTTTTATAATGCAAGGCCTAACCCCCAATGTTTTCATTGGCAAAATCGACTACTGTTGATTAACGTTGATCTTCATTCTTTTATCTTGTAAATCTAAAGTTTATAGGCTAGTTTGATTTCAGAATCGATGATCTATTTAAATATTATTATTCATTTATGCTATTTTTTACATATTGAATTTATTCTAATTCAATTTGTTCTCTATTAGAAAAAAACAATTTAATATAATTAGTAATACACCTCAATTTTTCTTGGGTGACTTCTACATTAGCTACTTTCAACTCCTCCATATTTATAATGTAGAAATTACCACACTTGAATTATTTGTCTATTAGATTGAAATACATCATCAAAATTAAAGTAAAGACTTCAATTCTTTTCAATGTAATAATATTATTAGTTTCAAATTCATTATTCACTTTTTAAAGTAGTTCTACTAAGTTATTGCGATTTTTCAATATCTACATTATATATTGATTAAATTCTTGTTAATAATCCTCAGATTCATTAAAAATATTGCCTAAGATCCCATCTGATAAAATTGCATTTACTATGAATTATTGGTAATCTTAATTTTCTTAAAATTTGAATCCGCATTTGAATGCTTCATTATACCTTAAATGTAATACAATAATTACATAATTAAAATAAAATAAAGAAAATAATTTCTGTAAAAAATAATATATTCTTAATGTTTTAATCAATTTAATTTAGATTTGAATTTAGTCTAAGATCTTATAACATCTTTTGTTCAAGATGATCCTTAAATTTTTCTTCAATATTGAGAGTAAAAAAAAATTCATTTTTGAAAAGATCTGAAAAATGTTTTTAAATCCAATTGTGTTTAGAATATACATTTTAATAAATTTGAATACAATCAATGCAAGAAGAGTATATTGCAATAAAATTTACTAAAGGACAGAAAATATTTTTGTGATTAAATTATTACACTATATTTAAACATGTATTGAAGATTCATTATAAAACTGACAGTAATTTTTATATTGCATTCTAAGCTAAAAAGGATGGTTTATGTGATAAATCTTAACAATAAGGTCTGGTAAAAATGTCTTAATCCTATAATTAGATACTGAATTAAGAAAATTTAAATTTACGTTCATTTATAAATTAAAAAATAATTAGAATATAAATTAAAAATAAAAGCTTTGAAATAAGATCGAAGGAATTAATTTATAAATATATGATTAATAAATGCTTTGCTTTTGAATTTCACTAGCCACTATTAATTATAAAATGGATTTGCAGCATGAGTATTAAAGAAATTTCTAGATATTATAAATCCACAATATATTATTATATATTATATTTATTTGCGGTTGATTAAAGTAATAGTAAAGAATTTAATGAGTATGTGATTTCTTGATGCTACAACAATGTATATTGGTTTATCTTGAAAGTAATCAAGATTAGCAATTGATATCGGTATTTAATATTCAGATTTGAAACCGTTCAATTTAGATATTAACAAAGTAAAAGTAGTATCTTAAATTATTTTTTGGACATTTATGCTGTAGAATCAACAGAATTGTAGATATTTGATAATACTAAATAGTATGCAATGATTATTGAGTATGAATAAATTTGGTTAATAATTATGAATATTTCTAATTTTATTCAGGAATGCGTCAATACTGTGATGGATTCACATCCAATTCAGTATCAACCTTCAATGGAGATAAGTGAGGGTGAAATTTTGGTGAAAGGAAAAACATTTGGTAGATGGGAATCTAAAAAATTTATTATTGACGAGGAAAAGAAAGTATTTGCTCTTAGAAGTTCTAAAGGAAAAACAAGGCTGAAACCTTATTTTCTATCAGAGTATTAGGTAAATTCCAGTGATTCTAACTTTCAGGTGGAGAATAAAGAGAGGAAAAAAGATAAAATAGCATTCGATCTAACTTCGAAAACTGGAGGGAAGTGTTTGACCCTTGGAACGGATGACGAGTAAACTGCTGATGAGATTATCAAGGTGCTTCGAGATTTATGTTCGAGAATAGACGCCAGACCTAATCAAGATGAGATTATTTAAAAGAATAAATTAGATAACATCAACAATAATCAACATTGTACCATTTTAATAAATATAAGCCAGAAAAGGTGATAAATACAATTGATTATGAAATTCCAAGCTTTTTTGATATTGGTGAAATTCGGGAAAGGTAATATTTGTATTAAAGTAGTATCGCTAACATTAGAAAAGGGTTATACAATTTGGAGAATTTTAAATTAGTAGTTGAAAATAAATCCTTAATCTACAGAAATGAAAACAATCATCATTAATTTAAAGTTTTCGTGGAATTTGACGGAAATTGTAAAATTTATATAATTATTCCTATTACATAGGTTAGGACGCAATCATTCAGAATTTAACAGATTATAATAAAATTAATTAGTGGAATGCATACATTTCTGCAAAAGATAGCAGGATGGTTAAAGAATTGCATGAAGATAAATCTTTTTTGATATGTGAAGTTCGAGAATTGTCAAACTTATTCATTTTCAAAAGAGAATTTCAATATTTGTAACATCATTTTAAAATTGATAATCTCCATTTTATTGTTTAAAAATAAATAGATCAAAAATCATACACCAAAAATTATCAAGGAAGTCTCAAATATGGTGTATGGGGGATCTAAACAAGGTAATAAATATCTTTCAAAGTTTAGTGAAAAATAGACTAAAGTGTATTATTTTTCTGAACAATCTATGCAAGGTTTATCTTATTCTGACGAAGATGCTTATCTTATTTAGCAATTTTTAGCACAAATAATTAATTTGAAACAATTGAATTCTATAACTTAAAATGCGAATCTCTAAAATAAATCCAATGAAATCTAATTCTAGGATAAATAGCAATTATAACAGGAATAAAAAAATGCAGAAACAAATAATAAAGAAGATGATGATTAATTCTTTGATTGTGAGGAGTTGGATGCCATGAATGATAAGTTATTTATGGGTGAAAATAATTCTAATCAAGATGAAGTTGCTAGGGATGTATATGAATAAAATGTAAGAAAATAAACTATTCTTCCTTAATAAGTAGATGCATTAGATAATATTCAAGATTGGGTTGATAAAAAGATGAAGTTAGTGTTATCTGGAAATTATAACTCCCTCTCTATCAAAATCTTACATTAATTATAACCTAAAGAATATGATCCCTTATAGCGTTAGCTCTTAACTTAATAAGAAGGTGGACACTATATCTTCAAGAAGGATTTCATAAGAGAAGAAAAGAGTGGAGGGTTGAAAGTGATAAATGAGGAAAAGTTGGCTGCCTAAAAAGCTGTCATCAAATTCCTATTAACAAGAATTGGTGCTTCCCTTATGTTGGGCAAATCAATTACTAGTATATCGATGCCAGTCACAATTTTTGAGGCTAGATCGAATACTGAAAGAGTGTGTAGTAGTATGGGGTTTGCACCAATTTATTTAGAAGATGCTGCTTTATCATAAGATATTTATTACAGGATTAAATAATGTGCTGCATTTCAATTTGGATTTATATTTATGTATCTATCTTGTGAAAAAGTATTCAATTTATCTATCAAAGCCCTTCAATCCCATTTTAGGAGAAACCTTTTAAGGGTTCTATGATAATTGTCCTATTTATTGTGAACAAATTAGTCATCATCCTCCTATTTGTGCCGTATAAATGTATGGTAGACAATATAGGTAGAATTTAATTAATAATCCCTATTAGAATAGATGCTTAATTGGAATTGATTGCTAACTTTAATTCAAATTCAGTGGTTGGCAGAAATGTTGGTACAGTCAAAATCACATTCTAAAATCCTCATTAAGTTGTGTTGATCACTTTAGCTCCTGGCAGTTTGAATGGAACAACCTATGGTGATAAAGTTATGAATTATCTTGAAAAGTAATTCATCATAGATATAAAAAATAAAATATTTGCTGAAATTACCTTCAATCCAGATAAAAAATATTGTCAGTTTTTTGATGTCGAATATCTAAATCAATTGGATTATTTGTGTGGTGCAATTTGTGATGTTACTGATGCAGCCATTTAAAAGTTTCACAAAGAAGGATATCGCAAATATAAAGGATTGGATCTCAAATCAGACATAAAGTAGATAAGACATAAGATCAAAGGAATATGGGTCAACGAGATCAAAGTATGTATTCATAATATAGATTCATAGATTGATAATTAAAAGTTAATTTCTATTCACAACGACTTTCCAGTTAAGATGTAATTAGCACAATACCCAATTCCCTCAGATGCAAATTTCAGAATGGATTTGTTATGGTGGAAGTTGAGAGATTTTGATAAATCCTAAGAGTGGAAAGAAAAACTGGAAATCTAACAAAGACAAGATAGAAAATTGAGAGAACAAAAGGGAAAAAAGAAAAAGTGAATTATTAATTTAAAACAGTTTATTTAATATAATGCTAAATCATTCCTTGTTGCATCCATATTTGAATTTTAAGTAAAGGATAATTATTAATTACATTAATTAATTTCTAAAGCTATTTATTTTACCGAGTGCGCATTTTTAGGTAGTTTAGGAATTCCAAGTAGAAATAATATAATTTTTATTTAATTTATGATGGATCCAAATTTAAATAATTGCTAAAGTGTATGATCAAATAAAAAGATGAGAGTTATCAGCAATTTTGTTTATTATAATCCATCTTAATAGTAACAAATCGAGTTTGTAGCTCCAAATTTATAAAATAATCCTATTTACAATTTAAATAATTCAAATATATTTGATATAGAATAGGGTTTTGCTGTCCGTGAGCAAGGACCTTAATAATATAATAGTGTTATAGAAGAAGATGTAGACTTTTTGAAAAGTTCCATCTAAAACCAAAAGCAATGGCATATGAAACAGTTAAACCAACATACAAAAAAAGAAAGATTGATTTTTCTTGCAAAAAGACCAAATGTGAGTCTAAATATTTATCTTGTTTTAATGAGCGTTAATAATGTACCAAGTTATGCAGATGTAAATCATGTGAATGTGAGAACAAAGAAGTTCATTATTCTAAAGTTCAAGAAACAATCGGATGTAAATGTAAGAAAAGTTATTGTATGTGTTTTGCAAAAAACGAATGCCTTAAATGCGAAAATGATTTAGTTTTTAACAATAACAAAGTCAAAAATGAATGATTATTATAAAAAGAAAGATAATTATATAAAATATTTATCATTCTACAATTTCTATGTAGATTGCTATAAATAAACAATTATTTATTAACGTTTAATATTTATTTGCATCATATAAAATGAATTATATTAGTCATTCTGTCTCAACTTAGATATCTAGGGTCTCACATAATTAAATGACTTTATCAACTTCATCCATTAATTATCCTTTGTCTTTACTGTACAATTAGAGCAAACAAGAAGTTTGTTAATTATCAGATTGGCCTGCTTGAATATCTACAATGTTGAATTTGCACCCACTAAGAGTATAGGTAAAATAATTACGATTAAACTACTGATAAGATTTTATTGATAGCACCTGTGTCAAATAAATGTCCTGTTAATCTGATGGCCAAATAGGAAGGAACCTTCTTTAAGGCCTTTTTAGGTTAGAAACTTTCAGCTTCCTTTAATTAATCATTTATATTTCTTAAATGAGTAATATATTAAAATTTATGAGTTAATTATCCATGTAGAGTGATGGTAGCATTTTATAAAAACACTGGTAAACCGCTTTCCTCTAATGGTTTACTTGAATCTGAATATGCAAGATGAGGTACAATATCTCTAAGAGCAATACCAAAATCGATGCTAGCATCATAAGGTAATTGAGATGGTAAAAAATCTATTGACATGTACATAATGTCTTTTGGTGATTTTGCATCAAATTCATCATGAATTGATTCTGAAATTGGTTCATAAAAATAAACAGGGTTATCAGGTGTTGTATATTTCTTTAAGAATTGAATTGATCCTTCCATATCGCAAGTAACATCACATATAGCTTATAATCTACTTTTTCCTGATTGAACTAAATCCTAAAATTATAAAATAATGTAATTACTCTCATTTATGAATTTGTAATGTATCTAGGGAATTTGTGATCCCAATATATGTCATTAACAATGATAGTCAAATATGGTAAATATTTGGTATGGAAAACAGGGGTGTATTAATTTGGATGATTGTAATAATCTGCTGAAGTAAATTCCTTGTCGTAGTCTTCTTGATGTCTAACTAAATCAGTTGTTTTGAACGGACACACATAAACTGTTTTTCTGTGTTTAGGATCGTTTGGAGTATTCACTAATTCTTTCAATTCCGAAGGTTTAACCAATGTTACGTGAAGATTGGATAATGCTTCCATTGAACCTTTACCACATAAACCAGATGAACCCAAAACACCAATAATAATAGGTAATCCAGCTTCCTTTGGCAGTCCTCTTTCCTTGATAGCTTATCCTGCTACATTCAAAGCTTAATAAGCATCTTTTTTATTAAAATATTAATAAGTTGGGCCAATTTGGAGGAATGGAGTGGCAATGTCTCTTTTGAGTAAATACTTTCCGTATTCATTCAAGAATGTTATTATTCCTGCTATTCCTGCATATGGAAATGCAGTAGTATTAACGCCCTAATGTTTTTATTTGTATAGACTACTTTTTCATCATAAATTCTTTCATAATCCAAATGTCTAATATTTTTCTTTAACATCATATCCAATGCAGGCATGTTGTGAGGCTAAGCTTTTATTGTATGAGACCAATGCAAATAAGTCATTCCTTCAATGTATTTGTCAAGCGGGATTTCTTTAATGCAAACAATGCCTTTGCATTAGGATAAGTCTTCTTAAACTAGGCATCCAACTTCTAAATATTGTTCATCTGTGAAAATTCTTTTTGTTGATGGTTGTATAACCATTTAAATTTAAGGATGCTGAGATTTAACATAATGTAATTACTTTTTCCATAATATATTTGCAATCATGGGGAGGAATGGGAGTTCTCCTTTCCCAATAAGACTTATCTTCAGCTCTTACTCCAATCAACAACTTGTCCATTTCTTTTTTAAAATATTTTAAATATTAAAGATATAAAAATGCGTCATTCGGTTTAATACTCTCAATTGTATTTAATTATTAATAAAATATATATTTTTAATTAGAATAATATATATAATGACGTTTAATAAAAACAAAATTTTCTTGTTTTGTTAGGGCTCAGGTCTTTCTTTTATTTCCTTTAAAATCCATTTTTAATTGATGATATACTTAGAATATTAAACAAAAAATTATTTAGAAATTAAAACAATCTTGAATTACATAAATAAATAGTTAACAACCCTCTTGAGATTTAGATAGAATGAGAGGAATAAAATAATTACATCTGAAATTTAATAAAAATGATGAATTCCCTTTTAGTGAATTTCAGAAAAATAATTTGTTTTCTATTTTTGTAAATATCTATTCCGTTCATATTTTGGTGTATTACTTTGATTTATTAGATGATTTTGATTTGACTTTGGATATTGGTATTTTTTATACAATAATGATTTAATACATTTTATTAAAAAATAACCGAAATATTAATTCTTCATAATTATTACGTTGGAATTAAAATGGTTCGTACTTTTCATAATTTGATAAGTTAGACGGAATAACCTCCGAAATATATTAATTTAATTATCTAATTGTCATGTACAGATACGTCTCAAGTGAGCTTGGCTTCAGAACACCCGCTTTGATCAATTCCATTAAAATTTTCGTAAGAGATTTCTCAGATGTTCCTTCAATTTCTGTTTCGAGATTAAATACAGAAGAAATTAGCTAAGCTTTGGAAATTCATTCATTATCATGGCAATAAAGCAAAGATTCTACTAAACTTATAAAAGAATTTACATTCACTAATTTCAAATAAACTTTTGTTTTCATGGGATCAGTCTCTTAAGTTGCTGATTAAATGCAACGTAAATTCTTTATTCTATAATTAGATTTCCCAAAATGGGTTTAAAAAGGAAACAAAGTGACAGTCGAAATGACAACCTAGGATTGTAGAGGGATCTCAGTCAAGGATATTTTATTGGCTTATACTATGGAAAGCATTGCAAATGATGTCGAAAGTCAAACAGTTGAAAATGTTTGTGATACTATTAAAGTATAGACAAATCAATTGTTGAACAATTGGAATTCAAATTTTACTAAAACCGAAGAGTTGTTCTAAGGTTTCCAAAAGAATATAGTTTAACTTTGAAAACATATATATATTTATTATTACATAATACCTACTTTTATTGATTGATTTCAGATGAGAATACTTTATTTATTTTTTTCAGATTTTAACAGTTAAATTAAAATAATATTAAATCACATCATAATTCTTAAGATTTTAATAACACGCATTTTTCTTTGCTTTATATGTCTCTAGAAATCCATGAAATTGCAATAATTAAATTAGCAAAATATTAACATGCATAGATATATTTCATCATTTACATAAAATCATTTAATCATAGATTAAATAAAAGTTTTTATAAAAGACTTTAGAGATGTTCCTAAGTTAGCAACCTCAAAATTCAACTTAGAACATATAAATTCACTGAAAGACATTCAACAACTATCAGATGAATGGCAGTTTAATCCTGCATTGACAGTCATTAAAAGAGAATTTGAGTTCCCTACTTTCAAGGAGAGCTTTGCTTTTATGAGTTCTGTGTCTGATATCTCTGAGAAAATGGAACGTAAGATATTTAAACTAACAATCTAGATTACCCAAAATGGTATAATAAAGGGAACAAAGTCATAGTTGAAATAACTACTCCTGAGGTTGGCCTGACAATCAAAGACATTTTGTTGGCCTACACTATGGATAACATTTCCGATGATATCCGAAACGAAGACATCCAATTTATCAGTTAATAAAGTAAATTGACTACTCAATCTACAACTTTACTGAATTCTTGGAACAAAAATTACTCTAAATTTGAGGAAGAAGTTGCCTCTTAATTATAGAGAAATGTCAACCAATTTTGACGAAGATCAATCTGATTTTGTCAATTATATGTTATTCAATTTATATACAAATTTGTTATCAACTTTATTCCTCTCTAAACATCTCTAAAAACACAAAAACTCTAATCAATTAGGTTTATTTTAAGTTAGATTGATTGTTCTATATATTTTACATAAAATAAGTTTAATCAATATATGACAACCGAATAATTAAGTGCCAGCAAGAAAACCTGGGCTGAATTAGCAGAGGAAGAGGATGATGAAATTGAAAATGGTTAATTTACGACTAATTCGGAAACTCTTGACAAAAATGAGATTCCTCAGCAACCTGCTTTGACGAAATCTATATCAGAATTTTAACCAAAGACAAGAAACGACAAACAAAAAATTCACAAATAAAGAGACATTGATAGTGGTGGTCTCAAAAATTATCGACAAAATAATTCACATTTTAACAAAGGAAACAATAAACAAAATAGATAAACAAAAAGTAATAAAGATCTAAAGATATAGGTAATTATGACGAGGTTTACGATGCCTTATTCGAAACCACAAATTAGGAAATCCTCTTAAAGATCAAGCCTCTGAATAAGAATGAAAACTTAGAGGCTGTTAAGGAATATTTTGAAAAACAATATTAGAATATTAAGGCATTTCCAAGAAATGACATAAATCAGGTTGATCTATTGACATCCCCTAAAATTGGATTGTATATATTGGATGATCATAGATTTAAAGTATCATTTCTTATAACTTAAGACTCATATTGGTGATTCTGCTTTAATAATTCACTATCCATAGTTCCCTAATGAACCATTGTCAGATTATTATGCAAAGAAAAGATATTTAGAAAAGGAAAAGAAGTAAATATAACCTGCTCCTGTATTTCAAAGAAATGCAGTCAGTTCTAAAGCAAATGATTAATAAGATTGCAATGAAAAATCTGAAAATAGTAGTAAATAAGATATTAATAACTTTGATAAAGATGAAAATGATCAACATTAAGTATATAAGAAAAAAGGTAGCATCGAAGATTACTAATATGAATAAAGCAATATCTAAAGTAAACCAAAATATGAAAATAAAGATTTTAATAAATAAACAAATTACAAAAATAGAAAACATAACAATGATTTCGAAGATTACGAAGATGATTGTAGAGAATACAAAGATGAAAGGCAATCTAATTATAAATCTAATAAATATAGAAATGAATAACATCAACCAAAAGAAATCTATCAACAATAGAAATACTTCTAAAAAGATAATTATAAATATACTGATAAGGCAACATCTGATAATAACAAGACTCCTTATCAAGAGAAGGAACAACATAAGGATTATAGGAATAATTAAAATTATCAAAATTACAATAATGCAAATAGCAACAATCATTACAATACGAAAAGATAATTTAAAGAAAACAGTAAGCAAAAAAATGATTAATATGTAATATATGAAGAGAAATAAAAATCCAATTATGATGAAGTAACAGATAATGTAACCACAAAACATCCTGATAATTTTGAAAGATAAGCTGAAGTTCCTTAAAATGTTAATAAACCATTTTAGGAGACAAGTGTAAATGAAGATTAGAATGAGGATATTCAATTTGATAGTGAAAATGAGTAAGGTCAAGAATAAGTTGAAGAAAACAAAACTCCAAATAAAAATAAGAAGAAGAAAAAAAACAAAAAGAATTTAAAAGTATTTTTTATGTTTATTTAAGACTTCAAAACCAAACGACACTAATTTTTTTGGGATACTTTAGAGTGGGACAAAGTGATAGATTAAAATCAATATTATAAGTTGTTATTCTCAGACAGAATAATTTAATAAATATAATCATTGTTGTTTCTATTGCAAATGTCCTCTTATTTTGTCTTTAACTTTCTTAATAATGTATGCTTTAATCTTATAATATTATGGGGGACAAATAATATATATAATTATTATTGTTTTTATATTCAAAATAAACAAGAATTGCTATTTATGACATTGTTGATTATTAATCTATAGAACTCTTTTAATTCTGAAAATATTTTATATTTATTAAAATAATGGGTTGTGTTGCTTCAAAGAGCGAATAATTAAAGAATACCTAAAGCCAAGCTTTGTAACTTAGTTAAACATAATAAATTTAAATTGAGGAGTAATCAAAATTTCAAATGACTAAATCACCGTTATCCTGCAGGGTAAGAGCTGCCTCGATTAACAACTCTAAACCGATTTCTAAGGAAAAAAAGGTCAGGATAGAAAAAATTTTGTTTAATAAAAGGAGTAATATAAATAATAGCTCATTCTTATGTCCTGAAGAAGAATAGGCATATTAGAGAGCAATTATTAGATTAATAGCAAGTTGAAGAATAAATAGTGAATATAAACTATGTATTAGACTAGATATTTATTTAATTTTAAAAATTTATTAAATCTGTATTATCAATTCCAATATCTACATTTCTTTTTTATAAAATAATTGATTCATATTAAAAAAATATTACAAGAACATTTTTGTTTAATCACAGTAATATTAAATATTAAAGAAGTCATTTAAGAAAATAAATGAGAACAAAGTGATATTTATACATTAGAATACTTCAATCAATTCAAGAGAGTTAGTGTTTGGGCTTTTTACTGTGCACTAGACCATTTTAATTTGTAGGTAACTGTAAACCTTTTTTGAATTGCTTAGTTAACTTATTTAAGTCTAGCTTTTATGGTCTATTTCTGGCTTAGATAAGTTTGATTAATCGATCTTCCATATTGAACAACTGCCTGCTTTGATGAACCAAAAATGAATCAATTAGAGAGTATTGAATGTCATTAATTCCAAAATTATCTTTTGTACTTACAGTATGGATGATAGGATGAATATTTTTGAATTATTTAATTTCCCTAGCTAAATACAATTATCTATCATAAAGCATTCTCTCTTTAATTTTATCACATTTGGTTAACACGATTTATATGTTAACATTTTACTCTTATAACATATTTAGCATGACTTTATCTTTGTCTTTAATACCATGTTCAATATCAATAAGCACATAGATTCTAGCCAGTCTCGATGATAATTTAGTATAGGTGTACATCATTCCTTACATGTATTTCTATGCATCTACATTTATTTAAGAATAACCATATCCAGGACTATCCACTACAAAACCATTAATAGTTTGAATATTGTGAAATTATAATCTTAAAGTGCTGCCCTATATATCATGCAATATTTCTTACAGTTTTGCTTGATGTTTCAGCTACTTTTTATCCTAATATTGCATTAATCAGACTTGATTTTCCAACATTTGATCTTCCAACAAATAACACTTCTTTTGGCTTTTTTAACATTTATTGATCCTGTTTTAATTATTCTATTAGAAATCCTTTAAGTTTAGATGGAACAATTTCATATTGATTGGGTAATAAGGATGTACCTATCTTTAAACCCTTTAGCAAATTTCCATAATCAGAATGATACTTATACAATTAATAATTATGAATATCAAGCGAAGGATATTTAATTGAACTAAACTTAAGACCAACCTTAATTATATTCATAATTATTTAATAAAATATTTAATTATTTTATACTCATTATCGTGAGAATAGTTTCATAATAGATTTATGAAAATATGGTAAACAAATAAGGATTCCAAAGTATTATACATATTATCCCAGAAAAAAATGTATAAAATTATCAAACAATGATTTTAGAAATAGACATATGAACCCTCATTTATTCTTAATCTTTCTAGAACTTTGATCAAGATATATACTTTGGATTCTAAAGTTATTTAAACATTTTATATAGATTTTAGGAATTTTGATATAATAATAATTTAAGGATCTTCATATCTACATTGAAACTATTATTTAATTTGAATTTGTTCAAAAGTTGTGTTTTTATTGAAAATTGAATTTTTTTCTTTCTTAAATATTCTTAAGCAAATTAAGATATTCATTGTATATCTTTGTATTATTAAAATAATTATATATATCATTATTATTCAAAGTTTAAAAGTTTGCAAAACGTTGAGTTTTGTTCATTGGATTATTGACTATTCTAAGTTTAATTATGCTATAACATCGCACTATTATTTGTTCTGCTACTATTTAGAATTTTAGGGGTTCCCTATTATAAAATTGAAAAACTAGTTTTGCTATTGATTTGTTTGCTCTTAGTATTCTTTAATTGTTCAACTAATAATATTAAATAACAAAGTACATTTTTTTAATATGAAATCTTAAGTCTCCTAACTATAATCAATTTTAGTATTGATATTCGAATTGTTGTAAACGTTTTCTTTTGAAACTGGTAATGCTTGCTGCTTAACCTATTATTTTAAGAGAGGAGATTCCTAATATGCATATAACAATTAAGTTGCAGGAGTCATTAAGCCAGCGTGCTAGGATTGCAAATTTGTTGTAAAATTCTGTTATCTTGGTAGAATATCCCTAAGAGGTGAATCTAGTATCTTATTATTCAGAGCAGGATTTTTATTGTTCATTGGAGATTGTGGGACATTGTTTGATTTGATTTCGTGTGACATCTGCAACATAAATGATTTAATTTAAGGGATAAAACTCTGGTTATAATAGGAAACAATATCACCTAAGAATGTCAATTAAATACATACCCATGCTGTCATTTGATATATATGTATTGCAAACAATTTTTTTGATAAACTACTTCGAATACCATGTATTAGTGAGTTCATAGGCATTAATAATTTATTAAAATTTTAATTAGTTTCCAGTTAACTTTGTTACAGCATAAATACTAGCCAAAACAATTTGATCTAATGAATGATATCTTAGATGGTCAGTCTTTTCGCTGATAATATATTTAATGGTAATCCAGATGTATTCCTATAATTATTCCTATAATTTAATATTGCTGCAGATGACTTAAATTTGAAATGCACAATAATGCAATACTCTTTTGAATAATCGATTCATTTAATTGTTATTTTATTAAAATCTACTTATATGGATTTCATTAAGAAACTTTATCAATTCAGATTGACTATCACAAGACCAAATCGAATAGGATACAAATTTAACTTCTATGTCTAGTATGTGTTCTTTAAGTTAATGTGGTACTTTAGTGTCAAATTAATTCAAGAAGAAATCTAACCACTTCCAAAGTTAATAATGTTAAATTTCACATTTTTACATCAATTGATCTAAGAGTTATGATTGTTTGTTCAGAACGAAATAAACACATTCAATACAAAAACAAATTAAACTTTTGAGCATTTATTCATCAATTTAGAAATTGGATTTCTCTAACATTAACACATATAAAGTCCAGTATTAATTAGTTTTTGATTTATTTTCATCAATTAGATTGCTGTCTTAACAATACTATATATATTCATTAAATGTTTTGTCAATCAAATCGAAATGTTTCCCTTGGTTTTAAAAGTTTTAGAATAATTGAGGATTCTGAGATAATAATTAATTAACATTTAAGGTTCCATTCTTAAATAATTTTTTAAAAGGCTATTATTTTTCATGCATCCAATTGTACATTTCCATAGCTTCCGTCATTGGAGTGGCCACAATTGATTATTACGCATAAGGAGACATTAATACAGTTTATGGTAGCTTAATTTCTCTCAAATTAGTTGTAAGAGTAATTTTAGTATCTAATTCGTAATTCAACAATTTTTGATATCTATTTTATTGCTGTTGTTATTATGATGTTATTTATTATTCTCTGTTTTAATCATGCTTTGATTGCATGGCCAATTATTTAATATTGTTGGATTTGAGAGTATTAAGATTTGGAGTTAGTTTCTTGGGTGTTAAATTTTTTTATCTATCAGGAATGAGCAATCTTTCATCGAATTCATCTGATTTGAGGAGATGCTTATATTATTAATCCAATTTGTATTGATTTGAATTGATAATGCTGACCATGAAAATTGAAAACCCAGAGTTACTCTTTAATTGCTTAATGATATTCTATTTTATCAATTCAGCATATTGTTATTTGGCTTGTAAATTGATCGAAGAGAATAGATCTAAGTCTTAAATTTTAAATTAATTGATTAGAAATTGTTGTATTTGTAATTATTGTTCATCTTCACCTGCAGCCGACTTCTTGATTTCTGAGAGTATTTTATTTGTTGTTGTGAAAATATTCAATAATTAACTAAGTATTGTTGTTAGAATTGAAATCAGAATGCATGTAGATTGGACGACGTCTTGCAAATTTAAAGATTCTATTTGAATATTGCTGATATTTACTTTTTGTAATCAAAAATAGGAGCCAAGTGATATTTTTAATTAGAATATTTTAATCGTTCATTTTGAAATGGAGTAAAAGTGCCTCCATTTTTTAATAAAACATATTTAAGATTTAATTGTTATGTTTCAGGAGTGTTAATGTCTTTTAGCAGGTTTAATCGACTTTTAATTCGGTAACCATGTTAATAGCCACATCAATTAACTGATCGATGTTAGTGATTCCTTTATTTTAACAATCATTTATAATGGAATTTAAGGATATGCCTGAACCATAGACGATGGAACCGTCTATTGCAACTATCTGTTATTATTTTGATGCCAACCACAAAGCCAATCTTGGAATGACTATATAATCATTCGTTTTATTATTTAAAATATAGTTATTTGTCATTTCCTACATTAATTTGAATGTTGATTAATCAAGACTAAATGTTTAGTAAATGAGTTGTAGTTGTTGTTGCAGAGAATCTGTGTCCATAATATTTGAATTTGAATAAATTAATATTTATTATGACTGAATTAGGAAATTATCTGATAGGTATTTATTATAAAGTGAATTATCATTTCAGGTAAAACAATAGGAGAAGGAACATTTGGAAAAGTGTGTCATGCCAAACATCAAGTATTAGGACATGATGTGGCTGTGAAGATTTTAGAAAAGAAGAGAATCAATGATGAATTAGATATTGAAAGAGTAAAGCGAGAAATAACCATATTGCAGATGTTGCATCATCCAAACGTTGTGTAACTCTATGAGGTTACTTATGTAATTATGATTAGATGATTGAAACTGACTCACATATTTATTTATTTATGGAATATGCAGACGGTGGAGAATTGTTTGATTATATCGATTTAAAGAAGAGGTACACTTGAAGTAATCTGATTAGGATCAACGAGGTTGAAGCATGCAAATTCCTACATGAAATTATCTCAGCCATCCAATATATTCATTAGTTGAGAATAGTGCATAGAGACTTGAAGCCAGAAAATCTACTTTTAACCGCTCAAAAGAATATCCTGGTTGTTGATTTCGGACTCAGTAACACCTATGAGGATACTCTAAAGACAGCTTGTGGAAGTCCATGTTATGCTGCTCCTGAAATGATATAAGGCAAACCTTACTATGGAATATAAACTGATCTCTGGAGTTGTGGTGTTATCCTATATGCCATGTTATGTGGATATCTCCCCTTTGAAGACAACAATACCTAAGTTCTCTATAAGAAAATTTTAAATGCTGATTTTCATATACCTAGATATGTTTCATTGGATGGCAAAGACTTGATTAAAAATATACTCACTGTTGATCCTACTAAAAGGTTTACTATTGAATAAATCAAATAGCATAAGTGGTGGCAACTCTCGAAGTCAGATGTATTAATTTTAATTTATTTAGAATGTCTAAATGACACCTTTTAAAGCATCCTTTAGTAAGATCTCTTGCACACTTATGCCAAACAGTATTTATAGATCATGTGTGAAAAAAAATATTGAAAGGAATATTTCTGAAGATGTGAAGACTTGTTGCGACACTGCTCAGCAGTCTATAGATATACAATTCACAGACAAAGAAGATTTTATTAACAAGTCCAATATTAAAGATATAATCTAAGAAAACCCTCCACTTGAAAAAGCAACAGAAGAATAAGTTCAATAATTTACTAATGATGAAGATCATTATGAATTCTAATAATCTATGCGATCATTAACTAGGTAGAAATCAAGTCAATCAATTCAATCAATCACTCATCTTCATACATAAATCGACTCTCCCTTAAAGTAATAAAATCCGACTACCACTACTAAACAATCGATTCCATATAAATAATAGATTCCTCCTTAAATTAACAAGGTTATACCAAAAAAACCTGTCTTGACTTAATAGCAATAACAATAATTATAATAAAAGAAACCAATAGCCAAAACTGTGCCTTCAAAATCCTTGCATGAACCTCCAAATTTTGAAACTAAATTTTCTAAATAACCAAATACACCAAGCAATAAATAGTAAAATAATTCTACTATAAACTCATCAAATCCATCAAATAATTCTTCATTTATAAGTCATTAATTGAAAACTGAAATCCCAAAAAAAAATTCTATACCTCCAGTGAAATTGAGTGTTATTTAAGAATAACTAAAAGAAAATAAGGAAAAGTCTCATTCTCTGAAAACTTAGCCAGCTCAAACTAAATAATAACAAATTTAGCAATAATAACAATAACAATAACAATAACAATAATAACAATAACAATTATAACAATAAAGCTAATAACAAAAATAATAGATTAATTCAAATAAACCATAAACTCTATTTAAAACACCAATTAAACAAACTCCACCTTAAATCAATTCTACTAAAAGATCTCTTCATTAAAAATAAGCAGCTAGCCTCTAAATGGAGAGACAATCATTTCATACATAATAATCCACTGTCGAAGATAACTCTATTGTATAATTTAATGATAATCCAAAACCGCCTCTTGAAAATATTAAGCTCATGGTCGAAAAATTTACATCGAGACTCAATAATGTCAGTATTCCATCGTCATTAAAATAACCATAAAAGTAGGGTGTCCAGGATGTAAAAGGAATTGAAAATTATTATGGACCATACAATACTTCTTTTATTACAACGAAACATCCCTAATTATTTTTGAAAGGAATCCAAAAGTATCTAGAGGAAAGATATTAATTAATGCAAATATAAGTAAATATAATTTGTTATAAATAGAACTTCTATAATGGGTTCATATTTAATCTTAATGACCTAAAAATTGATTTAAAATTATATAGAATTGAACAATAAGAAATATTTTACTGCTAGATTAATTGCGAGACCTCTAAAAATATTGATAATAATGCAGATTTCAACAAAATCATCTATGATCTGCAAACTAATTTTAAATTTTGAAATTGACAAACTATCTTATATTCATTTTTGTATTTTTTATATTGATTTTCAATTACAATGTTGAATTCTAGTAACAAAAATTTAGAAAGGGAAGAAATTGAAATAATCTGGCAAGAAAATATATAATTTATTAAAAATAAGCCATCTCTTGGAATAAATAGACTAAAATCCAAAAAAAGTTTTTTTTTAATTTTGACTTATTAATCCCAGCTATTAAATTTTTTCATCTAATCCCAGAAGCTTTCTTAACAATACTGAACTCTAGAGATATTAGTTTAAATTTTTAGAAATGTTTTTCTATTAAATATCATTTATATCTTATTTTCCATAAATAATACGTTTTATTAATTGTAAATCAGATTATTTTTATAAAATATAAATATATTTATCAGCAAAAAAAGGCCAAATTTTGATGATCATAATTCTATTATTTAAAAGGCTATATTAATGAAAAAACAATTAAATTAACTATGAGGATTCTATATAAAATAAATATATTAGAAGTTTTTAAACAATTCAAAAGAAGAAACAATAAATTAAATAATTTTGATTTAGCCTTTGCGGATTTATGAGTTGAACTTGCTAGGTTAAAGTAGTTTTAATTACAGTATTCATTTCAATTGTAAAATAATATCATAATATCATTAGTTTGAGTTAATTTCTATAATTTGATAAGAGTTTAATAATATCGATTTCATAATTTAGTAATCGATACAAATTATAGATTTCAGAATTGAATTAATTATAATTTTTATTCTAATATTTAAAAAAAATGTAAATTACTTAAACCCAGTTATTAGAATGGGTTAAGGATGGAGATATTAATACTTTGAAGAAACATTTTGAAGACTAACTGAAGTTTGTGCATTAAAAATTGTAGGGATTTTTTAAAATGGTTGATGATTAGAATAGAAGTGTGGTTCATTGGGCAGCCTATTTAGGTTAATTTAAATTGCTGAAATGGTGGTGTAAAGAATATAAAGATCTTATTGATTTGAATAAGGGTGATTTACATTTATATACTCCACTGGAACTAGCTAGTATCAAAGGGTATGCGATCAAGTTTATTCCTTAGATATTCTGGAGAATACAATTCGGAAAATTAAGAGAAAACAATAAGGTTGCTGGTCGAAAATGGCGCGTAAATACCTTGTTAATGTTGTTACAAGCCAAATTCATTGCATTGGGCTTGTTACTATGGCAATAAAGAATTAGTGGATTTTTTGATCGCAGAAAATTTCAATTTGTAATTGGAAACAGAGTAATAAGGAAATTTTCCCATTGATTATTTGTTTTTAGACAATAAGCCAGAGTAATATAAGTATGATAAATTAATGTATTATTTAGGAAAGACGTTTGGGATATCTTCTAAAATGTTGTAATTAACTATGCATAGGTGACTTCAAAAGAAGAATTGAAGAGGAAATAAAAAAAAAGAAAATAGCGTAAAGGACAGACGACAATCACATCTTAAATTCCATTCATATAAGTGAATAAAGATGATGAGGAGGAATCATCTCCTGAATCAGAACCATCTAGATATGAAATACCTTGTTTAAATATCTCAAATATTAATCGAAGTTATGCTTCAATTTCATAGATATCTAAAAATACAAATTTCAAAAGCCTTTAAAAAACGCCTAATAATTAATATGTCGTAAAATCCTAACCAAAAACAGGATGCTAAAGAATTTAATAGAAGTTTTTAGAAGAGATTGCTGACATTCCATTATTTGATGACTCACATAATGAAATGAAGGAACCAGAGGAAGAAAAGATACCTGAAATAAGAGTATTTAACTCTAGGAATACTAATAATAGTAAAATATTCACAGAAGCAAATTAAGATGACTTACTTCATGTTCAACAATACACTTCAAATAATAATCAATTGACATTAATAGAACCAAATTTTGAGTTACCTTAACCAAAACGATAACATCACAAGGGTAAAAAATAAAAAACTACAATAATATTTAATAACGATGATGACTTAGAAAATGGAACAAAGGAAAAATATTTGATATTCAATAGCAAAGCCGATTTGACTATTCATTAAAAATATGAATGTCGACTTTAATATTGGTCATCCAGATAAGGGATACAAGAATTCTTTATTTATTTTCTCAAAAGAAAATGCAATCCTTTTCTCAATATTTATTAAGGATTCAACTGTTTACACATTGCAGCATACAAAGGAAAACCCAAAATGATAAAAACGATTCTTGAAAATGACTACGAATATTATGATAGTTCAGAAGGTGCAAACAGTAAAGCTAAAAAGAAACTCAAAAATGTGAAATTTTATAAAGTAATAAATTTTAAGCTATTAGTATAAGAAAGAATGCATCAACATTCTCACTGATTAAAATCCATCTAATGCTCTTCATTTAGCTATTGAATAAGAAAAATATCATTGCATGAAAACATTAATATCTCATGGAATATCAGTGGATGCTGTTAATAGTAGGTGCTTAAAACCATTTGAATTAACCTATAATTCAAAATTTATGGAATTCTACGAAGAAAATATCTAAGTTAAGTAAGAAATAAAAAGCTTGGCAGAACTAGGATATTAATATGTAATTTAGACAAAAGGAACCTCAAGTGTGGGATAGGATATAGTGTTTTTGTAATTACAAAATATTGGATAAACCTTTAAAGAAAGGGGGTGGAATTTTGAATTTTTGATTTTTCATGCTCCTAATCTGGATGAATTGGAATTGTATAAAGAAAATGTGCATAATAAAAGAGTTCGACCATTATACCACTACTATGTATTGAAATTACCTCCAGATTCAATTTACAGATTGGCGGATCTCTATTAGATATCTTGTTATAATTTTCAAACCAAAGTAAATTCTATCAAGATTTAATTAGTGTATATGTTAATTCAAATATGAGAAGAGCAGGTTTTTTGAATTTCCTAAGGATTTACAAGTTTAAATGCTGATCTTAAAAACTTTGAACGATGAATTTGATGTTGAAAAATTCGTATTGGAATAATTAATTATATCTCATTTCCCATTAGAAGATAAAAAAAAATGTGAAAGAATTACTCAATTTTGGAATGAACAGCAAAACAATTGCATTCGCGATTCTTTAAGATATGAAACATAATAAATAGCTCTAAGGCCATTGCATGCAATATCATCATATTTTGGTCCAGTCATTGCATGGTACATAGCACTGAATGTTCAAATAATAGGTTGGTTGATGATTCCTTCTCTTTTGGGAGCAGCTTTGGGAATTTATATAATAATTATTGAATAAGTAAAGTAAAAATTAAAAGTATATAAGTTCATCCATCGTGCCATTCTATGCGTTGTTGATGACACTATGGTAAACGCTATTCATGGAAAAGTGGAAGAATAGGGAATCAGAGTTGAAATTTTGTTGGGACATGCATAAATTCAAACAGACTCAACCACAAAGAGTTATGTATACAGGATAATATATTATTGATTAAGCAACCAATAAAATTTAAATCTATGATTATTTCACTACTTTTAAAAGAAGATTAATAGCGGAGGGGCCTGTAATTTTAATAGGGATTGCAATAATCGTATTGAGTTTCTATGCTTTTAATATTTGGCTAAAAGAAAACACGAATGATCCTTTCATGACAATAGTTATTAATTCTTTGAATGGAGTTTCTATGACTGTGTTTTGTGATTTATATAAGAGACTATGTAAATCATTGGTGACTTGGGAAAACCATATGTATGAAACAGAATAGGAATATTCTTACATTTTAAAAGTTTTCCTGTTTGAATTTCTTATATCTTATGTTTCAGTTGTTTATGTGGCTATATTTGAAAGCGATGCAAACTCATTAAGTGTATCAGTTGCAAGTATAATCATAACAAGAGGGGTAATTTCAAATGTAAAAAGTAATTTATTACCCTTTGCAATATTTAAATTAGAAAAGCGATCATTTACAAAATTATTTTCTTAGTTCAAATTAATATTCTCAAGAAAAATATAGGAAAAAAAGAATATACCAAAAATCTGTAACTAAGTATTCTCAACAGAGAAGTTAAACCATGATTAATAACTATTGTTCTTGTAAGAGTTAGAAATGAGTAGGATAAAAGGCCCGTAAAAAGTCTTATATGATGAATACACTAATATTGCTATATAATTTGGATACACAACAATGTTTGCTCCAACATTCCCAGCGGCTCCCATATTTTTCATGATAAATTGTTATATCAATTTAAGATCATCAATATATAATTACTAACACATTTTAAAAAGGGAGAGAGCTTAGGCTGCTGATTCAATTGGTATTTGGTTATATATATTTGAAATAATGAATTATTCCTCTACTTTCATGAATTGCATTGTTATTGGGACTGTAAATAAAGAACAATTTAAAGGTATCATTGGAAATTAGGATGCCTTGTATAGTGCGTTTTTTTTGGCTGCAGTAGAACACATATTATTATTAATTAAATATATATTAGATGTTTCAATTCCTGACTGTCCTTATTGGGTGGAAAAAGAATTAAGAAGATAATAACATCTAGAATTAAACGATTAATAGATGAATAAATGAATTATTATTATTTTTGTATATCTATTTCTATTACTCGATTATATGAAAAATCACAGCTATGAATATGTTGAAGCTTAGAAAGCCTTCAGGTTCAACCCAATAAGAGAAAATTCCTTATTTAGGTTAGACGAATTTTTTCAAGCTTATCAAAAGATTCAAAATGTAGTTAGTTTGAAGTAAAATAGAGTTTTAATTGATAAGATTACCTATTGGTTATCATTTCAGAGTAGCAAAAATTAGTAGTGTTGAAATGAGCGGAAATGAGTTGTTTGTTAAATTTTATTATGATGGACCATATGGCAACAAATTGTAAGTTATTTATGGTCAATAATAATTTGCTCGTTTTCTGCCCACAGGAGAGAAGAGTCAAGAGAAATCTCCAGATAAAAGCAAAATAGATGTTCTTGGAATCAAATCAGTCTTTTAATCTTTAATTGAAACATTCCATTGGTGCGCTAATTTTGGGTATTAGATAAATTAACATAAGGTTGTTTGTGGATCCATAAACTGAAAATCTACTTTACAAAGAAGCTGAGACTGATTTTTATTTATATATACCTAGTTTCACTCACATTGCTTAATTCTTTGCTGATAAATAATAAACATAACTAAAAATTTTTGATGAATTTAGAAACAAGGAATATTAAAACTTAGTAAATATATTTTTTTAAGTTCTATAGACATTTATCTTTCTGATGCGCTTCCTTAATTGGTTTTTTGATTTAATCAAATAGCAGGATGAGGATATTAACCTATATAAGAAAATTAAGGAAAAATATATATTCAATGAATCCTTAGAAGCAATCAACCCAATTTTACTTAATGAATCATGTTTTGGAGTAGATCATATCTATTCTGAAGATTTAGTTAAGAAAAAAATGATTAGGTATGGTTTGAAGCAAACCTAGTTCTTGTATTAGTTATACTAAAATGAAATTTTAAGAACCGTCATAGTGAAATATCTGGATAGTGAAATTTAGTTAATACCACGAAAAAATTAACCACTCTTTGATGAATCACAATCTGATTTTTAAATTAACTCACCTGATGATAATTAAAATAATTTATCTGGTAATAATATGCGAATAGAGCAATCAATTCAAGATTCTACAAGGAACAAGTTAACTCAAAATACTTTGAGTTTCTTTTAAGAATTAAAATGCATCAAACCAATTTAAGGAATTAGTTAAGATATCTATACACCATTTTTAAGATCTTTAGCCAATAAAGAAAACGGAATTTAGATTGCGATTAGGAGAAATTGGAAAAAAATTGGTACTAAGCATGAATTAGAAATTATAACCAATTAAAAATCATAGGAATAGATTTAATAATCAAATTAAAATTCATAATCTAAAAGTGCACCAAATTAATAAATTCAAGAATAGTAAAGTAAACCTGTAGATTAGCAAAGCAGATCTGCAGCAAATCCACCAACTTAAGATTTGAGCAACTCTGATGTTTTCGAAATAAAGTGGTCTTCTTGGATTAACACACAAAATCTCATATACACGGCAATAACTTAATCAGGAGTATTGACAGATAAAGAAGTCAAGAAATTTACAATATAATACAAAATTGAAATGTTAGAAGATAAGAATTGTTATTTGGTTAAAACCTGTATTCCAGAAGTTGTTTTTAACATTGATACTGCTGATGACATTGCCTATTTTGTTAACACAATACAAAAAGAAAGAATGCCAACAAATGTATACGTAGATGACACAAGAAAATTGACATTTTACACAGCATTAGTTTTAGTAATAATATGAATTATCATAAGGGGAGCTAAGGACCTATCTTATGGGACATCTTAAAGATCATGGATATTCATCAAATCTATTTCTATCACTGTTTAGATTTTTATGCCAAAAATATCAGTCCAGGAAAATAAATAAAGGATGCAAAATATAGCAGTTTCTTAGTAGAGTTAAAAAATCTAATTAAAGATTATGAATATGATTAAAAACAAATTTATTCTAAGATCAAAGGCACCCCACAAGAAAGAGAAGGATTTTGAAGTAAGATATTGGATTAAATGCTGCAAAGTAGTTGAACAGTTAAAATTACATATATAAATAATATTTAATAATTTATTTATTTTTTTTCATATTCTATTGTATGTAAAATTAACTAAAAGTTAATCAAAAAATGTAAAATATATATAATAGATATATCAATTAGATTGGAAAATGCCAATTAATAAAGTCTAAAATTCTATTCATAGAGATAAGGAAGTTAATGTTGAAAATTGTGTATGGGGAAATTTATGGACAATCGAGAAATCAGCTGCATAATTGTTATTTATGAAGAATGGAAATATAAAGGAATAGGAAATGATTATATGTATAGAGATCAAACTAATGGAATATTTCATAATAATAATTATGAAGGTTACTGATAATATTGAATTTATGTATTTATCAGAATATATTGCATCCATCGTCTTTTTTAGTTCCTTTCTTTGGATCAGGTTTTCCTTTTGACATCATTGCAGGTGTTCTATCTTGGGATGAACTTCTTGGTTTTTGAGCATTCATTTGTTACTATTGTAATTTAGCCTTCATTTGTTATTGTTCTGAAGTATGATCTTCAAATTCTTTAATGGATTATCTGCTAATAGGCTGTGTTACAGGTTAATTTTGAGCGAATTCTATTTAAAAATTTAGATAATTAATTTACTTTCAATTGGTGGTTTAACTTAGGTAGTTTATGTTGGTTATTTAATAGGTTGTTGTTATGAAACCTGTTATTATTAGATGTTTTTGGTCTAATTAATTGTTTTGGTCAAAATGTCAATGTGTTCTTCCTGCTTTTTAGCTTAATCTATCTATTAAGTCGGTTGAGGTGATTATTATTATATCTATTGCTGTTATTAGGTAGTCTATTACTAAGGAATAAGATTCTCAACTGGTATTTCCCTTTTTTTCGCATCTTTATTTTTATTTTCATCATATCCATAGACTTTGAAGCATATCTGAAATAGAAAAATAAATTATTACTGTTCCATTAATCAAATAGTTCAACTAAGTCTCCGATAGTTAATCAAATGTATGCTACTAATCATAATTATAAATTGGATTAGGATGAGCACCAGCCAACTTAAACGAATAAGAATAAATTCATACTGTTTTTGTTTTAAATGATTCTTTCTTTTTCTCCTCAACTTAGATTGAATATTCAACATATGTATCTTTGCATAGATTCTCAGGTAATCGTGCACTTTCGATTGAAACTCTGAAATCAAATCTTCTGCCAACCAATTCTGAGGGATCTTCCACTGGTGGTTCAATTCCATCTTCAATATCTTCTGATAAATTTCTTTATCCAGTTTCATCTGTTGGAATTAAATTAACTTTAAGAGTTCCGCATTAGAAGTGTTCTCCTACAAGGGTCAAATCGCAAGGATTGTCCATTAAATAAGCTAAAGCTTATAATTTAAGGAAACCAGAACCAATTACTCTTGCTTCAGGTGGATCCCAAAAAGGATCTTAATCTTTAGGCAATTATAATAATTAGTTTGATTCAAAATATCTCTCCAATAAATCTTTTATTATATAATATCTATTTGAAAACTTATGTAGATCCCAATAGTATATTTATCCTTCCTCTTTGTTGTTAACCTATATTTATATTTATCCTTTCTGAGCATTTTCTTCAGTAAATTAAGAATATTCCTAGTCATCTGCATAAACATATTTCAATCTTGCTTCTAATGTAACATTACGTTTAAGTTCCTTGGCAATCAAATTGACTTCAAGTACTTTAGGCAGATACTTTTGTAATTTATTTTCAATGAAATTCTTTTCCTTAATTCTGTATTTTTTCATAGTTTCTTCATCCTCATATTACTTCCTAGCCTTTTCTCTTTATAATTATTTTTGTAATGTTTCTTCTTCTAATTTCTTCCTCTCCTCGATTAATTTCCTTTCTTCTTCAGCCATCAAAGCTCTATTCAACATATCCTTGTTTTGTTCTTCCAAAGCCTTCATCTTAATATCAAAATCTTCCTATTACTTCTTCATTTACTCCTCATACAATCTTTATTCCTCCTTTCTTTGTTCTTCTAATTCCTATTTCTTTCTTTGCATTTCCTCATGCACTTGCTTCTCTGCTAATTTCTATTGTTCCTATCTCTTTACTTCCTCCTTCTTTTGCATTTCCTACTATGCTAATTCCCAATCAATTTCAGGTCCCTATTCAACTTATTCAGATCCTGGAATTTGAACCAAAAATGTTGTTGTAGTTCCGAAAATAAGTCTGTCATTATGATTAAGCAAAGTGGGACCTGTGATAGGAGAACCATTAACAAAAATGAAATCGCCACATTCTTTAGTGAATGGACTTATTTCTATCACCCCTTCTTTATTCGTAATAATTGCATGATTAGGTTGTACACACATAGCATTTACAACAATCTAAGGAGTTGGATTTCCATTGGGTCTTCCAACGTGGGTTTCCTCTTAATTTAACGATTTCAATATCTTTCTATTCAGTAATGGATCTTCATTCAAGTTTAATAAATGAGGATGCTCTTTGATTCCTTCATTCTATATATCCTCGTCATCTTCTTCCTCATCCTTCTATTTTTACTTTTACAATTTGGACTCGAATGATTCCTAATTCTCTTGCATAATAGTCTCGTTGGTTTCAATATCATCTTGGATTTAAGATAATTATTTCAACATCTCAGGATTAATAACTCCTCCTTTTAATTGTGTTTGTAACATCATCAACTGTTATTTTAGTGAATGTATTTCTTCTTGTTATTCTCTTAACTTCTTATCGACATCACTTTCATTGACAACTGCACAATTCTTAATCTTTTTGGCTTGATCTGCGTATCTCAAAGTACTCAAGGTCTCTTCGTAGTTGTCAGTGGCAGGACTCACAGCACAAATCATCAGAGTCTTTGAGTTACCTCCCAAGGCATTTTGCAAGATTCTGGTTAATTGTGAATCTCTATATGGAACAACTGCATTCTTCCCTTTGCCCATAGCCTTGTCTGCCAAAGCTGCAATAACTTATCCCAGAACAGATAATGATTTGTTAATATTACCAGCTATATAAACCATTATAACCAAAGCTTACCTTCTTTTAAACGATCTCCCTAAGCTCCTGTTTTCCCTACTTTTTCGGAACCTGCAAGATCAACCAAATTTATAACGGATAGCTTCTCTGATTTTCTCCCATCCACATTCTTAATTTCCTTAAACTCAATCTATATGATGGTGTGTGCTCTCGAAGATCTATTGGATAATATGGAATAATGTACGAGGCATTCATTTAAGTTGCAGCAACAGTTCTGTGCTTGCTTCCCTCATCCATTTTAGCTTCAATGGCTTCGTAGGAATCAACAGGGTATTTTGTAAGTCCTTCTACATACACTCCATAAACTTTATGTTCTCGAACTTTCAGACCTCCTGTTGGTCTTTTGGGAACTGGTACAAGTAGATCCTGGACTTTCTCATTGTAAATTTCAAGCATACTGACTTGCACCTCATAAGCTATTGATTAGGTAATCAAATCAGAATACTTAATTGAGAATCAGGATTTTTTTTAATACGCTTAAAGATCTCTTCGCATGAAATAGGCACGATACCTTTATTTGCCCCATAACCAACCATCGAATAGGATTTACCAGCCTTAATTATTAAATGATTCTTACTCCTGTTTAACCATATGCGAATAGACAACAATGATAACCTTACCAAGCATTATTTAAAATTTCTTAACCAACTGTGTCAAACACCATTTGTTAGTCGGCGTACTTAGTTCCTGGAATAGCTCTGCTGTATCCGTTTTCATCATTCTCAAAGGAATCATGAGACCAGAAAGAATAATCAAAAGCAAAATCTCTATTTTTCTTGGGATCCTCGATATCTTGAGGTTTATATAAATTCTATACCTAATAATATTGTGGTTGGACCATTCATAGCCACACACAATTAGCAATTCAGCTCAAGTTCACGAGCATTATAAGGCCTTACTCTGACTGCCACTTTGACGGACATTATAATAATATAAAGATTTAATAACTTAAAAAAGTAAATATAGGAATAGTATTATCAACGTAAATCGATTGTCTCTGCCCTAGTGATTCCACGATCGTTTTTAGAAGCAGATTAAGGAAATACATTCCAAAATCGAAGAGTCTCATCACCTGCTCCTGTTACTATGCTTTAACCACATGGGGAACCGCTCAAATAGAGAACTCTTTAGGTGTGGCCTGTCAGAGTAGCTACTTTAGACATATTATTATAATTCCAAACAATTATTTAATTTAAAGAATATCCGTGCGTTGAAACTAATTCATTAGAATTCTTAGAGAACATTAAATTACACACTTACGATCCAGTGTCAATACAATCGACTTGTTCTAAGGTTTAAGTATTAAAGAATCTAATGCATCTGTCAGCAGTACCTCCTCCTGAAGCCACTATATTGTGCTGATGAGGTGACCATCCTATAGCTTTGACTGCTGCTTAGTGTTACGAGAAATGAGTGAATTCACCTTGATTCTTTAATGACCAAATAAATAATTTATTGTCATTGCCACCAGATGCCAATAGTTGTTCATCAAATGACCACTTCAAACCACAGATTTCTTACTTATGCCCAACATATTTTTGAATTGATTCATTTGGACTTCTGACATCTCTAACCAAAATATTACGATCTCTGCTTCCTGTGGCCAATAAATAATTGTTCCATGCCAATGACCCAATCCTTCCTTGATGTCCATTCCACTTTCTGATGACTTTCTATTTAACAACATCCCAGACTTCAACCTCTCCCATGCTATTTCCTACTGAAAGATGTTGATTACGTTATGACCAAGCCACACTACAAACCATATCTGGATCTTCAAGAGTGCATAAGCGAGATACCTTGGAAGTATGACCTGACCAAATCAATACAGAATTCTCTAGTCCCACTGCCAAAGCATTAAAAGGAGACCAATCCAATAGGTTTAGATAAAAGTCATCCTACAGATTCTCAGCCTCCAAGATTTTATAAGGACGTTTGTTGATATTCCTTGGTGGTTTTTCAGGTTCAACCTTGGTTGGAGTTGCTGAATACTTTAATCCATTATTAATTATTTTATTCATTTCGTTTTGTTTGTTTTCAGTTTTATAATTGAAAAGCTTTTAATTAACTGCAGGTGATTTTCCTAGAATGGAAGACTGAAGCAAATTGTTGTAAAGTGTGCCTTAACTATTCTCTTCACTCATGAATAACTGATAGAGATTCGATTACACATTACGAGGAATAAACTACAATTAAAAATTAAATCTATACACGATCACTCTTATCTTTTGGACTGGTCCATGACTATTTGTTGAGATCGACTTCCTTAATGGGTGTTTAATCATTCATTGAAAAACAAGTAAATTTGTTAATAAAATTTATCTGTTATTTATTTATATCAATAAAATATATATGTTTAATCTAACCCCCCCCATATCTCTTCAATTTCTTATTATTATTAAATTATCCCACTTCAAAATGATCAATACCATCAACATAGTCTCTCTCAGTTAACTTCTGAATAATATCCATTTGTCATAATCTCACATTGATGAAGCAGCCCGCTTCTACATTAGACATAGCAATGATCAAAACTCTTAATAATCTCTTTGCGAAGAGTGGTGCAACCATTTTCACTTTGCTAAAGGAAATGTAGACGGAGATAAAGTTATCGTATCCCTACTCTATATGGCTCAAAGAGTTGTGGAATCCGTCATCAGATTCCAAGGATCATGTAAAGTGTTCATCATATTTTTCAGACACTTCAATGAGTGATGCATTAAAAAAATAAATGATCAAAGCCTTTGGTTTACTCTAAGATTACTATTGGACCCAAGAATTAAAATCGTAAGTCAAGGACTTAATAAAATAATGGGATGAAAAACAATTATTCACAAAACCAGAAGTCTAAAGCATGCTTGAAACTATCGAACCATCCAAAACACACAAAGAGAAATTCAAAAATCAGTTTGCCCCATCTCTGTTCCTTGTCAATTTTGCTAAAAACTATAAGGTATATAAAATTTCGAACTAATTTTCAGGAATTATAAATTCGATTGTAATAAACTAATGAATACCAATAAAGACTTGATGAACTTATTAATTGTGGAGCTTAAGACAAAATGAATTTGTATGATTCTTTACTAGATCAATATTCCAAATCAGTTGAAAATGTTCTAAAATATAGAAAACTAGTAATCAAGGATATTCTAGATAAATTAAAAGACTTAGATAAAACCCATTCAAAAAGTCTAATTGATATGAAATATCTTGTGTTAAGAATCTAGGATTTGAAGACTAGAAAGGAGAAGAGAATTCAAAATGAATACTATAGTGAATGAATCAAAGAATTTAATAATTTAACTACAATACATTCAAAATCTTCCCTCCACTTGTTTCTTATACATTACAAAACTGATGTTCTTCATCTATTATTATCTTGGCGTTTGGATATGTTATCTAAAACTATTAATTTATTCGAAATCATCCTCTAGCCTTAATTATTTATTGTAATCCTTGGAAATTCATAATTATAAAACTTACTCTTGAATAATCATCTTAAATTTTGATCTTTTTAAACGATTTACGCATACTTTCATTGAAATAAGAATCATTATCGAATTCTTGAACTTAGTAATTGTTTATTGTATTATCTGATTATTTTTTCACAGAATCAATCTACACAATATTCTCATCTGTAGATGACTATATACTAATAGTCAAGATTTGATCTATTGGTAATAAATACGAAGTATCTATTGAATTCTTCTTTTCTTTTCGAGGACTCATTATTTTTTAACACTTTTTGATCTACTAGTTTAACACAACATTTTATCGATTTATTAAATTTTCCTTATCCTCTATTTTGTTTCTCTGTTTTATCTTGCTATTCATAGCTAGCCTTGAGATTTAAGGTTCATTATCTAATTATGTGTCATTTATGTTGTATCTAGATCGATGAGGACTAAATTAAGGACTGAAATTCCATTCCTTCTTTGCATCTTTGACCTTCGGAGATCTCTAACTGAATGGGAGGTCTCTTTGAGTGTAATATTCTAAATAATTGGCAAATTAGTTCATTTAAGTTAACGGTAATATAAATTAAATAATAAATATAATAAATAAATGTGCACTTATTTTTTATCATTCATTCTATCTATAATGATCACGTTTTGTTTCCCAATTGATGATTTTGTTCTTTAAATTCTCATTTCTTGTCTTACTTGATAAGATACAAGAAAATAGTGTTTAAGATTTTCTATTAGTAATTGTAAAAGCACTTCATTTTCTTTTCTAATGTCAGAAATTGACCAAGAAAAGTTCTAATTCATGCCAAACTATGAGGATAAGGATGATGTAATATTTTTAATAATTTCATAAAAATAACCAAAAATTTATTGATCATTGTTTCTTTTTTGATTGATGATATTACTAATGAGAAAAATCAATGAAATTTAATGGACTTTCAGATTGAGTGAAAAATTCATTTCTAAAGCTATTTTGATGGCTGAATTAAATGTTCCTTATGCTAGAACCATTATCTGAGGTTGAAATGATAGATTGTACCATAGATTGTTCATTAGATTCTGATTTTTTGACTTTGAATTGTTGTAATTATCTTTCAGTTTTTGGTTTTTGAGAGATTCGAAATTCAATTTAATCTGGCTCAGGTTCCTGGAATTCTGTTAGTTAGGTTACCATTTTTTAGAATTGTTGAAGAACTTTAGGAGTAGGGATTTGGTCGTCTTTGCATTATTCAAAGAGATTTTCATCATCAAATTTAATTATATCAAATTTAATCGGGCTGGGTTGCCTTTTCTATTCTTTAAAGTGTAACTCAATTTGACGATTAATATTTTATTCAACAGTAAACAATGTAAGTTGGGGGAAGATTTGGATTGCAGTAACTTCATTACACAATTTTAACATTTGTGTTACACTTCTTCCCAATCTAAGAGTTTCAGTATAGACTTGATATAATTTCATTGAATGTTCGCTTTCCATTTACAGCATTTGATTGATGTGAGATTGTAAGTAAACTTGCACTTTAGGATAGAAGAAATAAAGATCATTTAGGAGTTGTACACAGACATATTTAGTAACATCTATGTTTTGAAATTTTGTTAAAGAAATATCTAAATCTTTGTAGATTTTGACTAAGACCTGAATGGTAGACACGATTTTGTGGATGATAAAGGTTTTTTGATATTCTTCTTTTTCTTCAAAATCAGAAAGAGCATTTAGGAAAAACAGATAATTCTCATATCTGATTTAAAGGTATGAATAGAGGTTTTAAACGATATTGATGTGCAACTATGCAATCGGATCTTCCGGCTTCTTTTATTACTTATTTTTGATTTTATCATAGAGATGATTGTTGCAGACAGCATCAACAAAGATGTTACATTATTTCTTTGATAATATACATAAAAAATTGAATATACTTCTAAGCAGTAATGCAAGACATAGCCAATTTTCAAGGCACTTATCCATTTGTTGTATTGGATTTGGCATAAGATATCGTAGAATTTATTAAATGCATCTAAAGGTAAAATCTTTTGATCTTAACCTTTTAAGCATTCGATGATAGGCTAGATAAGAATCAAAAGTACTTTCATGTATTTTGGTTTTGGAACATCCCCATTTTCACTTGAGGTACATTAGTAAAGAGAATAGTCAAATTCATCCTTTGATATTAGTGAAAGGTTTCTAAATATTTTTAACATATTTATAATTATAATTAGTTAAATATTTCACTGCTCCTCTTCAATGAATTCAAATAGAACATTGAGGTATCCATCATTGAGCTCAAAATCTTTATTCTTTAAAAAATAACATTAATTAGATACGATTTGAGCTTTATTGCTTCAGAATAGTAAAGAAATTTGAGAAAAAAATCAGTTTTATATAATTGAGGAACGTAAATTTAAATAGTTTGAATGAGATTTCTATTTTATTTAATTCTTTAATTCTATAATTAAACTTGATTTGGTGGTCAGTTTTTAAAGTGATTGAATTAACATAATATTTCTAAATTTAAATAATCATATAATTCTTTTTTCATCATTCAAATGTGTATAATGCAAAAAAATTAATTAATTAAATTGCATAAAAAAGAGAAAGAATTATGAGTGTCGAGGAAATTAAGAGACAAGTCGAGTATTATTTGTCAGATAAAAACTTATCCCAAGATGAATTCTTCCACAAATAGATCAGTCAAAGCCAAGATGGCTATCTCTAACTTTAATTTATTCTTAAGTGCAATAAGGTTAAGTAAATGAAAGTTACACAAGAATAACTTGTTGAAGCAATCAAAACATCAACTGAAGTTGAATTAGGTCCAGATCAAACAAGTATTCTTTTATCCAAAACATATTAGGTGTTAGAAGATCAAACAATAAGCCTTTACCAGAATTAAATATTACTCAAACCAATAAAAAAGTAAAGACTAACAGCGGTGAGGCAGTGGCTGCACAATAATAATAGGAAGAAAAACCTTAAGAAGAAGTCATTGACAATCCCTATCATAATTTTGAACCACTAATTTTTACAGTCAAAGCCCCAGCAGGTATCGCAGTCAATTGGACTCAAATCACAGAGGCTCTAATGAAATAACATAATATCAGTTCTCCATATGTCAGATATGGTAAGACTGAAGGCAACTTTGCTCTATCTAAACCTAGAACACCAGAAGAAAACATAGTTCGTTTAACTTCAGAGGGTATCAAGATAGGAGAGCACTAATTGGAGATTCATGTAACAAATGGAGATGATTTAACATAATTCTGGGCACATCATGGAAAGCATTATGAGACTATTATCAAAAGAGCCAAAGAAACATTTGCTCATGGTGGTGCTGGCAAGGGAGGCAATAAGAAATACGAATAAAGAAAGTAAAAAAAGGATATTGTATTCCATAATCAAAAAGTAATTCATTTATTAATTTATTTAGTATAGAGATATTTCTTAATTGAAGAACATTTTCAAAACCATCCTAGCTAGATCTGAAAATAATACTCCATTGAAAGAACCATATCATTCAATGCTTGTGTCCTTATTGTAATACCATGATAAGAAGGACTAAAAACTTAATGGATTGAAACACTTCACTGTTGGATAGCATCCAGATCATGCTGAAACCAGATGTTTCTTTGCAGTCAAAGAAGACGGATCATCTGAGGATTTCAGCAGTCTAAAGTGCATCAAAAATTTAGAAACATCTCTAGGTTTATGAGTAGCATAATAACATAATATTAATTATATCAAAAATTTAATTATATTTTAACAAAATACCTACATCTTAGTATTGAAATTCAATTCATAGTTTACAAGACATTATATTTCACCAAAGTATTCTTATTGAAATGTAACTTAGACATAATATGCGAAAATAAGTATAATTTTGAATGAAGATATTTATTATAATTTAGTAAGAGTTTGAATCTAAGTTAAAAATTAGACTAATTCAAATAGAAACTTTAAGACAATTATATGGAAGGCTTCTAAACTTAATTTTAGTATCAATTTATATATTTTTAATAAAAATAATGTTAATCTCAAATAATTATATTTAATTTATTTTTTACTTTCATGGGGTTTTTAACCTATTTTTTTAGCAATAACAACAAAGGCGTAAATAATAAGCAGAATGAAGAAGAGGTAATTTAAATTTATATGTAGATCTGGATATATGATTTAGTTTATGAACATCTTACATCCCCAATCTGGAAAATTGCGATTATGGAATTCGTAGATGAGAATTGCATTATATTTGATGATGAAGAACAATACACGCTAGAATAAGAATAGAAATTCCAACAATTTAAGGAATTGATATCCTCTTAATTTGATAATATGTTGAATGAATATGGATTAACCAATTAGCAATTGACCAAACAAATCCTAATAGGATTGGCACATCCTCAACATAAGAATATCTTCTAGCAGATAATAGCAATTAATGATTACAAGATTTTCAGAAAATAAATGATAACTAGAAATAAAGAATTAGAGTTAGAAGCATTGGAGGAACTCGAAAAATAGGATAGGATTTTATTATAATAATAACAACATTTGAATATTTAGTAATACATAAATATAATATTACTTAAGATAGCCAGCAGCAGAATTTGATTAGCAATTTGAATTAAAACGATTGCAAATAGAAAAAGAAAAGGCAGAATTAGAATTGGCTATTGATTTATCAAAAAAAGCAGAGGAAGAATAGAAGCGTCTTATGGAATTATAAAATGACGATTTCCTCAATAAAATTCTAGAACAAAGCTTGCAAGAATTCAAGTAACTGTATTTATGAAATAATTAAAGTGAGTTGTAAAAGAAATTGGAAATCGTTTAAAAAAGAGAATCAGAACTTAAATCATAACCCCAATACAAGTAATCCGAAATCTTCAAGTCTATCAAGAATGTTAAATATCCATCATTTACAAGTTATACTTAAAGACAAGAGGAGAAGTTCAATTAGAATCAGAATCATTTTAATTAAGAGCCTTAAAGCAGTCATATAGTTCATCAATAGGACTTTCAAAATGATTTTCATTAAATCTAATAAGCAAAGGATTTTTCATACAATCCTCCAGTAATCGAGAGGGTGAGTTCGGAACTAATAGAGGAGAGTGCTATAATACCCAATGAGGCTATGCATGATCAAAAGCAAAAGATGGAACACCAAAAAAATATCCTAATTAGAAAAAAGAATGAAATCATTAAATCTGAGTTACTGAAGTTTGAATAAGATAAAAAACCTTAAACAATAAATTAGGTAATAATCTTTTAAATTAATTCTTAGACGTAATATATAAAGAAGTGATCAGGCATATGTTATTTTATTAATAATTTAAATTATAATTATCATTTACAATTCATAAATTTTACTATCTATGACTTAATTGTTTAGTAATTTAAATACTTTAAAAATAATTAGAGAAACCAATGGGTTGTTAAGCTTCTAAAAAGTAACGTAAGACTTCTAGGGATAACCGTCCTAGTTTACTAGATGGGTCAACTGATCTTTAAAATAAGAAACTCATAGCTGTAGAGACAAAACCATAGGAAAGAAAAAGCAAATAACCGAAATCTTTAGATAAAAACAAAGTAGTAGAACTTTTTTAAGCAGAGCATCAATAAATCTACAGAAATAAGAAATTCTAACAAGATTATTTTATTACTGAAGAAAAAGTCTTAATAAATGGATTTTAAGGAACAATATTTGTTGTTGAGCACAAAGTTACTGGTCTTAAGAGAATAGCAAAGATTGCTAGAAATGTGTTAACAAGTAATCAAATTGCTGAATACATCGAATATTTGCAATAACTTAAAAAAATAGTAAGTTTCATTAAAAATTTTAGGATCATCCTAATATTATAAAATTATTCGATTTTTATCATGATGAAAAACACATCTACTTAGTTGAAGAATATATAGACGGTGGAGATTTGTCGCAAAGATTAAAAACAGAAATGCATAGCTAAGAGAAAATACATGTGGCATTTGTTTTTTAGTAGGTGTTATCAGCAATCAATTATTTACATTAATAGGACATCATACATAAGAATGTTTCATTGAATGGAGTACTAGTGGCATAAAAATCTAATCTTTTAATTAAACTAATTGGATTAGACGATCTATTCTATATCTTCTAGGATTTCAATACTAATTTTAGTTATAGAGCTCCTGAGACTTTCGCTGAGAATTATTAATATAGTAAATCTGCAGATATTTGGTCAGCTGGCATTATATTGTTTGAGTTGATGTATGGAATCCATCCCTTTTAAGATTCCACTCGATAATTAACTATATAAAATATTAAAAGAAATAATATCAATTAAGAGATAGATGTAAATTCTATAAGTGATGAAGCATTTAAGTTAATCAGTGATATGATCAATCCTGATCACAATATGAGACCTAGTGCTAAGGAATGTTTAAAATATAAGTTTTTTAAGACTATAAGAAAATCATCAATGAAAATAACTAGTGCATTATTAAGGGTAAAAGAATTTGAAAGTAAAAACGAATTGAGATTGATATTGTTGAGTTTAATGATAGAATATTTGATGTCAAAGGAAGAAAGAGATAAAATTGCCTAAACCTTCTACAAAATTGATCTCAATAATGATGGTAAAATATCTAAAACTGAGTTGTATTAATAATACTTTGAAAGTTCAGGTGATGAGAATTTAGCAAGAAAAGAAGTAGAAAGAATCTTCTCATAATTAGATGTCAATAAAAATTAGTTTATAGAATTCAATGAATTTTTAATCGCCTCATGCAATAAAACAGCTCTTTTCAGTGAAGAAAATCTAACGAGTTTCTTTAACAAGTTAGATAGAGACCATAGTAAATAAATATCTGCCAATGAACTTAAGGTCTTTTTTTATAATACTCAATTATCTTAATCTGATTGGCAACGAGTAATCCAATTGGGAGAAAAAAAAGAAGAAACGAATAATAAGATTTCGTATTAAGAGTTCATCTCTTTATTAACTGAAAATGATTGAATAGATATATGTGTACTCGTATTATTTTATCAAATGTTTCTTCTAACTATTCTTAATTGATTTGCTATTGCCATTGGTACTTTGATAGGTTACTAATTTTGTTACTACAGATTGTTGATTTTTAAATCAAATCTACAGAAGGGACAAAATTGATTCTTCTAAAGCCATTATTGAATGCAATATACATGAAATATGTGACTACTTATATGAATTAGGAATACTTGCATGGAGTGCTATTAACAGGTTGTTAATTGCAAAGAGGATCCAAGCAGATCGCACAATTATCTTAAAGATTGCTAGGTTATAATTGATTATCTATGGTAGCATATTGATCATCTTCTTTTTTACTCTAAGATCTTCCATATATAAATTGATTCTCTTTGATTTCAAAATCATCTGGCGTTTGTTTTTCTACTGATTTCCTTTATCTCGCTCTTCTAATTATAAAGATACAAAAGCAAAATAAAAGAAAACCTGTTACACTACAAACAACAATTATAATTGATTTCACCTGTTCGCTTTTACTTTCATCGTCAATCCGATTCAATCTAATAATAAATTCACTCCCTTGTATTAATATAATCAACTTATCAGGAATTTAAGATCCCCATTCATAACTATTTGATTTTCTCTGTTCTATTGTTATGTTTAAGGGAGTTGTTCTTGTGATAATAGCAGAATTATCGAAGAAATTAGGTGTTGGCAAATATAATAAATTAGGTACAAGCAAATAAATTTGAGCTTCATTCTCAGTCTACAATAAACAATTATAATACCGTGATCTCTAATCTTAAATCTTAAGTTCCATTGTATTCATAGTAACAATAAAAGTTTGGATCATGGGATCCATTCACAGGCATTGGTTTTTCTTGCTCCAATTAAAGGGCTCTCATGGAACAATCTCTGGATATGAATCCCTTGCCACATTTACATTCCCCCTATAGGCAATCTCCATTCTCTTAACAATTATTTGGACATAGCATTGATGAGGATCCTGTTAAATAAATATCGAAGGAAATTGGAATATTGGTCAATACAGTAAAGTATATTTTACTATATGAGCTTGGTATTTAGATAAAATGGTTTCTCTTTTTTTAGACATAACTATAAAATTGTTCTTTATTAGTTATACCTATCATAGTCCATTCCATCAAATATAAAACCATCGTCCTTATCTAAATATGGCGGTTGTGCTTCTAAGAAAAGTAAAGCTATTTCGGCTGCTTTTTGGGATGTTTGATTTAGATCAATGGTGCAATAATTGGCATATTGAGGGTGGCAATTAACAATAAAAGTAGTATTTGAAGAATTAGTATTCACAATTCTTTTTTGGGAATATAAGAATCCTTTAGAAATGAACAATTCAAACTGGACTGCGAATACTTCGTAAAAGTAGAGTAACAATAATCCAAAAGTGAAAGTATTAATCATAGTAAAAATAAATGAATTGAAAATAATTTGAAACAAAACCAATTAGACTATTTTTATAAAACTCAATATAATTTATTTAATTTAGGAATACTCCACAAATGGGATCATTTTTATTGAGCTTAAATATTGGCAGTTTTTCATAGTTCTATTCAGTGATTGAGAATATACTATATTCGTATATTTTATAATATTGGAATATTCAAATTCAATATTTGAAATTATTTTCTTGATATTAATGTGATCTGTAAATTCAATATTTAGAGTCTACTCAAAATGCAATAGATTCAAGGCTCATCATTGCATAGGCAAATCATAAACGGATTAAAAAAGATTTTTCTTGATATTCCATTAGTGTAATGAAAAAATTATATTAATACATTAATTTGTATTCAAGAAATAATGAAGACAAAAGAAAAATCAAAAAATAGGACTTAATTTCAATGCTATACTAAGGATTACTCTATTGTTTTATTCTTTTTGTTTTAAATACTCATTAGCATATTAGTAGTTGTCTATGATGCTAAAAATGAACTGATATCAGTTGTCATCTGTTCGATTCATGGATTTTTTGCGCTTTAGCAATTAATATTGCCGAAAGACAAGGCAATCATTTATAAATAAATCTGTATGCTTCTGAGTAAATTGGCTAGCCTAATATTGATAGTTATTGTCGGATCTGAATTGGCAATTTTAATAATAGCATTATTCGAGCGTTTAGATTTAATATCATCTAAGAATAATACATTTAAATAATTTGATCAGATTCTGTTTAGATTAATTACTCTCATCATAATGATATTTGATTTCAATTTGCTTTTAACAATAACACTTGCATACACAATATTGATTGAAATAAATAAACTTATATTAGAAAGATCTATTGAAAATAAATAAATATAATACAACATTACCAGTAGTTATCATAACACATCAAGGACCACAGATTAAGAATGGAATTATCGTTTGAATTAAATTCCACAATGTTTTATTGTAATAAATCTGCCAAGTCTAAAGGTTTCTTATAAAAATAATTATCTTTAAACTTATTTCAAACCGTGTTATGAAAATGATGAGGAGCTAGATGAATTGATCTTACACAAATTACAATTCAGCATTGTACAGGATAAGATAGATACAATACAGTAGTTACATGCAAAGCCAAAAGTCAACCTGAGATAAGCAAAGAAATAACAAATGTGGAACTATAAGAGCGATTCAATTTCACTTCAACAATCACCTTAATACAGATAGGAGTAGTCTAGATACTCTTTGGAATTCCAAACTACATCTTAATTATCAATCTTTGAAATCTTGACCAACAGAACATCTGATGAGTAGAGTAATGATGGTCACATTGAGATCTTTTCGGATCAAAGTTGGTAGTCAATTGCTATAAACTATAACTATTCTTTTTCAAGATAAAAACTGCAATTATCCGGTTAAATCATTTTTTCTGAATAAGAAGGAGAAGTATTGCTGACTCTTATTGATGTTTCTAAGCAAAACTAATTACAAGAATTGATTTCTAATTCTGAGTTTAAATCAAAGGTATTTATCATTTATCAATGAAGATCATTGAGTCTTTCTCTCATGAATTAAGAACGCCTTTGAATAGTGCTCTCAATTTTCTGGTTTCTTGCCAATATGACAAGGAAGTGGAAGAGTTCATTAAGGAAGATTATTTATAACCAGCAATCAACTCCTTAAAATTGCAATCATATGTTATTAGTGACATAATAGATTTATCATAAATTTCATCAAATAATTTTATAGTATCCGCAAGAGAATTTTCCATAAGTGAAATACTAAATGAGATTATTTAATTGTTTAAAACCTAATTTGAAATGAAGAGAGTGGAATTAAAGATTAATTTACTAGATTGCACAATTTCCAAATTTACATCTGATTATGTAAGACTTACTTAAATCATTATTAATCTATTATGCAATTCTCTAAAGTTTTCATCTGACGGCATTGTGACATTACAAATAACATCTGTTTAGAATCAACATCTAAAAATCAGTGTTTCAGATTAAGGAATGGGAATAGAGAGTGACAACCTTAATGAATTGAAATCCCTTCTTTAAAATATTGAACATTACAAAGATATTTAATTAAATAAAACTTGGTAAGGTTTTGGTTTGTTGATTTCTGCCATTCTGGTTAATAAATTAGCACCAAAAGAGAATAAATACTTATAGATTGACTCATCTGGCAGTCAATAAGGAACAAATGTGTGGTTTTACGTTGAAAATTAACTCAGTATTGAAATCCCAAAATAGAACACTTTGCGATATAGTGTTCCCAGATTTTAAAGTTCTCATGATGAATAACTATTTAACTTAGATGTAAATTGTGCCATATTTTAAGCGACAGATTTTAGTAACGTCGCTTTTTCGAAGTAATTTAACTTCAATGGGAAAGGAAGGGAATCTTAAAAAAATGACTTTAATTATACTGATAGTTAATCATTTGAGTCCTTACAATTTAAATATGTATAACTTTCACCGCTCTCACCTTCATTGATTACTGATAAATTGTTTATGCCATAAAAAAACGAGACCGATCATAAAAGTAATCTTCAAATAGTAAATCTAAAAATGATGATAGAAGCACGTGTTAAGGAAGATCAAGAGTTCTTGAATACATTTTAGAAAAAGAAGAAATGTACCTGTTAAAACCTGTTATCCGTTGATGATGAAATTTTTAATTAGAAATCGATTCAAATTTTATTAGCCAAATTAGGATTTGATGTAATATTAGTATAATAATATAAAATATCAATCAAGGCATTTAATGGAGCGGAGGCCATTAGAGTCATTGAGGAATCGGTTCCTTGTGGTCCCTAATGTTAATTGTTCACCCTGATATTGATGGACTATTAGATGCCGATAATGGATGGATGTACTGCGACTATAAAGTTAATAGAAATGATGAATTAAAATATAATCCCTAAAATTCACATAATAGGATTAACGGCCTTTACTAATGCTACTGATGTTTCTAATTGCATTAGAGCAGGTATGAGTGATGTATTACAAAAACCTTTAAATTTGAAGGATTTGAAAGAAATTTTGATTCTGGTTTGAATTTTATGGCTAATATATTTATTTATAATAAAATTGAATCTTATGAAACAATAATAATAAGGATATGCATGCTTAAAAATCTGATAAAACTGTCTTTATTTCTTTGGCCATTTTTAATAGACAAAAATTTTTTAAATTTCATTTATTTGCCTTTGGCTCTATAGCGAATACTATCATGTCTAAATTATTATTAAAAATAGATAAAAACTATAATGTTTTAAAATACTTCTTGTTCTCAATCGAAAAACACTTAAGACAATTTACTAATTCAAGGAAGAGGTTTAGTTTCAAAATAAAATGTCATTTAAATGGTGATATTTAATATTTTGAATACATTAGTTGACCTGATCTTACTAATTCAGTATCCTCATTAATTATAGTACATCATCTCAAAAATGTCCTTGAGTGTTTTGATGACAATCATAATAATATCATTTTGGAGAAAAATAACTCATGTTATAATCAATATTATTTTGGTTGTGATAAAATTTAGCTCAATCCTAATACTTTTGTTGATTGGATCAGATTATATATTGATAATTGTATTAATATGTGAACAAAATAATTTTTCAACGAATTTTGAACACTTTGAATATTTGGTTCAAAAAGTAATGATATTAATTGGATGTTTTATAATATTGATCATTAAATTTAATGTGATGGATATAGTAATAATTGCAAGTGTATTAATATTTGATATATACCAATTAAGTTTAATTTTTAATAAGTAAAAACAATAAAATAATGAAGACTTATTTAGTTTATCTTAAAATAAAATTAATCGAGAAGTAATAACTATTTGCAATAAAGAAAATGCATGGTTGAGTAGAATATCAACTCTTCCGATATTTTTTGTTATGATTTCAAAAAAAGATTTAAAATTAACATATAAAAATCAAATTGTTAATAAACATTTTTCATCAGTTTGTAAATCTGACTCAGAATATGATAACCTAATTCTAAATTAGTTGAATTTTTCAATTATTTCAGGTATTATACTTAACCATAAATCTAGATAGCTTTGAAGATCAAAAAAATATTACTACAGATCAACACATCATAAAGAATAGATTGAGGAACAATCATTCAAATAAGAGTAATTAAGATAAGAAAGATTTCTCTGATTTAGATAGCATAAATCTAAAATTTAAAGACACGAATAAATTATTTGAAATTTTATAGAACTATAAGGATGGTAGACTATTAGACACTATTAATTAAATGAATAATACTTTAGAACTATTTTGTCAACATCATTGGGAAGACTCTAGATGCTCGACTTACACTGGGTAGATTAATTTTAATTAAGATGATGATGAAATCATCTTAACATTGATTGACATATCCAAATAAAATAAGTATTTTGATGAACTCACAAAAGACCAATTTAAAACCTAAGTAAAATATAACATTAATTACTTAGATAGCCCAATCCTTTTCGCATGAATTAAGAACACCTTTAAATAGTTCCTGCAACTTCTTATAATATTGTTTAAATCATAAAGGAGTTGAAGAGGAGTTGAAAATCAACTTCATCTAACCTGCAATCAATGCGTTAAGGTTATAGTCTTATTTGATCAATGATATAATTGATTTTAGTTCATTATGTGCTAATAATTTAGAATTAGATATCAAAGATTTTCTGATTATGGATTTAGTGGATGAAATAAACAAATTGTTTAAATCTGTTATAGAAATGAAAAAGTTAATCTTGTATGTTGATTTATTGGAGAACTAAATTAATAACATTTGTACAGACTTTTAGAGACTAGTATAAATTATAGTAAATGTTCTACAGAATTCTATTAAATACTCGAATTCCGGATCTATTCTTCTTAAGTTGACCTCATATTCATAGAATTACTTAAAAATTACAGTTAAGGATGAAGGATTTGGAATAGACGAACTTCGATTAGCTAAAATTCACCAAATGCTTTTGGATGTTGAATCAAAATAAAACTTTTCCTAATATTCATCTTGGCATGGCTTTGGTTTACTCATCTCATAAATGTTGTTATCAAAACTTTGTCCTGATGATTTTAAATCATTATTGATTAGATCTGGCGGAATTGGGTAAGGAACAAAAGTGACATTCTATATTAAGAATCACAAGTTAATTAAGTAATCATCAAGTGTTCATTATAAGGATAAACCAATAAGGCTAAACAGCAAACTAAGATATAGTAATCTATCAGGTTCATGTCATCATTTATCTATAAATGGAACCTTTATTTAAATTAGTGATTTATTTGCTTCTAATCAAAAAGTTAATAATAATGTCCCATTTGTTAAAAAAGTAACCCTCAAATCTTTAAAATCAAATGAAAATTCCAATTTTTCAGATAGCATAATTAACTTAGATTAAGATTTTTAGATATCAGAAATGCATCACTTACAACCATTTCTATTTACAGAAAATGTTCACCAGAGAGTCAAATTAAACAAATAAGAGTAATCTCCAAGAAGTAATCATCCATAAACAAAAATTGTTAGCTACAAATAATTAAAGCTTTAAGAAGAACAAGAGAGCGAATAAAATTTGAAAGCATTTATGAAGAAGAAAAAGTGTAATTGTAGGAGAATTTTGTCAGTAGATGATGAGATTTTTAATTAAAAATCAATTCAATTCTTATTAACATAATAGGGTTTTGAAATCATTTTGGTATTTTTTATTATCATATTGAAGGCATTTAATGGACAAGAAGCTATTTAGATAGTGAAAAATACCCAGAAATGCAGCTTGAATTGTAGCTTATTTTTATTAATTTTAATGGATTATCAAATGCCAATAATGAATGGATTATAATGCACTAAGCAATTAAAATAAATGATGGATCAGCATCAAATCCCTTTAATTCATATCATAGGGTTAACAGCATTTAATAGTAAGAATGATATTTTAATGTGTCTAAATTCCGGAATGAGCGACGTATTAACAAAACCATTAATAATAAAAGAACTATTTGAAATATTACAACTTATTTGATATTTTTATAAACGTAATTGTAAACTGAAATTTAGTAAATTCAATTAAAATAGTAAATTTTGTTAAACTTAATTTATAATTATTTTGTAAATATGAATTCTAACTCAGAATTGGTTCAAATGTTAAAAGATCTTCAAATTTATAATTCCATTGATAACAACTTTAATCCTGATCATAGTTAGTTGGTTATGATATATGAAAAAGTATCAGTTCTAATTTCATGTTAGTTTTGTGATTTAATCAATTTTGATGATAATTTCACTTTAGAAAACTCAACATTATAACTCTTTTATAGATGCAAATTAATGTGTAAGACTGTTGGAGTAGCCGACTTTTAGATGATGGATTTAACAGATCCTGATTAAAAACGAATGAAACACATTCTTACGCTGTTATGCAAATATAGCATTTGGAAAAGAGAATAAAGCTAAAAGTGGGAAAAAAGAGACAAAGAAATTGTAATTTAATCAATATCATAGGAATTAGGCTTAACTTGAGGATTTCGATTTATAAAACACAAGAAAATAAAAAAGTGAACTTGAAGATTTGATTTAAATGAAATATAAGGATATGGATTTAAAACATAAGAAATTTGAGTAGTATAAATAAATGAAACATAAGGCTGAATCAGAGTTATTAGCTAAAAGGAACTTAAATTTAAAATTACAAAATTCTATTTCATAAAATTAAAATGAATTGAAGGATGCAGAAAAAAAGTTTAAGAATTTGATCGAGAAGTTGTAGGTGGCTCAAAATGAATTGACAATATTGGAAAGGTAATTATATTAGTTATACTTCTAGTATGGTTGTTAAAGATCCAAAGAATTTAGAGAAGAAAGTAAATGATAGTTTAAGAAGAGTAGAAGCCTTATAAATTGAAGTTGATAAATGTCAGAAGGAATTATCAATTGAATCATTCAAAATTGGGAAGATTTATAAATAATTATACATAGATTATGATATTTTTTTGAGAGTGCTTGAATAAATAAAGGAATCAGAAAAGGCTTTAATTTAGGAAGATAAAAATTTTGAAAAATCAAATGATTAAATATTTACAGCCTCAAATAAAATACTATAGGAAAATTTAGCACTGTAAAAATTACAGTAAAATAAAGAGCAACTATAGTCATAGAAATTATCAGAATCTGAGAAAAACAACTCATCTAATTAATATAGTCTACAATCTTTAATAGATTTGCAAAACAAATTATAAGATTTATAAACGGAAGTCAAAAAAGAATAATAGGATTATCTATTAATACAATAAATGAAGCAAGAGTAATTGAAAATTACATCAGAAAATGATCAAATAAAAACTCTGATTGAAGCAAACTTAAAATAAGTAGTGACTCAATAAAATAAAGAAATTGAATAATATACAAAAAATATTGAAATCTTATTAAATAAAATAGAATTTGAATGAGAATATATATTTTAATGATGATTTACTATGGTTAGTAAATGTATATAGATAAGAATTTAAATGTAAATACTATTAATTCTAATAATTGATTATCTGAGTATTAGGTGTCATTTTACCGCATTTCCCAATTATTCTATTAGAATATGATAGATTTCTTTCTTTAAATAAATGGTCTTATGTGTCTTCTATGAATATCTAGGAAATAAGTTTAACTTAAGATACTAAATTTTAGAAAAAAATCCTTATATCTTTAGTTATTTCCTAAGAGTATGCATTAAATAGAAATCTACAGCTTTAGTCTAACACAAAAATAAAGATATTGATTAAGAATATATATTAAGGAATGAAAGGTTAAGAAGTGATGCATCAACATTATTTAAAAACTCTTAAAACCATAAGTAAATTTAATTACACTATGTTGTTAATTAATTATTAAGGTAAGTAAGATTATAATTGATAATATAAATAATATAAAATATCTGAATGGGAAATTGTTTCTTACAGGAGGAAGAAAAGAATTAGAAATCTTCAATAAAAAAAGTAGATAGCTTTCTTGCATAATAAATGGAGAAAAGGAATGAAAAGTCAAAAGTGACTTTGAAAGATTTTTTAAGTCAAGGTGAAATAGGAAGAGTAATTAATATGATTGATTGAAATGCTAGGGTAAATTTGGGAAGGTTTTAAGAGTGAAAATGAAAGGGAAAGACAATCGAGAATATGCAATGAAAGTTATTAAAAAAGCTGATATCTTGAAATATGGACTTGTGGAGCATACTATGCTAGAAAAGAATGTGTTGGGTGCAAGTAAGAATCCATTTGTTGTGAAATTGAAATACTCATTTTAAACTGAGCAAAAGCTTTATTTAGTGATGGAGTAAAATATATTTTAATGAAGCTAAGATTTATTAAGGGTGGTTAATTAGCTAAAGTATTAAGAAAAAGATAATAGGGAACATTTACAGAGGAATAAACTAAATTTTGTGCAGCTGAAATAATATTAGGTTTGGAATATATGCATCATACTCTAAGAGTAATATATAGAGATTTGAAACCAGAGAATGTGATGGTCACTGAAGAAGGACATTTAAAATTGGCTGATTTTGGACTGTCCAAATAATATGAAAATGAAGAAGCTAAATTCTTTACTGTAATATACGCTTACTAAAACATAGCTTGCAGGGACACCAGAGTACTTGGCTCCAGAGATTTTATTTAATTAAGGCCATAATCACATGGTTGACTTCTGGTGTTTAGGAATTCTAATTTATGAGATGTTAGTTGGTTACACTCCGTTTTGTGATGATCAAGGAAACCATAAAACAATAGAAAATAATATCAGAAATGGTTAGATTATATATCCAAAGTTCATGAGTGAGTCATCCAAGAATATAGTGGATAGATTATTGAATAAAGATCCAACATAAAGACTTGGTGCAAAATCTATTTAAGAGATTAAGGATCATAGTTTCTTTTGTGATATTAATTGGGAATAGCTCTATAATTTATAAATCCCATCTCCAATATTAGAAAATACCCATGTTTATGTAAATAAATATATCTGATAGTTAATCTAGCCGCAAGTTAAGAAAGATTAGTTTGGTAAAAGAATCTATGAAACACCTTCATCGCATTTTATTGAAACAAACGGTGATTTCAATGGTTTCTCTGCAGCTTAAGAATGATTATATCTATGAAAAATGGTATTTTAGATATCAATTTAAGTTTAAGTTATGGTATATATTTATTAACAATATAATATTCAAGTTTCTTTTCTTTTTTTCAATTTTAAAATTATTCTAGCTTCTGAATTAAATTTATTGATTTTTAGCATATCATCAAGATCTTTCTTCAAAATAGAGTCATTAGATATTAATTCTGCTATATTGATGGTCTTTCTTAGGTGTAAATATGTTTAATGAAATTATTCAAATTCGTTATGTTTTGATATATTTGATTAAAAGGTTTCCATTATTATCTTAGCATCCTCTAATTCATCATTAAATACAAACATATCTTCTGTGTCTTCATTATCATCCTTGGCCTTTTTTAAATCATGATTATATTAATTTTTCAAGACTCCAACTAAATTTTGGAGAAGAGTTAAATTTAAGAATCGAGGATTCTAAAGTAATAGTTAACAAAATCCAAACAAATAGAGTTGGCAGTCATATTCAGGTAGGCAGTACTTACTGGAATCAATTACATGATCATAAATGAAGCCCTATTGTTGTTCTATCCACTCTAAGGTTAAGGCAGAATTTTTAATAAACCCTGAAATATATATTCCCATTAGTCGAGCTCTCAAAAAATCGTTTTTTACTAGCAATTAGGATCTTTAAAGGATTTTTGTGTATATGTAAGTTAAAACCTCCTTATTTAATTGATATTCTTGTAGCAAAAGATGAAGAAGCAAAATAGCTTCACCTTAAGAGGATTCACCTATTTGTGGATTGTTAAACACAGTTTCCAACATTTATATTAACTAAATTAAGATATAAGATGAATACAAATTCCTGAGCGTTGATATTTGAAAATAAAGATTTTCCATAATAAATATAATAATTAAAGAGTTCAAATAGTTGTCCAAGTGTGAATTTTTATTTTTCAATGACTTTTTTACATTAAAAGAACATTTCAGCTTAAAAATCACTAATAAATTTAGTTTTACAAATTAACTAAGAGATGAAGTATACAATATCCTCATCAAAATCAATGATATTTGGATCTAAAATATCTATATGACTAATTACTTATGATATATTTATATAACACAGAGACCCTATTTTCTAAAAGAGTAAAATGGACAGGAATGATGTTCTCTATTTCAGGTAAAGATTTAAGTATATTCCAAGTTTAATTGATATAAATCTATCTCTCAGTCTATCCTTATTCAAAAAGTTGCTACTCTTATTATATTTTCAAAACTATAAGACTTAATGCTTAATCTAACACAGAAGGTTCTAATGGAAATGTTCTAGCATAATGCAATCATAATATATACTTGAAAATTTATTTGATTGTGTCAAAATGATCCTCAAAATCACTTTATATTAACGATTAACATAGTACGAGTAAAATCTATCCTATATTTGGTTCCAACAGTTTTTCTAGATTTGGTTCTTCAATGATATTTTTGATAGCTTCTATTGCACAATAGCAATTAGCATATAATTCAGTTTACGAAGATTTGATCTAATTCATCAAAAAATTAAGTAGCTAATAAGAGAGTTCATCTTTCTCATTCAGAATTGTTTTACAATAGGCTCCAATAAAGGTACACAGTCTAGCCTTAACAAGAGCTAAAAGTATAAATTATGTATGTACGTATTGAATAGTTAATTAGGTAATCGTTGTATTCGCCGATAAATGATTTGAAAAGTGAACCAACCTCATTTCTTGAAATGAGAAAATTACTCAAAATCGATAGGACCAATAATGAAGTCTCTAATAAAATATTAATATTCATTGATTTCAAAAAGTAATGTTCTCTGAATTCCATGATCAATCCTAATTATTGACTTAGTTCAGTATTCTTTAGTTTTTAAATGCAATACGAAGCAATTAATGTTGAGAAGGAAGCAAAGAAGGATATAGATCCATCTATGTGTTAAGAATAAGCGATAATTAATTAAGCTACTGATGACTTAATGATATCAGATTTCTATTCATCTAATAGATCTTAAGTCAATTGCACAAATTCATTGGGATCTTCATTGAGATCATTTATTTCTTTATAGGTCGACGAAAAGAAAGGTAAAATAATGTCAACGAAAATAGCCATCCTATATTCAGCAAAGATGTGATAGACTGAAACACTTTTGCATGTAATCGCCAAAATTTTAATGATTTCATTGATTAATTTTTATTGATTTTGATTAAGGTTTTCGTAAGAGAAACTAGGCTACATAGTAAATGCCACAAGACTTTAGATGTAGGTATCACAGATGACACATAATACTTCTTGGAAGGGGCACTTGTTTGCAATTGCTTCCTTGTAAAATGTAAAGATAGAGCCATAAATCAATCTTTATAAAGACACAATCAATTGAAGGTATTCTAAATCATCACCCACATATGTTAATTGTGGGATTTTGAGAATGAGGACTTAACACAGTTCCTCGTTGAATATCAAGTATTATTGAATTGGGTCTGGGACACTCCTCATCTAATTTGTTGTAAGATGTCGATCTAATTGACTAAAGAGTACTCTAGCCCATAGTATTTTAGTTGATTGAGAAAAACCATCTATTATTTTACCGATTTTGATTATGGATTAGAACCATTCAAATTGGTTATCCAAATGCAAAGTTTCAGCTATGAAGCATGCTGACACTATCATATTTTCTAGCTTTGTTTCGATAGATTAGATGACATGCTACTTAAGACGAGTTTTGAAGTGATTTTCTAAAGTTGAATATTATAAATCCATTTACATTTATCATAAGAAACTAATTACTGTAGAGCTTATTGAACAATGTCTTTGATTTTATTAGGGATTTATTTAGTGAACATTTGAACAAAGAGATCAACGTGATGTAATCTCAGTTCAGCAGCATATGGTTCTATATTATAATTTAATATGGCCTTACTCGTGTTGGCTATGAATTTTTTAATAGCAGTTTTTATTGTTATGGCAGCTTATTCGGCCAAAAGTACATCATTTTATTAAGATGATAATTCACATAAAATGTCTATAGATCCTATATCATTCTGACAGCATTGAATCAATAACTCTTCTGCTTTACTCCTTGCTTAACTGTCTTTAGCTTAGAAGGCAATAACAATCATTTTTGTATACTCCTACTAATTCATCTTAAAATTTATATAGTGATAAATTATAAACTTTATTAATCAATATATATACATAGTCATTTTAAATTCAAACTAATTTTATTTCCTTTATAATCATACTCCGAAAAGACTGAGATCACTTTTAAAGCTTCTTGAATGTCAACCATAGTTATTTGGATGGCTTAAGAGTCAAGTTTGATTTCTAATAATGAGAATAGGGTTACCTTGAATCTTTCCAACTAATTTAACCATGTCTTGAATTTCTAATAATTAAGGAATGCCAGAAAATGAGAGTACTCTAGTCAAGGGAATGATTTTAAATTTGGTTTGACTTCCTTGATAATATTCTTCATTGGGATTGTTAGTCTACAAGTGTGAATTCTGAGGATTCTAGAAAAGTATTCTTAACTAACATAATAAATTTAGATGTAAAACCTCATTTCCAAAAAAGACAACATTATTGAGTAACTCTTTGGCAATGATAGCATTCTCTTTGTTTACAAATTATAGAATTGATTAACGAATATGTTTTTTTAATATTAAGGCTTCCAGATGTCCAAACCTGTTAAATAGATTATACAACATCCTTGGAGTGACTCTTTCGTCCAGATTGGAAACCCTTAAAAATTTGGAAGGTTATTGATTTAATAATTCTTGGATTGCAAAATCATTGGAATCCAATTGAGTCAATGAAATTTTGGCTACTTCTTATTCATAGTCGTCATCTAGTATTCTTTCCAATTGTCGTAATTGAGTTTCCATTCTATAAAATACATTTAAATAAATACATAGCTTTTGTGGGCGATTCTTGGACAATATTTTACGCCCCTTTGAATTGATTTCCATTATTCGATATCTATTCGATGGATTGAGGCTTGATTAAGGGGGGAGAAATTTGGATTGAATTTGGTAGAGTCATGGATTTCAAGGGATACTTCTATTCTGGTTGTGTTTCTTCGTCATCAGAGCAATATTCTGTGCCTCTGGTGTGATCAACCACTTCTAAGTCCAACTATTTCAAGCGAGAATAATGAATCAATAATCTGGTATAAATATAACTGAAAGTGTTACCTGCCTCCCTAAGGAGTGAGCGATTTTCCTATCATATTACGTCTTGCTGAAATAGCATGTTTAACTTCGTTGTACTCTACAAATGCTTTGTTAGTTTTTCCCCTTTCGAAAATTAATATTTTCTTGACTTCCCCATACTACTTAAAGGTCTCAAATAAAAAATCATTAGTTAGTGGGAAGGATTGAGGCAAGTAAGTTATGATCAATAACAATATTTTGCTAGGAGGATCTCTAGAATTCATTTATAAATTAAATCAATTTAATTTAAAATCCTGCCGAAACGAGGATTTAAAATTCGATTATTAACTGTTAATAATTATAAAAGCCTCCTCTAAAGCATCCTAACAGTAATAAATCCTACTCTTCATTGTAAATTGCAGCCACATTTTCCTTCTATTTTTTTAGCCAGAGATTGTGTGTCACTTAGTGCACCCCTTCACACTCATCTAACATCCTCTTGATTCCTGAAATCTTTGAAACCTGTGCTTTTTCAGGGATAATAGTACAGTATCTTCCATTTCTTGATTAGTAAAAAGATTAAATGATTTAATGAATAATAAAAATAATCTAAAAATTATACAATGATGAATCGGTGTCATAATTTCCAAGCCATTTTCATTAACAAAACAAAATGTTCGTCATTGTCCACTGAAGCTGATACTGCAGCATAATAATCACACCACTCCTAATAAGTCAATTACCCATTCCTATCCACATCTCCAAAATTAACAAGAAATTCTTCGAAAACCTGATTCTCTGTCATCTGTCCATTCTTAACCTTAGGATGCATTTTAGTATTGTAAACACCTCTAATACATATTCAAAAATCTCACTTTAAATCATCCGCTGTAATGTATCCATCTCCTGTTTTATCGAATTTTCTGAAAGCCTGATCTACTATAGCCTTTCTAGTTGGATTCAATTAACCCTAAAATATAAATCTACATTACTCTTATGGAAACTAAGAATTCATCAAAATCTATAGTTCCGCTCCTATCCCTATCCATAGCAGCAAATAAGATCTACAATCACTCAATACTATTACGTCAACTTCATTCCAAGACAACTAAACTCCATTCTCAGCTAGACCCACTTTCAACTCATTTTTGTCCAATTTCCTATTCCCATCATATGAATCAAGACATCTAAAGCAAACACCCAACTGTCTAATTGTTTTCGATCCCCTTGCTTATAAAGCATCACGAACTCGTTTTAGTACTAAATCTTCAATTATAAAATCATACGAATTTGAGCAGCTTCCTATTATTGTCTATTCATAATATAAACTTTATTAAAATAATAAACAGTTTCATGAAATATAATCCAAATTAATATCATTATTTATTCCGAATCTATAGACCAACCTCTTTTGAGTTTTCTGCCCTCTCAAATTATTGGAACCTCAGAATTGAATACCAAAATTATCAATCAGATTTTTAAGAAATCTCATTCATTTTTAGTCTAAAACTTAATTATTAGTTTATTTAATAAATTTACTCACCTATGGCAATTACAATCTCTTGTTTATAACTAAAAAGAGTTAAGATAAGTTTCCTTTTTTGAAAATTGGGTCATTAATTATCTATCAATTAGTTTGATCTTTATTTTTAATTATTTAAATCAAAATTACAAATACTTATATTTTCTATCTGCAAATTAATGAAATAAGTAGTTTTTCTTCAAATATATTCTTCTAAAATTCATAGAAAAATTCTCTTTTAGAATTACTTTAAATTATTATTTTTTTTGTATCCTTAATATTGCTTTTAATTACTATCACATATTTATGTTCCGAGATAATCAATCTTAAAGTTTCATTTAGGTCTAATTCTTTATTATTTCTTATATCCTTTCATAATTGGCTTATATCCAATGGTATTCGAAATTCCTTCTGATTATACCAGAGGACTTAATTGCCATTGATTGCTTTAGATTTGCAACGATTATAATATCTTTTTAATTGTACAAAATTACAAATCCAAAAAGTAGCAGCGCGCATACATATATCTCCTCTCAATCTAATATGTGTGGAACTCTAATCTTCCATTCTATTATGTATTATAAAAAGGCCATCAAAAATTATCTAAGAATAAATTAATTTCTCTTTTATTTATTAATTTTATTATCTCATGAGGAACTACATTCCATTTAGACATGTATTAGCTTACAATAAATCTGTAAAAAGTTAAAGTTATGACTAGTCATAATAGAAGTGTTTTTACACAGCAGAGTAAATATAATTATATAGGAAGGAGGGTAAACAATATAATTAGAATTAAGTGCATTAATAGATTATTAATTATTAAATATGGAATCTAAATCTTAAAATTAAAATTCTTCATTGACTGATGACAAATAATTTAAAGTAAATCAATCCTCGGATTCTGATGACCATGAATAAAATATGCTGAAGAAAAACCAACATAAAAAAATTAGAAAATCTTTGACTAAAAGAAAAAGTAGCAATTGGGGTTCAGGAAGACCTTCAAAGAGAACAGAAACTAATGATGATCATCAATGGAGTCATTAATTAAAGAACGAGGCTCTTTCTGGGTTATGGTTTGGTAGAGATATCTCAATGAAAATGATCATATATTTATGTAAAATGGGAAACATGATATTTAAAGTTGTTACAGGCATACCTGCCTCAAAAATAAGGAAAGGCTTTATGAAATTTGATTCCAATAGTCATTAAGATAAAAAAAAATACTCACTTTAACTCAAGAAAGATTTAAAGGTAATTGATCTTAAAGTATATTAGAATAAAAATTCAAGACTTCTTGAATACCTAAATTACCCAGCAGACACAACCTATATGTTTTTGGAAAAGAACAACAATTGCGAAGATAAATTATCATTAAAAAACATATCTGAAGAATCCTAAATTGGTTTAGAAGTGGTTATGAAATCTTTATCAAAGAACTTTGTTAATACCTACAAATTTATTATTAGAGAATACTTTTAAAATTCTTAAGATTTTCTTGAAAATAATTTAGTGGATAATATTGTTAGATAATTAGTTGAGAATCATTAGGATCATAAAATGTTATTTGATAGGCAATTAATTCATGAATTAACAAAAGACGATTATGCTCTCATCAATGAAATTGTAATAATTTTGCATTATATCTTAAGGAATCTGATCCATACCAGGCATAAATTCACTAGTATTAAAATTCAGGTATCAGAAATATAAACTTCTTTTCGAATACATACAAAGATGAGGTAGAAGAAATTAAAAAAAACTCATTTTGGATAAGAGAATTTATTGAAGGGTTTATTGAAATTTTGTAAGGTTCTAATATTTAAATTCAACATTTTTGACGATAGTTTCCAATGAATTAAATTCATTTTTTTATCTTTATAATTAATAAACAAATTGATTGTCTAAAAAAATTAATGACTCACTTAATACAAATATTGTGTCATTTTTATTTCAACTTTATGTGACAAAATTATGATTAAGATTCCAGAGGGGTATAAAATCCTTCTCGTCAATGTCATAATTATCAAAAATATAGTACTAATGATTTATTTAAGAAAGGATTAAAAAGAGATAATCTAAATTAACTGAATTAATATTTATTACAATTTTAGAATCATATTCCTAATTCAATTAATAATTAAAGAATGTTCAGCTAGATTCTGTTTTTGAAAAGAATTAAACCATGTAGAAACTATTATTTAAGGAATATGATAATGAACTATATTAAAATATTAAATAAAAAAATCATTAAGTTATAGATAGGAAAGTAGTTTCACTAAATGTTTGACATGTTAAGATCCCTATAATTTTCAGTATATCATCATTTAATCATATATTCAAATTAATGTGATTGTTGAAATTGACTCTGGAATTAAGGCAATTTTCTTTTTTAATGTGCTAAGGATAGACAGAAAATAAAAAATGAATTGAGGGGGGATCAAAGTTTTATTCAACTTTTGGAAATTTGGCAAGTGCTGTATTATATTGGTAAATTCTAAAGTATTTTGAGAATATAGTTTTAATTTATATTTATTATATAATGAGACTCATTGTATAGCAATATTATGGTTTTGGTTAGAAAAAAACCTTTAAGATTGAAATTAATGAAGAAGACTCATCAGACTAACTGATTTCTTTAATTGCTTCAAAAGTTGGACGTTTAGTATAGGAATTAGTGATAAAGTGTAAAAGAGATTAGTATTCTGTAAAAATTACGTAATATATTAGATAAAAATAATAGAGGGTTGGCCTATAGAATTTTATGAATTACAAGAAAATTAGAATATTTTGGTTGAAGTAAGGGAAAATGAGTCAGACACAAAATAAAAGGAATAAAAGAGATAAACTGAAAAATACTTGAACAAATTATTTATAAACCAAAGAGAAAAACCTTAAAAACTATCAGAAGTATCTGAAACAAGTGAAAATTCAGATGATGAAGGCAATTCCTCAAAATAAAAATCTTCGAATACAAATGTAGAACCTATATAATCTGATTATGAAGATAAAATATTTTAAACAGTGAAAAGTGGTAATTTAGATCTGCTACAACAACTTTGTTAAAAAATAAATCCTTCATTATTAAATCAAGCAACATTTGGAGGGTGGAATCCAATCCATTTTGCATCTTTTTTGGAATATAAATTAATTGTAGAGTTTTTGATTTCCAAAGATATTGATATAAACAAGGTAACCGATGAAGGATGGACTCCATTATAGATAGCAGTGCATCGTCACAATATTGAGATTGTAAAAGTAATCTTGAATCATCCTCAAATTGATGTGAATTTGATAACAGACAAGGGAATTGCATTAAATTTGGCATGCAAATCTGGCTAAATAAAAATAATAGATTTATTGCTTTAAAAAAATGCTGATCTCAAATTACAAGATAAAACTGAGAGAACAGCCTATGATTATTGTAATTAGGAAACTAAGTTGTACATTGAATAATCGAAGAAAAGCAATCAAATGAAAGATTAATTAAAGAGTGCAGATGATTTTATTCCTCCTAGACCCCCAATTGCCAAAGGGTTCATCTATAAAACGGGTTAAATGTTGGTCACCTTAAATGAGAGATTTTTCGTATTAAATCCTGATGAAGGAACTTTTATAAGATTTAAGAATATTTCAGATTACCCACTAAAACCATTGTAAATATTATGAAATTAATAGATTTAAGAGAGATCATCCCTCTGAGAAGTGTCAAAAGTGTGCTTATGACTCAGAAGGGTTTTATATCTAAATCTGGATATCACTATTTTGAGTTGTTGTATTCAACTAGAATTATTCTGGCATGTAAACATGAACATATAGCGAAAAAATGGGTGGAGTATCTTTATAAAGCAACTGTTTATTATCAATACATTGAAGAAAAAATGAAAGAGTAATTAATTATAATATGAAAGAGGATCTCTAGATCCAAATTTAATAGATAAAAACACTGAAGTTTTAATTGAAGACACTAATGCAAAAGCTCCTTCTTCTGATCCCCCTCCAAAACAGATATCACCTGAATAATCTATCTCATTACCAAGAGATGAAGCATCTATAATAATTTAAAAACGATTATCAAATCCAGAGCCTGTTCATAGGTATAGTCAAAGTCCTCCAAAAAACTCAGAAATTGAATAGCCAAGACAGATATCTTAATCTTAGCAATAGTTAACATCATCAGTTATGGACAGTCAAAATGAATTGCTTAAGGATAGCAAAGTGAATTTCGATTCATTTGAGATAATAAAAGAGTTGGGATCAGGAGCTTTCGGAAAAGTGTTTTTAGTTAAACATAAAGCAGATGGTAATATATTTGCAATGAAGGCACTTAAAAAGAAGACTCTAATTTTGAAAAAATAAATCAAGTATGCCATTACTGAAGCTAACGTTTTAAAGATGTGTAAACACCCATTTATTCTTGGATTACATTTTGCATTCTAAGTATTAAATTATTTTATCAATCAGACTCCAAATTATTTGTACCTGGTTCTAGACTATTGTCAAGGAGGTGACTTATCCTATCACATAGCCAATTTAGGGAAGTTCTCTGAAGATACTGCTAGATTCTATGCTGCTGAAATCCTTTTGGCTATTGAATTTCTACACACTAAAGATATCATCTACAGAGATATGAAGCCAGAAAATATATTGTTGGATTCTTAAGGTCATGTCAAATTAGCAGATTTTGGATTATCAAAGGAAGGTGTTTCTGATTAGGATAAGGCAAAGAGTTTCTGTGGATCTCCTGCATATTTATCACCTGATATTCTAAGTCAAAAAGGAGCAGGAAAGCCCAGTGATATCTATGGAATTGGATGTGTGATGTATGAAATGATGACTGGCGAATCTCCATATTATAATGATGATATACAACAGATGTATAAAAACATACAAAGTGGAACCTTGAAATGGCCAAAGAAAATGTCAGTCGAAGCCAAAAACTTACTCACTGTATTAGCATCTTATCTATGAATAGAAAATGTTAGAGAGGGATCCAAACAAAAGAATCGGAACTAAATCGAAAGATGAAATTAAGTAGGATCCCTTCTTCAAGGGAATTGATTGGGACAAAGTTTATAAAAGATAATATAAACCTCCAATCACTGATTTCTCTGAAATGCATGATGATGATGATCAATAGGATTTCGATGGGGATGAGTTGGGATATGGTGGAAAAGTTACTATTATTGATAATCATTTAGGCTATCTTTTAGGATTAGGACTACGAACAAGAAAATAATAGGACCAATAGAGTCAAAAATTTTAGTTTTGCCACTAACTCATCATGATAATTTATATAATGAATGATTATTATTATAAGTATAATATTAATTTTAATTTATTAATTGAACACGACATTAAATAATGCAAACCCCAGAATAAATCAAAGTGGAATCAAAAACCTGGAAAACCATCTATCCCCCTTACATTGATTCAACATTAACTACAGCATAAGGTAGACTCATAATATCTACAATCTAGGCAGAAGATTAGGAAAATCGAATTGTGTTCCTTATCCCTAATTGATGGAGATCTCTTAATGTCTGAGCTCACTTGGACTGAGACATGTGATTGATGTACTCAATTCATCTAATTAAGTAACATGCAGGATTTCCTAAGGATATCTTCAAATAAGGTAGAATTAAGGTTCGTCTCTATGCAGAGGACAAAAAGCCATACAACCCATAAATCAAATGCAGTATTATTTTACTAAATATCAGAACATACTCTATTATAAACCATTGCAAAACTGATTAAATCAATACCAAACAGAAAAGTCGAAGTTCCTCCCTACATTGCATAAATGGAAATTGAAAAGCAGAATAAACCCCCTTAAAAAAAGCAAACATCAACTAAAAAAAAGCATAAAAATGGATGAGATTGAGTTCAAGATTATTATATATTTTTAAGAAATTCAATTAATTTATTTTATCGTTATAATTTTGAGCAATAATTTAAAAAATGAAAAATTATAATCCAAAGCAAAACAGCAAACCTAATCTAAGTAAAATTATAAATCATAAAAGCATAGATTATTACAGATCTTCAACATTTGGAAGATATGGATAGACAGGACATTGAATAATAAAAAATACTGAAATTATAATTGTCCAGAATAGAAAATTTGAAAAAGGAGTATTCTAAAAAGGAGTAAGAAATTTGTAGACTAGAACAGCAAGTTGAATAATTCAGAATATATTATGATAAATATGAAAATGTGAAGAAACTTCTTGAATCAGCTTTGGAATAACTAGAGAAAATTGAAAATTAGAATAAATCGCTATAGAAAAAGTTAAGTGACTTCTAGGAATCTTATGCCAAATTAGAATTAACACATCAAACACTGTTGGTTGATTATAATAATGTCATAATGGAAAAGGAAGTCAATCAGATCTCTCAAAATACCAATCTAAGATTAGAACTCAATGACCTAAAATCATAATATAATCAAAAGATATAACACATGGAAGCAGAAATCTAAAAGTATAAACAAACCATTTAAGAGAGAGAAATGCAAAATAATAATTTAACTATCTAATTAAACACTTAAACAAAATAAATGTTATAGTATAAATAATAGTCTAAAAATGTGGATCTAATTTTGAAAAATCATTTAAATTCTACTAAATAACAACATAATTCTTATCATTAATCGATATGTGATACAGAAATTTATAAGGAAGATTAAACTCTAAAAATATTATGCTCTTAATTAACTTAGGATTATGATGAAGCTGTTAAGAGAATTTAATAATTTGAAAGGTAATTAACTGAATATAGAACAGAAAATCTTGAATTAAAGAAGTATATTCAATACTTAACTGATAAATGAAATTATAGTAATTAACGTTTAAGTTTCATACGTAAAAGTATATATTTCAATTGTATAATTGTTTCATATATTATTCCCATTCTGAATTTGGAACTCCTTTCTTAACAACTTCATCATATAAAGAACTTATCATCATTTTATGGATTTTATTATTTTCTGGTATTTGGCTTTTGATTTTTATCACTAAATCATAGAATTCCCTTTTCGATGTATTTGTTTGGCTTTATTCTTAAGCTAATTATTTCAGGTAACAAACTTTGACTAGTTTCTTGACTTCAGGATCTTCATATTGTTTTGATAGCTGTCTCAATCTTCTAAAGGTATCATTGTTATCTGAGCTATTGAGTATTTCTTACAGCCAAATTTATCATCACTTAATAATCTGAGTTGGATCTCAATATTGTAATTAATTTTGATATTTTGTTATTAATAGCACTAACTGTCTAATTTGATATGATCGTACTTTCATCCGATTCAAAAGAATTATTGCTTTATTTTTAATAAAGTTTAATTGGTAGTGATCTTTATTTTTAAAAGCTTTCATATGAATTTATTTGTTGTGATTCTGTGTGGTTTTTGTAAATTTGTTACTAATCAGAAAAGGTCTTGGAATATTGGATATCCTTTTTCTCATTTGATTTAATAGTCATTTATTCCATAAACTCTCCTAACAATTTAACTATCTATTAAACCTCATCTGAGACCTTCTCACCTTGGTCTACCATATTCATTAGTACTTGATATTCCGAATTGATTAACATTAAATCCTGCTTAATAACTTATCTTATAGAATTATCCTTATTGATGAGCATCTATGAGTATTTTTCCAATGAAGCTATTACTTTTTTCTTGAGTGAAATAGCTGAGTTAGTTAATTATTTATCGTTATCTGGCTCTTTAACAATCTCTTGAGATCTTAGTAATATTAGTTGTTAATTTATTAAATCGTCAGTAAATTTCTCTTCTATTAATGGAATAGCAGAAATATCCAACAACATACTTTTTTCATTGTATGTTATTCCAGTAAAGTCTAGGAAATCTTGCATATACAAAAAGTTAATGAGATTTTGAAGAATAATTTATTATTTAATATTAGAATTATAATAAAACGCATTATGATGTTTCAATATGAACTACAAGGATTATAATCAATAATTCTATAGTTCATCGTGATTGATTGATAATCTATAAAGAACTTGGATTGTACTATCAAAAATGTTTATTAATTTAGGGTGTGAATTTTATTTTTTATTTCTCCTCATGATCATAATGAATACAAAATGAAACACTTAATATTTCAATAGTTTGAATAGATATAAAGTATGTACTTTAAGTATTTTTATTATTGGTAATGATTATTTTTAATTATTTACTTTCTGTTTTGTTTAACTAAGTAGATATATTATAAAATAAATTATGATATCTTGTATATAGATCTTAAATAAATATGTTTATTTTTAATATTTCAACATATCTTACATTTTACATAATGATTATATATCTTATTATCATATAATTTATGTTGAAGAAAAACAATAATCAAAATATCAAGTCTACACATCGCTAGTTCTAAATATGATGTAATAAAGACTGACAATTAAGATTTTAGAGGTTAATTCTCAATTAATACATTACTATATATTTATTAATTATTATAATCATAATAAATGTTGACTAAATTGCTTTTAAAGGCAAGACAGGCAAGATTTTGTGGTAATTATTAATAGCAGAATTCTTAGTTTATATCAAAAATTCAGTCAACTATCATGTTGCTAATAGCTAGGACCCTAATAGTAAATTTGCTAATCCTTAGTTCAATTCAAGCATTCTTGATTTTGATAAGGATCAAGAAAACAATGTGTAAATGCATTACTACCAAGGTATTAACTAATATAGTAGCAATTAGGCAAATTTATGCCTGATGAATTGGATTGGACTGATGTCTGGGAAACTGCATATTAAAATTTTACTTAACCAGAATATTTATACCACTTTTGGTTTTGCGGTGTGTTGTATTGTTTTGAGCCTGAATGGACAATTAATTATCCATATGAAAAGGGTCCACTTTCACCACTTTTTAGAGGAGAGCATGCATTAAGAAGATATCCAACGGGTGAGGAAAGGTAATTTTCTTGAAATATAAAACATAGATGTATTGCTTGTAAATTGTGTTAAAGTGCTTGTCCAGCCAGAGCTATTACTATAGAAACAGAACCAAGACCGGATAACTCGAGGTATGTTAATGATTTGATGTCTTTTAAGACGTACAGTACGTTACGATATTGATATGACTAAATGCATTTATTGTGGATTTTGCTAGGAAGCCTGTCCTGTCGATGCAATAGTTGAGGTATTATAGATTATTAATACCCCTAAGGGCCCTAATTATGAATACACAACATATCAACATGAGGATTTATTTTATGATAAGTTTAAGCTTCTTGAGAATGGAGATAAGTGGGAACCTCAGATAGCTAGAAACATTGAATATTTAATAACAAGAAAATATTGATTTATTATTTCAAATAAAAAAGATAAAAATATTGTATAGGATCAATTTTATAGTCTAATATCTTATTAAATAAAGCTAATTATGTAGGCATTTTCCACTAGTCTATCATAGGGGAGCAGAGTTAGCAGCCTCTTGCTTTATTGATAGGAGTGTCTCACCTTTCTCATGGAGAGTATCATGATTATCATTGATATAGTCATAAGCAGTCCTGAAAAGGCTACCATGATGATGTTTATGTCTATGTTATTTTAGATTTGTTCTTGGATTTGATTAGTTAATGTCGAGACAATCACAAAAAATCCCATTGAATCATATAATCTCTCAATCTATGAAGTGACTTAGTAATAATTGGATATCAAATAGTCTTATGAACTGTTACCAACGATGTCTTGGAAAAATCGTAATTATTAATCGCAGAGGTCAGCATAGGTCACACTCAATCCTCTCATTAGAATTGAATAGCTTGTACATTGTTCATAAGAAAAGAGTTCATCATAAGCCTGAAAACCGGACCTTACATCTTTATGTTTATAGTTACAATGAGTAATTGAAAATGTCACAAGCAGCCTTTGTAACTATATTATAGATTGTTTGATCTTATTAATAAAGAGACAACTTCTTCTTTAGTTCTGTAAGCTTAATCACAGTTGAATTTTATATAGCAATTTTATCTGCAGTAATGTTCGTATTAATAAATACAGCCGTTTAAGCAAAGGCTTGAGTTATTTCGTGATAAGCTTTGGAGAATAAGATTTTATCATTGAATTCTGTGATTATGGAGTCGATTGTATTATTGTGCAAGATATAGCTACCAACAAAGTAAACAGAACAAACTACTATCAATATCAAAACAAACAAGAAAAAGATTATTTGTATTGAATTATTCTCTAAAGCAAATAACAATAATATAAATACTGAGCTATTTAATTCTTTTTCCTACTTTCTAATATTTTTCCAGTAATGCATGACTATTCTACCTCATGAAGGCTTTATTTATCACAGAATCAAAGCTTTCTTCATTTGTTTCTCCTCTCCTAAACTTGGAGGAATTCATTAAGGAATAGAGTGTAGAAAATATTATATACTACTCTTAGATCACATCAGTTGTAAAAGTACTAAATAGTTTATATACTTTAGTTTTCATCTAAATAATTTCTACGCACTTATAGGCATACCACGATATAAATAAGACGAGCGCAATTTCTTCAGCTATAACTCTATAAAACATAGTCATAAATAATATTATTAGTTTACATATACTAAATATTCGTTATATTCTAAGTTGTATCGGATTAATACAAGACTTGAACAATCGATTAGAAATCCTTAGTATTGCTCAGATACTCAGAATCATTCACAATGCTGTTTTCTTACATTAAATTAGCCATCTGTTGAATCATATCCACAATCTTCTACTTTAAAGGTTTGCTTAGTATATTTGATATTTCTGGTATATTTTATAAGGTTTTGTCAATATTTTTAATTTCCTACTGAAAGAAATCTAAACCTATCTATTATAGCTCATGAAATTGGAAACTGCTTTAATGATTTTTGTAATAGTGTGATATAATAAATTCGTTATAAAAGTAAGACAATTGATATGGTAAATTCTAATTAAGTTAATTCAATTAAACTTATTCATAATTATTTTAAAAGACCAAAAAATTGACTACATATGAACCAATTATTATGCTATAAAATATAATTAATATGATAGCCAATTTCTTATGAATAATTGTCTAATCGCTAATGCATTCTTTCATTTATCTCTTCAATGATGTTTGATTATTTTGTGAAGACCTACTCCCAATTGACATATTGTTCTGATTTTGAAACTTCCCTTATCTTTCTATTTCATCTAATTTAATAACAGACGTAATGATTTATTCATCTTATTATTATAATTATTATTCTTGAAGTAAAAATTCCTCATCTTATGCATATTAAATTAATTAGATTTGCTGATGGTTTGTAGTGTTTGTAATATTAACAGTGGCTAATTGATGTTTGACTTCATCGATCATACGCTATTCTTCCTATAAGAGATCATATTCTAGATCACAATCTATTACCCAAGGAGAATTTTGTATACTTAGTTATTCTCTGTAACTAGTTGTATTTTGAAATTATGAAATATTAAATTACTAATTTGTTCTGCCTCTTAACTAAATTATCTATTTACTGGTAATTTTTTAATTAGGGAGCAATCTAAAATCCTGTAATTCTAAGATTACTAACCTAATCGATTATTAATACAATATACTTCAAATTTATGGTGACTAAACTCATGACATGTAATGAAACTTGATATATAGCATTTTCTGTTGGTTGATTTTCAAAATTCCTATAAATCTACTTTTGAATATAATTTTTGGAAATCCCCTTTGAAATTTAGGATTGAGACATACTCCTACATTAGGATACCATAGGAATAATAAACTAGCATTCAAACTTTTTGTCTAATCTCTCAAAATTTTCATCATAGATTTCATCCCAAATCTTAGCTAAATCTGGAATAAAAAATAAGCAATCTAAGCCTCTTAATTGTCCTATTTGTATGCCTAAGTTCTTTTGAAACATTTCTTCAAAGATATTTTATGTTATTTCCTCTATCTATCCTTTCTCATTCAACATCATATATCCAAATGTTAAATTCACTGGAGTAATTAAGGCTGTAGCTCCAAACTCTGTTGGACTAGTCTCTATTCTCAACCTTGTATTTATAGGCACCAAAAATTGTCCCTTATTCTTCCCTAAGATCACTCTGACTTCAGATCGAACAACTATAATTCTCCCTCTCTCCACAAAATTATCCAAATATTTATCATGATCATCTGCTATTATCTATGGCATGAATCTATGAATGTTTTGATCCTTTATCTCTTCATCTTTAAACCCTATTGCTTATTAGAATGATCTTGTGTATCTTAATACATTTCCCCTTGGTTGCAATAATGTTATTTAAATGACACAACTTCCAGGGTCAAAGATAGTCTTCTCAATAGAATGCATAAATTATTGAACCAATTTCCCTTCTTATCTATATAATTTGGGTCTAGATTTATTAAATTATAGATATTTTGAAAATACATTATACAAAACATCACACTCATTTGAAAGTGGATTTATTTAAAATGCATTTTATAATTAGGTTTCTACAAATTTAATATTCTTTAATATATTAAATCCAATTAATACTAATGAATCAATATCAATAGTTGATGTTAAGATTAATCCATACCATTCCTAAATATAAAAATCATTTTACTTTAAATTGACGAACAATAAAGATAATGTTTTATTTAATCACAGATAATGATTCTTCATATTAATACACTCTTTTGAAAACATATTTCTAATTCTTTAGATCGTTTTTCTTTACTAGATTATCAAATTCTTCTAATGCATCATATTTCAACTTATAAATAATTGCCTTCTCTTTCAAAGCCATTTCCTTTATAATAATTAAAAAGCTTACTTAAGTTGACAATGAAAGTCGAATCACTTCATAAATTGCTTGAGTAGGTAATTTTTTGACTTAAACAAGAAAGTAAATGTATATCAAGGCTAAATAAGTATCCTAAGTTTCAAGAATCTCATCTTCTAAAGTTTAAGCAATCAATTCTTTAGCAAACAATTTCATTTCATCAATTGAATCAAATCTAAAATTATCTCTATCAGCGAATTCTTCACAAAAACATTTAAATTTCATCTTGATTTGCTTTTATACTTTCCTTTCTCTATTCAATGAACAATATCTCAGATGATTTGTAATGAATGAATACATAGCTAAAGCTTCTAATGGATCTAAAGATCTTTGCTCCTTCTTTAATTTAATTTATTTTTTGAACAGATAATATATTACTCTGAGTTGCTTTTCCACAGATTATGAGGAAAAGTTTAAGGACTTTAACTTCTATCTCTCAATTATGATTTTGAGAATATAAGATACAAAAGGGTATCCAAAGAGCATTAACCCTATTAGATTTAAATCAAATCCTATATGTCTGTACTATGCAATCAGCAACGTAATTTAGTATATCAATATATAGCATGATACATGTAATTATAACCTTGAAAATTGTATTTCAACAAATATTAGCTAATTGTAACTCATAATGATATTGACAAATAAAAATATAATGTAAAACACTTAAATTATGATGGATTAGACTTCTAAACCTAAAAGAATTATAAGTAATGTTTGAAAAACAAAAATAATATGGACCTTTTATGTATTAAATGTTCCTAAGAAGTCCTATTTTTTCATTTTGAACTCAAAACCATGGAGATCAATAAAAAAGCTAAAAACCAATTACAGTGTGATCGACAAAACACACACAATAGTAACAAAATGCATGAACTAAGTAGGTGAGTCTAATAAAAACAATTTATACTTATCATAGAGTAGTATGATAGAATATGAAAATGGGAGTATTGGAGTGGAATTCTAATTATTGGCTAATATAGTTGCAAGTATATGGAAATGAATTTTTTAATTTTCCTGTTTTTTTCAATTTATTTTGTTTAATTCTAAATTATCAAGCTGATATTTACAAGTTCGAGAGGCATTTCAAACATTTGTTAATTCTTTTTTATGATAATGCCTGTATTTGCAATTAAATTCATAAAAAACATAGATGTAAAAAATGTCAGCACAAATCCTAAACTCATATATACAATATGCACTTCAATATATTCACCTATAAGTGGATAAACCCTAAAATTTGAATATCATGAATTAAAAACCGAAACAAATTAAATATTGAATGAATGGGCTTGAAATAATTTGCGTTGTTGAGTATATTTATTGATTAAGTTATCAAAGAATACAACTAAATATTTTCCATTATTAGTAACACCGTAGATAATTCAAAAGACTTTCTCCATAATCCTTTTATAGTAAGGAACTGTTGAATGTAAAAGATTTTTGCTTATAGAAGAAAACTTCTCATTCACTTTTATTATGAGGCAAGAATTTAAAATTATTTTTAATGATTATTAATATATATTTGTATTCTTAACCTACTTCTGTACTTAGCTAAAATTATTGTAAATAACAATTACGTAGTTTATTTACATCACTTCACCATTTATTAATATAAGACTCATTATTAAGCACAAAATAATAAAATCAGAAGATTTAAAGAATAAAAATATTGAATAATTATTATAATTAATAATAATTTATTTATTTTTGTACGCTTTGGCTGTAATCGATCTTGTAAATAATTCAAAAACACTATTCAAATTAGACGCACTTACATGTTAGTTGATCAATCAGAAAATCCTGGTTCTTTATTATATTATCCGACCAAGTATATATTTGGTGGATTAAATATAATTTTATAATAAAAAGTTCATAATTAATTAATGGTGAAAAGGCAGATATGATTATAAATTTCATTATTATCGAAGACATTCAAAGATTAAACTACAACGAATTTATTAACTAATGAAAGATAAAGATAATAAGCTGATTATAAACTAAACTTTCTCATAGTTTTCTTTAATTAGTAACATAATATCATTTTGAGATCTTAAACAATATATTAGGTTATCTTTTCCTCCAAGTCAAAAATATCTAAAATTTAAATCCAATGGTTTATTTCATACTTTCTTACTATTTAATGAGCTATTTTCATTATCTTTATAGTTTTGTTTATTTAAATATAAATATAGAATATTTAATAGACGTGGTTCCTTACCTATCATAAAAAAATGAGTCATAATGCTTAGGCATAACTACTTATCCATCTCTTAGATTATTAAAATGTGATTCCCTATAAAGATTTCCATTAACAAGTTACAAATATCTGATTTTTTAGTGTTATAATAATAAACTTGATGTTTCATTGTTTACCTTCAAATTTCCATTATATATCTAAAGAGATAGGTAAATTCTCCTAATAAGCAGCTTTTGAATCCACCAAATTTTCTCTAGCTTAATTGAGTTTTCCTTTTGATTTTAATATAGAATTCAAATTTCATTCTTCTTAGCAAACTAAGAAATAACTTCAAACATTTTGTGAAATAAGATTTTGGTATCAAATCCTAAAAATTCTTAATTATTTTGAGGATGTTTGAAAGACTTAAGTATTTTCATAAATTTGTATGGATATTCAATTATTATTTACTGTTTCCAATAAACTTATCTGTTTATTATTCATCTAGAATAGAAATCAGTTAAGCAGGGTGTAAACTACTTTCTTTGAAAAAGCATTGAAAAATATATCTAAGTTTATTTTTTTATGATAAAATATTGAAAAATAAATTCATTATTAAATTTATCATAAAATTGTGAAAAATGTCTGCTAAAGGTAAAAATAAAGCGAAGGCATTTGCAACATTGCCGAATGCTGTACCAACCTCGTCCACCAAAATACATGAAGGTGCTCTTGACAATTCGAATTATGTGCTTGCTTAGATGAAAAATGGAAAGTGGGAAAAGGCAAAGATTATCGAATGTAGATTGTCAAAAGGTATTTGGAATTTACAATAATGTAGATTATGATCCAAAGTAGAAGAAGGTAGATTCATCATATGAATACTACGTGCATTATGAGTTTTATAATAGAAGAATGGATGAATGGGTTGGAAGAGAACGTCTTTAGTTAACTGAGGATCCAATTATTGAGGACACATAACCAAAGAAGAGACCTAGACCCAGTGATAAAAGAGAAGTGACAGCAGAAAACGATGAGCATGAAGGAATGGATCAACAGAGTCTCATTACACATGAGATGCACACCAAATTTAAGACTATAGAGAAAATAGAATTTGGATAATATCGATGTGACACTTGGTATTATTCTCCATTCCCTTCTGGATACCATAACATAGATTGTCTTTTAATTTGTGAGTTTTGTTTGTCTTTTTATATAAGGAAGAGTGAATTATAGAGACATCAATTGAAATGCGTTTTATGTAAATTAGGTCATCCTCCTGGGGATGAAATGTATAGAGATACAGAAAGAAGACTCTCAATGTTTGAGATAGATGGTCACAAAAATCCAACATATTGTGAGAACCTCTGTTATATTGCTAAATTGTTTTTGGATCATAAAAATCTTTATTATGATGTAGAACCTTTCCTATTCTTTGTGCTCACTGAATATAACGAGACTGGATTTCACATAGTTGGATATTTTAGTAAGGAAAAGGAATCCTCTCAAGGATGGAATCTAAGTTGTATTCTGACATTCCCATTTCATCAAAGGAAAGGATATGGTAAGTTCCTCATATCAATGAGTTATTAATTATCGTTAATTGAAGGTAAATATGGAACTCCTGAAAGACCATTATCTGATTTAGGTAGAGAGAGTTATCTCTCTTGGTGGACTTAATCCATAATTGATTATTTGAAAAAAAATAAAGACGGGGAAATAACTATTGCTGGATTAACCAAAGAGACTGGTATCAAAGACACGGATGCCTGGTGGACCTTAGAACAAAAGCATTTGATAAAATATTAATAATCATAGCCTCTCATTTGCATGGATATGGCCTATTTAGATCTCATATATTCCAAAGCAGGTAGACCGGGTCTTCCTGTTAAAAAAGATTGTATTCATTGGGTTCCCTACAAGAGACCAAAGGGTTAAGATAAGAATTGAATTCAATTTGTTATCACTTAAATACATTTATTTATCTATTTGCATTCTCTGGGCTTTGATTATCAAGTTATCGAACGCGTACTTTCATTAAGTTTATTCTTAATATAAGTGATTAATATAATTATAAAAATTTGAATGGCATCAACTAATTAAACATAAAAAGACGTACTCAAATTAAAACTATAAAATAGAAATACAAAGGAGAATTCCAACCTTTGAATAAGGTCAGACATGGATTTGGAACTTATATATATGAAAATTCTTTTTTTACTTATGAAGGGTAATGGGAAAATGGAATTAAGCAAGGTTAAGGAATTTTGAAGATGAAAGATGGCAGTTATTATTAAGGAAATTTTGAAAAGGGAGAAATCGAAGGTCATGGAGAATTTCATTATGCAAATGGATCAATGTATGTTGGGGAGTTTCATTAAGGAGAGAAGCATGGATAAGGGGTTTTTTCATCTGCAAATATGACTTATGAGGGACAATGGCATCTAAACTGCATGTAAGGAAGTGGAATCTTGTAAACACCTATATACAGAATTGAAGGAACTTTTTTATAACACAAACCTCATGGACATTGTAATTATTATTCAGAGGAGTATAATTATATTGGAGAATTCGATAAAGGTAAAAGATCAGGAAAAGGAAAGTACGAAAGCAATTTAGAAGATTATGAGGGAGAATTCTTAGATGATAAGAAACATGGCTCAGGCATTTTAGTCAAGAAGGGAGATTATCCATATTATTATGCTGGGGAATTTCTTTAAGATAATCCTACATGTATGGAATTTTCATTTACTATTTTTAGTGCAAGCCAATAAACTCAATTTTAAATTAGATCCACAACCAGAAGAACCCATAGATCCAAAAGCAAAGAAGGGAGAACCTGTTATTGATTTAACTTAAGTGTTGGTTCATGAATTAAAGTCAGGAAAAACTATCAATTTTGAACTCTACTTAGTTTATTAAGGACCAGATATTGAGGATCCAGTTCAACCGACATAATAAGAGATTGATGAAATGGTTAAGAATTGGTAAAAGGAGGCCAAAAAATAAAAAAATCCTCCACCCATGCCTGATTTTGGAGCTAAGAGAATGATACCTTCTCCGCCTGTTTAAATCAAACAAGAATCAGGAAGAATCTTAGAATTAAAGATGAGTAATTTATGATTTTTATTAAAAGTTTAAAAAACTGATTAAGGAGATAAGCTATTCAGAATTGATTACAGAGAAAAGTTGGCTGTTAGGAGGGAAGAAGTAACACGATTGAAAGCAGAAATTGAAGCATAAAAGCAATTAGAAGAATAATAAGCTTAATAGCCTGTTAAAAAGAAGGATGCTAAGAAACAAGCAAAGAAATAACCTGAGCCAGATCAAATAGATTTATCTGTCAAATTATTTGTTGAAGGAGACAATGAACCTTTGACTGTTGAAACAAAGGAGGGAATGGTCAGAATAGAAAATTTAGAATATCCTGAAGATTTTCCTCCTGGCAAATATTATTATGGTATTGATCTCTTTTACCTTAGTTATTTCTAATAAATCAACAAATTCAATAGGTGATTTTGTGCCAATTGAGATCGAAGTAATTATCAATCCAGAAGGTGGTCTTAAATAGTAGCCAAAAAAAAAATGATTCTATCATAAATTATTTTAAAAAGTATATCTCCTATATCCAGATTAATTAATTAATTCGAAAAGATGGTTTTTTGTTAATTCTGTTTTAATTTGAATTCTGCTGTTTCTAAGATAAACAGATATTCAAAATCCTATTCAAATGAAATATTTAAAATGAATATAAGTATTAGTTGATATGCATAAAAACACCAAAAAATGTGAAAAATTATATCATTGATTTCATTACTTTTGTCGCTTAAAAAATAACACAGTGATTTACTTGAATTAATTAATGAATTCTGGATAATTCGCTTTGTGGTACTATCACTGGCTTTAATTTTTTATCCTAAAATGTGAAATAGGTTTACTTTTTGATTCATCACACTTGAAAATTAAAAGTGTTGCACTAAGGCTTGGCGACCTTGGATTCTGGCATACCTCAACTCACATATCTAACCTTTATGCAAAGTTACTTACTTTTTCGCTATTGAAGTGTGGCCAGCCATTATCATGAAAGTCTTTGTAAAATTACACAATATAAAGTGGGTGAATGAAATTTATGAATGCATAGCCCATGTTACATTTATTCTAAATTTAGTATTTTTGTTGTAATTACCTTGAAATCAATGGGGAGATACAAGAAATCGTATGAATCGTGATGTTTAAGGTCGATTAAATCTTACAACATTTAGACTGTGTATTTGTTGGGTATGTTCTTGATCATAATTGTTGTTCTCTCATCAGAATAATTAATGACATCCTCGAGTCTAACAACAAAATAATGAGATTCCTCCTCGGAGATAGTCTTTCTTTTTCTCCTTTCTGTTTCTGAGCCACTAGTCAACAAGGATTGACGAGATGAGCCTAATTATAGGCAAGGCTCATTGGAAATCTCGGTGGAAAGATTAGAGCCCACTTTTTAATCAAATGATTTGTTGTTGAAGACTTGAGAGATCTATTCCATTATTTGATCAGACCCTAGACTATTTTCTTTCTTATAGAGAATCACTTTAGGTTCTAGAGATTTTAACTTATATATTGAGATTACCTGCAAACATTTTAATTGCCCTGTCGATAGTATCACTATTTGACTTGCTTTCTTAACTCTCCTTGCTCTCATTTGACATGTTGTTAGTTATTCTCTCAATTTCGTCGAATAATTCTTATGAACTATGGTCCTTTTATTTTGATAAGATTTCATTTAAATCTCTGTGATTTCTAATACATTGCAAGATCTGTTCCTAATTTAAACGTATCTGCTTGTCCATTAAAATATTAAATTTTATTTTTTTTAGTATATTTTTATTTAGCAGTCTTCAAATGGTATTGCAGTATTAAGATTTTTGAGTCATCCACCAAACAGAGTGTAGGTACATTCAATAATCAATCCAAGAAATAGAAAATGACAAAAAGTTATTTTTAAGGAGATCTTTCATAATCAGACATGATAGTGTTGACAGAGTCCGAATTGAAGAGAATTAAGGTATTTTGAAATAATTGAAAATAGAATCTATCAGTTATTACAACAAAAGAGGAGTAATTACAACACAAAAGGTTGATGGAAGAATAAAAAGAGAAATAGTTGGCAGCTGCCTAAGCAAAAAAATAAAGAATGTTATAGATTGAAGAGGAGAAGAAGAAATCTATTCCACTGAGTTAACAAGAGCAAGAAGACAAATTTGCCAAGGATTCCTTGTTATCAAGAGTTTTATAATATATTTATGTCATTAGGCATAGGAAATAATAAATGAACAAATTGATGATGTCAAAGAGATGAATAAAATGGTCATGTACGCTAAATGTGTTACAATCAGAGATAAATAACTGTAAGAAAAAAAAGAGTTATATGATCAGTACAAAATGCAAGAAAAACGAAAAGACTTGATGATGGAAATAGAGAGACTTAGAGCAATCAAATTTCATGAGGAAAAGGATCAGAAATAAAAACAATAATTAAAACATGGACATGAAATCATAATTGAATAAATTAAAGAAAGAGAATTGATAAGATTGAAAGAAAAGGAAGAACAAGAAAGAGAAGGACAGATTATGCTTAAATAAATTAAATAATTATAATAGGAAGAGGTTCACAAGACCTAACTAAGAAAGAGTCAACAAGCTAAGGTGCAAGATGAGATTCTTGTGGCCAACCACAAGGCAATTTTGATCAAAGAAAAGAGAATACAAGAGGAGAGAGACGAGGAAGAGAAAATATTATAATACAATCTATAAAAGGCATAAAAGGAGGCTGAGTTCTTAGAAGAGTAAAGAAGAATTAAGGAAGAGAAAGAAAGAGAAGTGTAGAGATTGAGAGAGATGTAGGAGAAGGCTCAAGATAGAGCAGCTGAATTAGATCTATTAAGAGCGAAAAGAGCAATGGAACAAAATGAAAGATAAGCCAGAGAGAAAGAAAGAAGAGAATTAGAGTTGAAGATGAAATTAAATAATGAAGTTACAGAAGCTAGAAAGTTATAACAAAAGGAGAAGTTAGAGAGATATTAAGAATAAGTAGATTATGTATTATTATTTTAATAGGCTAAATTAGAAAGAGACGAATTCCAAAAGGTTATTTAGAAACAAAAACAAGAAAGGGAAAATGAGATGAAAATCCTATAGGATAAAGAAGCACTAAGAAAGAAACATGCAGAAGAACTCAGAAAATAAATCATTTAGAATGAAGAGAAAAGGAAGTAGGAGGAAAGAGACAAGTATTTTTTAATATTTATTGTTAGGCTTGAGGAAGGAAAGAAAATCAAAGATAAATTGAATTAAGAAAAAAGGCTTTTGGAGAGCATTAAGGACAATAAACTTAAGGATCTAAACGAAAAAGCAATACCTGATAAGTATAAAGCAGAATTAACTAAGAAAAAAATTAGTATTAATATTTGATTGTTCCATTTGCTTATTTATATTAAATTATTATTTACACAACTTCATTCCTAAGAATTTAGAATGAATGATTTAACTAGAATTCAATCTGAAATAAATCAAAATTCTAATGAAAGTTAGAATAATGATGATAATAGACTAGGAGTAAGAAAAAATAACACTTTTCCCTATGAATAAAAAATAGGAATAGGTCAACCATAAAGTTGCTATGATGCAAATCAAATTTCTAATTTACCGAATTAGGTTAATTAAACAGATCAATGGACTTTGCTCTCATAGGATGAAAATTTAACTATGATTTTCAAATCAATTAATTAATAATCAATAGTATTAATTTACAAACAATTATAAGTATAAGATTTGGACACTCAGATTTTCTTTATGAATTTAGCAATGAGTATCATTGATTCCTTTTCTTTTTTTCTTTTTTTAGGAGATACTAATTAGTCTCTTAGAATGAACAAATTAGTTCGAAATGGAACTTAACTTATAGAGCTTCACAAATTGTTTAAAAAATCTGATAAAGATGATTAAAAAAATATCATTTTAGAATATTAGATTAATTATTTCAGTTCTGAAATCTAATTAAGGCATTACATTGAAAAAGCGCTTTAGGAGATTAAATTAATAGTTAATTTATTGTAAAAATAATATAATCTAATAAAGAAGATTGAATATGATAAAAATAATGATGAGTTTGATAAAATAATATCAGATTTTATACAAGAGATGAAAAAAATATGATTTATATAATTTATTCGAATATTATCATAAAAAAAGTAGTATTTCAGCAAAAGAAATCTTTTGGAAATTGTTTGATGCTCAATCTAGCCACTTTAGCCTTAGTTGGCATAATTTATCTGGCTGTTCGAGTTTGTTCAAAGTGATGTTTCAATTCGACTGTAGATAGCAATAATAAATCTAAAAGGTTCTAGTTTTCAAATTTTTCATTTCTTTTTTATCTTTAAACTGTCCCTCTAATAGAATTCAAACGATCATCTCTGTCGCACTCTTCAGTTTTAACTCTTCTAACTGCTGCATTTTTTTGTAATTTTAACATAATTTCCTAGGATTCCTATAACACATTTTTTTTTGGGCTTGAGACTTAATCTTCTAATGCAGTTTCTGTTTTTTATTTTCTCGAGATAAGCTAAGAATCATTAACCATTTCTTGTAGTTTTCTTTTTTGCCTAATTTATTAAGAATGAAAGGAATTGTATTTTAGCTGAGGTTTTTCTCTGCTTGGGCTTGAAGATGATGCTTATCGTTATTGATTTATTTTAGGATTGCTTTTAATTCTGTATGATGGAGATTCTTTTTATTTTGGAATGTTTTTTTCTGGAGTTCTCACCTTCTATAAATATTAAGCCACTGATGGCAAAACATTAGCTCTTTGGGATTGTCTCTAAAATCTTGATGTGTGTAAATAGAATGGCTATTTATTGAACATGTTAATTAGAAATTTAATATATAAAAAATACAACACTCTGCTGGAAACAATTCAATAAAATCATTATCAATCATTCATAGATCTAAGTCAATGTTCACACAAATCCCATTTAAGCTCAATAGATGTTTCTAACAAATATAGATTCTTCATACTGTTTCTTCTTCAAATTGAATACTAACAAGTTGTTCAATATAACTCTAAATTGGCACAATCACCAAATTTTACAGAATCTAATCACTCTTCTCCATTTAATCTAAAAAATCTTGACCCAAATAAATAGAATCTTATATTAACAATCTACTTACCAGCAAATGAATTGTAAATGATATCGATTATCAGGCAGATTTTGTTTGTAACACTCTTAAAACTAAGATTTTAGGGGAAGATCATTCCATTATATATCAACTGCATATCATTTAAAAGCTTTAAACGAACATCAGGAAGTCCCTGTTAAATCAAAGCCCTCATCTCTTCTTTTTGTGATAACTTCACTAAATTTGCATCTCTCAACATTTTACAATAATCCCCGATGGCATTTATTTTGTCTTAGTTATTTCTAATTTCAAGGGATTAAGCTCTAATTTTCATGATTATATACTAATAAGCATTCCAAATATTATTATTTTCTTCAAAAATATATCCACATCTATTTTTCCTCGCGATATTAAAATATCGACACTCTTTGAAATACTCACAGTATCCTCAAAATATTTATCATGAACTAACACTTCTCTTATTTAACTTAAAGTTTATTTTCTTTATCTAATTTTTAAGCTTATTTCGTCAAGATTGTTTTATTATTACATTTTTAAGAATAATAATAATCCTTAGGAAATTCAATAATTGATGTTCAATTATTAATCTAATCCTTAATTTCAATAAATTAGCGAGAACCAATATAGATATAGATGTAAAAAACCATACACAAAAATAGATGTTGATAAGTGATATATATATATTTAGAATCGTGCTAAGCTACTGCAATTTAAATGATACATTATTCATCAGAGTATGGATTTGTCTTTCAATTTATATGTATCTAGGTAGATTTCATCTCTTTTAATCATTTAATAAAGTTGAAAAGTTTTCATAGAATCAAAATACATTTTAATCAGCTTATTTCATATAATTAATATTGAGAATGGAGAATTATATAATTGAATTGTACGGGTTCAAACATAGAGAGAAATCTAAATTTTAGATAAAACGCAAAGAAGCATTTATTTATGTAACTACAATAACCTATTTATAATTCAATTCAACATTTTTGATATTTATATTTTTAGAATAATTTATTAGAAAATAAACTAGTTTAATGTTTATAGAAATTCAATATTAATACATCAAGAGGTGAAAAAGAGATTTTGGAATTAAGTTCTTAATTAAATGAATAAAATACAAATATATTAATTTAATTGAACACACTCAGGAATAAGGCGATTAGTATTTGATTGATATTAAGTGTTGAGATATGAAATACTATATTGTCACTTAATTAAATTTAAATTTAACAATTTAAACATATTTATTTTTATTCTTAAAACTAATTTAAATAGAACAAGTAAATCAAAACTTTATTATCAATCCATGCTTCCTTTTCTAGTTTGCAGTATATTTTTGAACAAGGGGATTACTATATGTGGAGTTTCATGGATTGTTTGATTAATAGCAGCATCTTTTATTTTATCTGCATATATTTTTTCTGCTAAATATCTAGAGTTATAATATCATATGAATTTACACATGTAAGCAGCTTGTTCTTAGTGACACTTTAGAAGGCTTTTTATTGTGATGTTCAATTAAATTCAAATAAACTTATTTTTAAACATTTCTTAAGATCTATTATTTCAATTTGATATCTCTTGATTAATTCACAAGATATTTACCTAAGTATTTAATGGACGTTGCAAATAAAAGGTTCGACTTATGAATTCTCCAAATTTTTTGTTTAATTTCTCATTGGCTTAACTAATTTCTCTGCTTAGTTTTTATTGAATGAAACTATTTCTGATACATTTTAATCAAGACTTTATGGCATTTTGAAATTTATTTATCCAGCTTCTAAAATTAATGAGTTTAACAATAATTACTTCTTCGCGCTTTAGCATTTTTTATGAATTTAGCAGTTCTATTTCTCTATGCCTGAATTTGGCAATCTTTGATATGATAAATAGAGACTACATTTATTAATATCCTAAACGAGATTGAAAAAGTTTTAGACAAACTCTTAATGTTCAGAATCGCTTTCATAATCTGAGCTCATATAATATAAATTAATTAATTAAATAGTTCGTAGTTTAGTGTATTATTATCCAACCATAAGATTTTACTCAAAACTATTTTGATTGCGATGACTTACTTGTTTTGTGTCAAATTTGTTATATTTTAGTTTTAAGCACTTAATTATAAGTGTATATATTAAATAATATTGGTATTAAATATTCCAAATTAACCGAAGTAATAATTCTAAATATAATAATAATTGAATGAAAACCTTCTTGTAAAAACTACAATAAAGTAAAATATTCAAGAATTCTCAAATTATTTTCATCTTAATGGAAATTAAGAGTATTCTGTATTGCAATCTATAAGAAATTACTAATGACTATTACTTTTCAGAAATATTGAAAAATTACTTTATTTCCTGAAGAAAATGAAGAAATTAAATATTTAAAAGAATTGTCATTAAAATGAGATATTTTAATATTGGTTAGAAATCAATAAATATAATAAAAAGATATTAAATGGACATAAAATTATAAAATTTCTCTTATTATTTTTCAGAATTAAGTATTTAAAAATGGAATTAATTATTCTTAAAACTTAGGAATGCGCAAAAGTAATTGAAACCAAATGGATTAGAGCAGCGCCGATCATTTACATTTTGATTGGTACATTTCTTATTTCAATAAACTCTCTGCTTGGTAAAACAGTTGGAATGAATGCTAATTAAATTGTTTATGTTAGAGGAATGGTCATGTGCTTATTAGGGCAAGTTATAGCGAACACTTCGAAAGTAGAACTCTATGGATTTTCAAGGGATGTCTACACGAAGCTATTTTAAAGAAGCATAATTGGATGTTTCGCCACACTTCTATTCTATACTGGTCTCAAGTATGTGAATATTGCTGAAGCACAAGTACTCTTACAAACTTCTCCTTTTTGGACAACGTTAATCGCCATCTATTATCTCAAAACAGAAACTTTATCATGGAAATTATTTACTAATTTAATAGTATGTTTTCTAGGGATAATATTAATAACTTAGCCTCCCTTTTTAAAGACAATTCTTGGTTAAAGTGCAGTTATCACAAAAGATTCTGAAACTTAACTTTTTGGATGTGTTTTGCTATTATTTTCTGCTTTCTTCTTTTCACTAGTTTAGGTATTAATAAACAATTTATCAAACAAAGTAATCATTTTCGTATTTATCACTAGGTAAATCAATTAGTTATACCATAATATTTCGGAATTACTTCCTTGATTATTTCAGCGATAGCCTGCATAATTGATCCCAGCCTTATTTGGAGAAACCCATCACTAGCTGAGGCTGTTCTACTACTTTCACTTGGCTTAGTTTCTTATCTGCAATAAATCTTTCTGAATCGTGCATATATGAAGGGAGATTTGACTGAGATGTCCATGTTGGGTTAAACATAGATCTTATATGGATATATATTTGATATCCTTAGAGGGGCTCATATATCGTATTTAAGTGTTCTAGGATCTCTTTTGATAGTAGGAGCATTATTTAAAGTTATAATGGATAAGAAAAAATAAAAAGAGAGGTTGTAAAAGGAGTTGCCAAAATGACAGAAATAAATTTTGATTTTTATATGTGTACGTAAATTGAATTTATAAATGTATATAGACAACATGAATAGAATATCATTAGTTCACAATATATGTTCTTATTTCCAAAGGCAAGAGTATCAATGAAGGTTCTGTTTATTATTTTGGAATTCCATTTAAGTATGTGTCTTGCAAGGTAATGTTCTCAATGGATAAAATATCCTCTATTAAAGTTGTATTTAAGGTAATCGTATAATTTTGTACAGTGGAATTATCAAAAATTTCTAAGAGATTTTCAGCATATAATAAAATTTGATCAAAATTGGTTCTATGGAATTGTAATCTTAGTTATCGTGAATGGATTATTTGCTTATATTAAAAGGAAGAGAATTCATTGCTTAAGCGAATAAATTCATTAGTAAATAGAAATTCATTCCACTTACATCTAAGACATTCAGAATTAAATTAAATGAAATGTCTAAAGAAGTGATTGTTTCGTTTTGCACAGGCTTCTCCTAATCCGTCATCTCCTGCTAGGTGTTCAATAATAATTTCTATAGTTTAAGAATTCAAGTTAAAGACTCCTTATGATCTGTCAGTGATGATGGAAGCTACTAAATTATCTGATTATAATAAAGCATAGGCTGTCATTGGATAGACATTACAATTGATTTAATCGTTTTCTTAGCATATTGGTTCATAATCTTCTCTTTTGAAACGCTCTCTCTATATGGGATACAAGCCATTGGAATCTGTGTAAAAAAGAGAATCCTGAGTAATATTCTAAAATGTTATCATCATTGTGTAGTCTCCCATTGTGAGAGTGTTAGCATACATTGAAGTTCGTAGTTCAATTCCATCTTGAGTGAAGAGGAGACTGAGAGCATAGATTTTACCACATTAAAGAATTACCTCTTAGAAAAAGGAATTCTATTTTAAAGTGTACATCTTCTCAAATTCACATATGAGTCCTCCATTGTTAAAATCACTCATTAGGACTGATTTTCCAGGTGATTTGATAGTGTATTTTTCAGATTGAGATTTTGAATTAGGATAATAATTGTATTTGACGGAAAAGGAATGATTGAGGTGAGTGAATATGAATTCATAATCAATACCTTATCTTTGTATTTCTAAAGTGACATTTTGAATAACTTCAGTCCAACTAATAGTTTCTATTGGTTCACCATATGAAAATTGTTTTTCTAATAATTTGATTTGTTCACTTAAATCTAAATGCAATTAAAACTCATTAACAGGGGCACACTCAACTTAACAATCAAAATTCAAAACAAATTGTTATTCACTATATCCATAAAGATAGGTTTAGAATGTCAAAATATTAGTCTCATTAATTACTTTCATTTCTTACTGGGGTATAACAATTAGATCTTGAGATAAAATTTGAACATTCTTTGAGGGAACTTCTAATTCTATGATTTTGGTTTGGCTATGTTGGGGATTATAAATCAAAACAATCACTGATTTTGATCTCCTGTTTTTGATGAAATACTCTAAAACGCATTTAGAGTTTAGTGAACAATCCAAGATGATTCTTTTAGTTTGTTTATAAGTGTGTTTTAATTGTCCTATCAATTCAAATTTACTATGTGAATAATTATTAATTTTTGATCTCAAATCTTCAAATTATCTATCAATTTATTATTACAAATCTTCCAAGACTTAGTATCTAGCTGTTGCTGAGATTCCATCATGATGTTACGATAAAGCAATAAGTTCTGTTAGTTTTTGAGGAGATATTGTCATCAATTTATGTTGTATAGTGTAAAGATGGATTGCTTATAGCTGATACGATATTGTTCTTAAAAATCTTTTGAATTATGGGTGAGTTGTATACATGGCATTAAAATATACGCCATCTTCAAAATGTGGTAGAAAATCAGAATGTTTATGTGAGATTTGTGTGAAGGATTCTGAGGATTTCAAGTCATTGAAAAATTAACTTGGAGTGGACCATACTATTTTTAATTGACGACATTGAAATAATTCATAGAATTCTATTACAAGATTCTAAGATTCTATATTTGTTTCATTAATGAATTAGAATGTATCACCACTATAATGAAATAATATGTTACCTAGACCACCTTGTTTTTAGTAATATATTAATTATTCAAATTCTTTGAGTTGATTATACAGTTGAATACATTATGCATTATCACTAAGTTTGGATTAATTGATGTGAATTTGAGAGTGTCTCTTGAATCTTAAATGAGTCAAAATCTGATAATCGTAGGGTTGAATATGCTGAATGAATTCCAATCTCCCTTTCTTTACCCTTTAGATGATATCGTTTACATCAACTCTTTCGATGATTTATTATTTCATATTGAATAGATAATTGAGAGCACTTTGAGTGTATGAGTGTCCGAAAGAGTCGATGTTCCAGGCAGTCTATATAGATTGATTGAAGAGGTGATAAACCCATTAATGACCAAGTTGCAATTGCAAAATGATATCTTGATAGTTTGAACTGGCTTGATCATTTTATACCCAGCCTCCATTGACAATTTCTAACCTACCTTAGTGAATGAATTCTTTGATGATGTTTTGTTGAGTTTCATTTTAATTTTCGTAAAACTCTTTAAAGTAACAAATCTCACCTATTACATATGTGAATTCCGAATATTTTTGCATTGTTTCTAAGATCTATTCATAGAGACAATTGACACAAATAGTCTTAGAATACTTCTCACTGTAGACACCTTTTTGATACTGATGGAAGGTGTAAGATTAAAAGGGTTCTAAATGTGAGTGAATTGTAAAATGCAGTCGAGCATCAATGGGATGTGACATTGTTTCGCAGAGTTCGGAAACATCGCATTTTTGGACCAACTCACAAATTTTGATTTCGATTAAGAAAATAAATAACAGGAGCATACTTATTTAAAAATATATCATTTTTCTTTTTATTTTCTTATTGTCACTTTGATTTGTTTCACCATTACATATGTAGATATGCACAGAGTTAGCAAGGTTAGCATAGTAAAGGTGGTCATCTACAATCCCAAGGTTTCTCCCAAGCCTTGATTGTTCTCCTGTGAACCCTTTTGGAATCTATTCAAATCCTTCATCTAAGCGTAAACTCGATCCAATTGCTTTAAATAGCCATCAATCAAATCCAGATCTTCCTTGTTGGCCATCTGCTCTCGATCCACAGTTTCATCGCCTTTCTTATAAGTGATGTCGAACTTAGCGTTTTTCGATCCGAAGACTCTAAAGCAATATTTCAGGTATTCATTGCTCCACATAGTCAAAGTGTACTTGATGAGGATCTCGTTTTTACGGGACTCAATCTACTAGGGGTCTTTTTGGCCTTGCTTTCAGGATTGCGAATTAAGTGAGTACCTCCACTGTGAACTCGAATTCTGTCGAGTTAGCAATTATCTATAATGCCATCATCTATCCCTTCAACAATTGATCCTGGAGACACTGCTGCTCTCCTGATTGCACGATGAATCCGAAATTGTCAGCCATCACTTTTACTATTCCAACCAATAGCAATGCAAAATACATAATTTATATATCTAACTATTTATTAATATATAACTTAATATAAATTCAAATTCTTGGATGTCCAATTATCAAAACCTGGTTGCAGAACTCATTGGAACTTTGGAGGACTTAAGAGAGAAGAAGGAGGAACTCAAGTGTGAAATTTATGAAGAGGAGGAAGAAAGAAGACGCATTGAGAAAGAATTGGAGATACTCTCAGAAAGACTGGATCGAGTTAATGGTACATATAAATGATCTAATTCTTATAATGTAGAAACAATCATGAGAACAGCCACTGAGAAGAGAGAATTAGAAAAGACCATCTAAGAAACTGAACATACCAAAAACAAGATTGTGGAGAGTCTCAAAACTTTGTTACATGTCTTATAAAAAGAATCATAATATCACATCAAAGAACAATGATCACATATCTTCCAACATAATTAATTTCAATTCTCCATTTTCCATTAAACCAATCACATCTGCACTTTTAAGCATCTCCTCATCCACTCCATCTTAAAACAGAGCCAATGACAACTTCAATCCTCTCACATTATTTTTATAGTCACTCATAACCCTATAGAGTAAATACTCGCAATTCCTATTCTATTATTGATCTTCCTCCATCATTTTCTTTCTTGGTAAATTATTAACTTGCTGATTTATTATCTTCATTTATTCTGTTGGCAATTACAGTCGTAAATAATGATCCATGTTTCTTATATGCATATAAGCACACAATCTATTAACATCTGGTTTGAAGAGATTTAAAAAATCCACAGGGTCGTTTATCCAATGGTACTGTTCTAAATCATACTGTTCTTTCAATTCCTCATTATATTGGCAAACCATACACTCCTTGTAGTTTAACAGATAGTAGATCTCAAACAAACTTAAAAAATAATGACCTTTGATTTTGAGACCACAATGTCTTCGAATCAAAGTATTGATTGAATCATCTTTAATGCAATAACCAATTCCCAGCTATTCACTATATAAAACTTTAATTAACATTCAATATAATTTGCTGCTTGAGAATAAAATTTATAAATGAATTCACTTGATAAATCACCATTGTTCAAGTTTATCATCATTGGAGATGCAGGTAATCATAAACAATCTAATAATTTTAGGAGTTGGCAAGTCGTGCTTATTGATGAGATACATGAAGGATGATTTTACGACAGAGTACAATGTGACCATTGGAGTAGAATTCTTATCTAAAATTGTTAAAGTTGACCAAAATACGTAAGTGAAACTGTAAATCTGGGACACTGCTGGTCAAGAATCGTTTAGGTCTGTTGTCAGATCCTTTTATAGAAAAGTTGCCGCAGTTTTCCTAGTTTACAGCATTGCGAAGTATTGTATTCAAATTGAAATCCCCTAGTAAACAATCTCTCGAAAGACTCGACTCATGGTTAAAAGAGGCTAAGGATCACTCGTCCCCATCTATCATCACAGTTTTAGTGGGTGCCCAGAATGATAGAGAATCAGAGTATTTCATTATTATTAGCCATAGACGAGAAGTATCCTATGAGGAAGGCAAATATTGGATGGAAACAAATGGACTTAATCTCTTCTTTGAAACATCTTCAAAAACAAGAGAAAATGTAGAAGAGGTAAGGACTGCTTAAATAATGAGGCATTCACCGAAACAGCAAAATTAGTATTCTTGAACCATATTAATGGAGGTGCCGATAATGAAGCCAAGTTGCCTGCTCTGAATTAAACCGATTTAACTGTCAAGAAGCTTCATCAACCCTTAGAAAAACCTGATAAAAAAAATGATGAAAACAAAAGTTGCTGTTGATATATATAATAATGTTAATCTATATTCATGGTTATTTAATATGTTGATCTATATATATAATAGATGCCAATTTCTATTAGTGCCCTCTTGTTATTTTATATATTTTAGTTATCCTAAATAATATAATCCATTTGGTGTAGATTCTATTAAGATTTCGGATTTTTCTTACTTTATATTAAATCTAATTATGATTATATGAAAATTATGTAGCTCCTTTTAGAGATTCACTTTTTAATCGAAGTCTAAATATATTAAAATATAATATTCTTATTGATATTTATAATTTTATTAATATAATTTGCAAATTGTGCACAATCTGATAAATATATATATCAATTCACATTTTAGAAGAAGAACGACCAACAACTAAATTTTTAAATAGTATGCAAGGCTAATCGTCAGAATCAGCCTCATAATTATCTTCATCATTATATTAAAAGTTTTCGCAGGACTTAACTCTCAAATCACTGAATTGTTTTTATGTGTTTAAGTTAATATGACTACCTCCATAATGATTAACCTTAGAAGTGTTAAATGATTTAATTGTTCCTGCTGGACTTTAAGCATCATTTAAAACGATGCTGTTCTTTGGAACTTTCAAAAAGATGATATTATTTCGACTATTATTTAATCTGCCATTGATAAATTTAGTTTATTGCTAAGAAATCTTTTGCATGGAATTTAGAACTTCTTATTGTTTATCATCCTGTAGATCATCAAATTAATTATCATTCTCTATCATGTCAATTGAAACACTCATTTTATCGTTATTAGTTTCTAATAAAGATTCCCAATCCATTTTAGCATCGGTTGTCAACTCATCCTACAATAATTTAGTCAACCCCATATAATCAGGTGTTTGATTAAATTCGTAAGACTTAGCAATTTTTAGCATTTTCATAAGACACTATGAATTAATCTAAAATGTACTTTAGGAATTTTGTCAGAATATTTATCCAACTCATTATTCTGTTTCAATACCAAAATCTGTTTGTATTTTTCTTCTTTCGAAGCCACTTGGATATTCTGCCAAGGCAATTCACCAAGATGAAAATAAATTAGCACATAGGCGATGGCCTCAATATCGTCTCTTCTACTCTACTCATTACCTTTTCAAATAAGAAACAAACCTAATAAAGCATTAATGCTGGCATATCTGGCTGTTCCAATCAAACCTTTGTTATTTACAAATGGGATGTGTTTGCCTGCTGTGTCTCTGTAATATTTGGCTAGGCCAAAATCAATAGCCATAATCTAAGTAACATCTTGTCTGCTGATAGTAAAGTTTTCTGGCTTAATATCCCGATGGATGAGATTCTTCTCATGAAAGGCTTACCTAACTATATCAACCAAGATACGTACAATCTTTCGATGATCTGAATCCCTATCCTCAATGTAGTATGAAGTGAGAATCGATTGCCGCTTTTCCTTAGTAATTGTTCCAAATTTAAACCTAAGTAGGTTTCCATAAAGAAATTATAATTTTCATCCCTTCCATAAAACTTGATTTGTGGAAAACCTTTTTATAGCTTAATAGTAAATCTAACCTTTCAATCCATTAACTTCTGACAGAACCTTAATTTCTCTGATTAGTAGACTGACTCCTTTTTGGGAATCATCTCGTTTTTCAAATTTTGCTGCTACTAAATCTCCATTTTTTAAATACTAAGACTTAAACACCATTCCAAATGAACCTGCACCTATCTTCTCTAATAATTTATATTTGCCTGCAATAACCATTCCCGCAGCCAATTTTTTCTATTTCAAAACAACTGCTTCATCCATTTAATAAAAATTATATTATTATCATATTCATCAATCAAAATCATCAATATCCTGCTTTTGAATTTCTATTTTCTTGGCAGTTTGTCTTTGTTTCTTCTTCTTTCTAGTATCCTTTGAAACTCTATCGATATAGGACCCTGCTTTAAAGACATCAAAAATCTTCATATGCATAATTTTATTTATGTTATTGGTGTAGGCAAAGAGTCTCAATAACACATATTCCTTTTGAACGTCTGTCAGATCTAAAAATAATTAATCTAAACAATAAAACAAATCCTTAGGTTTCATGAATCCATGTTATTGTTTGTTTAACAAATCGAATTGACTCCTCAAAGCAGTTTCATACTTATTAACAATTACACTCACTTCTTCCCATAATTGTTTATCCTGTTCTTAAGTTAATAAATCATAGCAATTAAGAAGATGTCTAAAAACGGATTTCACAACAGGTAATTTAACTGTAGCCTGTGGATCCAAACTAACAATTTCGTCATTTACATCTTCCACAATGTATCTAGCTATTATTTTGGCTTCATTAGGATCAGCCATAGTAAATGGTTCTTAGAGTAATTACTCTTGCAATTATTCTACACTGATGGCATTATTTGTAGCATTTTAAATTAGGATAGCACAGGCTTCACTTACTGTAATCTATTTGAGTTACAATCGTAAACTCAACTCCTTTCCCATGTCTTGCACTTATTCATATCTAACTCTAGGTGCTTTTGGGAATTTCTTCTCTTGTTTATTGTAGACATCATGCAAAATAGTGAATGTGTGATCTCTGTTACCCTATATGATAGGCAAGGATTCAGTTTCTAAGGGTTGAATTTCCGCCAAATAATACTCGTTCAATTCCTTCAGTTCTTCTCTCATCTGTTACACTTATTGATTCAATCCTTGGAGTTCATCTATCAATGCATTTTTACTTCTCAATTCATAATTAGTTCTCTCCTACAACTTTTCTTTCAATTAATTAATTATCTACTCTTACTAACTAATTTGTTAATCCTTCTCTATGATTTCTGCTTTTTTATCATCAATATCAATAACTTCCTTTTTCTTAACTGTTACTTTTTGATTTTGTTGTGTTTCTTTTTATTTTTCTTCAAACTTGATCATTTCCTTTTTTAAGTAACGGAGATCTCTTTCCTTCTCCTTCATTTCATTCTTTGTCTAATCTAAATCCAAATATTATTGTGAAATCTTTTTTTCAAGCAAACTTTTTTGAATTGAAAGATTCTCACTTTGTTCTTCCAATAATTTCTTGGTTATTTCCAATTCCTGGATCTCCACTTTGAGATCTTCCACCTCATTTGGCATCAGATTTTATTCCTGTTTTAATAATGAAGAGCAATAATTTAGATATTCTATAAGGATGTTTTGCTCTGAGGCTCGAGTGAAATTAGGATTCTTCTACAACTATTTGATTTGACTTTGCTTCTCTTCAATTTGTGAATTAAGTTAATTAATTTAGATTTTCAGTTTTATTCCCAGCCAACTTTAATTTCCTGATTTTTCATCTTAGGTGATTTTTGATTTCTATTTCTCTTGCTAGATTGTGGATATGTTAATGTACTTCAATGTAATTCACCTGCTATTGGAGATTTCTCTATTCGAATTGCAATTTGGATAATGTTTTAGATAGCTGGAATTGTTTCTATTGCAGATTTTCTTCCGATAATTTTGAATTCAACTTGAACGCCTTAGGTGATTGACTATGTTTTGGCACCCCAGCTGTAGATGGTCTTTTCATTAAATATTTATTAAAATCAATAATATGCTATCATATATTACAATTGTATTATCTGGACATTTAGAGTTAATATATAATTAATATAATTTGTAATGTTTCAACCAAACCAAAGCCAAATAAAATATCACAACCCATTTGGCACTACTTCGGCTATCCTCTTCTCCCAATAATAAACATCCAGAGATAAAGTATTCAATATTGTCTAGCATAGTTCATACAATAGAGAGATGGGTCTGAAAACAAACAATACCCAGGGTCTTAAATTGTGTATGGTCCCAAAATGAAGATAGTTCCATCTGCTCAAACAACCACAGCGTTTCGTAAAATATCCAAAGATCTCAATATCACCATAGAAGAACCAGGCAATCAACATTAACCTTTGCGTTAACCATCTCCAAACATGAAGAAATAGCGAGAATAAATGGAAAAGGATTGGAATAAGTTAATTGATAAATCTAAGATACTCCAAGAAAACCTAGTGTTACTCAAAAATAGCATTAGTATAAATCTGACCAAAAAACTACCAGATTAACGCTTGTCAAAAGAATCTACATCAACTGCAACTGGTCTTTCTTCCAGATTGAAGTTGTAAAAAGTGAATATTAATTGCAAACTCAATTCACCATTCAAAATACAAACAAAGCAAGAACTCAGTAAGAGTTTAAGCCAAAACACATTTACAAATTTAAAATATGTACCTAATCCAGTTAAAAATGCAACAAATAATAATAATAGCATTATGACACTTACAAATAATTCTAGCATCCGAAAATCTTAAGATTCCTTTACTCTTTAACAAAAAGTCCCATCTCAATTCCCATACCCAAAACAAACATCTAATCTGTATAAGTCGATTGAATAAAAACTAAATTTTAAAATTAGTTCATTTTTGGGAAGAGGGAAATTCAGTGATGTCCATATGGCTATTGATAAAAGATCTGGATTAATATTTGCACTCAAAATCATTAAAAAATAAACAGTCGTTGAACATGCAATGCAAGAACAATTGGCTAGGGAAATTGGCATCCAATCCAAATTATCACATCCAAATATAGTCAAAATGTATGGATAGACTTATGACGATTCACATATTTACATGATGTTAGAATTCTGTAATAATGGAGAACTATTCTAACATTAATACAAGTAACCTAATAAGAGATTTAATGAGAAGGATGCTAGTACTTTTATAATGCAAATATTATCAGCCATTCAATATATGCATAAATAAGGGTATATGCATAGAGACTTGAAGACTGAAAATATCCTAATGTCCCTTGTATTTTTGTATTTAATATTTCAAGAATTATGTCAAACTTTGTGATTTGGGATGCGTTAGAGAAATCCCATCAAAGGAGGACAGGAGAAATACCTTTTGTGGAACTGTTGACTACATTGCCCCTGAAGTAATTAAAGATAAAGGATATGATGAAAGATGTGATGCTTGGCAAGTGGCTATCCTTGCATATGAGCTGGTTGCTGGCAATACTCCCTTCTCAGAATATCCAAGAGATGATGATTCAATTATGGAAAATATACTAAAAGTATACATCTCATTATATTTTCTAATAGAATAAATTTGAACTGCCTCAAACATTCTCTCCAGCACTCAAAGATTTTGTTAGAAGAGGATTATAATAAAAACCTGAGAACAGAATTACAATTGATTAAATGTTATAACATAAATGGATTGTAGATAATAAAAAAGGATTTGATAAAGAATTTATATTTTGATAACTTTTTTCAAACTTTATAAATATTATAAGGTGGAGTAGTAGTGTTGTTTTCTATTCAGATAGATTTTCATAGATTCCACTTAGAAATTTAAGATGTGTTTTTGTTTATTATTAAATTTCATTACTTCATTTCTAGACTCATCAATTCTTATTCTGCACTTTGAATTATGGACGTAATAATTCACTTTAATATAATTTAAAATAGAAATAAAAATATTTAAGCATAGTATTAAAGAAAAAACAAATTTAAAGTAAAAAAGCAGAAATAATTCAATTCATGTTAGATCTCAACTAATAAAACAGCATTTTTTTTGTCATTTTGTTATTGTAATTACTTAAAGTTGTGCTAATTCCAACTATCAACTAATGAATTTTAAGAATATATCATTCAGATTTTACATTATCAAAGAAATTTATTTAATGTAATTTGTATCCTTTAAGAATTGGATGAACTTATCGATCAGCTCTTATTTTTTGAACTCAAACGAGTTTGGGAGATACTATGAATTTCCATAATGTTTGGTTAGGTTTAAAAATAATATAAATATAAAATATATTAATATGATTTAGTCTAAGATGTCCTACCCCTAACTGATTCATTTTTTGGAGTGGTTATTGATTTCATAGTGTTTTATGGAATAAAATAATACACCAATGAAAATTCCCCACATCTTAATTAAATGATAATAAAATATTTATATGTACAAAAAATAAACCCGCCCCTTATTCATTCCGAAACCAGAAAATGGAGAATTCCCATTTGACATAAAAAATGTTAATACAAATGACGTCAAGCCTATTGACTTTTTTAGGATGTATAATTCGTTATAAATGATGGTTGAGAAATTGATTTAAGATTAAGTAAGAATGTATATGATGTCAGACTGTTCAATAAAAAGTGTCAACCAATATCGATGCCATATTTCGAGTGTTTATTGAGAAGGATCTGAATCCTCCTCCTCCATAGAAGCTTGTTGGAAGACGAAGTTCGCCCTACACTTATCAAAAGCAGGAGTTTTGGTTGTTGGTTGAACATCTAAATTCTTTGGGCTTTTCATATAAATAAATATCAGAGAGATTGCAAGTACACTATGTTCAGATTTCAACTCATCATCGAAATACTGTTGACTATGATGATGATTCTGAGTAGGAGTCATCATAAGTGAAGAAATCAATAAAGGAGAAGTCGAAGTAAGTAAAGATCATTGAGAAATAGCCAATTCAAAATTTTGATGTATTCCAGTCGGATGACGAATAGGGATCAAAATGAGAGTTCAATCATAAATCAAATTTTCTTGCTACATAAAATAAAATAATTTCTAAAAAAGTCTTTTAAAATTTAATATCAAATCATTTTCTCTATAATCCATAAGCATGCTGGTGTTTAGTTCTCAACAAATATGCACTCCTGCTGGATTCCAATCTTGCTCTCTGCTGCTTATGGACTTTGAGCCAAGAAATAATTATTAAATTTAATAGTAAATGGTTTGTTCATCTCTAAAATGAATTCATCAAATGCTATAATTAATAAGCTGAACTTACTTTAAAGGCTGAAGAATTAAACCTACAAAGAGCAAAGTACGAGATGACCTAGTTATGAAAAGGATTCTTCATCCGAAACATTCAGATAGAGAGCAGTCTATAGATGCTATAGAAAAATTTGATCTTCACGATTAATGTATTTCGATTTGTTCTTGGATTGTTATTTAACAATAGACCAATAATCATTCTCTATAAAGTCTATAAAAATGTTTACTATCTCTTGGATGACTGAAACAAGTGACTTCTTGTACTTCTCCTAATTGAACCATATTAGTATGGGAATGCAAAGTGAACCCTGTCCACCAATTTCTTATGATTATTTTACTCCCACTTTCAACAAAGATTGGTTGACTTTTTACTATATTAAACATCTTCAAAATATGGTTATCAGACTCAAAATACACGAACTTCCAAACTCCTTCATTTTTATTGTCCACATCCAATTTCTGTTTGGCTTTCACTAGAGTTTTATTCTGTTCTTTCTAAGAATGAGAAAATAAGTAATTTCTATTATCAGAAGACAATAATCGAAAAGGATCATCTATTTTTTTATTGAGATATTTGAGTAATAAGATGCTATCTTCTTCTGGAGGTTGTATTACAAAATATTCCGGTTTTTCCATCAAAGAAACATCAGCCTTTCCTGAATGATCATGTCTTTAATCATGATTCACATTGACATACAATTGGCTTTTGAAATGCTTGATTGCTATTATATCTCCATAATACAGGAATTAATTTTGGAAATCATCTTACAATTCTATTATAAAGTGAGTATCTGGGTCATTGGCATCACCTAAATATTTCAATTAAAAAGTTTCAATCTGCTTTCTTAGGATTTATTATTTAATTTAGAGTTTTCCAGCCAAGAATTTATTGTTCATCTAACATTGAATTTAGAGCAATTGGAAGGTTTTGAATGGTAACTATTCCTTTTATTCCATTTATATCATAATTGTTTTTATTTTTTAAATTGTATTGTGATGTTATAATATTTAGTAGTTATAGAATAAACCTGATATACAGTGGTTCTAAAAAAATAATGGACATTAAGATTGGAGATAAGTTGAAAATTGTAATGATAATTGAGTTTAATTTTGATTCTTGTGTTATTAATAAACATAATAGTTTTTATAAATGTATAATAAGTTTTAACCAATCATTATGGATGACACTACCTTAGGATCAATTGATTCAAAAAGTGTCATGTTTCTTACAGCCAGTCCATCATAATTCAAAACCAAATCATAAGTGGTACTTTCAAGAAAACTATCAAAATTGGAACCATTAATTATCGAAAAAGACAAAAGAAATGATTCAAATAGCCAAGAAAAGCGATTATCACATGATCTTGGGGCTAGTTAAGTTTTAGATTGGAAATCATTCATGTAGAAGGATGCAGAATACATCAAAGAATTCAATGAAACTACAGAGAAGTTCAGACGAAGTTCAATTTAATCTTAAAATTCACAAATTTTCATGTCTCCCTCAATAACAGACAAGTTCAATCACTCACAATTTGATGGAAGAAGATCCTCAATTAATTTGAAGTCTCCTGATAATGACGACTTTCTCGAAAAAATGAAATTAGGAAAGTAAGAGAAATATGTATACTCTAGTAAACAGTTGCCAAATTTAACAACCTCTGAATTTATGAAGTGCGTTAGATAAAAAGAAAAATTAACCGAATATGCTAAAGTTTATTAACAATCTCCACAAAACATATATCTCAAGTTAAACAACTGTATTATGCTCTTCATTTATTGATTAGCTTAGAGTTTCGTACCTAAAACCTTTGGATTAGTGACTACTTCTGGAAATCAATTGACTCAAGTAAATGCATCTAGATATCTGAGAAGCATCGATGATTGTAAAGTGTATGCTGAAGCTATGACAACGACACAATCACAAGGCATCTAGAAGATGTAATTGAATAGCAACATTTATGATCCACGTTAGTTCAAAGAACTATTGTCTAGCTTTCCTAATACAGTAAGAGAGCTTGAATTAAAAGATTGCAAATTAAATTTTAAACATGTAGACACTCTGATGAGTTATATTAACAAGAATCTGATCTTAAAATTGAATTTGGAATAGAATTTACTCAGAGATCAAGGTTGCAACATGCTTATGAAACATCTAATGAACAATAACACATTGTAGTGTTTAAATCTCTGCAATAATAGAATTACAGAGACTTCGAGCGTAGCCTTGAGTAATTTCTTAAAATAATCCCAAAGACTCTTAGAACTATATCTAGGATTTAATAATCTCTAAATTAATGGTAGCATCTAAATTTGGAAGGCCATGTATAAGAATACAAGCATTAAGATATTAGATATGTCTCATAATGCTATTGCTTCTTTGGAATGCGCATAGGCTATAGCCAAGGCATTGTCTCGTTCTTACAATGAATTAGTTCACATAGACATAAGATATAATAAGTTTAATCATCAACAGAGTCAAATCATTGCTGAAGGTCTGATTAAAAATGAAACTATCTACGGATTCCATTTCGAAGGCAATTATTAAGACATAATAGTTAATCCAAATGGATTTCTAATTAATAGAAAGGAGGAACTCAAATTAAAACAATAGAAAATAGATTTATTAAATAAGCAACCCTAATATTTTAAATTATTGGATGAAGAAAAATTAGAAAATCCAAATAATTTGAAAACAGATGAAGATTTGTGTCTTGCCTATCATAGAAGTAGAAGAATGAAATCAACTGAACTAAACAAGTAAAAAGTAAACATGATAAATAAATTGGATGTTTGTTGGATATGCGAAGGATGGTAAGAAATCAAATTCTAATGGAATCAAAAATCAGGATCCTTGCGATCTGAACCAATCTTCATCCACTTCGATTTTGATGACTATAAACCCTATTTAATGACCTTTTTAAATGGGGAATTCTTCTTTGTAAAGATGTGTCCTCCAAATAGATCAATCAAATACTTCTTTACTAATCCAATTCTTGGAATCCAGTGCATAGCAGAAGATCAGAATGTCTTATATTTGCATTAGCCACTCCCTTCTATCCCCTTTCTATACAATAATGAGATTTTAGTTGATGGAAACACTATGCAAATGATTAACGAATTGATATCACACAGCAACTAAGTCTTATTTGATAGATATGTTCCCTTAGTTTAAGCAAAACCAAGAGAGATGATGGCTTTATTTGATTTTTCTCCTTATTTGAATATTGCATCCACGAAATGGTCAGTTGAAACATCGATATTCAGATACTTTCCCCCTGATACTGATAAATTAATAGAGGAATGCTTTGAATTCGATTATCAAAATTCAAAAATCAATAGATTAGTAAAGGAAACTGAATTACAGGATGTCAAAGAAATATTAAAATAATTCTATGTGCAAATCTTCAATTGTTACAAGTACTTTGCATCAGGGAATCCGACTGCTCCTGTATTTATTATTATTTAATATTGTAGATCCCATGTTTGGGACCAACTGATTATGTCGAGTTTTTAATTTCCAATGATGTTATTGAAGGAGTTAAACCAAATGATATTGATATTGGATTTACTTCAACAGCAGGTGCTAAGGATGTCTCCTTCCCTTAGGCTTATGAAAAAGGAATAGTGAGATGCTAATTTATGGAGGTACTAGTTCGATTTTGTAATGACAAATATATCAGAAGTGGATTGTGTTAAACTATGATTGAAGGATTAACATAATTACAGTAATAATGCAGAGAGTTTTTGTCAAAGTTTGATTCCACTTAGGCTTGGAGGAAGATGAGGTTGTGGAATGAAAAATGCGATATACTTATTCATGACAGAATGCCTATGATCAAGACTCTTTACAAATATACTTGTAAATTGAGCAAGAAACCATAGCAATATAAATATGATTACGTTTCTCCCTAAGACTTTAAGGACTTATTGAAATAATCGAGTATTATTTGTGATGAATTAACAGAAAGAGAATGCTACCTTGCTTACTTATAAAGCATGATAACTTAGAAAGATGAATTATTTCAACCGAAACATTATCAAATGAATCTTTATGAATTTATAGAAGCCATTGCAAGAATTGCTGAAAAAGTATCAGTTATTAGAGGTGACAAAATAATTGAAATTGAAAACAGAAGAGCTCAGGATTTGCAGGATAAAATCTCTGGATTGCTTCTTTTAATGTATCTTACATTGATAGATGAAATTAAAAAGGCTTTGCCAAATGAACCTGATGTAAAACATCTTGAAAAGTGTATGAATAATGATTTCAGATCCAAAAAACAAAAGCTTGAGGACTCCTTCACTGATGGAGATGAACCTCCATATGATGTTAAGGTTGAATTACCTATTTTAATTGCGCAAGTTCCAAATCTATAAGGCAATGCAAATGGGCCTGCCAAAAGAATGACTATTCGTAATATCAAATTGCTAAAGCCCTCTACTACCAAATACTCTCTTACAAATTTTGTACAATTCTTTATTAGCTTAAATGAAAGAACCTGATTTTTATTAAATATCCTCATAATTTATATGTTTTTATGGTATTATGTAAAAGTTTTGGTTTTGTTATAAATTTTTACATTTAAGTTAATTACAACAGTCAATCATGGAGAATTGAGCTTGTTTTATAACCATTTCAGATACAGAGCCTGTTCTCGATCGTTTTGTAGGTTCTCCACAAACTATGCAAGTTCAGAGTCTATTCCAAAGGACTTAAGATAATTTAGCATTTCCCTTTATTACTTAGTTATTATTAGATTATTACAGTATCATCTATAATTTGATTCCTTCCAACATACTCCGCCACTCCTCTTTCCTGTCTGGGAATTTGCTTGTGTTCTTCGATGTCATCAATTATCTAGACCATATTGATTTGAATCTATAGATTTAATGAGTGACATTTTACCTTGCTTCTGTAGGCTGAGCACTCGTAACAAGAAACCAATCCGTTTCCCTTAGTTAGATAAATACTAAAAGGAATATGATTCAAGGAAAGAGTTTAGAAATTCTAAACTAGAGTTTCAGTCTAATTTAATACAGCAAATTTCTGAGTTTCTTATTATTCCTCATCAAAGGATTCCTCTTTCTTCAAACATTCAATGCAAATTAAAATTTAAACATTTTCTACTGTTTTACTTAATTCTAATTTTAAGTCATCTTCCAAATCTTGGACCTTAAATCCGTTAATTTCGGTCTAATCTGAATTTGATTGTGTACTCTTTAAAACCATAGTTTCAAATATCATTCCTCTCTCAATAAGTTGATATAAATGATCTTTGTTTAACTACAATAACTACTTTTCTCTATTATCGATTCCGGAATGTATAATCTCAATCCAGAATAGTTCATAGGAAGTAGAGTTCTGGCAACTCTTAGCGGTATTTTTGCTATCATTAATTTTATATATATATAAATTAATATAATTTACATTTAAGATAAAATTAAAATGGGAGCTTCTACTCAATCAATACTATTAGGCTATTAATGATCCTCAATTAATTACAGCCTAATTAGAATTGTATGTATTTGCATAATCTATCATTACATACCTATTTTTGAATTTTATAAAATTTAAATAAGCTATTTTCTATAAGGTGATATAATTATTATGAAAGAAATTAATCAGAAATCCATGTGTACAATAATTATTAAGATCAAAATTTATATTCTAGATGCATAACGGCATTTATCAACCATTTAGAAACAATTATTAAGTTTAATTAAATTCTAAAAACTTAATAGATTATTATTAATTATTTAATATTTTTAAAAATCTATTAAACAAGACCTAAAAAAGTAATTTTGATGAATATTATATATATAATATATCATTAGTTTGATAATACTTCATCCATTTCATTTTATTTTTCATGCTTTTTATTTTCAAATTATTCTAAATATTATAACAAAATATACCATTAGCATCTCTGAATTTATTTTTTATCATCAAATAGAACTCGTGATTTCTTCTTTTGTAATTCTTGTGACTCAATCTAAAGCAACTATCACATTATATTGGCTTTTCACATTACTTACATATCACTTCTGCTAAGTCTGTTTTGCAAATTTAACAATTCTCACTATAACCTAAGCCAAAACAAACATTTATTGCTTAATTTGAAATAGGAATTCCCCTTTTATTTTTTCTAAATATCTTTTGTATTAAAATAACTCTTGGTATTATTGATAATGTTTATTCTAAATTATTTAACCTTTCTTCAGTTTTAATACTAACAAATTATTGAGCAATAAATCTTTCTACTTTATTTGCTTTCTTATCCTTTAATTTTTTCTTTTGTTATTCTTATTATTTCAATAGTTCTTATTCTTTTCTTGCTATCTCTAATTTCTTTTGTTACTTTATAAATTCTTCTAACAAATTAAGACCTTGGATCTTTTAATGCCTATGTTTTTTTTCAATAAATGCCATCAAACGCTTCGCACAGCTTTTTAAATCTTGTAACTTTTTAGTTAATCTTTTCTTCATTAGGAATCCTCTTGTGCATTTTTATACAATTATAACATAGTGCATATACTATAAATTTTTGACATCTTCCAATTATTATATCTTCTCTTCTTTCAATCTTAATTATTAGAGAACATTCTGCTTTTATCCTCCTGTTATTTCAATTTCATTTTTAATTTTCAACTCCTTCTTATACTTATTTTTCATTTAATCCATCGATAACAATTTCAATTGTAATCTTTGACATTAAGTTTAAACTTAATTTAATTTCTCCTTCATTAATAATACTTCTTAGCATCTGTCTCCAAGATCCTTCATTAACTGATCAATATTCTCTTTGATCATCTATTTCTTATCATCCAATTCAGCTATGACTTTATTTCTTTTGTCTTGAATTGATCTTAATTCTTATCTTAATGAATCACATTGTTATTTAACTTTCCCCTTATCAGATGTTGTACCTTTCAAAGACTCAACTAATTTCTCTATTTTTTTTAGTTTCTTAACCAATTTATCATACTTTGGTTTTTATTCTCTTTCCTTCTTATTTTCATCTTCAATTTCTTTTTATAAATACTTCTGTAAATATTTCAAATGCAACCTTCTTTCTTCTAATATTATAGGATTCAAGATATCCTTAATGTCACCCATAATCTAAATGTACTACTTTTGGTTCTCCAACCCTGGAGTTAGAAAGGTAATGAATTCCTATTCGGTAAGAACACCATCACTATTATTATCCAACATTTTTATGAATTGCTGTATTTCCTATTCCTTAATATTTAAACTACATATATAATCAATCATACTTAAGTCTGCAAATGTTATTCTAGATTTCTTTGATTGTTAAAACACCGTCTTTATCTTCATCTAATAAAGCATAAGCATCATTCAATTTTAAATCATTTTTGGCAATCTAATTGGCTACTGTTAGGGCAATATCAGGATCTGATATATTTCCATCTCCTAAAACCTACGATTATTCTCCACTAACTAATTCTGTTTTTAAATCATCCAAGCCTTATTTTAGTCTTATCTTTCTTAAACTTTAATATTCACCATTAATTTGAATCACATTCTCCTTCCTACTTTCTAGTTCAATCAATTTATCCAATTCCTTAATCCTTATCTCCTAATTCTTAACTTCATCATTCAATAGATTGTTTTCCTTTCTTAGGGCTCTCAAGATGTCCAAGTCTTTTTTAATTTGATCCTTGTTATCCTCCTCCTTCTCTTTAATCAACTCCTTTTTTTTAGCTTCATAAACTTATTTTATTTCTTATTGCTTCTCAGTGTTTACTTGAAGTACCTTATTATCTCTCTCCAAGGCTTTTTCTTAAGCTTTTCTGATGTTATTTTATTTAATTTTTAATAATTCATCCTACTCTTATTAAAACTTTATTGCTTATTCCTTCTCTCTCTTTTTTTACTCAAGAAAAGCATTACGTTCTTTCTCCTTATCCCTTTAAGATTTGTCTTCCGACTCTATGTCTAATTTGGATTTAATTCCTGCCCCAATTCTAACATCAAACAAATTCTTCTTTGGCTTTGCTTCACTTCCCTTCCCTGGTTTTTTTACCTCCATTTCTAATGAAATTAAATTGAAATCATACTTTTTGGAACGTCCTTCACTACCACTTGAACATCCAACTTCTTCCCTAAATCCTTAGTTAAAATTGCAGCTTTTTGCTGATTATTTAATTAAGGATCTTCAAGCTGTGCTTTTGTCTGTTTATCAAATGTTAACTTTTATTTTGTAATTACTTTTGGTTTAGGCTAGGGTTTGGGTTATTTCTTTTCTATTTTCTCCTGTACATATATTTCATCTTCCCTCTTTTGCATCTTCTATTGCTTTTCCTTATGCTTCTTCATCAATTAATTGACCATGTCTTATTAATTAGATGTCTTTGTTGCCTTCTTGGCTGCTTTTTTTTAAGTTCCTTTTTCTTCCTTATTGATCTTTACAGATACAGCATCGATACTTTCTAAATTGACATTCTTTTCCGATTACTTAATTAATTATTTGTAACTTTACCATTGATTATTCAAATTAGCTTTCCTCAACCTCCTACTCTTGTTCTTCTTCTTTTTATTATGACTTTTCCATTTAGTCTGCCTATTGATCCTCTTCCTTCTCACCCTCGTTATCTTAATTCTCTTTATCTTAATTCTCTTCTTCGTTCTGTTGCTCCTCCTATTATTAATCCTACTCATTATTGTCCTGATTTTCATCATCTCCATCATTATCATTTTACCTTTATGATTAATATCTAAATATTTACTATTGCTCATTGTTCTCATCTTCATTATTATTAGCTTAAGATTAGTTTTTATTAGACTACTCCATATTTTCGTTTTGCTCTTCGTTCTCCTACTCATTCTGCTATCTTTTGTATAACTTATTGATTTTACTCCTCATTTTCGTAATCCTCTCCGTACTCTTAATCACTCATTCTGATTTATAATAAAAAAATTAAAGTTTTATCAAATATTTCTTATACTTATATTAAATAGAGTTTACAATTTATGCATATATTTTCACTCCTTCTTAATTATGAATAAAATATCAGAGGTTTAAATATCCTTCTATATTAATATTCTACTATTATTAAATTGAGTTAGGGAGTTGGATTAATGGAAAGTGTGAATTTAAATTAAATAATAAGAGATCATTGAGACTATGAGAAATAAAATAACAAGATTGTTTGTAATCTACTTTAAATTTATAAATTATTTTAAAGTGCATAATTTTTACAAATTGAAATATGTCCTTAATCTAATTTTAATTATAATAATCAAATTAAATAAGAATAGCTTGATAATATATTTCATTGTTTTTTACACTTTAACTAAGAGATGTTCAATTTGGATGTTTAAAATCTAAAATAATATTAAGTAATTTTTAATTAATATCATGTTGACTCTCTATTACTGCTAAATGGAGTAATTATTTTCTAAAACTATTAATATCTTATTAATTATATGAATTAGGTTAGATAAGCTTACCCTTTTTATAAAGTTAATACAAAGCCATTAAACAGAATATTCCACAGTCAAAACTTGGATATATGAATAAATTTTATACCTGTTTTCTTGTTTTGGACTGCCTTCTATGATTTACCATTTTGTCTGTTCACCTTAATAATTTTACATTTGTTCCAAACCTTCAACCACATTATTTTATATTTAATAGTTAGAATCCAAATATTATATTTGATTTTCATTAAAATCCACAATAGCACAAAGCCAATGGTTATTTTACAAATTAATAGGAATGTATGTATATTTAAACAGACTAAAAATGTTTTTTTAAACTAAAGTAGAGAATTTGTATTTTTCTTTTAAATTTTTAATTTGAATGTTTAATTTGTTAAACTAATACTTTCCTTTTTCATTTTCTAGTATGATTACATTATTTATTTTCATCTCACCTTTTGCAATCCCTTAGGTAGGTTCTTACTGATCCTTTTTTTCATAAGAAATGCTTTTCACTTAGAAATTGTACTTTTACAATAATTCTTTTTATTAGGAGACTTCATTCTAATAACTAAAGCTAAATTGATTTGAAAAACTATCTTGTAAATTGAGGTCTTATTGAGGTTAGGATTTTCTAAGAAATCTTAATGGATTTAAGAATTTGATAAGGTTTAAAGTCTTTTAAAAAATGGAATTATTTTAACTTTGGGTCTCTTGAGTTGATTACTGTTCTTATTCATACTAGGATTCAAACATTTAAAATAAATTTGGAGTAGATTTCTATTAATATTGAGTGACCATCATGTTTGAAAGTATAGTATTTGAAACATCTGGAATGAACTCTGTGAAAACATGACAGTCTAAAGAAAGTACCTAATATGTAAATAAAATGATAATACAAGAAATTCTCCAAAATAATATGAAAACATCCCCTGAAAAAAAACAAAGTGTTGAGCTGTCAAATATTAATTATTTGCCAGAACACTCAAAAAATCATCATTTATGGTAACACCATGTTTACGTATATTAAAATCCTTGAATTTATACGATTCTTTATAGTAGTCAGCCCAGAATATATTTTCCTTAACTTTCTAAAGTGTTAATTCTTCACTCATAATTTTTATTTTTATAAATATTAAATGGATGCCCTAGCAAAAATAGCAGCAACAGGAGAGAGAGCCATTTCTGAACTTAATAAACATACATTAACACAATGGAATGGGACTACAACTACAACAATGAAATATGTATGGGATTGAATATTTAGAAAAGATAATAGAACGGTTGAATCTGTGCTTTGATGAGATAAATTTCCATTTATAAACGAAAGGGTTGAATGATGAATCCAATGTAATCTCAAAGTTATGCAATCATTACAATCTGATATTCCAAAAGGTGGAAGAGATTAATCAACGAAAACATTAGAACCCCCCAGAACTCCCCTTAGAGTATTGTCAAAGATCATTCTCGACTAATGCAACTTCAAAAACCATCTTTGGGGGAGCAGAAATCCAAAGTTTCAGTATACTTTCCTCTCAGAAGTCTAAATTCATATCTGCAGAATAAGAATTCAGAAGTAACAAGCCCAAGTTTAAGAAGAATGTTTAATCAAAGGGAACAGATACTGGTGAAGATGCCATGCGATATTTAAATGTGGAATATTTAGGTGAAAAAGAGAGGGAATTATAAAGAGTGAAAGAGGAGAATGAGATGAATCTTAGAGAAATAGAGAAGTTTCTTAAGTTTAAAGGGTTGTGGAGTGAAATACATGCTAGCAATGCTCCGTTTAAATTATAAGATCTTGGTAAGACTTTGGAAAGAGAACTCTAGCGAAATGAAATATATATTAATGAGCAAATTCGAATTGCTAATTAGGAGCCAGAATTCCCACCCAGAGATATGAAATAGGAAATAAAGGATAGGGTTGTTGTTGGGGTTCAAAAATCAACTGCAGATAGGATATTAAAATATGCTGAGAGAAAAATGAAGGAAGAATTGGAGAAATTTTAATTGAAGAAGAATTCTGGATTGTAGATGCACAAGAGGAAATCACAGAACATGTAAAGAATAGATGAATTGGAACATCTAATTAATACTAAGAACGAAGAAATCTTGGAAAAAGAATCAAAGATGTCAGCTCTGTTTTCTAAATTCGAAGATCAAGAGAAGAAATTAGTAAATTTAATGATTTAGATGGAATAAATAAAAGCTAATGAAAAACACAATAATACTTTTACTAGTAGTAAAGTAAATGACAAATAGAGTCATGTTGAAATCTAAGTAAGTATGAGTGATCCTAAGATCTTTAAATTGGAATTGCAATTAAAAGAGATTGTTGAAGAGAATTAGAATATGAAAGGAGAACTATAGACTATTTATGAATAGGCAAAAAATGATAAATAAAAGGTTCTGTTACAACCTTAATTAATTGAAGAAGTTCTGATGATGATCATTTAGAGTGAGTTGTAGGCTGAAGGCAAAATAGAGTTATTACAAACATTTTTATAGTATCTGATAGAGAATTCAGAGAATGACATTGCACGAATGCCACCAAATGAGTTATATAGAACGGTGAGACAAAAATTGCAAAATAATAATAATTCAAATAGAAATTTGGAAGAAGTCTTAGAGAAGTTTGAAGAGATGTAAAGTGATGATGAAGATTATTCACCCAGTTCTATTAAGAAAACTAAAAAAGTTAAAAATAAGTAATAGAAATCCAAAAAAATAATATTAGAAAGAGCTGATTCTTAATTTGAATAATCAATATCCCCAGAAAAATCAGAGAAAGTTATAGGAATTAGGAAAACAAAAAATAAATTTGAAGATTAATCAAATGAAAATTCAGAATCTTAAATTGTAATAAATAATAATACTATTAATGATAATAACAATTCTATTAGTGCATTCAAGAAAAAGACTCTAAATAAAATTAATGAAGAAAATAGCATTATATAAAAAAACTCACCAAGAAAATAAGAGATCATTAGTCCGCCTTCAGGTAATAGAAATACTACAAATAACACATCTTCTGTTAAACAAAACTAATCTGATACCAAGATTAATAAAATCATTACTAATTAAACTTCTACTCAAAATTAAACCTAATAATAGTAATAGTAAACAATTCAATAATAACCATAAAATCCCTAATAATAGCCTAAAGAATCAAGTAGATTTAAAACAGAACAACAAAAATAATTATCATCCAGTAGACAATAAGCAAATAAAAGCAGAGGATAAATAGAGTAAAGTAATCAAAAACCTGTAATTTAATCTCATTCAACAACTTAATTTACAAATAAATAAGTAAGACAAATTAAGTAGAGACATTCAATCAAAGTAGAATATGGAGAAGTTGATTATGATGAAATTGATGAGGATGTAGCAAATAGGGGAGTCCAAGTCAATTTTGGTAATCTATACATTAAGGCTTCGATGATAAACTAATCAGAAGATAACACTAATATGATGGGTTCTTAGATAGGATTCCAAACTCCTTTGATGCGATAAAGTTATCGATCACAGGAAGAAAAAGTCACTGCAAAATTTACTCAGACTGATGACTTTTTTATGTGGAATTTATTCTAAAAAATGTAAGTTGATCTTGGATTAACAGAGGATTAAATAAAAAAGTTGGAATAAATATTTTTGAATGAATAATAATTTATACACTATTATGAAAAGACTCCCTCTTAAAGGTAAAAGTCAAGGGCATCTACTATTATAGCTGATTAAACAACCAAGGCCAAATAAGATAAATTTATTGATAATACAATTAATGATAGCAAGATGACCACCATGATATAATAGAAAAATGAAACAACAGATTCAGAATAATAAAATAGAAGACCAACAATATCTATAATGAAAACCACTTAACCTCCAAAAGGATTGGAATCTCCCATGAATTTAGTTGGAAGATAAAAGAGTCAGGTACTACTCTCATATACAAATGAAAGCAGTCTCATATAACCTAATTAAGGCAGAAGTATTAGTCAAACTTCAGATGTTCATATTGTGAATTATGGAAGTGTTAGTACAGATACAATTGCTAAAAAATAGAAGTAAACAACAAGTCAAAAGATTTTGGAAGATATGTTAAAGAATAAGACTGGTCTGACAACTCAATTTGATGTTGAAACAAAAGAATAAAAAGAGCAAAAAATGTATTTCCATGTGTTTGGAGATGAAATGCAAACTGATGCTGATTTTGAGTTAGAAGCTGTAAGGGCCAATTTAGGAAAACCATTAGAAGTGATACAAGATCATTTGAAGGAAGATGCAATGAAGAAAATATATCAGTAATTCGTAAATCGACCAAAGAATCCTTGGCAAGATTAACTCTATATGATAATTTCTCAATTTGCTAATAAATCTCCATAATCCATTACTTACATTGATTTCAAAAAGTATTATGAAAATTATATGAGGGTATATTTGTTTTCTTTTCTTTTTTAGGTACATAAGAGATGTGGAGATGGATGTATTCACATACAAAGATTTTTAGCCAGGATTGGATTTGGAATAAACTCAAAGAGAAAAGCATTGAATATGAGCAAATAAAGTGTTTCTCCATTTGAACTGCCAAAACTAAAATGAAAGTTTTGATATTAACTCGTTATTATATTAATTTAAATCTTAAGTAATGTAACAATACACAAACACTTACGAGTCAGTAGTCAGAACTTAGGTAGTTAGTGGACAGGATCAAAAACCACTCAATTTGGGATTAACAGATGTCGAAGGAGCAAAGGTTGTATGATTTTTGAGACTAGGCTGTTGCTAGAAGACTCTTTGATACTTATGACAGAGACAGAAATGGATAGATTGATAATGTAGAAGTAGTACCAATGATTGTTGACGTCTATAAGTCATTCAATAGAATCTTCTCTCCTGCCAGAGGAGACATTGATTCATTTTATAAGTTCAAAATTTATACATTATAATTAGGGTTTTGGATAGAAATTCAGATGGTAAAATCACTTATCAAGACCTTGAGGATTTATGCATAAGATATTTGACTAATTAAACACCAACAAATTTGAGAGCTTCTGAAGCACCTCGTTAAAGTGGAATCCAATAACCATCATAAACAGTCACATCATCATATAGAAGAACTCAGTATTGATTGTGATTCATTATTAAGATAAATTCAGATTATTCATAAATTACATAATCATTTTGCCCATTTTCAGATACCCATTCAATTATTTATTTATATCTTAAGGATAATAAATTGTATTTTCATAGATTATACTGATTCTTAGGATTATATGTTGTGGTTTATATATTATAATAGAATAAATATCTAACACAGAGCTTTGAAATAACAAAATTCTCTAGTAGAAGGATATCTGAGATTTCAATTAATTAAAATTATTAAGATTATTAATTTAATATTCTAATACTAAATGATATGGCATTTTCCTAAAATAAATTGGAATATTATAAAAAATAATCAAACTCATATTATTTTTTTGATTCTAGTAAAATAACTTGATGTTTTCTTTGAAGAATTAATATCTAGAAAATAAGGCCAAGCTAGATGAGAACGTATTTTAAGGAATAAATTTTTATTTATTTGTGATACATTATTTTAATATTTAATTATGAATTATTAATAAATAGAAGGCGCTCAAGAAATTGAGGAATTCAATTTTGTTTAAGCAAAGAAAAAAATAAAGAAGCCAAAAAAAGTAATAGCATAGCCTCAAAGTGACATAACCTTTACCTGTACAGTCTTCTGACACTGTAGGTCCTGATGCTGCAAAACCATAATAAACACTATTGGATATTATTTTGGACAACTTGCCTTAGAGTGAGTTATATGAGCGATCATTAATGCACAGAGAAAACATAAACATTGTATTATCTGCATTTAAGTCCCACATAATTATAACTGTGTCAACAGATGGACATATTAAGATGTGGAGAAAAGTGTTTAGATTGGTTGAATTCATAAAGCATTTTAGAGCACACACAGGAATAGTCACTTGTGCAACGTTGTCTGATGGACATGACAAGATGGCAAGTGTGTCTCCTGCTGATCGAACAATCAAGATTTTTGATATTTTGAATTAGGATTTATTGGATATGATTAAGCTTCCATTCCAACCATACGGGTGTGAGTTTGTGGATACAGCGGATGTACAATAATAGTTATTATTAATCAGTGATGGTAATAGTGGAGATATTTATGTTACTGAAAGTGGTAAAATATTGAGAATGGTAAAAATACATAATCAACCTGTTAAACAATTGAAGTATTTGTCTAATTTTCAATTCATGTTAACTATCGATACAACTGGTAGAATGGAAGTCTGGGATCCCATTACTTAGGACTTTCCAAAATAAGCATATGCAAAACCCCAATTCAAAATTACTTACTCAAGCAAAGTAGGCACTGATTTATACGAATTGATGTAGCATAAATTACAATGTTTTGGATTGTGTGTGAGTAACAAGCAGAACCTTATTGTATTGTATGTTTCTGACAAGAAATTAAGAGTATTTAATATTTAAACGGGTAAGATAATTCTTGTAATGGATGAATCAATCGAAGCTATTACAAGTAGATAAAACGACCAAGCAAATTATCCCATTTTACACATTGAATAATAAGATTTTGAAAGAAGACTATTAATTGAGAAAGACATAGATAAACAACCTGAGTAGTTAAAATAAATTACTATGTGCTTTGATGAAACTGATTCAATATTGATATATCCTACTTTTATTGGAATCAAGTTCATCCACATCAAGACAGGGGAACTTGTAAAGCTTTTAGGGAAGATGGAAAGTAGTTCAAGATTCATGAGAGTTGCATTGTATTAAGGACCTGCCATGAAGAATACTTAAAATGAATAGTCTCATAGTTCATTAAACAGAAAAGAAACTGATCCATCTTTGTATATTAGTGCTCATAAATCAAACAAATTTTATGTGTTCTCTCGTAGAATCCCTGAAGATCTGGCAGATAAACCATGGGCAGTAGCTAGAGATGTATTGAATGAACCTTTGAATATGATTCAGCAAAGCATTAGTGTGATGTCTGACAATAAAAATAAAGTACATTTTAATTAAATTATTAGACTTTGTCTGGATGTTAAGCCATTATTCAAACAACATTTGGTGAAATCTACATCAATCTATTTCCAAATGAAACACCTAAAACAGTTGAAAACTTTATTCAACACTCTAAAAATGGGTATTATGATGGCTTGATCTTCCATCGAGTTTAATAAGGGTTTATGATCCAAACTGGTTGTCCTAAGGGAAATGGAACAGGAGGAGAGTCCATTTGGGGAGGAGAATTCCAGGATGAATTCCATCCAGAATTAAGACATGACAAACCATTCACAGTTAGTATGGCTAATGCAGGTCCAAATACTAATACAAGTTAATTTTTCATAACTGTTTGTCCTACTCCTTGGTTGGATGATAAAGTATGAAATTATTTTAATGTCTTAGCATACAATTTTTGGCAGAGTGTATAAAGGAATGAATATTGTAGTTTAGATTAGTGAAGTGGAAACTGATGATTTCGATAAACCTCTTAATGATATCAAAATTATAGCAATTAAGATTTTATGAATGTGATTTATTTACAATAATACAAAATAATAATTTATTTCAAAATTCATTAAAGAAAATTAAATTATATATTTTAGTTAATAAAAATTAATTATAATTATCAAAATGTTCAATACTATTGGTAAGCGTTGGTTGTATATTTGATATGATTTAGAAATAATCAGCAAATTCCCTCTCACACAATACTCAGAGACACAATTGAAGTAAGCAGTCTTAAGAGATAATTCTTGTTTCGTTTAGAACTTAGATCATTTTTTTGGGAGGAAAGAATCTTTTAAAGATTGTAAGATATGCAGTTTTATGCATATGATCAAGTCAATCATTAGATATAATTATAATATGAGAAGGATGACCTTCATATTTTGTTCATCTATGCAAATTAGTTCTGAGATAAAATTTTTTTTCTCTTTCTGATATCATATGTGATAAGGAGGATTAGGAAGAGGAAACGGAATTACAAAAATTATCCTAAATAATAGATTATAAATAATTAATTGAAAATTACTCTTTGGCAACATTTTGGCCTCAACTTTAGATACAACTGAGATTAAAGAATCCTTTATATTTGAAAAAGGGAGAGAGATAGAAAAATAAAAAATTCAAGAATTAAAGAGATAGACATATTATTTTAAAAAATAATAATACATTCAATTTAAATATTTAAAAGTAAACCCAAATTTATAAGAGATTTAGAATCAAATGAAAAATCGAATCTAAAAAGAATAAGTCATTGATTGAGTTTCGATCGAGTTATTATAAATATATAAAATTTATTTAATTTACCTAATAATTATAAGAAAAGTATTTAAAAAATGTTAAACAGGAAAGTATAATCAATTTTCATCTTTGAAAATTTTCTAAATTATGAAGCTTAAATAGGATCTCAATTTCAACTTAAATTTCATATTGCTTATATAAATTTAATATTTTAATAATATATTTTTTTAAAATGAGTGCAATGTCTCTAATTTTAGTAATTTATAGAGTATCCGCATATTTCATCATTTTAATGAATGATGACTCTTAAATACTAACTTAGGAGTTTTAAATAAACTTAGACAATTTTGAGTTAGATTCTTACTTTGGCTATGGTTTGTGGAGCAGATATGCTCCTTTAGGCAATATTGCTCAAGTAGGAACAATAGGAATATTAGATAGTAATTGTTTTCATCTTCACAATGCTGTTTCAAAATCAACCTAAGATCTGAATCTAATTGTTTACGATTGTCTCAACTATGAAACTTTAACTATAGTAAGAAAAATTCAATTCGTCACCATTGATGAGAACTGGCATAAAATTGAAGTAAAATTAGATAATCAAAATTTCGAATATGTCTGGCATTACTTTCAAATTACATAGTGGCCTAAGCAGAAAAGATTTGAATTGTTAATTATCCAATACCCTGAAGTTAAATTATAATAGATTGTAGAAGATACATTATATCCATACAAAGACGCTGAGCTAATCTTAACATTTGGAGGAGGTTTATAAATATAATCATAAAATATGATCTAGATTTTAGATGGCATATCAAAAATATCATTTTATCCAGGCTCTTTCCTTTTATATCCATTATCATTTGATAAATATGAAGTTTCCACAGATACAGCAATATCCACCATTTAGTTTAAAGTTGAATGCTAGTGCTTTTCAAATTGGCAAACATATTTACAAAATCAAGAGCTAACTTGGCTCGACAATATTTTATTTACTTCTTAAAATCCTAATTGTAATTCTTTTTCATATACAACTTGGATCAAAATTACAAATGTTCACCAAACCTCATAAGAGTTTTTATATCAAATTATAAAGTTATCTTCTAATTTTGAAAATCCTTAATTGACTGATGATAATTTGGCGGCGTTCTAATTATTTTATAAGTTTATGGAAGGTAAAACATAATTGATTTTCACTACTTATAGTTATACCTTTCCTCTTGTATCTCTTAATTTATAAAATGATCCCTTTCTAATCAAAAAAGAATTTGATCTTATAAATGATATCAAACTTTGGCATTTTGTTTAAGTGATATTAAAAAATAATTAATTAAACATATCAATAATTTTCTATGGAAACTTTATTCATTATGAGTACAAATCTTTATTAACAGTAAATTAATTTCATTTGGTTAAATTTAAATTATAATATGGGAATTTACTATAAACTCCTAATAATTATTTAAGTGTTAATTTTGTAGATACATAATTTTACAATTGTTTTGAAAATATCGTAGTACCTGAAGTACATTGTCATATTAGTTGTGAAGACTGCGATGGTCCAACAAGTACAAATTGTTTATCTTGTTCTAAAGCGTCAAATCGTATTTTTAAATCTGAGCAAAAATCTTGTGTCTGTCCGTATAATACAATTGATGATTAATAATGCAAGGATTTTTAAAGTTATAATGCTGTCCTTGTAAAGGAAAATACAAATGATTAGAAATGTTTATAAGGATATTTTTAATTTGAGGAAAAATGCACCAAATGGTAACTTAACTCTTTATTCTAGTCCATCTATCATAAGAAGTACGTCCATAACATGCTTAGAATGTTATTTATATCCTCAAACTTGGGCAAATGATGCCTTTTGCTAAACAAATTCATTTAACAATCTTCAAGGGACAGTAACATAGTATTGGTAAAATGTATAATAAAATTTTATTTATGATGGAAATGACCTTTTACCAAGATACAGTTCTTATTCAGAAGATCTTAATGAATATCTTAATATTGAATTTGAATAATCATTAGCTTAATTTAGAAACTTTTGTTTTCAAGGCAGCTCTCCTTTTGCTATTTAGAGAGATTAGAATTAATGTTATAATTGTGCTATGAAAAGCTGTTTAAATTGTTAGATAATTGCATCCAAGGCCATATGCTTGAAATGCGAATTAGTTTCAGAACTTGTAGATGGAATTTGCAATGATAAACACTAACCTGGTTACACAGAGCAAAAGATTTGCCAAACTCCTTATTATCGAACTTCTACTTATGAATGCAAATTATGCAGCATTGAAAATTGCCAGTATTGTTTTGAGTATTTAAGTAATGATTTGACTAAGTGTACTCTGTATAAGAATTTTTAACCCTTTGGTTTTGATGATTCTTATCATCTAGGTTGTGCATTATGCAAAGATGGTTTTATTTTTGATTTCACTTCAGGTATTTGTAAATATCAGTAACCATAAATCATTAATTGTATAAGATCGTATATCAATTTATAAGGATAAGAAATTTGCACTCTATCAACAGAAGATAATTTCAATGTTGCTCCTGAAATTATTAATTGCAATAGATATATAGCTAATTGTAATTAGTGTTTATAAACTCCATAAAAAGTTATCAAATGTATACTGTGTGAAGATGGTTATGCAACTTCTGTAATCACAGGGTAGTGTGATAAATGTAAAATTTAGTATGCTAAAATATGTATTGAAGGAGATTTTTTCCTAATGGATGAATGGGTATAATTGATTTAGAGCTTTTTAATGCAATTCTTGCCTGATCAGTATCTTTATCCAAAACCTGAATTAGAATTAATGAGGAAACAATTGCCATTTGAATGCTACCCAGGTTATAAGCCTGATCATACAGGTTTTTGTATCAAATATTGTGATTCTGATTGTTTGTAGTGTGTATTGAATTAGGATACTCCAAATAGCTATTAGTGTGTTTAATGTCCTTTAAATTATTATAAGTCGCCAATAATTTCATCGGAATCAGGCAAATGTATGTAGTGTCCATAATTATGCCAGTTATGTTAATCAAGAACAGAATAAGAAATTAAAGTATAATTGTAATTAATTATAGAATATCAACCCTTATTTTGTTGTGACAGATCAAACAATTAAATATACATATAAATGTCTTGAAAAAGCACCAGATGAAAATATAGTAATTGATCCTTATAACAATATTGCTAAGTATTGCGAAAATTCAATTTGTACAGACAATATTTAATATCAAGTAATCAAAATTTATGATCATAGTTTGATGTTAATTGTGATAATAGTTAGTTTGTTTTCTTACAATGGTTTCCATATGATTATTATGGCGCATAAATTAAACTGGATTATGTTAATTAATTAGGTGGAATTAGTTTGACGATAATCTTTAATTTTATATTGATATCTGAAACCTTTTGCGAATTTTCAGAGGACACTATTATAGAAAATTAATTTAAATATAATATCTTTTCCATTTAACAAACAAAACTTAAAATTGTAGGAAATGATCAATCAAATAGAACATTTTCCAATAGATTGACAATATAAAATTTTGACACTGTTTAAATCATAAACATGACTATTTTTATATCAACAGATCGATTTATAGATACATATATATCTTTCGAAAATCATTAAGATCCAGTTAATTTAATAATAAATAATACAATGTTTTATGGAATTATAGATTAAATTGCAAAATATGAGTTGAAATTGATAAAAAGTGGCGATTGTATTTTTGACAATGTTACTTTTATAAATTTAAATCTAAATAATTCCATATTATTTCAACATCCTAAGGGAAATTCTAAGAATTTAATTTAAATTTATAATTTCATCCTCATAAATAGTGTAATTTAGAATTCAGTATTATTTTAATTTGTTGATTCTTAACAGGATATAAAATTCAAAAGTATATAAATTATTGATTGCAAATTTTATAATTCCACAATGTTCAATTTTTATTCTAATACAGAAGATTAAATTAATATCTATTTTGATGAAATTACTATTATAAATAATTAAATGAATTTTACAACATTTGCATAAAATACCAATCAATCAACGCTTTCGTTTAAGAACATCGAGTTTTTTTTAAATAAGGTATATTAATCAAAAGTTTTAGTTTTAACAAGCAATTTATCAATCTCAAATACTTAATTCGGCTTTAATTAGTTTATTGATTCATAATATTTATTCTATCGTTCCTAATAAAGAAAATTAAAGGCTGTTTAAATTCAAACTTTAATTGTATTTAATAATGAATTTACAAATTCATCCATGATTAATTTGCAATCAATTGATGCTACCGATAATATATAAGTTACGATGAGTGACATCTAATTATATGATAACATCAGAAATTTGAATTCTGAATAATTATATCTATTTATTTTGACTTGTTCATAAATACTGATTTAAGATTGTGCTATAAAAACCTCAAAAAATATGCAGCATTTTAAATTATTTGATACATAATCAATTATGATTGAAAACATGAATTACATAAACGAAGAATAATCTAAATAAATACCTCTCTCAATTGAATGCTTTAATAGTGAAGAAAAATACTCATAATTACTTTATATTTCAGGGTTTTAGAAACTTGTAATTCATTAAATTATCATTTAAAATTAATTTAGCATAGATTATTCATTTGTGCACATTATTTCAAACATTTTGTATTAACCTCATGTATAAGAAATAATTGAAATAAAAGATGTTTTATTTCAAGGAAATATATTATTAAAATAGCACCTAGGGAGTATTTTTTCCTCATTATTGATATATTCTGAAAAATTATAAGAAATCCGATTAGAAAATATTATTTTTGAAGAAAATTTTTTTAATGAATAAATTGATGATCCATCTTAAACTTCAGCCGGATTATTATTCATAAACTCCTTACAAAGTTCTGTATTCATAAGCAATATAACATGCTTATCAAATGCTTTAACGAACTCTTCAAATTCTTTTATTTTTATCAACTCAATATCTATTTAGATATAGTCTATTATCTACTACATATGAGATTTAGAGTAAAGGAGGGGCAATGTCATTAACTTCTTCCAATATCAATATTGCCATTGGTTAATTCACTTATATATCTTCTTAAAGTAGTTCAATCTTTGATATTAAGACCTAAGGTTTGGGAATTGTTCAGTTAAATTAACTCTAAATTAGTTAATCTGAAGTTGATCTAGTATCAACAACTGAGACATAAGGTTGTATCAGTATATACTCAAAAGACAGTCAGTTAAATTTATTAATAAGGAATGTAAAATTTTAAAACGTCTTTAATAGATTGAGTTCTTCAATTTTGTCCATCATTCCATCGCAAAAGTATAATAAAATTGATATTAATGATGTGATATTAGAAAATTGTCTCTCTTTAAATAATCAATTTATGAAAATTGAGTTTACTTTATAAAAGCAGGATCAAAATTTAGTAATAATCTAAAATTTATCTATTTATTAAAATTATTAAGATTGGAAGGAATATTTCAATAAAATTTCTCCAATTAGTATAAGTGAAATCAACAAAGTTATTATTGATAATGCTCTTATTAATTTAAATGGATGCTAACTTCTTATAAATAGATTAATATCAGAAGGAATATATATTTCTCCTATTTTAAAAATTGTAGATTCTTAAATTACACAAATTAAAAATTGCAAAATAAATTCTATTTAAACCTTTTATTCATTTAGTATTTTTTATTTTGGCTAAATAAAAAATATAAAAACTTCTTTATTTCTAGAGAATATTTTAATTAAAAACGTTACAATACTGTAATTAAGTGATGAGAATATAACCTAATTCGAAGATTTTCAAATTAAATTTGATGTGGATAAATGTTCCATTTAAAGAAGTGATTCAATAAATTAAATCTTATAATCTGAATCTTTTTGGTCAATTTTGTAATATTTAAATTACAATATAACTTCATAAGGGTCTTTATTTTTTATATAGAGTATCTCAAACGAAAATTCAATAATTCTTAGATCCTTATCTTTAATTAAAAACAATTATTCAAGAAATCTTAATGGATTAATTTATTTTGATCTTTACGGATTCTAAGATTTGAAAATCATTGAGGTTCATTGTATTTAAAATAACATAGATTAATTTGGATGTCTCAACCTTATAGCAAATAAAAACTTAGAAAAAAAAATTTAGTTATCGAATTCCAAATTTATACTCAATAAAGGCATATACGGCTCTGCCATCTTTGCAAAATAAGTGATAATCCACATTAAACACTGTTAATTCCTTTAAAATATTGCAGGATAACAAGGTGGAGCAATCTATTTTGAGAATTGCAGCAACAATTTTAGAATTATAAATTCCTTAATAATAGAGAATTAAGCTAAAGAAGGAGGTGGAATATATTTTAATGGAGTAAATCAAATCAATTAAAATAATATGAACAATTCGTTAATTAAATTAAATTCAGCTGAGAAATTTGCAGATAACATTGTAGAACAGCCACATCACTTAGTCTTAATAATAAATTCTTATGAAATGCATTCTACCCAAGAACTAAGTGGAAATCTAACAACAAATACTCTTATATTAATATTCATATTCAACTATAGAGTAAGGCAAGTTATTGAAAACTAACTAGCTTTATTTACCTAGTAATCAACAAATACTTAACTTTAAAATATTCAATTAGAATTAGTAAGGATTTTTGTCATATTTTTATGATTTTTCATTGGAGTTTTAAAACAGTATAAAAGAAAAGATAACTAATTTTTATAACTTTACTTGTAACTTATAAATGATGTCATAAACATAAAGTAATAAATAATTATCGGATCCCTACCCCATTTAAGTATTGCCTTATGATTTAACCAAAAATTCTTATGATTTACAGTAATTATCTTTTTCTTTTGATCCTTATTAGAACACTGATAAACTTCTTTTAGTTGAAATAAATTGTTCAACTTAATTAAATGTACTAAAATACATTTTTACAGCAAAAACCTTCAAATGTTAATTAGGAGAATTTTATGTTAATAATGGATGTTAAGTATGTCAATCAATTCAAGGCTTTTATTCAGTCACTTACAACGCTACTAAATGTTCAATTTTTGATAAGACCAAATTTTAAAATATCACCTCAAATAAAATTTAATTATTGGAAGGGTTTTGGAGACCAAACATTTTGTCAGACCAAACTGAATAATGCGTTTAATGTAAAAATTGCTGTTTAGGTGGTTGGAGAGTAGGAAACAACCTTTGTGCAATAGGCCACATAGGTGGTCTATGTGAGGAATGTGACAATTACAATATTCAAGGAAATGGACCCTATTTTAGAATTTTGTAGAGTACATCATGTTCGCAATGCTTTTATTTTTTATCTGGTTTACTACCTTTTCTTCTGTCCTCAGTATGGTATTTGCTTTAATTATACTAGGGGTATTTTGCAGATATTATTGACATTAAGAAGCATAGATAGGACAAATCAATTATTTTCATCATTGAAATTAAAGTAAAAATTTGGAAAGATACTCTTTAAACTCAATTAAGGTAATAATAACATAATTTTAGATCATGAAAGCATTCTAATTAAAATGTTACTTAACTATCTATGGATCTTTTCCATTATTTTTTCTTTTAATATTACTTTCTCATTTTCTTTTGATTTCGTTGATCAAACTTGTAATACATCATTTTTTATGGCAAACAGTTTAGATTGTTATCTAATACAAATATATAACACTGAAGTTAATTATTCAAGAATTATAACTTAATTTATTCTAATATTTATTCAGTTACTAATAATTTTTGCAGGTTTCTAAGTTCACTCTATAGCAACTAAAACTAAATTTGATAAAAGTATTCTATCAAATACTGCTCTATATCTTTACCTTTCAAATTTTGCAGCCATAGTTAAACAGTAATTTTATGTTGAAATTTTAGATTCTTTTCGTTATTATCAAAAAGGACAATTTCAGATATTGAGTATATTCAAGGAAATGTATCTCTTGAATTTAATACCTAATCACATTATCTGTGGATATACTTTTTTATTTTGCCAGGATTATCTTTTATAGGATGTTTTATACCATTTATTTTGTTTTTTGTTAATGTTTTTAATGAGAAAAAAGCTTGATATAATTAAAATTAGAAGACATATTTGTTATATGTTTAATGAATATAATGACGAAAGTTTCTTTTGGGAATTTGTGAAAATTTGGAAAAAAACTTTATTAATCGGTATACTTACCTATTTTGAATCCAACGTCTTTTTAAAGGCTACACTTATTGGCTTGTGTTTGCTTTTTTATTAATTATTGGCTTTCAAAATTAAACCATATATTATTAAAAGTTTAAACTTACTTGATATTTCTACTGATCAAATTTGTTCAATCACTATATTTTTGGCGGCAGTTAAATATGTTAGTGAATAGTAAGAGAATTAAGCCTAACAAGTTTTACTTTAAGTCCTTATATCAATTCTATGTATTAAACTTTGCTACCCTTTTATATATGATATTTTTAGGGTTTATTATAAAAAATATAAGATAATATATCTTAATTACTTAATAACGATAATGAAATTTATTAGCCCAAATTCATATTTGTATAATTATTTAAATTAGTAATTGGTAGAATGGAAAGATAAAGAAGTATAGTTAAAAAAAAATTTCTTAAAACTCAAGTAATATTTATTTAATGCATCAAAAGTTTAAGCTGAATAAAAGTAAATATCTTATTAATTCAAATAGGAATTTTTAGTCTATCCTGAGTCCATCAATAACTATAAGGAATAGATTAGTCAGCAAAGAAAATGAAACTAAAAGGTTCTTAATATAAGAGAAAGAGTGAATGGAAATTATTAATTTTAAAATTTAAATGATATACAATATTATATTTATCCTAATTTAATAAACTTTGAGATTTATTAATTATATAAATAATGTGTGTGAAAAGGACATTTTTGTTCTTAAATTTCCTTTAGCTAATTTGTATATAATTTATTATAACGCTTCATTGTAAACCTTATATATGGTTATAACTTTGAATTTATTATAGCTAAAATTATTGGATAATAGTTAAGCTTATAAATATTAACTCCATTCTATTATTTATATATAGTTCAAGGTATTTAACTACACAAGAACCTTTATAAATATTGACAGAGAGAATTAAATTATGTACTACGTTGTACTTTTAATGATTATTAAATAAGACAATTATATTACTAACTTATTTATCAATATAAATAAAAATTAATTATATTATTAAATGGAGGAGTCTCAATATGATTTAGGAGTGTTGGAAGATATTGATCCAAGTTTAGATGGCGGATTTAAAATTTAATTTAATAAGGAGATTAATATAGAAACAAGGTTGATTATCTAAAATTTAATGGTTAGAATATAAAATGCTAATACTGGCCCTTAAGAAATAGGAACTCTTGAATAGATCTAAGTGAAAATACTTGTTTAGGTAATTTCTTATTGATAACTTTAGGGAGATCAATAAGCATTTGAGAATTTAAAAATTGAATTGACTAGCGAAACAGATCTATTTTTTAATTACATATCTATGTATTTTTACTCTTGTAAATTAGTATTGACAAAGAAAACTTTAAAAAAATAAAAGAAGAATAGAAACTTACAATAGAGTACCCTTAATTCTTACAAATGTTAATTAAACTATTAAGTTCAAGTCATAAGGAACCTAATCAGTATAAATAAATAAAAACAGATTAGCTTCTTTTGTGTATTTTTTATGCAATAGGATGGGGCTGCTAAATTAGATTTTATAGAAAATTTAGAATATAAATTTATGGAAATGTTATCACTGAAATTCAGCAGTGCAACTGAAGAGACTATGAGATAAAATATATCATTTAGATATAATTTTATTAAAGCTAAGCTTCAGTTTGTCCAAAACAGGTATCCTTATTAAGAATTTTTAGATTAAATGATATAACCTCTCTAATAAAATTAAAGAATCCTTCACTTCTAGCTCAACTAAATAAAGTGTCAATTAGTTCGAATCAAAGTTAAAGTAATCAAAACGTAAGTAAATACATGGGATAATCTAGAAAAAATAATAACTCATCTAAATTTATATGATCCTTTAATATATTTTGTAAATTTTAGAATATCAAATTGTCTAATATCTATTTACTTTATAAGCATTATTTTAATAATTCTTTTAAACGAACATAAAAACCTTTTATATTGTTATTCTGCTTTATTTGATATTAATCTTAAAAATTAAACGTTATATGTTATATTAATTGTAGATTAATTTTATTCTTAGGTAAACTAATAAAATTATCATGTTGCATTTCTAAACACCAAAAGAATTTAAAATATTTTAATGAATAAAATTTATAAGCTAACAATTCTAGGAATTGCTTCTAAGTTATAAAAAATCGTAATTATAAAATGCAATTATTTATTATAAAATAATTAACTCAAGGATCTCTCAATAAAGTAATGGATACTATTTCTGAAGACACTCCTTCTTAATCTTATATAAAGGATGCATCCATGCAAGAGAAAACAGATAATCCTTAAAACTTTGAAAAGTTAGAGGCTTGTTATTTAAAGAGGAAAGTAAAAGCAATTTAGAACATTTGTGAAAAATACTCAATTTTTTTATACTTTTTATTGGGAATAGATCTAAACAAACACTAAATTGACATACTTCAATAGATGTGGGGTAATTTTAGTATGGAAACCTAAGAAACTTAACTTCCCGATGCGATAATAAAGTGAAATAATTATTATATTAATAGATTTCCTAATCCTGATTATGGATAATCAAGTTCTCATTCAATATCTGTAACTGAAGGATTTGAATTAGTTAAGACTCTGGTGAAATTTAATAAAGGTAGTATGGAGGAGAAAATATTATTAAAGGCATGTGAAGGTGTATTATAAATTTTGGATGATTCAAAGGAAAATTCAAAGCATAATCGTAAAAAATTATTTAGATAGAAGGTGAGAAGAGAGAATTAATTTATTCAATTTGAAAACACAGAGGAGTCAAAACGATTAGAAACTAGTGCAACAATTAATGAGATGGATGAGAAAGAAAAGTTAAAGGATTAGCTAGTTTTAAAGCTCAGTAATAAGTTAACTGGAAGTTGGTAGTTTGATTCAGATTAGAATTAAATTAATGAAGCTTTCGAAATAGATTATAAATTGTTGAAATTCTTACCAAACAAAAAAGTAAATAAGGGTGGTTATCTTGTTAAATATGAAAATGAATGGCATAGAACAAAAAGAGATACAAAAGATTTTTCAACTTTAGTGAGAAACTTGATTTGCTTGATTCTATGCAGACAAGGATACTTTACTCAATAATTTTTATCAAAAAATGGAAAGTATATATTTTGTTCTTTGTTTGCAACAGAAGAAAGCTTGAAAATTTAAGCAGAATCCTAAGGACTTTTTAAACTTTTAAACATATAGTTTATAGATCTATACTCTTTCGAACCTCTTGATAAGAGTTATAGACCCCTCAGATTAAATAACAGATTATGGAAACCTCAGAATTATAAGAATCTCTCTTCAATGTTTTTGTACTTTAGACCAATTTTAGTCGAGTTGATTTAAGAGATAGATTTCAAAAGAATAGCTAGAGAAGTTAATTAGAGCGGAATCAATTAAAAATTATTTAATTATGGATTTGAAATGTATGATGATTAGGATTGTCCTTCTGATCAAGAATGGGCAGCCTACTATTTCTTTTTGACTCATTTACATTAGTAAATCACTGCTACAAGATCGAGCTTTAAGATACATAATGATATTGCAGCCTTAATCAATAAATAGATCACTCCATTAGAATTATACTTAAGAAGAGTATAATCAGAAAATTGGGTCAAAGCAAAAAACACAAAATAAAGTAATACTTACTATTAAGATCTTGAAGATATTAAGAATAAAAAAATTGAATAACTTAAGAAGGATGCTAGTGGTGTTATTGAAGAATATAAGAATATTTTTAATTTAACTACTGCCCCTTATACAAAACTAATAAAAGTCTTAAAAAAGGAATAATTAGCTAAGAAATATTTGGAAATATTCAAGGAATCTCTTAAAGTAGCAAATAACGAAAAGAAATATCTAAAATGTCTATGGGACTTAGTATATTTGGATCAGCCTTTAAATATGAAGACTAAGTATTCGAATCCTTAACCAGATAGATCACTGCATCATAAACATTGTCAGTTGATGTGTTGGAAAAAGTACTAATTGAACTAAGGAGAAAAGGTAACAATATTTTAGTCGTCAGAAAGATTGAGACTAGCTTATCTGAATATATATTAAAACTTTAATATCTCCTTGCTTACTCAAAAAGGTCTAATCAAATAATTATTTTGTTTGCATGATAACTTCGAACTTTATGGCATTTACTATTCCTCCTATGAGAATTTATCTCGAAATAGAGAATAATTTTATTAAGAAAAACTATTTGATATTGCAACCCAATTGAAATTCCATTTATTAAATCCAATGAAAATGAAATTCGATTTGTTATGTTAATATTTTGGAGAGTCTGTAGGAACCTACTTTTATTTCCTTTGTTTTTTCTCTTAAATGCTACTGTATCAAAATTGCTTAGGCTTACTCTACTACTTGATTTAAATACCATCCAGTTTACAATCGTATTTAAGTATCTTAGAAATTATCTACCTCGTTTTTTAATTATAGATAACATCACTTTACACTTCTAAATGGGAATAATAATTAAAAATATTCAATTAATCTTTTGGCATCAATAGTCAAGAGGATATAGATACTACTTCAAACAAATAAATTGGAGAACCTAAAAGATCCCTCATAAATGATTAAATGAATGTACCTTCTATCAATGAATTAGATTAAATATTTAGGGAATGTGTTTCCATGTTAATTTTTATATTGCTTCAATTGCTATACTCAGTCATATTTATAGCACTTTATTTCTTATGTGCATGGTTTCAGTCTCTGTTCAAATAGACCACCGCTATTAATAATTCTGAAATTATAATTATTGCTATCTTACATCTAGGTCTAAATAAGCTATACACATTTCATGCCTAAAAAACCATTTAATAGTTAGTTGATTTTGAATAGCAACGAACGATTTAGGCTGTAAAATTGAGTTACAATTTAAAACTCTATTCTTTTTCGATCATCTAATAATTGGGGCCTCTTTTGATTTTAAGATTCTTTAATCACTCATTTTAGTTGGTCTGCTAATCTGATTCTTGTGAATAGTACATTGGATATTACTTTCTTACTTATATAATAATAAAGAGCGTTGAAAAATTATGTGTTTTTCTATTTAATTTTTATTCCTTAAGAAGATAACCTTTGTTTATTTATAAATTCCAATAGCATGATATCAACGAGTACATTGAAGTTCAATCTAAGAAGCCTTCCAATATAAAAGATCAATATTTTAATTGCATAGAAGAAAACTTATAGTAAAATATGGTGGAACTGACTATTTTAACATATTTTGCGTACATCTATCCAATCACATACTTTATGCAATGGCTATTGTTTGTAGTTTAGATCTATGCAGATAAAGCACAATACCTCTATTATTATTAAAGACCTTGGCCATAAATCGATTGTTTTGTCAAAGTTTGGAATAACATTCTTTAATATATCATATTGTCTAGTGTAATAATAACAAGTTATGGATTATCGAATTCTCTTGTTTTTTAAGATAAAAGTTAGATATTTGTATTCGTTTCATTTATGCTCCTCAGTTACACCATGAATTTTGTATACTAAGTATGGTATTCAGAAACGCCTTCCTATTTATAGAAATGAAATTTAAGATAAAAATACTTAGTCAAATCGACACTTGAGAAATTCAAAAAAAAGAATAAAACTATTAATTTTGTTGATAATTAAAACCTCAAAAGAATGCCCATCTATAAATTTTATGGTTCTAAACTCTAAGAACAATCAGAAGAATTTGAAACGATGAGTTCCGATAGTGATTTAGATAAATACTATATAAGATAAGATGATTTGGCAGAGCCAATTCTTTAAGATGATGATACTACTGTCTAAAAACCAAAATTGAAAATTAGAGACAGAAAAACTCCTATTTTTGTAAGATCTTCTAGTTTCTATGAAAAATTTATGATTCCTAAAAAGAAGAAAGCAAAAAATGAAGAAAATATTTAAAGATTGTTCCATAAAGTTAACCTATTGCTAAGTTATCACAAATCTTGGACTGATCTAAGAATAATTTAAAGGAATTACTATATTCCAAGAAAAAAGTAGTTTGTTAAGAACTTTGACATTTTAAGATATAATATTATATAAAGAAGTTTGTAAACATAAAAAATTCAAGCAAAGTTGTTTATTTAAAAGTTTTATAGAAAAAAGATTACAAAATTAAAAGATTCTAAAGAAGAACATGATATTCTAGAGCTGGAAGGGATCTATGAGAAGATGAGAAAGTATTACAATAAACATAAGTGGTTAAATGCATAGAAATTTATATTTATCAAAATAAAGAAGGCTGTGTGGTTCAATCGATTCAGAAAGACTACTATTAGATTGAATTCCAAGATTTTAGTTAATGTCTTTTAAAAAAGATTATTAGCCAAGTAATTTCCAGGAGAAGAAACAAACTTTTAGCATTTTGAAAAAAACAATAAAGGTTTTGAATTCAAGGAGGTTTCTTTGCTAAATATTATCAATTTTAGTCAATAATATTCTTAAAAGTAATAATTTTGAGTATTTTAGCCATGTTAAAATGATTCCATTATCAGCAGGATACACTAATCTAAAATATTATTCTGCATCTTATAAAAAGTCAAGTACTTTTAAAGATGTCATAGAAAAGGTTAGAGATACTTATGTATTTGACACTCAAAAATTAATATTGTAATCAGTGATGATGGAATATTTCGAAGAGGAAATGTTTGCTATGCCTGAAATCAACTTTGTAAAACAATTAAATGACACAATGTGGTTGGCTAATATCAATGAAAAGAAACAGCCATAGTTAATATAATTTCTATAATTGAAACATGGATAGAAACTGAAGTACTTGCAATCGATCAATAATGATAGAGGTATTAGTTATATTTAGGGTGAGTGTTATACTAGGCTATCTAATCATATCGATAAGATTGATGATTTCTATGTCAAAGGATATTGCGTAATAGTCTATGAGTAATCTCCAATTACTACATTAGAGAATGTCATTAAATATCGAAAAAAATATCATATACATTATAGTTAAGATGAAATATTGTCATTCTTTTATGATAGCTTACTCTTACTACTCAGAGAATAACATGGTGATATTTCAACCAAAAATTATCTGTTAGACAACCGAGGTTATTATTTAGGAAGTGCAGTTAAACCAGAGACTGATGACGATTTATTTTGTTTAGCTAAAGTTCTAATTTCTATGATTACCTTAACATCATTTAAGAATTCATTGAATTCCTTAGGTGATATGGAGAAGCATGATCTCTATGATGTAATAGTTAAAATGCTCAATGGGAGTAGCAACATAAGCGAACTGTTATCATTTGTAAAGTATTAAGAGAAGTTTGAAGAGAGTTTCATTGTAGAGAGATAAGAAATAATTGAAAATCAACAGTGTGATTTCTCTGAATACTTACAGTTGACTCTGCATAGAGGGAACTTTTCATTGAGGATGAAGTAGTATGAAAAAGGATTGCTTTACATACATTAGTTTGAATAGATATTGCATAGACAAATCTATAAATGTGGGAATAATGCTTTAGAAGCCTTTCAAGGATATGTGATTAATAATTTCATGAAATATACTATTGAGCATCATGACATGGAAGAAATAATTTAAGTAGCTATGGTTTTCTATATTAAATTTTGCATTTAAATGCAAGTGAAGGTTAGACGTTATAATCATTCAACATACAACATCAACAATATTTAGGAAAATGTTAAGCATGGCAACCAATTGAATTAATAATTTGATTTAATTTAGAATTGTTTAGGAGACCTAATTAAGAATCTAGATCTGGTTCTCATTTAATTGTAAATTAATATCAACCTAGAACAAATAACAAAATAGGAAGCTTAAGCATTATTTGGTATTACTAAGAATCAGGCTGGAAATGTAATCAAACTAAAACATATTGAAAGAATTCAACTTATTAATTAATTAAGATTAAACAAAAAACTTATTGAAAACTTATTTCAATTTCGAAAAACCATTCGTAGGTTTTAAAACTAATTTAATGCACTCAACTGTTTAGCTCATTATTTTAAAATGGAAATGCCAATTGCAGCTAAAAAAATAGATGATTGCATTGAAATTTAGATGGAATTAATTAGATCTAAGAATTAATTGGAATTAACAAAGGAACTAAAAGACTTAAGTCCTGATCTTTATAATTATAATTAAATGTCTCCTAAAGAAAATAAAATAGATGCCTTTACATTTTAAATTAACTTTTCAATGAGCTAGTTTTGTTAAGACGATCCAACTTATTTCCATCAACTTCTTTATTATTATTTTCTATAAATAGAAATATGGCATGACTCTGAAAATGATATTTATGAAAGAAAGGCCAAAAGTTTCTTATTAATGGGAATTGAGAATTCCCCTACCTTTGAGTATTTTTGCAGTTATCTTAAAAGTATTACATTCGATGAAATACCAATATAATACATTCGAAAAGAATAAGAATGTGAAATAGGTAAATTCGAGTGTGTAAAATTATAAAAATGGATTGAATAAACATATTCGTATTAATCAGAATACATATTATCTACTGACTTTTAGTATATGTGGAAATAAGTGATGACTTACAGTAATCTTAATTAAAATATACATAATAAATAGATATTGCATGAAGAACTAAAAATCAGCCCAAAAGACTTAAAAGTCTAGCTTTATTTAATAAGAATTATTTAATAGATTTTACACTTGGACTGTTATTTTCCATTGAATTTTAGGATATCTCAATTAAGGTATCCAGTAGATCAAACAGATAGAGATATTTATAGTAATTCATACATCGCATAATTGCAAAGTCTTCATCATTCAATTACAATTCCTTTTGATTCATGGTTTCATAGTAATGGTTTGTTGTAATTCAGATTGTATCACATTTAAAGTATATTTTTTGCATTTTCTCCAAAAAATATTGAGAATTTAGAAAACAGTGATAATTCTTTAAGGGAGATAGCAAGAAATGCAGTGAGTATATTAAATTTACAAAAAGATAATAGGGATATTTTGATGAAAATTTAATAAATCCTATTAGAAGACGCTCTCCTTTTAATTGATGTAAATCTAAAAAAGTCGTAATTATTTTAAATTTTATATTCTTATTTGCTTTTAAAAATTCATCAAAATTAAGATTTAGTCCAAACGATGAATGTAATACTGAAAGAATAGGCTATTAACATCCAACCTTCCATTATTATATTAATGATATTACAAATATTGCTATAGTCATAGTAATATGATCAAATGGAATTTTTAATATAATTTTGTTAAAAATCGATCTCAACAAAATCAGGTTTGTTTGCATAAATGCATGAAAACTTTGAGAATGATTTAAATATTATGGCATTGTATATTCCAAACAAGAAGATAGATTTAAACTTCATTGCTCCCTATGATGCTTTATACTAAAGATCTCACAGTGTTATATTTTATGATGACATTAATATTTATACGAGACATCTCATACATCATTTCTTTTATATCTAAAATTTTTATGAAGTCATTGAGTATTTCGAAGATAATTTAAATTAAATTGAAAACAACAGAGAATTAACTCATTTGAAATAATTATACGAGAATTTTTTAATTTACATTAAAGTTTCTTTGGGTATTATAAAATAAGAAAAAGCACAAGACTTCATCTTAAGCATTCACTCATAAATTTAAGATGATAATAATACATTAATAGCAGCAATTAATAAGCATATTCTAATTCGAATTTATTTAAATTAAAAAGAATATCATGTTGCTTTGCAATATTCCTACTAAGTGCTTCAATTTTTTTATGCTTATGAAAATAGTAAATAAATAACTTTAGGGGGAGACTTTTAGATTAAACATAGCAAAAGACTATCTAAATTTTAAGAGATTTTATCGAATTTTCTCCCTAAAGATTTAGTCCGTAAAACTCAGATTAATTAGTAATCAAATGATGTATATTATTGTCATTTAATTGATGATGAATTTATCTCTGAAATCCTATTGAATCATATTGATATTCTGACAAATATTAATTAATTTAAGTTCTCTTTTTTCTAAGTATTAAATTTATTGGATAAAATAAAGAACTATTATTAAATAGCATATTTGTATAAACTTTTATCTCTAATATTCTTAGAGAACATGAGTTTAGAAAAATAATCATTAGTTCAATACGATCAATAAATTATGAATGAAGCAAAAGAAACCATAAGAGAAAGGAAATTATTAATAAATTGTTATCAGTCCTTTAGACATTAACATACTTAATAGGAAGTTATAGCTTATAATTAGTAATTAGCAAGGTTAACATTCAAACAAATAGTTTACTAAAAGTTTGCTAAAAAACCAGCAAAAGAGGATGTATTATTCTTAATTCAATTATCTGCAGAAAAAAGTTTAGAGTTTTTTTAAATCCTTTCCTAGCAACAAAAAATAATAAATCATATATTTTATATAAACATCTATTTGATCTTGGCTGAATGCCATTTGAATTAACTTAATTTCACTTAAGCCTTAGCCAATGTGGATTTGGCGGAAGAACATACTATTGAAATTTATGGAAAAGCTTGTCATCCTCAGATAGGGTACTTACTTTTATCAAGAGTGTAATTTCGAAAAAAGTAGCAAGAATTATAAATTTAGATTGTTAAAGAAATCAGATTAAAAAGTTTTTTTGATGTTAGTTAGATTAAAACAATAAGTCTATTGTTAATATAGGAAAATAAAACATTAACTTATTGGTTAGATATTTATAAAAGGAGTAGAGATATTTAAACGTTTTTCAAAAATGTAAAAGATGTATTAAAACTAAATTAAAACTTTTGTGATAGTTTTCTATTTTGTGATGAAAGTTCTTCTGTTGAAGATATCTTCAGAGAAATAACTAGATTATTTCCATCTCTTAATTATATCTCTGCACAAAGCTATTTAAGTGTAAGATATTATTACTAATTTAGGCTTCGCATCATTTTATATATCTAGATGAAAACAATCAATATCGGTAACAAATCAATCAATTACTTAATAATCATATTTGAATGTATAATGTATTTAAGAATATAATAAAATTTGATTAAACACATGAACAACTAAGAAATATATTTTGTAAATTATAAATCATAAATTCACCTATTCCCGAATCTCACATTTCTTGTAAATAGATTATCTTCTAGTTTGTGTTATTGATGAAATAAGGATTAGTAAACTTAGGTAATAATGTATATTTACTTTCATTATTTTTTAGATCTTAAGTGTGATTTTATAGTTTATTGTCCTCCATAGTTTATCCCTTGAATTTCTGTTCCTCTGTGCATACTTTTTTTTTTTATTATAATTCTAGATTATTTACTGCATCTGAGACTTTCAACTATTTTTTTTGATCTTTCTTTTATTTCTCTTTCAATTCAATTTCTTTATACAACTATGCCTTTTTGATCTCTGCTTCTTCATTAGTTGGACATAATCTATAATAATAATAAATTAATTCGATTACTAAACAATGTCTTTTTCAGTGTAGGGCTTAGTGCAAATTGGGCATTTTAACCCCTTGATCTTAAGATCTTTTATCAATTTTTTATAAAAAACACACCCGCAAGTCCACAATGCTTAGAACCTATTTAAAAAATAAATACATACTTTTCTTTTCCATTTAATGATTTTTAACTAAATAGACAAACGAAAGGAAACTCATTATTTTGATCTGGATTTTCAGTAATATTGAGTTTTTTGATTTTTTTAAGCTGAAATAAGTTTAAAAATTTACATTTTGTAAATGCTTAAACTCTTAAGGAATTTTCTTTTCCATGAAGGCCTTAAGTAAGGAATCGTAGTTGTATAGATATCCAATCCTACAGCAGGCAATTGGTTTTCTCAATTTTTCTTTGGTCAAGGAACAAAATTAGGCTCTTTACTACAATTACAATAGGATTATACTTTTGCAACTAAAAGACTCTCTACTCTTTTTTCTGGTTTTTTTAATTTAACCAACTCCGCTCTTTCAGCAAAACTTCCACCATCATTACCCATAATTAATGAAATAAATAAATATTTTATATTTAGTAGAGAAGTGGAAAATTAATTTTTGAAATTAAATACAAATATCTATAAGTATCAGTATAGTTTTTTGTGGTTCTAAAATTGATTGCATTATATCTTAATTGCTTTTAATAGAGTGAGAGTATTTTCGATTTTCTTATCAGATAATTGTGATTTACCAACTGAAATACTGTTTTATGTATGATTGCTTTTACTTGGATTTGGTGATGTGGTTAGACTGGACCAAAAATTGGATTATGATCTGTAATACTTTTCCTTTTTGATATCATTTTTTTCAGTTTATTTCGTATCCTTAAGTTTAGTATTCAAAAAGGATAAGACTTTATCCTTAACAATTTTGTCATTTGAAATGTTCGGTGTGTCTTCTGTGAGAATCTTTTGGAAATATGCTCTAGAAGATGAATATGAATGGTGATTATTATGTGCCTTATTTCCTCTTGGCTGTGATGAGGGTCGAAAAGAGAGGCACTCCATTGAGGATTGAAGGGTTTCTTGTTTTAGATTGGTGAAATTCAATCTTTTAGAAAGGGAACTAGATTAGTGATTTAAATACTTGATAACAAATTTAAGTTCTGATATTTCTTTAGATTTTTATTTGTTGATTTTTTCTGATTTTTCTACTTGTGATTAAAGTTACTCACACAATTAAATACTTTCTTGTAATTACAATTCCTTTGAGTCTATTTATTCCTATAGATCTTAAATCAATTTTGCTTATTAACCCAACTTATTCTCTAATAACTATATAAATTAGGCTGACATACTTAATTTTTTTAGATTTCAATCACAAGTCTGTCAGATGCATGAACCACTTTCATATGAGTAACATTAGAATTGTCTTCTGACATTTTATCCAATTGAGATACTCTTGACATGGTCATAGATGGCTCAAGGATGTTTTAGCTATTCTTAAATTTGCTATAATAATCATTCAAAAAGATGTCAGTTAAATTGTTGGAGAGGAGCATGCTGGTTAATCGATCAGAATCAGAGATTTCCAATAATGAGTCTTAATCTTGCTAATCCATTTAATAAAGTAAAATAATTAAGTTGATTGCTTTAACAATAAAGAAAATATAATTATCAAGCTATATTCAAATACAATCTTCTTCAACCTTCTTATCGCCCCAAGTATTAATGATGTCAATCTAAAGTAATTTGAAATGCTTACTCTTCTTACTAGAGTGAGAAGCTTTTATACTTTTCTATTGTCTTGCACGACTTCAGCCAGATCTGTGTAGTAAGTTGACCAAGGATAAGCTTTGTTCTTAAGTAGAGTCTAATGGGAAGCATAGACGAAATTCATACTTCTACAATGACAAGGTGATTGCCCTGTATTGCCAAATAAAGAGGAGTTCGATGTAGTATGTCTACTGCATCTACGTCTGCGTGATTCTTTATTAGTAGTTCAACCATCTCCACCAATCCTTTCTTGCATGCCCAATGCAAGGCAGTCATGTTGTAGAAGTCGAAATCAAATACAAGATATCTGTTATATTCTAACAATTCAATAACTCTATCCATTTAATTCAACTTTACTGCATGAATAAATTCGTTCGACATTTTTCGTTAATAAGGCTTTTTAGAGAAGACCTTATTCTCAATCATATACTGTGGATCGATATTCATTGCTTTAAGTTTATTGATTGCCCTCAATAGAATCATTCTCAATTATTTTTTTGAACGTTTCGGAGGCTCAATCTTGGCTTTCACAAATTAATGATCGAAGTCAAATCGTTACATAATACGAGGAGATTGAAATTCAGATATAACAGTTTCTTTGGGAGACTACAAAGCAGTAAGTTGTTAACATGAAGATATTTCCAATTAGGGAGGTCCTTCAATTGCCTATTGAGATTATTGAATCTGTGGTAAAGTCTTAAACTTTCCTACTTTCGTTTAAGTAAGATAGGCTCTTATGGTTTTGTGAGTAGTAGGTCTAGAACTTCTAGCAGTATTTGTAGGCGAGATATTCTTATTAATACGGAATCTAGGGGAAGTGTTTTTACTATAAGTATATTCTATTTTAAGTTGAGGTACTTTTGGACAATGTTCACTCAACATTTTACGATGACTTGTAGGTTTTCTTAATAAATCTATTATCTAATTTGTTTGCTGGCAGTCCTTTTTTAAATTTGTTACTTTTGGAGGCAATTTCAGTTCCCTGTATATTAAATTTCAATACCTGAATTCACTGAGTATTCGCAAATAACATTTATTTTAATATAATTCATTCATTATTATAATTAATGTAGAAATTTAAAAAGAGTTAGACTATTCCTCCTAGGACTAAGGAAAAGAGCAGTATTCTTGCTCTCTGTGTTAATTGTGAAGAATTTATTAATGTTGATCGAATAGATCTTCATGCTTAAATGTGTACTTAGGTTTCCAATAAAGTACTCAAATTTGCTGTCTCCTCCTTTTACTTTGAAGAAAATGATTTCAAATTGAAAAAATTGAAATAAATATTATAAAATAAATATCCAGAACACTCTTAAAGATTGTGCAGAATTTGTGAACTGGTTACATAAATCAATAGTATTGGATGTGTAGAAGAAGCATCATTGATACAATTTGAATAGGAACTTATTACCATGAGTAAAGAACCAATTTCATCATTGAATTTATCATTATATTTAGAAAGATTGCACTCTCTCGTCATACAAAGAATATCAATCATTTAAAATTCATTAAACTCTAAAGTGATCAGACCGTCTCAATCTTAATAAAACTTTTATCCATAAACTAGTACTGCATTTAATTCAAAACTATCCAAGATATCGTCAGGTTCAATGTAAACTCCCAGTAATGTTAATTTATAAAATTTATATCCTAATTAAGTTGAACAGTCAGAAATTGTATTTTCAGGACATCGATTTAGTTAAGGTTAAAGTTCAGAGAATCGAATGACAATCATGACTAGATTCTCATCAGATAGTGGAAATTAATAGTAAGGATTGATATCTCAATAAAAAAGAGGAGAAATCTTATTAACCAATAATAGTGAGTAATCTCCTGATAAAAAGTAAGAGCATGACAATTCAAAAACCTTTGCATAACGTTGTTTTTATTCTAAGGTATTGAATTTAAAATTGGGTTATCCATCAAACAGTCCTGCTTAAAAAATTCCTGTGTTCTTATTGTGGCGATAGGCAGAGTAAAAATAGATCAAATCAGAAAATTGGGATGTATTTATTAAATAATGTCTTGGTAATCCTTTTGAATATTTGGATCCTAAGAAATTAAAAAATAATCTCAATAATTCGAACTAGAATCAGCAAATATTTCAACAATGAGTTTAGTTTTCATTTTCAAATATTTATTAGAAGCATCAATCATGTATTTCCTCTGATAAATTAATATTTTTACTTTTTAATTCTTTCAACAAATGGGCAATTCGGAATCAAATAAAAAAAGTAATTTTATGTTCAAATTCAAGATGATCCAAATGGATTGAATGGACAGGAAATATCTGCTTAGTTGGATCCTGAGTTGAGTCAAAGTTTAAAAGATCTTGATTCTTCATTCTAAATATTAATTGAATCAACCAATTAAGTATGCAGAATTAAATAAAATTAGATTGGCACAAAGCTTAATTCCATTTTAGAAGGAATGCATGAAAAAGCAAGCAAATTTCAAGATAAAACCTGAAGTTTATGATGATTTATAACATTTTATTATTATTTCTTTTTGAAGCATTAATTATTGAAAGTAACTCATTTCTTTACATGAACATTTATGCACTTTGAATAGAATGGTTAATTTGATAAAAATTATTTATTAAATAAAATGTATTAATACAGTTAATCATACCATCAATAAAGAAAAGAAAATAAGCAGAATTAATAATATAATTCCTTATAGCTGGAAAGGGAATAAGTTAAATCCTTTATTAAATAATAAGAACTGAATCACTAATAGCAATCACAATTTATCAAAGAACAAATAAATAAATAGACAGACTCAATTAATACTAGAATAGCTTAAAGGAGAAATAGTTTACAAGTTGATTAAGAAGCTAAACAAATTTAAAAAATTGTTGCATATTTCAACTTAAGAATCTAAAAAATTAGAGATTAGGTTTAAAATGAGGATTAACTAATATTAATATAGTAATTAGAAGAAGAAAAACTAAACAAGATCATCCAAATACAAAACCAAATTTGATTTTATCATATTTAATTACTTTATTGTATTTTAGGATGTTTTAATTAATATTAGATTATTATTTATCAATATTCATAATTGAAAATGACAAATTAATCTATGATTCCTTTAAAAGAGTTCTCAAAGATTAAGTAAATGTATTCACTTGCATTATATCATTTAATTATTTGTATTTACAGAAATTTAGTAATATTATTATAACAATTAGATTGTAAATAATAATGAAACTATTCAAATAAATAATATAAATTTTGTTTAGAAACTAAGTAAGTCGGATTGTATTTTTACAAAACTATTAAAGTATAAATTAAAACTCTTTTTTTAGAATTTATATTTTCAATAATGTGTGTGATTGTGAAATAAGTTCTAATTTATGATTCAAATGATTAGGAAATACTTTTGATAAATTATATCATATCTATTTTATTGCTTATTAGAGTAGTTATATATTAATATATAATTATAAAAATAATAAGAAAAAAAAGAATTATTTAAAATTGGACAAATAGTGAGAAATTGAATTTGTTTTTTATTAATTGTTAACTTAATACAAAAGTTCATATAATATTGATATTAATAATGAATGATGTTTCTATTTTAATTGATGAATTGAATGATTAAATACTAACAGATCAATTCGTTTACATAGATTTGTTAGGAGGAGGAGCTTACGGACAAGTCGTGAAGGCCTAAAGTAAGGAGCTTAACTAAATTGTTGCAATCAAAGTAAATGAGTTTGGTTTAAATGTTTAGATTATCGAAAGAATTAAGAATAAAGCTCAGGATTAGGAAGCATCTCTTTTAGAGAAGTGCAATCACAAAAATATCGTGCATTTTCACAAAGTTGTATTTTATTATAATGCTTTAGTTGCTCTATACTCATAATCATTTGTATATAATAATGGAATACCTATAAGGAATAACTCTCTAAGAAGTCATTTAAAAGCAATTGTTAGAGAACAAAGTTAGAAATCTTATTAAACAAATTTTGGAAGGATTGAGTTATCTCCATAATCAAGGGATTATTCATCGAGATCTGAAGCCATGTAAGAAAAATTTAGGATTTAAGCAAACATTTATTTGGTTCGAGAAAACAACAAATCCATTGTTAAACTGATTGACCTTGGACTTAGCTATTAAATTAGTTCACACAAAATAGCAAATAAGTAATGTGGCACATTGTTATACATGGCACCAGAATTGGCATAGGACGTGCCTTATAATTAGACTGTCGACATTTTCGCACTTGGAATAATTTTATATTAGTTATTTCATGATGGGTAACATCCATTCTTTGTTCCTGGAATGAGGAGTTCAGAGTACTTTAGAAGATTAGCAAAATTAGAATTTGATCTGCGTTTTAGAGAGAATATTCCACCAATGGCTAAAGATTTTATATAAAAAACCATGGCCCTACAACCGGACGATAGGATGTCAGCTTATCAATGTTTGGATCATCCATGGATAAAGAATGTTGAATAATAGAAATTTCCAATCACCACAAATGAAATTATCTCCACATTCATTGTGAAATAGAAATTCATAAAGATTATCAAAGCCTTAATGGTCCAAACTAAATTATCTTAATTATCAATAAAGAAGGATCCAAAAGACAGTTAGAGCAATCAATACACTAAGTCCAACCTCACAGATGTTAATTCCCAACAAGAATAAGAATTCATTCACTTAAGATTGCCCATGAGTTAAAGAGACAAACCTCCTTTATCCAAATCAAAAATGCTTAAAACTGTGTAAGGTACCTTTAATACACCTTAAATGTCTAAAAGGGAAGTATCTAGATAGTCCTTAGCACTCAGCTTTATAAATTCTCCATAAAATATGACTCCCTCATCTAAAAGTAAAAGGACTCTTAAAACTCCTTCTCCAACATAGTTTAGATTGCCAGCAATTAAATCACCGAAGCAAGCTCAGAGCCCTAGCATGGCTAATAATATCAACAAATCAAGATTTTTTTAATAATGACATCAATACAATTATATATATTATATTAATGTATTATATATAAATTTATCATATTACAAATTGCTTATAATTTGATGATATATAATTTTAAATTGATATAAAAATAATCTATAATTTTTATTAACTGAAGTCCATAAATGATCGTTAATTATAAAAATTCTATAAGTTTCAAAATTTATATATAATTAAATTGTGTATTTTTAAAGTTTAAATATCATTATATATCAAGGTGTCAAAATTTCTTACAAATCTAATATTTACTCCTTCTATAAATTCAACACATTTACTTGTAAATCTTATAATTTCAAAGTACTCCTGCATTAATTATCAACCCTTGCTGATTCACTTGATGAAGAAGAAGGAATGAATTATAAATAATATTAAGTTAAAAAAGGACATTATTCCAAGGAAATTATGATAATATCAAATGAAATCTTCATTTTTGGTTTTACTAAACTGACTCTTTTTCATTTATTCATCTTTTACTGTGTTCTTTTATTAAAGTGGCTTTGACTTGGGAGAATAAAGATCTTCGGTCCTGGGAGATATAATTTTGAGTTCCTTGATCTCATTTACAAATTGTAATCCATTATTGCAATCCAATTTAGGCGAATATTGGAGGTAGGAATTGGATTTCTTATGCTTGGGAGTTGCAGATCCTTGTGAAGAGGGAGAAGTCTATCGAGATCTGAAGCCTAATTGAATAGTTAATTGCTTTCTATTTAGCATTTCTAATAAGTAATATTTTTATTTTTGGATGTGGTTAGATTAATAATAAACAATTTAAATCCCATAATATTTGTGTAAGTTATTAATAATTTATTAAAGAAATGTAACTTCTAATATTGCTTGAGTAAAGTGAAGAAGAGAAGGAACAATATTCTTTTGGATCTTATGGATCTTTTAATGGATTTAGTGGGAATTATTTTTTAATTATTTTTTTAATAAATAATGGCAACCAAATAAAAATCAATTGAAGATTATAGAAATGCTGTGAAGTTATTAAAATTAAAAGTGCTCAAATTGCAGAAGCACAACGAAGAGCTTGTCGACAAACTAAGAGAGCAAGGAATTCCCCTTGATTAATAGCACGATTAAGTTGATCTGAGCAATCAAGCAGTTATGGGAATTTTTTCAAGAAGTTGTAGAAGGGTTGGACTAACTCCAGAAATGATGTTTAGAGCATCTGATAGGGAAGGATAAGGATAGATAAGTACTGAAGATATGAGACTTTTTTTATCGAAAGTTAGATTAGGTTTGAATAATACCTAATTGACTATGTTGGTGAGAATTTTTGATGAGGATTGCTCAGGAGTCATCAAGAGAGAAGGTATTATTCAAAAAGTAATATAGAGTATTATGATTGTTTGTAAGCGTATGGAATCAATGAGGAGAAAGTATCTGGTTAAGCTAGAACTTATGGTTAGGAGAGTCTCTTAAAGTACGCTCGTTTACTATTGATGAATAGAATGTCAGTTGAGGATTCTCTTAAAAGAATGGGAGATAATATAATTCCATCGCATTTTGTGTAATTTTGTAAACTATTGTAAGGTCTTTCATTCATGGAATTGATGGATCAAATTTATTAAATGAAAAGGAAATCATAGCTGTTTTCAATCACATTGATGTCAATAAGAGTGGAGTTCTTTAGGCTACATTTTATGATTAAGAAGTTCGTAAAGCAATGAGGGTTGCATAATCTGACATAGGTTTGGGCGTCCAAATAAATCCAAATCCAAACGCTGGAGGAGGAGGAGGCAATCCAATTCCTAAGGCTTAGCCTGTGGGCATCCTGAAACCAACTCAAGCTTCTTAATAATTGGATCCCTTTAGAATGACTCAAACGTAGATGGGATAATCAAAATCAGGTCTGAATATGTCATCTTCACATGCATTTTTGAATGAGACAATCATTATGTTGACTGATGAGGACAGGAAGAATATTCAAACAATTATAACCAAATTAAAAGCATAAGGAGTTGATGCTATTGAGTTTATAAGAAATGTTATATAATAATTGGAAGTACCAGGGGCAGGAATTTTGTTGTATGACTTTTATAAGAGATTTGATAAGAAGATTCCAAAAAGCGATTAATTGTCATTTTTTAATGCAATTGATTTGAATAAAAATGGGTCCATCGATTATGATGAACTGATGGTGTTTTTCTAAGAATTCAAGTCTCCAAAAGACAATTATGATTTGTTGTTTGAAATTTTAACTAGAAAATTATAAGCGTTAGAAATAGGAATAGTTTAACATTTAGCTTCTGAATAAATTTATGAAGATACCCAATTGAATTAGGAATTATTTTATTAATTGGCCTAGATTTTATTCTCATGTCCCTCAAAGAAGCATTCTGATGCCCTATTTTCTTATTTTGATATAGATGGATCTGGAGTTCTATCAGCTCAAGAAATCATTGATTAAGTCCAAAAGATTCTATTAATTTATGTTCCTTAGAAAACTATGAATTTAGATAATACACTTAATAAATCAATGAGAGCTTCTCTGAAATCAGTAGGGGAATATGCAACAACACTATCGAAATTGAAACCTGTGTTAATAGAAGAGGATTATTTTAGTAAGTACAGAATGGAAGGAAGTGGAAGAACTTTACATAAGGAAGAAACTAAATGGACAACTATTTTCAATTCAGATTTAGCATGTTTAAGGTATGTTTACGAGGAAATTTCGAAATTGGAATAGAGTCCAGGTACAAAATGGGAAGACCCAGACTTTGGACCTACCAAAGAAGATCCTTATGGTAGTAAGAGTATGTACTTTGCTGATAACGATGTACCAGAGGGAGCTCCATAGCCTAAGGAATGTAAATGGTTGAGACCTGAGGAGTTCTTGGCAGCATTAGTAGAGAATGGAGATGAACAATATAAAAATTGTACTGTTGATGTGTTTGATGAAGATGGAGCTGCTTCAAATGATGTGTGTCAATCTAAGTATTTAGGTAATTGTTGGTTTGTCTCTGCATTATCCATTATATCAGGGTATGAGTAATATTTGCAAGGGGATTTTGTGATAACCTAAGAATCCATATAAGAATTGACAGATGAGGAAGTCAACGGAATGCTTATTGGAGTTTATCCACCTTGTTTCAAATTCTTAAGAAAATATGGTCTATATGTGATGAGATTCTTCAAGAACTTTGGGTGGAAATATGTTGTTATAGATGACAAATTATGTGTAAAGGATAATGAATACGTATTTGGTAAATGTAGAAAGCCGACTGAATGTTGGGTCAATTTGATTGAGAAGGCTTATGCAAAGCTTCATCAAAACTACTTTTCTTTAACAGCTGGAGATATTGCTTAGGGACTAGCTGACATGACTGGTAAGGTACCTGATAAAATTAAATTGAATGAAGAATGTACAAAGGCTGAAAAGGAAGACCTTTGGAATCTGTTATTAAAATGTAAGAAGGACGGAACAATGTTGGGATGTAGTGCCGAAGGTGGAACTGAGTTGTATTTAAAAATAAATGATGAGGACACAGGTGTTATGAGTGGACATGCTTATGGTATATTAGATGTATTTGAAATACCTGATTAGAGTTGCGATAACTATCATAAATCACATAGATTATTAAAAATCAGAAATCCTTGGGGATATGGAGAGTGGAAATTGAAATGGTCAGAAAATCCCGATTATTCTGCTAAATTGGATAAATGGATAGATTGGATAAATGATTATTATTAAAAGGAAATTGAAAAGGCCAAGTTGGAAGGTAAAGAACCTCCTGAACCATACGTTTATGGATAAGATGACGGTACATTCTTTATGTGTTTCAAAAGTTGGAGAACAGTATTTTCTAATTTGTTCTAATGCATGTATGAATGTTTCAATAAATTAATAGTGATTTTCCTGATGATTGGAGTGGATTGAGAGCATTCGATTAATTTGGACTGTAGAGTTCTGGAGCCCCTATGAAAACTGAGGCCTCATTAATTCAATATGCTCAAAAGAATCCATAATACATTCTTGAGTTGAAAAGAAAGAAAGGAGACAAGACTAGTATGTACATATAAATGTAGTAGATGGATGGTATATATTAAATATGTATTTTAATAGGGCGATTGTTTTTGGGGGAAAGATATCCATTCCCAAATGTGATGAAACCCATATTACTTTGCGTATTTTCTTTAGGACCCACTGAGAAATGCTTGGCCAAATTTGATGACAAAAAGGTAGTTGCCTCTTCGGGTAAGTTGAATTTGAGAAGAGAAATTGATACTAATGACATCTCTTTAAGTAATGGTAGATATGCAGTCATACCATGTACAAAGGAGGGAGCCTAACAAATTGATTTCACTTTGAGTTTCTATTTTGATTGTGACAAGAGCGAAATCAATATCACAAAATATGGTGATCCACGCTTTAAACTTTATCCGATTACAGAGGAAGAAGAGGAAGTATCTAAGGTGCCTGATGAATTAAAGAAGTTGTTAAAAAAACAGGCTTAGGAAGTATTAAGTTAATAATGATTATGATATTAAGATAAAATATCTATATTTATTTTTAATAATAAATCAATTCATTTTCTCCAAATGATAACATACTGATTCTATCATATTATCTACAGGATTCTCTCCTGAGACTTTGTAAATGATTGAAGCATATTTTGGAGTTCCATCTATCAGTTATTTTAAATCATCCCATCTCTTCAATCTAATTTATAGAATTAATTCATACCTCGTTTGCACAACTTCTCTTTTTTCATTTGGAGCTATGATCAATCTGGGTCTCACTTCCTTGCCAGCCTCATCAATTGAATTGTAAATTATTCCAGTCAATGGATCAGTTCTCCTTTAAACAAGTCTTCTTGTAATGATGTCGTCAGCTACATCAATTATAACCATCAAAGTTGGTTGAATATTCATTTCATTCAAAGATTCTAATTGTTTCTCAGTTTTAGGATAACCATCTAGAACATAACCTTGCAATTAACAATCGGTCTAATTGATTCTCTCTTTAATTAGAGCATTGACAATTCTATCTTCTACAAGATCTCCTTTGTTTACTTTCTCAAATGCCTCTTTTCCTGTTGTTCCTTTCTAATTTACCAAATTTGAAATCAATTCCCTTGTTGATACATATACAAATCCATATTTGCCTGACAATTTCTTAGCTAATGTAGATCTCCCAGATCCAGGAGGTCCAATGACAACTATTCTAAGAGCTCTCTTTGGAGCATTATCATAGAGTTTGTACTTCAATAATTACTAAATAATGTATTTTAATAAAACATACTGCCATATCCTCTAATTCATAGTTTTTTTCTCCATCGACTGAAAAATACTAATTTTTGTAAATTTCTTTGACTTATTTCAAATTCAATTAGTATTCCAAAGAATGTGATTTAACCAAATCCTCTTTATTGTTTAGTTTATTGAATGGTTCTGTGTCTAATTTCTTGAGACAGCATTGATAAACCTTTTCTTATGACATTTCCAAAATAAGAAATGCATCAGGTATTATACCCTCTTTTTGAAGTGCTAAACCTTGGACTCTGGTTTTGGGGAACCCTTCGAAAATGTAACTTTTCTTTTCATTTTCCAAATGGTTGATTTGGTTAAGTGCTATATTGATCACAATGTCATCACTCACATATTAGAATTTGTCCAAAGATTCTTAGATTTATTGACTCTAATTGAGAAATAGTAAGAAATGCATACTAATTCGGACTTTTTGCTTAGCTCCTTTTCAATCAGATCTCCAATAGAAACAATATGAAAATTCAAATAATCTGCCAATGTAAGTGATAATTCTCTCAATTTGGATCCAGGAGGACCAACCACAAAGATTTTTTTGGCTTGATTTCAGGTGTCATATATACTTTCTGGTTCTTATAGTTTATTGATGAGAAATTAGATGGGATCTTCAGGTTTTTTGATGATCAAGGATTTAAGTAGATCTTCGAAGATGTGATAAACTTTGTTTCTTTCAAGGTACTTCTCAACCGATTGTTGGTATTGCAACTTATTGGCCTGGTCCATAAGTTATCTTTTTTTATTTAAATTATTGAATATAATTATAATTAAAAATTGAATTCAAGACTTCTTCATTTGTTCTAACAAATCTTTTTGCTACTAAATCATCTCCTTCATCAGCCTATTCTGGAGTTTCAGGCGATGTATAATCTCTTTTTTTTGTTTTTGATTTTCGACTTGAATTGGTTGTGTTTGAATGATCCGAGGGACTTACTTGACCTTTTATTCCTATTGTTTCTGACAAGCCCTATTTATTGTAGCCGAACTGCTTATTTGAGGCATGGAGGAGTTTAACTTGCTCTTCTTTTCAGGTTGAGGATCCAAGGAGAAAGCCCATTCTCTGATTTCTTCATTCGTCATCAATTCTGAGAGTGGACAATTAATCTATTGTGAATCCATAAATATTATTGAAATGCCATAAAAGAATAAATGCCATCTGTATAAAAATGAAAATCCTTCTTAAATTGTTCATAAGAGTATATGAAGGTTTAGATATATAAAACAATAAAGGTAACTAATTGAATGCGTAATAAAAATCAATTCTATGAATCTGAATCGATGCCGCTGATGATGACTTCTTCTTGGGGAGGTCTTTAGCATTCTCTCTTCTCGATTGCTTGGACATTCCTTAACAGTTTCTGTCTCAATTCCTCGTCTGCTTCATTATAACTATTTTCATCGTCATTTGCGCAATCATCATCGTCCTCATAGGGAGTGATTTGTTTGGTAGATAACTCTTGTTTGGAAGGGTAGGTTTCTTGGAAATGGAACTTCTCGATGTGATTTTTGAGGGGTAATCTGCTGGTGTATTGCTTGCCACAATATTGACAATAGACTTTTTCCTTATTGGAACTGTAGCTGTAATCTGAATTGGAGGACCTCTTCTTGAGATTTAGGATGGAATTGGAATTGCGACCATAATAATTGTCAGCTTGTTTGATTTGATTGAATAGTCTAGTATACTTATCGGTTAGATGTTTCTATTCGTTGAGATAGTTGCTAATTAAATCAGCAAGTTTGTTGTTCATTAAATTATTGGCAATTTAAAGATCAGGAATATAAGGGGAGAGGTTGGTCAAATAATTTATATGATATTGTCAAATAATTAATATGATTATAAAAAGTAATTAATTAATCATCTCAATTTATTTAAGTATTTTAATCGCTCAAACAATGAAGGATGACTGTTATAGTACCATTGATAGATTGGGTCTACCATCAAATTCGTGGAATTCTATTTGAACAGCTTGATCAACCCACTCATCAAATACGACCCAAGACCATGACGATTGGCAAACATATCTGCTTGATACTCAAAGAAACGGGACAAATGGAGTTCGAATATTTGGAACAACGTATTCATGGGTTCAAAGAGAGAGAAGAACAACGCAGACCCGATGAAGATGGACTTCTCATTGAACCCAAAACTCAAGAAAACCACATCCGAATCTCTGTAGAAGCCAAAGATATAGAAAGTGATCAGAACTATCATAAAATATTAATACATACTTTTGATGCAAAAGAATACTAATTTGATATAGGGATGTCTATATTTCCAATGTCCCAATTCATGTGCTACGACAGCCACGATCTCCTCGTTTGTCAGATTGTTGATGAGAGTGTCATACAGCACTATTCGCTTGCTGTACATCCCAAAGAAGTAGGCATTCGAATGATCTGATCTTTTGGACCCATCCATGACCAGGATCTTCTCCAAGGGGAAATTCATTCTGAATGCTAATTGACTGATTGCTTATTTGAGTTGGGTTTCTTTGAGTTCCTCGAATTCATTGAATAGTGGTTAAATGTAATTAGGATAGACGAGACTGGACACTATTGCCATGATCAGCACAAAGAATTGCATCTATATGTTGTGTAGGGGAATATACCGCTATGAAGAAGTAGTCTCCTCCGAGTTCAGCCACATACAAGTAGGAGTAGAGGAGTATTGGTACAAAGACCACCCACAATGCTGATTCAATCACTAGATCGCTGAATTGGAGAGCGAATGATATTTGACTCAGATCATATCTCTTCTCTATCACGTGAGTGTTATAAAAATTATTAGGAACATCAATTAATTTGAGGCGTAAAAACTCCACAAAGATATATGCCAATCCTCTTTGAAACTATAATCAAAATAGAATTACCTCTGAATTCGGGTCCATCTTGAAGAAAGTCACAGTCCTTTCCCAAATAAAAGGCATCACTCCACATAATATTACGATGATCTCCATTGCTGTTTTTATTGATTTGGTGTACATTTCAAACGACCTACGCAACATCAAATCAAATTTACAGTTTGTCATAATAAAATCGCTAGCTTCTCTTGAATTATTTCTGTGTGATTCCCAGAGTCTATTCAATATGAATAGGCATCTGTTTCACTGACAATTAATCCAATTGCCTCAGATTGATAAATTGTTCCAAAAGATACTTGATCACTATGTATGATACCACGATGTAGAGATAAGAGTATGACACCTCTTATTCCTTTATTCTCAATATTGCCATTAAAATTAAAATTGATATATTTTATCAAAACTCAACTTACTTCAGCAAATACATCACCCCACTTACACTTTTGCCCCTCCTCTATATTCCATTTCACATTCTCTGCCTCAAACATCATAACAACTGTTGACCCCAATCTGAACATTCCCAATTCATCACCTTTTCTAAGCGAAATAGTCGGATCATAATGTTTGTAAACAAACAATTCCTGAGCCTTCTAATTTGTCTAAAATTCCTTATCATAATTTAAAGTCATTGATCCCACATTGGTTGCACCCACCAAAACTATACTCATTAATCCAAAATTGTATGTTCCAAACAAGGCCACTCTCTCATTAGTCTCATATACCTTTGGTGTACTTGAAATGTAGCTGATCTTTACAGGTGCCAGATGTCCCACTATATGACTTCTGCTTTTCAATTAAAAATCACTTGGCAAATGATATCTGTGATAGTCTCCAGGGGCCAAATAAAATATTACTGAATACAGCTTTGTATTCTTTCTTTTCCTTGCATCCTCCAATATTTTAGGAGTCATCTCAAAAGTCTCTTGCCCAGTCAAAAAATACCCCAATTTATAATGCACATTCTTAACTAAGATTGGACTGTCATCCTTCACTTCGCAAAATGATAGCACCTTAGAATCTGCTGGCACTATTAGTTTATTTACATTTTTATCGAACTCTCTGCTTTTTATCTTGCGAGTAAAGAATTGTTGAAAGTTTTCATAATTCTCAAGAGGTTCTAACATATCGTCGTAATTCACATCATAAACGTAGCCGAATAATGAAAACAAAGGACTTCTTAACCATTTTGGAATGTATGTTTCTGCCATCTTACCAGATTAATAGGAGACATATCTAGTGACTGATTATTGATAGGCTTCCACATCGTATTTATTTCGATTCTCTCTATAATATGAATACACAGCCATGCCGTTTGCCAAGCCGAATATCAATCCCCATTTCATGTAGCCCAAGCCCACAGCCTTTTTCAATGCCGATTCCAATATTTACATTTTATTTAGCTGTTACTTATATTATTAAAGTGGAATTTGTCTTGGATACTTATTTGGAATTGAGAATTCTAAAACTGATTAATTATATCTATTAAATCATTTCATATCCAAACTCTTGGAATTTGGAAAATCAATAATTTCTAAAAAATGTAAGCCTTAAAGACAGTTGTCATTACAGGAGCAAACAAAGGAATTGGATTTGGCATTCTTGAAAATCTCATTCAGAAGCAGTCATACAAAGTCATCATGGCTTGCCGATCCCTTGAATTAGCTCAATAGTCTAGAACCAAATTGCTCGAAAAATACAATGTATTCAAATACCTTAATGTCCTCTTAGCTATCCCAAGATAGAATTGACACCATTGAGTTGGACATAAGTAGTAGTGGAAGTATTGATAAGTTCATACAGGAATTTACAACCAGATTCCATTAAGCTGATATCTTAATCAACAATGCAGCTGTGGCTGTCAAGTCAGATGACTTCAATTTGGAAGTTGTCCAATACACCTTTAAACCAAACTTCTATGGCACTAGTATATATATTTACTATATCTCTAAGTCGAATTGACTGAAAAATTCATCCCTCTATTGAGTCAAAATGGAAAGATCATCACAGTAGGTTCATCAGCAGGCAAAATAAAAAATTTGAAATCTGAAGATCTAGTGAAAAGATTCTAGAATCCAGATATCACTCGTGAAGATGTGTTCAAATTGGCTGAGGAATTTTAAGAACATGTCAAGAATAGTATTATGAGTTATGATAACCTTAGATACATATGAACAGAATGGCTGGCCAAGTTGGGGATATGGAATAAGCAAATTGCTTATCAACACCTATGTTAAAACTTTGGCTTAGAATGCTGAGGTTAAGAATAAGAGTTTATAAGTTTACGTGTGTTGTCCTGGATGGGTGAAGACTGATATGGCTGGAGATAAGGCAGAATTGACAATAGATCAAGGAGCATTGACTCCAGTATACTTGGTGGAATTGCCACATGAAGTAAATCCAGAATATTAAGGGAAGTTCTTTTATCTTAAGAAGGTGGAGGAATTATGATAGTATATAAAATATTAAATTGGGTATAATTATAATTATAATTATAAATTGTGTTGAAATAAAAATTGTTCAATGCTTTGCACAACTATTTCATGGATTAATCATCAATTATAAATGTTCATTGAATAATGTTAATGTATGGAGATTAATTGAAAACAATTGTAGTGCTATTTAATCTGATGACTTTTGGATTGTAAATTAATATCCCCCATAAATATTAAAAATGTATAAAGGGGGGAATTAATTGAATATCTTGTTAATTTAGTTATCATGATATTAATATTACGTGTTAAAGTGATTAAATATCTTTTTATCTTGACAATAAATTTAATATCTCATCATCATGAATACAAAATAAAAAGGCTTAGCTTAACTATTCTATAGAAGCATCTACAATAACACTCATGGTCTCTTAAAGCAACGAATGAGAGATCTTGTGCCAGTTAAACAAGCTTTGCTCCGAGATGTGAGAAAGAGATATGGATCCAAAGAAATCTGCAAGGTGACAGTTGACCAAGCCATAGGAGGCATGAGAAACGTCTTTGCTCTTTTTTACGATGCATCATTGTTGGATGCTAAGACTGTAGAAATTATTGTATTAAGGATTTTAGGGTATCACAATGAGAGATTACAACATCCCTGAATTGCAAGAGTATCTCCAGAAAGGGGAGAATGGCCATGAGCCTCTTCCTGAAGCTCTTTTCTGGTTACTCTGCACAGGCGATTTCCCATGTAATGTGATTTATTTCTATTTTTAGCTGAGCAAGAATTCGCTGATTTGCAATAAGAATGGAAACATAGAGGACAATTGGATTCGTAGACACAAAACTTCATTTTGAGTTTACCAAAATAAGCACATCCAATGACTATGTTATCTTAAACCCTATTGTATCTATAGAAAGATTCTCTTTTCCAACAAAATTATGATCAAGGGAAGATCTCTAAGCCCCAATATTGGGAGTACTTCTATGAAGATGCAATGGATTTGTTGGCCAAGATCCCAAGAGTGGCTGCACTCATTTACAGACATAAATATAAAGTATATGGATTATTACAATGTAGAATGGAGAAATCATCTCAGCTGATAACAACTTGGACTGGGCTGGTAATTATGCTCACATGCTTGGATACAATAAATTCGAAGTTAGAGAATGTTTGAGAGGATATTTAAGCATTCATGCTGATCATGAGGGAGGTAATGTGAGTGCCCATACAACGCATTTGGTTGGTTCAGCTTTGGCAGACCCATACTTGTCATATTCTGCTGGTGTCAATGGTTTGGCTGGTCCCTTACATGGTCTCGCTAATTAAGAAGTCCTCAAATGGCTATTAGAAATGAGAGTATTTCAATAGATTAATTATTTAATAGGATGAATTGGGCGAAAACATCTCAAACGAGAAAATTCAAGATTATGTGCTTACTACGATCAGAGAGGGCAAAGTTATTCCAGGATATGGACATGCTGTTTTAAGATACACCGATCCACGTTTCATCCATCAAAAAGAGTTTGCAGCCAGACATATTAAAAATGACCCACTAGTTGATTTAGTTAGACAATGCTATCATGTTATCCCACCTGTTTTGAAAACTATTGGAAAGATCTAAAACCCATGGCCGTATTTATATATTTATTATCACAGAAATGTCGATGCACACTCTGGAGTCTTGCTCTATCATTATGGAATGAGAGAGTTCTAATATTACACTGTCGTATTCGCAGTCTCAAGAGCATTAGGATGCATGGCTAATCTTATTTGGTCCAGAGCATTTGGATTACCAATTGAAAGACCAGGATCCATTACTATGAGATGGATTGAAGAGAAGTATGGTGAAAACTAAAACTCTAAATGAGAATAACCCTTTCATCATTAAATATAATATTAAAACATTTCTCTTTAAATCTTAGTAACACACTTAACAGATATCATAACTAAGAATCCAAAATCTTCCTTACTCTCTTTATTTTTGAGGAAACAAAGCATTTTATAGTGTAATGAATTGGTTTACTTTTTTTGGTTCTACGGAATTTGTTCATTCTAAAATATACAATTAATTTGTACCTGATAATTACATTATCGTAGTTATTATGTGGGTTATAATGCTTAAATAAATGCATCTTTTCGAATCTATTAAACACAACATCGTTATATTAATAGTGATGATTCTAATCATAAATAAAATTCATACCTCTGGAGTGTTGATTATTTAGAACTGGGACATCTAATTTAGAATGCTTACTTTAGTGCCTGTTTTAGTACTTTTTTTTCTGTTTGTGTGCCTCTACTGTTCTGAAAGTGATTGATCACTATGCGATCCTCTTTCTTCCTTCTTTTTTTATGGCGGAGGTTATTGAAATTGAGTAGGGGAAACTCTAGCAGATTTAGTATTAGCCTTAGAATTACTTGAGGGATTATTAGATAAATTATTAGATAGAGGATTCGAATAGGTGTTGGAACGATTGGATGTTTGTCTTATTGAATTCTATTATTGTTATTGATATTGAATTTGATCATCAATTTATCCTGATTGTTGTTGCTGATAACGAAAGGTGAGTTTAGCATGCATAGAACGAGCAGCAGTATAAAGATGGTGGTTTTTCTTTGCGAATGCTTGTGAACCACTGCTCTACTTGCTCAATTGATTGGTCTCCTCTTGTTTTGAATTAAGAGAGTCAAATTACTTACTTTAAGATTGTTCAGTAATCACTTGCAATTTTTCTTTATGTAAGTTTTCTAAGAATGCTTGCTTAAATTAGTACCTAGAGTTTCAGACATGAAGGGAAATCCTGCAGTTCTTAAGGTAGTCTTGTTCTATTGTTTTCTTAACTGATTGCTAAGTAATGGATCGACGGCTAGCTCCTCATAGAGTTGATCTTCCTCGCTGTCTGGATTCTCGCTTAATTGCTCAGGACTATATTTGTGCACGGATTGGGTTTTACTCAAATAGCTGGCGGATTGCTAGGTCTAATCTATGTAGATTTAATATATATTTATATCAAGAGTATAAATACTTTCACTGTATGGTAGTTGAGATGACATAGGGAAGTCTTCGGATGTCATTACTTCCTATGATAATTTCTGCTAATATTGTTTGGCTCGTTCCCCCACAATAAATAACATCGAAAGAGCCTTTGGTTCCTTATTCTTTCTGTCAATTTTATAGCGTTATTGTGGATGAGGGTAAATATGCTTCTCAATGACGTTTAGTTTTTTAGGATAATACTACAAGTATTGGCATTCAAATAACAAATGACCCTTGATTTTGCAATAATTGCATTCGAACATATTATGATTCTAGTAACAATTGTCCTTGAATAAACAAAAAATCTCATTGTCCTAAGGGTAGGTTTTAATGATTTCTAAGAAATCTGATCTTCTCAATTTTAACACTGTGGTCAATCCCTGACTATTGATTGAAATATAAGGAGGAATCCCACTTACGAATGAGAACTCTCCAAAAGTTTGTCCTTCCGATAATGTATGAAAGGTCCTCTTGGGTTTGCCTTGGAAATACCCCTAAAATTGAATCTTCACTTTCCCTTTCAAAATAAAGTAGAGACAGAAATCTTCAACTTAATGTTCCTATGTAATACTAGTTTGAATGTCTTACCTAGACAATATTCTCCTCGGGATTGTATTGTGCAATATCAAACCAGTAAATCAGTTGTTACTTCAAACTGGATGAGAACTTCTCGAACAATCTGATCTTATCGACCATCTTAGAACGAATAGAAACTTAGAGTTCTTCCTAAAGCCCTGGTGACAACTTCTTTGATAAAAGTTCTCTCGTCTTAGTTATGTCTTCCTAATCTTAGATAGACGATAGACATTACATCGACCACATATTCCAAATATGAATAACAGCGACATTACAACCCATAATCAATTCTTTTGTCTTTAATTCCATTCAAAAAGGAAGCAAGATGTTTCTCTTTCTCCTCTTCTAACTTCATAGCCGGTTTGATCCAGATGAAAATGGCAGAGGCCGTGTAAATCATAGTAAACGAGCTAACGATCATAAAACCTTGTAAGAGCAAAGCATTTGATTGAGTGACATCAATAGATATAGCTCCATTATGAGTCAATAAGGATACAGCCAATGTGAGTGAATAATTTAGGTCTTCCTCGGAGTCTAAGAGACAAGCAAATGTCATAATCAAGGCCACCCAAAGAATCAATATGTACATTATTAATTAAGTGGAATTGTATATGTTTTCAAAGCGTTCTGATTGTCTAACCAATTGCAATGCGATATAAGGAATGAGGAGGTATTTTATCTCATATTAGTATGGGAAGATTAAGACTATGGCTGACACTAGTCGACTCAAATCGAGTATGATTTTGGTTTGATCAACATATTCAAGATTAAACTTACCCTCACTCAGATGGAAGGGTCCTCGTTTAAAATAAATATCAGCTATAATTTGGATTAGTGCCAAACAGTGGGTAATGTAAGCAGGTATCTTGAAGCCTGGCTCTTTGGCTATGTGTATGGGGATGAATATGGAAGATGTGAGGATTATGGCTGAGGTCAAGGTGAAATAGCAGAAGGTGAACCACTTATACAGTTAGGGTTTGACTACATATAATTAAACGTATTTACCTTAGGTTGAATCGTCTATCAAAGTGATGTCTTTTAATTGGCTCCAATTGATGTTTGGTCTCATCTTCTGAATAAATTTGGTCACTATATTCTTCACGTGAATTGAATTGAGAGTGACAGATTTCATTTTATCCATCACTTCCGATTGCAACTAGAATAAATATTTCAATCTTACAGATTCGGAGTACTATGAATCCTGTGGGTCCAATACTGAAACATCCATCAATCTACTATCACTATTATAAACTCTTATTTTTTATTCAATTTGAAAAGGGTTCTTTTCAAGGCTGTTGTTCGAGTGCATGTTCGTATAGATTGTGGGTATTTTCATATCACTCCCACTGCCATCCACTGGCTGTTTGATTGATGAATTCTTAAATTTGTTGATCAACTCTGGCATATTCACACTTGAAGAAGACTGCTCCTCGTCTTCTTCTTGGATCGATTCACTATTCTGGTAACCCATGGTCCTTGATACTCGTCTTTGAGGAATGTTTTCAATCGGGTCAAGGTCTTAAAATTCTTCAAATTTCTTAGATAACTACATTATATATTAAAAATCATTCTTTAAAATGAAAACTCATTCTGTTTATCCTCTAATTGAGGACCCTCTCCCATTCCCACTTCTTAATGATACGTTCTTCAGTGAATATTCTCAAGATCCAAAACTTATAGGCAGCTTGAATCAAGAGATGCTGCATCTCAATCATAAGTGCTCCTACAAATGGCTAAATTAGCCAAGAAACGAGTGGAATTTTGAGAACGATATTAGAATGCTCGTCATAACATGGAACATGCATGGCATGATACCCAACCATTCCCTAAAACGACTTTTCAATATTGATATATTGCATCATGATTTAATAGTTGTTGGAACATAAGAGTGTCAACGTAGTATAGTTACTTCAATATTTTGTGAATCAAAAAATGAGTGGGAAGTCAAATTACAGAATGAATTAGGAAAATCTTTTATAAAAGTATAATCAGCATCACTGAATGCAATGCATATCATAGTCTTCGCTCATAAATCATTGATACCCAAAATAAGGAATGGTAAGTCTTACACTTTCTCTTAAGGTTTCATGGGAATTGTTGGTAATAAGGGAGGAATTGCAGTATCAATAAATATCAATGAAAAGATCTTCTTATTCATTAATAGTCATTTAGAAAGTGGGTAAAACTCTGAATCTAAAAGATAAACTTAATTTTCGAAATTGGAAACTCATTTTGAAAGCTAAGTGTCTTCTAACCATAATCATGTCTAGTATGATTATCTTATTTGGACTGGAGATTTCAATTCTAGAATCGATGACAGGATAATTCCTTAAACAATCAAAACTCACTCTGATTTTTTTGGATGGCTAGGAAAGGATTAAATGTATCTTAGTCGTCGTAATAAATTAAGTAATTTTAGTTTAATACTCAAGACTACTAATCTTAATTTTAAGAAGGAATGATCTTTTTTCCACCAACATACAAATTGCTATAATACTATAATTCTTGGGCTGTAGATTAAGATTTCAGAGTTCCAGGTTGGTGTGATAGAATTCTCTTTAAAGAAAATAAAAAAATGACGTTGCAATCCACCTAATAAAGTTTTCAAGAAATAACTTCTAAATTGAAACTTTAAAACTATGATGCCAACTTTGACCTCTTAGGTAGTGATCATCGACCTGTATTTGCTTAATTCACAATAGCACTTTGAAATATTTTAAAGTATTTTCTATTCATAAATATGACAAATATTCATTCAATAATAATACTCTCTTAAAAGAGCACCATAAGTCCAGGATTGTCAGCTAAGAAAGATCTTAATGATTGTGAATCCAAGAAAATAATCTCAGTATCTTCCACCGCCTCAACTATTGTAGAAGTTCTTCTGTTTCTAACAATGGAATCAATTTCTCCAAAGAACATTCCACTTGTCAAAGGATAAGTCTAATTAATAATGCATTCGATAATATACTTTTATTTCATTTATTGAAGATTTCTCTGATACCTCTGGAGTTTAGATACTTGGTTTTTATTATTCAAGCATTGCTAAATTGATGGGCAAAGAAAGTCTCTTCTTTTTCTAATCAATAATCTATTATTGTTATTTGTTATGATCACTTGTGGTGGATTCTTATCGATTAACCTTAACCGATTATCCTTCATATTACTGAACAACATAATCAGAAGGTAAAATAACTTGTGCCTTGCCAGAAACTACAAAAAATGCTACTGAAGCCATAACCCCATATTATTGAATCATAGAATGTTTTTAGAAAAATCGTTTCTGGTTCGATATCATTTCTAATTGAATCTTCTAATATGAGGTTAATTACGAAAAGAATTTATTTCTTTCCATGATTTATATCTATGAACGCACTACTTAAAGGTTCTCTAATTTCTGCATCACTTCCCCATATTAGAATATCCTCAAAAAGTCTGCCTTACTCAAAGTTATTAATTCGCATTAATTCATAGCAGTGGCATTGGCTCTTCTCTTATTTTAATTGAAGAAACATCCTTCACCAAAATAATCACCATAATGCATATATTTAACAAAAACAGGATTATCAGAGTGTATTTTGACAGTGCCTTTGCGAATTATATAAAACTCACTTCCAACCTCATCTTAAACACAGATATTTTAGTTCTATTCATAAGTGTTAATGGTTGAACTCTCAAAAATCTATCTTACTTAATGGATATTAGCATGTTTAAACAAATCTATGTTTTCAATCAAACTTAATTCTTAAATTGTATTTAATCTAGAATCTTCAGATGATTAAATTATAACAATTGTGTTTTCTAAGCCTACTCCTGGAACTCTTAATCCAGAATCAGGAGGGATATCCTTGGCTGCAGTATGAATTAATCTTAAATTTTCCTTAACTTCTGGTGGAAGTAAGGCCAACAATTTAGCAGGAGTGTGAATAGGAGGTACACCAGCTTCATGCAAGATGAGAGAATTCTTCCATTTATCTTCACTCATCAAAAAATTGTACCTTGATTCTGAAATGACTCCTTTCTCAAAAATTGCTTTTAATCCATTTGGTTCATAAAATGTGTCCCCACTGAAATAGATTGATTTACCACCTAATCGTACTGTAAAGGACAAACAAGGAATACTATGGAGTGAATAGTGAAATTCAAATGAGGCTCCGTTTATTTTTAAAGGATTTCCTACTATAACTCTCTCAAAATTAAAAAGGGATTCAATATAATCGACTGAAAATCCAGTCATTGCAGCATATTTCCTAACAAAACTCTCTTTAATTGTGGCAGTACTAATTAATACTGTTTTTTCAGACTCTAATAGTTTTTAAAATGTTCCTGCATCATGATCAGCATGATTATGAGATATAATTACCCACTTCACCAATCTACTTGGTATTCCATTCTTCCTCAAGAGAAGTGTTGTGAAAGGAGGTGGATCTAGCATTACTCCCAAACCATTTATCCAAAAGATGTAACCTGATACAGAACCCTTTGGATCAAATCCATGTGAACAACCCAAATACTGTCACTCCAAAAGTAGGAGGAGTGAATGTCTATTCAAAGTAATGCTCAACATATTATTAATCATTGGGATTACTGAACAACCCATACTTTATATATGCATTAGATTTAACATCATCAATCATGATTTCCACTTTGTTTTTCATCTTAGCTATCTATTTTCCATTTTCAAATATCAAAAATTTCTAATCTACTTTCTTTACTATCACATCCTAACCTAAATTGACTTGATTTTGTTCATCAAAAATTACAAAATTGATCAATAAGTCTACAGTCAAGGGTTCACTAGGATTAAAGGGATTTTTTGCAAAATGTCCTAATTCCTTCACTATGTCTGGTTTGCCATTATAATCGTTGCTAAAATCTTAATCAAATTTGGATAAATCTTTTGGTCCAAGTAATGTTTCCTGAAATATTGCTCTGATTGCTTCTTCCCCTTCCTTATCAGTAATTAGAGTCACTCTCCTTCTCTTTACAAAAAAACTGAAATAAGCTGGGAATTCAAATTCAGCAACAGACAAACAAAATCTTTTATCAAATCGGTGAGAGGGCACAATAAATATACCTGGCACATCTAAACCTAAGTTGATACTGTCTTTCAAAGTTTCAGGAACCATACTGAACTGTATGGCACCTGCTTTAGTCATTATAACACTCCCTCCTCTGGGCAGTTTAATTTTGTTTGATATGTCACTCTCAGAAAACTACGACTCTGATTTTAGAAGTATTGGGTTTTTTATTTGATTCGATTATCTGGCATCCTCGCTTTGACTCTCATTCTCAGTACCATCATCATGATGGGAACTAGTCATAGAAGCATATTCAAGCACTTCTTACTCATTAACAAAATGACAAGCCATTTTAATCTGATAAAAATTATTAATCTGAACACAATCTAAGTAATATAAATGATTTCATTAGTTTTTTAGAATATCTTTATAAGTGTCTAATTTATATATTTATTAAAAAGGGATTATAAACTTATTATGAATTAATCATAAGAATTTTAAGTTTAGAAGTTTTTTGAGCCGTCTCAAGATGTCATCAAAATGATTGCCTAAAATGAATTCCTCTACATTGCATATGCGAATGAGATTATTGTGCTGTCACTTAAGCGTTTAACTCAAAGAAAGGACATTATTAAAAAAAAAATTAGCATTCCTAAATTTCAAACATTTGATGCTCTAACTAGTGCTTTTAATGACAACGAGCAAACTAAGTTTATTGCATTAGCTTATCGTGAGGGTTCGTATCCCATATTGTATAGCAGCAATCTTGAAAAAAGAATTATTTCACTTAATTCTGAATAGCCATAAATAAAGGATTTCTATGTTATGTAAGAATAAGTGGTTGTATTGTGGAATAATGGCGCTTTGGTTACAGACCAATAATTCATGTTTGATAACGTGAAAGCAATTGCATGTTGGAATAACAATTTGGCTGTGTATAGAAATAATGAACTCTTGATTGGAAATATAAAATTAACTTTGAATTAGGAGTATAAGGATGAAATGATGTATTCACGTTCTATTTTAGTTTTATACAATTCCTCTTCAATTCTAATTTATGATGACAAAAGCACATTTGAAATCCCATTTCCTGGAGCCTTACAAATAGAAATTATTGATGAAAACACCCTATATATATTATGTGGAACTTAAATACAGAGTCTAAAAATTAGAACCTAGGAAAAACAGATAAAACTGTAAATGTCCTTCATGAGTAAGTTTTATCCAATCAATGAGTAAGACTTCTTATTCAAGAATGGTAAAATCTTGATCAATAATAAATGGAGCACTAGAAATAGAGTGATTTCGGTGTGCAAATCATACAACCAAGTCTTAGAATTTGCTTGTCTCAAAGAACAAGTCGGATAATCAATAAATTGTGTCATTTTGGAAAAGGATCCACAAGAAGTTTTCAGACTCATGATTCAACCTTAATTGAGTAGCAATTTTTAGTAACCACTTGACATCAATGATTTCAAAATCTATTACTATTATGCCAAAAAGGAATTTATGTGTCTAGAAATAGCAAAACAATTATATGAAAAAAAAAGGAAAGCTTAGGATTTATAGCTGCAATCGTATAAATTTGAAGACTTATAAAAATCAACTAGCAGAGCTATTTTAAATTTATTGATGTTGATGGAATAACATGAAGTCTACAAAGACTTTTATAATCATGTCTATATTACTTATCTTGAGTCAATCAAACCAACCAACGATAAAATTAAAATTTAGATTGCTGCAGTCAAAAATAAGTTTGTACCTAGTCTCTTGAGAAAAGAGGATGTTTGTCCAATCTGTAAACAATAATTAATAACATGGGTTACATGTCCAACTCATCGATTTATTAGATGTTAAACCACACTTGAACCAGTATATTAATAATAACTTTATGTTTGCAAAGGCTGTGACTTGCAATCTGTAGAGTCCATTAAGGTTTGTCCAGTGTGTGGTTGTGAGATGAAAAGATTATTAAAATTATGAATATAATTAACTAATACATTAATAATATAAGTAAGAATTTCATCAGACTTAAAATTTATAATCAACATAAAAATAATTTTTATTGAATTGATATTTAAGAATATAAAAATATATATAATACAATACAGACTTTCCAGTATTGAGTGGTATATGGGGTTTGATAGTTAATTATGCTAGTAGTACAATTATTATGTATCTACATAAAAATTTTCATTTTAAGTTTAATCATAATTAAACATTAAGAGCTAATAGATTGTTTTTATGTTATTATTCAATAAGCGGATGTTTAAATTCTGTTTTAAATCAATGTAAAATTTATTGATCTACAGTTGCTGTCCTATTGTAATTTATAGTGAACAATCTAAGAAATTTGAGATCACTATTTTTTTGAATTTGAGACTTAGTTTTTATTTTTTATCGAGTGAGTAGTTGTCTTTGTAATGTTAGAAGGAATGATATTGATAATTTTGATATGTTTTAGAGTTTATATGATATCAAATGATAATATTGAGCTCTAAAAATAGTATTGAAATAATGATGATTAACTAAATAAAAAATGCGTCACTTTAATATAAGTTTAAAAGATAATACGCATGTTAATAGGCACTAATTAAGGAAATTTATCAATTTATGATCTAATTTATAAATATCCAGCAAATGCACTCTCTTCACGTTAAGCTTAGTGATGAACCAGAACTCTCAGCAGTATGTTCAGCTTTACTTCTTGCATTCATTGAAAACTCCAGAGTATTGAGATACTGTTCTGGAGGTGGAGACTATACAAACACCCAAAATGATTTCGGAGATCATCAATTAGAAATGGATGTACAATGCGAATTGAATGTCAATACAGAATTGAAGAAAACAGGATTTGTTAGCCACACCGCAAGTGAAGAAACCCCAGAAGTAAAAATGAATTCTAATTTTTTATAGATGAAGCTACTTTCTGAAGGTGGAAAGTATATAGTGACATTTGATCCATTGGACGGAAGTTCAATTATAGGAACCAACTTTGCAGTGGGCACAATAGTTGCCATTTGGAAATCCGATGAAAAACTATTAATTGGAAAAAAAGGTAGAGACATGGTTTCTGCTTGTTGTTGTTTATATGGAAGCAGAACAAACGTTGTGTTCTGGAATGAGAAGGAATAGAAGGTCTAAGAATACACATTATTTGGTATGGCATTAATTTTGATTATGTAGATGGCGATAAGTAGGGACATTGGGAATTGACTAAGGATAATATTAAGATCAAGCCAAAAGGCAAGTTGTTCAGTCCAGGAAACACAAGATGCATAGCTGATCACATCCCCTACAGAGAAGTCGTAGATTATTGGATTCATAATGGCTACACATTGAGATATTCAGGTGGAATGGCTCCAGATATTTGCTAGATCTTCTTGAAAGAAGTAGGAGTTTTCTCATGTTTCGGTGATGCCAAATATCCATCGAAATTGAGATATCTTTATGAGTGTGCCCCACTCTCCTTCTTAACCGAGAAGGCCGACGGAAAGTCTTTCAATGGTAAACATTCTGTGCTTGACACTGAAATTACAGGATATCAATAGAAGAGTGAAATCATTGTGGGAAGTGCAGATGAGATCGAATTTTTCAAGAGTATCTGGATTAAGCATGGACTTTTAAAAGAATGATGTGTTTATTGAATATTTTAAATTATCAATAATAAATTCTAATCAATTCATTCAATTCTTATATAAGTTAAGGATCTTTCACTTTCAAAAAGTTAACTATATTGATCTCATCAAATAATTGTTTCCGAGAATATAACGCAGATTAATTGCTTATTCCACTATTAACTATTTATTGTTATTCAAATCTTTGCTGACTTGGAGTTTTCTTTAATTATTATAGTTTATTGATTGGCATTTCATTATGTAATTTTTCGCTGCTTTAACTACGGTTTACTAATTAATCTCCTGATTTATCATTCTTGCTTCCTCCTGCACTCACTTATCTCAAGATTCTTGAAGAGCTCTTTGAATCCTTAGAAACAGAATACGATCTCTGTTGTTAAGGTTGTCTCTTGTCTAATTCATATTGAATAAACTGGTTTAAGGGACACTTGACATATTTCATTAAGAACTCAGTATTCATCAAAGACAAGTTGAGTTAGTTGATGCATCTTTCATAATCATTTGGATTTAACTAAGGCACTAGATCAATAGTGTTTTATAATAATACCAAATTCTAGAAGCAACTAGAATGACTTCTCTTATGCTTGTTAAACTTAAGGAGTAGCAGCTAGCAGAATCAGACAATCATCCAGATCAAGTTTGCTTAGATTGTATGTAGGATTCAAATTGTAATAGAGATGATTTAAGCACAAAGTCAAAACTTGATCAGTATTAAGATATACAGTGAATTCCAATTTTTGTTAATCAAATTTATTTAGATCTATGTTTTAGTGCATAATCATATACCATTGAATTCACACAAGAGAATTTTATTCCCTTTGCTGGCTACTAAATTGACTAACTTCAATGGTTCTAGGCCGAATTGTGAAAGTTACAATTAGAAGTAAAGCGCGATGATTCTCAGATTCAATTCAGGATCAATATCTTCCAATTTAAGATAAATTTTCAAGACTTTATCTTCCATCTTGGCCACTAATTTCCATGTGAAATCTGAAAATTTAAACTATTAGGTTTCTTTGTTGATTATGGATGATAGATTCGATAACTTCCAATTAATACTAGGATGAGTTTGATAATTGATCTTCTTTGCTAACACCGTTTGTTTTTATTAAGTAATAATTTAAACAATGTCTTGGCAATTCCTTATCTTTTATACTATTTACAGGAGTTCAGGATTGTTCTTTTTGCGATAGTGTTTTAATGCTCTTTCTAATATCTCTTCAATGACTTTCTAGTTGATCTTGTTGAGATCAATTGGATTGGATTAATATATCAAAAGTAAATTTCTTGCTGTAAAGTTCATACACACATTCAACATCTGATACCATACTTCTTGGGAATCCTGAATTAAATTAGATTATTACTTCGCATGCTTTCAACTTTTTGAATGCCTCATTTAAAAACAAAATGCAATTTTAAACACTTACTCTGTCCAAAATGAGATCGCGAATGACGGTCTCTTAAAAGAATTCCATCTACAAATGATCTCCTAACCATAATAGTCTTTGCAGAGTTTAATCAGTGTATTTTCGCTGAATATCCAGCTAATTGTTGAGGAACTATTGGAAAACTGAGAAAGCTTCCATCGTTAACCATTTTGGCATTGTGGCAGTATACACCTTTTCATAAGATTAATCTGTTTACAAGCCCTTTTTTCTCAGTTTGGAGAGTCATGCTCAAACACTTGCTAGCTTCAATGTAATGAGTTTATCCTTCTACTACAAAGCAGACGAATTCAGACATATATATTCGTTTATTTATTATATATAAAATAATTTCAAAAATTGTTTTAATTTCCTTTGCAATGAATAATTGATACAATAAAATAAAATGCATCCTCCTAGATGTTGAGATGATCCAGTAATACCATTGAATCCAATTTGTATATTTTTGGTTGAGAATTCATAATTTCATTTGATTTAATATTTTTAGTATTACTAATTCAATCAACACTAAGAGATGATGAAATATTTCTGAGGTTCTGATTTAATAATAATCTATTTTCTCTATTGTTTTATAATCACGAATTTTTAACTACTTGTCTTGCTATTTCAAATAATTTGCTTAATCCCCATTCTGTATTCTACTTATAGATATATTTAATCCATCTCTTTATCTCATATTTTTCATGCAAAATTTGAGTCAAGTAATTAAATTCATGATTTTTGTTCATAATATTAGGACATTTCAATTTGAATAGTTTAATACCCTACCCCAACAAGAATGAGTATCTGTCAAAAAATAGTGATGAATATATCTTGTTTTCCTTGACCTAATAATAGTGATATATTAATTATATTTTATTTTCTAATAAATTGATGCAAGAAAAGCTTAATCAATAATAAGACAATGTGCAAAACACTATCAAGTCATTGCAGGATAAGATCTAAAATATTGAGATTTGATAGAGAGGGGAAGTGATTGCATCATCATATAGTATGGATCACATAGTATAAAGATGAATAAAGCAAGCGGTAATTGGTGTGTTTATATTCTATATAGAGATGCTTCCTAAGAAATTCAGAAATTTGATAGGCTATAAAGTACAATCCTAACAAAAGCAAAGTTAATCCACAGATCTCACTGTGATTGATGAAAGTCTTTTGATATTGGAACAAAAACTCATTTAGAAATGTGCATTAAAGGCTTAGCCTAAAAGCATGCGTGGAAAGCCTAGAGCCAAGATTGAAGTAGATTTACGTAACATCAGGGGATTCCTGGGCAAGAAGGAACAAAAATAGCCAGAATGCATTCTTGCTTAGATGATGGAGGATAAATCTGTTGTATTTGAGGACGACATATTTACAGGCGATTATTTGGTGAGACAACCGATTAAGCATGGATTTTTCAATTTAACTGATGGTTACAATATGCAAGATGTGATAGAAGATCTATACAAACTAACTCTATATGGATTGAGTTGCAAATTGGAAGTCAAAAATGTCTCTGATTACTATTGTATATTAGTAATTCCAGATATCTTCCAAAGAGTGCAAGTGAAAATGCTGGTCGATATGATAATAAGACAATTGGGATTCAAAGGCATCTATCTACATTTGGAATCTGTCTTATCAAGTTTCGGAGCTAATCTTTAGTAGTGTTGTGTAGTGGATATCGGATATGAGAAGATCAACATTACTTGTGTAGATGATGGAGTCATTTTGCCAGGAACATATGTGAGAAAGAATTTCGGAAGTAAGGACATCGATTTAGTACTGATGAGGCAAGTTACAAAAAGAAATGCTTGTGATTAGGCTGTTCAATTGTAAAGCAACAATTATGGAGATCTACTCTAAATGGAAAAACTCAAAGAAAAGGCTTGCCAATTGACATAAAAGGAGGATAAACTCAATTACAATTATGAACTTCATTGTTTAAGAAATTAAAAGGAAAAGAGGTTCTTTGTATAACACAATGATGGGTTGTACATCTCTGCAAATACACTGTTTGAATCAGAACCATTTAATGAAATCAGAAAACAAGATATGCATGAATGTTTTGATTTTACAGGACGTCTTTTTGAAATGTAATATGATCCCGAAGACAATTTTGAAGAACTTAGTGGAGGAATTCAGTTGTGTTGGTATTGGGGCTCAAAAGAAAAAGAATAATAATATTTCATAGAAGGAAATCAGATGTTGAATCCTAATTATATGATCCCTCTAGATCATATGATTGCTTACTCCATTGCCTAAGTGTAGGATCCAGAAATCAGACAGAAATTAGCCAACAACATTCTGTTTACAGGAGGAGGAGCCCATCTCATTGATCTTGTGGATGAAGTAGAAGCCTTATTGATTGAAAAGTTCTAAGTAATGGAACTCAATGAGATTGAAAGAGTAGAAGTGAAAACAATCATAAGAGATGTTAGGCCTATCAATATGGCATGGGTTGGAGCAACTGTCTTACCCAAAACAGAAAGTGTCAGTGAATTATGGATTACAGGGTCTAGATGGCTAGGTAATTTGGAACCTCAGAAGGATGAATTGGAAGATATGATCAATTAATTTGATGGAGATGTTTAATAGTTGGAAAAAAAACTAATTGCTTTTGCAAAAAAAGACAAAGAAAAAGATCGAAGTTGTGAATACGGACTTAAACATCTGAAAGAGAAGATTCCCTTTATTTGGTGATTTGTTTAATTATTTATATTTAAATGCAATCAATCATATCAATCAGAATCTTCAAACAAAGCTCTCTGCATTCTTTAATTCCTTTGCTAAGTAGTTGTTGGTTTAGGTGCCTCAGGTTTCTTAGCTGGTTCAGGTGGTTTGACTTGTTACTATTAAATAGTAGGTCTTTAAGGTGGCTTCAGATCTTCTTCAGAGTCATCTTCAAACATGTTCTTCTTCATTTATGGCTTCGATTGAGGAGGGGCAACTTATTATTGCTATTACACAGAAGGTCTCGGTTGTCAACTATAATAATGAGATCTTACTCAACTCTCTATCCTGGCATAGGCAATTTAGGAACTGCATCTTCTTCTTCATCACTAAACATATTCTTTCTTTGTGGCTTAGCTATTGTGGGAGTGATTGCTGCTTAAACAGTTGTTGTCTAAGTGTTTGATTTACCTAAGATACTTAATTATTGCTTACCTCCAAAGCCTGGAAGATTACTTATCTAAACGGGCTATTGTTTCTCTTTCTTACCTCCTCCTCCAAGAGGGTCATTAAAGAAGTTTGGTAATCCTCTAAATCAAATAAGTGAATGAATTACTTTTGTTCGAATTCTTTTCCAATATTCTTTTTTCCTAATGGGTCTTATTATTAGGCTGGTTTATTCGAACTTAGACTTGGTAGCTATTGGGTAGGTTGACTGATTGTCACTTGGATATCCTTCTTTTCAGTTTTCACTTCCAAAGTTATTGGAACCTCAAAATCGGATTATTTACTCAATTTAATAGACTCTCTATATGATGTTCTATCGATGACTACTTCAGCCTTTTGAGCTTATTAGGTTCTCTCCTTTATAACAAAAGCTGGTTTAGTGGATTTCTTAGTAGAATCATCATCATCGAAGTCAAGTGCCTATCTTCCTCTAGCCTTCTTCTTCTATACAATAGGTCTTTCTGCTTATTGCTCAACAATTTTAGACTCGTGTTCCTTTTCATTTTTTTTAATATCCTTCATTGTGACTTATTCTCCAGGTGGTTTCATAAACATGTTCAAATTCAATCTATTTTGTAATTATTAAATGGAAGGTCGAACTTAAGGTTCTTCAGTTGGAACTGCAAGTTATTCTTCTTGTTTTACTGGAACTTGAGGCTGCTTTTTCTTTTCATCATCTGAATCTTCAAAAGCATTTCTTGCTGGTGTAAATTTAGGAGGAGGCACTTATTTTGGTTATTCTTGTTTTGGTTGTTATTGTTGTGAATAAATTGCAGCAATCTTGTCTGCATTTGCTTTTTAAAGATTCTCTTCTTCTGCCTCATCAAATAGTTATTTTTTTGGAGGAGGCTTAACACTTTGAACTCTGGGTTACACACTGAAATCAGGTTCTTCTTCTTCCTTTATGACAACAGCTGCTGGTTTATAATTTTAATCCTGTTTTGCAACTCCATCTGTCAGTAGGTTGTTGAATTTATTTTTGTTTGTGGTTGTAGATTTAAATAAACCACCATCATTATCATCGTCATCATCCTCGTCAAACAAACTCATCATCTTATCTTTTTCTTTTGCATATGTAGGTGCTCCAATTACACTGGGGGGTTAAAATACTTTTATTGGTTATTGTGGATTTCTTTATTCAGGAAGAGGTGGTTATTCCTATTAATACTATTATTAAGTGTTGTAAATTGGCTATTGCTACTGTTACTGCTGTATAGTAGGAGGAATTTGCTCTCTCTTTTGTGAAATTAAACTATTTAGTTAATCTTAGAGAGTTTAAGGAGGTTGTTATTGCACTACTGGATTTTACACTTAAGGTTATGCGTATTAAAATTGTTGAGTAGAAGGAGGCAGAGGAGGAGGGGGAGGAGCATCAACCATTGTTGGTCTTTGTGTTTGAGGAGGAGGCATTGGTTGTTATCCTTATTGTGGTTATTGATATGGAGGTGCAAATGCTTGGTTAAAGGCTTCCTTTTATTGCTGGTCGGCAAATCCTAATGCTGAATTCATCATAGAATTGCCTAGAGCAGAGTTAGTGCGCGTGATGAATTAATTGTTATCTCCACCATATGAGATTTAAGATTGACCTTACATGATTGATTATCTAATCTGCTATTGAGGCTAAGGTTGAGCCTATTGAGGCTACTAATTGGCAAAGGCTTGTTGTTAAGGTTGTGCTTCCGATTACCTGTATACAGGGGCAGGAGCTGTTTGACGGACTGGCTCTTGAATGGGAGCTTCATCAAAGTCATCGAAAAGACCTAAGTGTGGTGTGGAATAATACCAATAAATTTGTTATTGTTGAATTGGGGAGTACCAAACATGGCAGGCAACTTAACAGACTTACTTACAGTACCGCTGGTGGTGGCTGCAGAGAAGACGGAGATTGACTTATCATCTCTGTCATCAAATATGTCATCTAGGAAATTTGATAAAATTGTTTACCATCTTGTGCCATCTATTACAAATCAAGAGATTGTAATGCTATGCCTAAGGCCTTGGTGTACTTCTGAGCAGTTGTGAGGCCTTCGTCTTTGTTCTAGGGTGGTGCTGCCTTCGGAGGAGCTTCTTGTGGAGGGGCCATTCTCTTTAATGATCTTTAAACAAAATACTTGTTCAGTAAAGCGACTATCGCTCAAAGTTAGAAATCTATTGAAGGCCTGGTTGATTTGAGCATGGATAGAGTTGGCCTAGTGTTGAACTGATCGGATATCGGATGACACAGCTCCGAACTTTGTAAGCAGATTGGTACTCATCTGATCTAATTTATTGAAGGTCTAAAGTAAGTTAAGCTAATATAACATACTCTGTTATCTTGATCTAGGGTCCATTGATTGATTTGACTTCGCAATGTTGTCAAGTCACCCATTTTAATTAAAAATTATATAACAATACATTGAATATTCTCAATCTAGATCCACATAATCATAATTATTCAGTATCTTCATTAATTACACTAAGAATTAAAGCACCAAAAATCTTCTGGAACTTTATAGAGTCTAACTTAAACTTTTAAATCTATATACAAATTAAATATCAACAGAATCTACATACTCTATAAAAAGATGAAAATAGAACTTTTTAAAAGAATCTGGTTAATTGCATGATAGACTTCAGCCTAGGAAAATTTGAAGGATATCATCTTTATAGAGAATTAGAAAATGAAATATAATGTTAAATGATAATCAATTAAGATGTAATAACCTATAATGTTGCCATTTTGAAAAATAGTTTTATAAATCAATTAATGAAAATTATAAGTGCTAAATAGTGGAATTGATTTAGAACAAATGAGAAAGAAACTAATAAAAATTAAATTAAATTGGAGAGGGATAGAAAGTAGATGAACAGAACTTGGAAATAAAATTCAAAAAACAATTATATTTCAATAATCGAAATTGGAAGTATTTTTATTAAAATTTAATTGGAATTTATAAGTCTTGATATATTAAGAATCTCGTATCAATATTATGTTAAAACAAGTATTAATGATCTAATAAATTAATTGAATACTCTACAAAGCATGAAATATATACTCAAAAAAAAGATTGCCGTTTTGAAAATTATAAATATTTCCCTAAGTTAATTCTAAAATAGGCATATTGATGTCAAATATCATAAAAATCCAATCTGTATGTAATTATCATAACTGCAGTTAGTAGCCTCACTTCTCCTAATTAATTTAATAAGGGATTTAATGTAGATAATTAGTTATTTAGGATTGGAATTAGCAGTTTATATAAAATATTTATGAGCCGAAGTTAGTATTTTAAAGAAGATAATTTAATTCCTCAATTTAGAGCATGTATCGTTATTGAGTCATTTATGGGATGAAATTAATATAAATTATCTTTTTACGAGATAAGCTTGATTGAGTAATGTCAAAAATGAAAATTATTTTTTTTGACTTCTATTGTAACTTTTGTATTTGTTGTTTTTCAGATTAAATATTTTACTTTTAATTTTTGAGTGCGTCTTTTATATAATTAAATAATGTTTTTTTTTCTTAGAAATTACATAGATATTCTTGGTATATATAATACAAAATTTGTTTATTCTTGAAGAATTTATATAATTATTTATTCACATACGTATTTCGATGTTCAAATATCAAAAAAGAGAAGCATAATTCTGCAAGAATACTTCCAGAAATTTGTTCACAAAGCTGGATTATTTTGCTTAGCGTCCCTAATTCTAAGTTTTAAAAAAGACTTCATTTAGTACAGCTTTTGGTTACTTACTCACGATTATGCTATCAACGATTTGTGTATTCTATCTATATATATAAATGGATGAACTCACAAAGTAATCTAATCCGTAAGTCATCATTTCAGATAATCAACCCCTAAACACTCCAGTATGAACAATTTATTTATATAAAATATAGGTAATATACTTATCCAGAAGCAACTTCACTTTTGTAATTAGTATTACAAATGCTCTCATACAATCTTTCGATAAAAATTTGAAATATTATAATCTGACTGTCAATCAATGTCACAGATAAAGAAGCTATGACGAAGTAAACAGTAAGGCGAATGTCACATTAGAGTATGATATATCATAATAAAAAGGTGTTTTAATTACATGATAGAACCATGTAATTTGGAGAGGCATTTTGTAACAGATTTGTAAAAAACTTATTTCCAGAAGTTTAAATTATCAACTATGTATTGTCTAAATCCTGAATAATGGGATCAACGACCAATAGTAATATATCAATTTAATTTTAGTAACTTTAAGGTCATTCATAAAGTGATAACTTTTAATTTATAACGATTAACGTAAATCTCTGCAAAAACAGTACTTCTTACAAGGAATGCAGCCCAATGGAAGAAATTTAAAAGGGACTTGTAAGTTCTTACTATGCAATATATATGTCGGATGTCCTAATTAAAATGTAAAATCCTGGAAGACCCTACGATGATGTAATCACAATTTAAAATACTTAATTTTCTTACGCCAAATCCCAACAACTGCATTCTCTGTTTAAGATAGCCAACACTTAAACTGATGTTGGTTTGATCAATAAAGATGTGTAAGTTGATGAAACTATTTTATAATCTGCAACAAAAGAATACTCTGAGTCATATAATGGATACTATTTAGCTAACAATATTCTATATTTAGATTAAAGGGAAACCATATACTACAGATCGTATATTAAACTGCAAACAATTTTGGGTAATGTCGGTGGTTTGTGGTAGATCATCTCTTTAGTGATTTCAGCTTTCTTTGGACCTATCTTATTTACATACATGAATCTATCACTTGTAAGCAAGTTCTTCAGAATCGAAGGCAATCAAACTAAGAATTTATTTGATAAAAAGATAATAAAGGATGATGAAATAAAGGAGATTAACATGATGGCTTCAGATTAATAAACTAAGAATTTATCAATAATTCAAAACAGTGATCAAACTAAATTAAAATAGTATCTTAAGAAAAAGAAGAATCCTATAAGTATCTCTTTTAAGGATGCATTGCTGATGCATCTGGGATGCTTAGGGAACAATTAAAAAATATATCGATTTGCTATTTAAAAGATAATGATGAAATTGGATGTGGCATACATCATTAAAAAATTGCATGAAATTGATAAACTCAAAAGTATTTTGATGACAAATGAATAGGTAAAGCTCTTTAATTATATTCCTAAACCATTAATACCAACGGATATCTTTGATATTGGATTTAAAAAATAATACACTCCTAATTCTAATTAAGCAGAATCTATCTCCATTTTTGAAGAGGAGAAAACGGAAATTTAAAAGTTGGAGGATTCATTCCATGCTTATTAGAAAATTAGATAAAAAGATAATCCATCTGATCTAGATTAAACTATTATAGGCCAGATGGATGAAGAAATTAAAGCCTATTTCGAATGTATGATGAAGAAATAAAGTGGACTTATGTATCCTTTTTCTCCGAGATGTGATTCAATACCTTAAAGTCAAAGAGAGGAGGAAAATCTAATAATAAATTAAGAACCGTAAGCAGGAAAAGTATTAACAAGAAAGAAATGATATATCAATATAATTCAATATTACATCATTATTATTTTCTACAGATTTCAATTATGAATCAAATTATAGAATTTTGTGGATACATATATATACACTAATTAATCAAAAAAGAAATAATTAATATTTATTGAATTAGAAAGTAATCAAAATGATTAGATAATAATCTTGAAAAACAGAATATTCAAATTAGCTTAATTTTAAGGAATCATTATCTCTGATAAATATTTATATATTTCATTATGTTTTGTAAAATAGGTATGCTGTTTTATCAATGTAAAAGTAGATAAATCTTCTTTTTTCATGAATGGAATGACATCCAAAATTTTTACCAAAAAATACATGCCAATAGGGTTCAAAATTAGTATCCAGATACTTCTTTAGATGCTCTGCCATCTTAATATAAGTTATGAAACTGTTACCTTTTATCCATCTTTAGCTTCATATGTTTTCAAACAACTTTGTGTTTCATTTATTGCTCCTTCTAGAATATCATCAGGACAATCAGGTGGCCACAACACTCTAGCACCCAAGTACATCCTATATTATGCTGTTGTTTGAGATGACATTTTTATTATTTAATTAATTAATTAAAAATATATTCATAGAAAACACAATTATTCAAATTTTGAAACCTTAAAAGTAAAAACTTATTCAATCACATTCTGAAATAATAGATTAAATAAGAATAACCTTAGAATTCTTAGAAGTACTATATAATCGTTGGCTTAATAACGATTGGGTTAAATTTTGCCAATTTATTTAAAGTTAAATTTACTTAAAATGAAACATAAATACTCATCATTCCCTTCCCAATACCAAGGATATTAGATCTCCAGCCAAAACTTCCTGGAAAATATTAATTAATTACTTCTACGAAAACAGAACAATCATTGTTTTGAGTATCATTTTTTGATAAGGTATAAATATGATTGTCGAATGAAGCAAAGATTGATCTATCAAAACCACAACTATATGATTTGAATTTCTTTTATGGCAAGATGCTATATTTATTAATCTTTTATACTTACTCTATTTGGTTTCTCTTGCAAGATTTAGCTGAATTTTTATTACTTACAGATTGTCCACATTAATTATATTTGTTGTAACCCCAAGAAAGGTATTGTTCGCTTTAATTACTCTTACAAAACACTCTTACTACACAATGATAAGCACCTATTTAAAAATCTCTAAAATTATAAGAACATAATTGTTTACTTAATTTCATATTCGTTCTCAATATTAATCCTAATTGGATCTAATAAATGAATGATAATCTAGTCATCGAGCTCTGGGCATTTCAGAAACCCAAAGACTTCATGTTCGTTACACCCCCACATATAAAGGTTGTTTTCTAAGGAAAGTGCTGCAAAACAAGAATATCCTGCCTAGATTTACTTAGCCTTTAGATTTATCTTTCTAGGGACCAATTAACTATTAGTTTAATCAGCACATTATAAATTAATGGCCTCTTTCTAAGCATTTAGCACCTTGATAATATTGTCCCCAAATAAGTTTTGCATCTTACCCCAAGTATACACGTCCCCTAAATCAGATCGGCATATTGATATTTCTTGTCCTGCAGATATATCAACTACAAATATTTAATTATTCTTGAAATAAGAGATTTGTTAAGGCTACATAGAACTAATGGTCATTCCTAATTGATAATATTATTTGATGTTTACCATTTCCTAATTAACCGTGCTTATTGTATCCCCAAGAAAGTACATTGCCATCCACAGTAAGTGCCAATGAATGGTATAATCCACAGGCTATTTTACTAATTGCTCTATCTGTGTTAATGTGATAAGGGGGACTAAGATCAAAATCTTTAATTGGATCTACATCGAAATGTTAAGTAATGTTTTCATCATAGAAATTAAGTATGCTACCCCATTAACAGGCCTGGAATCTAGTACTCACCAGTGCCACTGTACTAACACTCATATAAACACATACTCTTTTTTGATAGATACATTCCTTATTTATTATTTCTCCAGCAAAACCAAACTATAATCTTCAATTATAAGATAACTTTTATCTTCCTCATTTACAATCTATTTTATTTAGAATAGTTCTAAAAATTGATTTGAATCCTCGATTAGGACAGAACTAATAGTCCCTTACAGATAGAGAGAAAGAGGCTCAGAATATTTAACATATAATTTGATTGGACATAATTCATGATCAGATGACCAACCATATTTATTTTAGGCTTCAACGGATAAGTAGACCATTTCATTGAATGGTAATTCGCCTTTAGTTAAAGGGTGATTTCTTGTAAAGGTTAGTGTTTACTATTAAACTTACTCTTTGTTGTTCTGAAATTCGAGCACTACTCTCTTTGCTGGTTACAAAGACAATGATTAATCATATATATCTAATTAATATATCCTATAAAGAGTGATTTCGCATCCGTATTCCTCTGGCTTATTGAAACTTACCTTAATACTATATTATTATTTTTCGGGATCGCTTTATACAAATATCTCCTTTATAATTTCAGGTGGTAGAGGCTATTAAATCTATTCAAATAGTTTATCAATGACTTTTGGTTAAGGCCTAGGAGCCTCTTCCTCTTCGGGTGCGTTCTATTGTCCATGCCCTTGATTTCTAGGCGATCTTATGTTTATATCGTATCGACCATCTTGTCTTAAGTGCTTGGTAATGACAAGGTCTCTTTAAGTGGTATTTATTTCTAAGAAATGCAAATTTAATATCTCTGCTAATCCTTACATGGTACTTTTGATTCTTTGATTGTTGCCATAATAATTTTCATTTAATCTTATGAAAATCTTACCCTCATACGAAATGAACTTTAGCAATACATCCTTCATACAAATTTCCAGTTGATAAAATTTTTCTTCCAAGTTATTAAGCAAGTCCTGCTATTATTATTAAAGCTAATTTGTATCTCTCCCTTAAAATGTAGCCTCATTGATTGTCAACTTGATATTTTTTAGCTGATCTTCTATTTTAATTATAGGGTCAATTATTTAGTTCTTGACACCTTTAGGGGCAGAAAACAATTCTGGATTTAGGGTTCTTTAATTTTACATTTGATTCTCATTTGCTTGATTCATTATTATTAAAAATAAAAATACTAAATCAAATAGTCTTATATAAATCTCATGATTTTTTATATTCTAGTTAGATATTGTCTAAAAGACTCTGATTTTCCATTCCTAAATTTACATACAATTAATCGAGTTACTGCTTAATATCATTAGTTTTGGACTTTCTTGGTTTGATAATAGTAATGAATGTATTGTTTAATGTTAATTTTAGGGAATATTAAATTTTATATTACCCTAGCTGGTTGTTAATAGAGTTTGTAATTAATGAAATATTTTCTTAAAATAGAATTTGTATTTTTAGTTTATTTCGATAAAATTGATATTAATCCTATTCCACTTAGATATATCTATTAGATATCTGTTTACTTATTCATTAAATTATGTTATCTTCACTTATAAATATCTATATCGATTATCAATAACGATGTATAGGAATATAATAAAAAAAGTCAAATTAAGAATATTAATATTAATTTCTATTTATTTAAATCAAAAATCAAATGGATTATCATTATTCATTGATTCTTCCTCTGAATCATTAGCATCATCCTTCTTTTTCGGAGCTTCTTATTAGAATTAAAAGGCACTAATCTATGACTTTTATTATTATTGGGCAGCACTAGCTGGTTTGAAAGATTACTCTTGGAATAGCGGTTATTAGTTATCATTGCCCAACCATTACTAGGCAATATTCTAAGATTTTTAAGTTTGATTTAAAATCTAATTACTTGATTGATTGATAGTTTGATTCATTTATTTTTACTATGTCTGATTCATTTATTATGTTTAATTCATTTGTTATGTCTGATTCAAAGATGGCACTTAGAATTATTATCCAGTCTAACCAAATGCTGAAGACTTATTAACAACAGATTTAGATGGATTTCCAAAGAAATCATCCATTTAGTCAAAGTCATCGAAATTATTTGCATCTTATATTAATTTTAATTTTGGAATTTATGGTTGAATGGGTTCTAAGACGTCGCCATATTCAGTATGTTTGACAGACACAAATTTTCTTTCCTCAGGTTTAGCTTCCCTTTACATATTCCATACATTCCATTTTTCTCTACCCTGATTCTTCAATGCCTATTCTGCTTCTAACTTCTTCTTTCTTTTCGCTTCCTCCAACTTTGCTAATCTATCAGCTTCCTCTTAAAGTTCCCTCTAGGTTTTGCCCCTCTCTTTTTTTCCTCCTCTCTCTTTGAATAAGTCAATCTTTGTATTGATTCCAGCATTGGGATTAACATCTTCAGGTAAAGTGGATTCCAATACATACAACAATCTCCACACCAAATATGTATTGCATAATCCATGAACTAATTCGAATGCCAATACCAAGTACACCCACAATGACCCATAGAATACTTTTTTCTCTAAATCCCCTACAAAATCACCTAATGCTAAAATATAGGATTGACTGATGATGCCATAAAGAATCAGTTCTGAAAGTACCTCCTTAACTCTCAAAAACCAATTTTTCATTAGGAAACATGTTGCAAAACCTATAACAGCTCTGGGGATGATGATGAGTAATATCTATTGGAATGGATCATCAACATAGACCATAGCATAAGCAATGAATACCTTCTTGATGAAATCTTGTTGACTCATAAAAACACGACGTTTGCGATCGTGATCATGGCAACCATCAGTCAAAGTACCAAACATAGACTTGACTTCTGCTTCTGTGCCAAAATAATCCCTAAAGAATGCCAATAAGAAAAATGAGGCTTAAACTAAAAGTATGAATAGTAATAAGATTAAGGCTATCACTGTATTTGTACCATTCCAATTCGAAGCCATAGAATTGTGTCTGACATTATGCAAACAGCTAATTAAAAGTTCTAATAAGAACACTTCATAAAATTTGATAAAATAACTAAATTCTAGTTTATCCAAAAAGACTTCAAAAACATAGAAGACATATTTATGATAAACTAGTTTAGTGAATGCATAAACAGCCAAAGAAACTCCAAGATAAAACAAGAATAAGCCTCCCGTGTTATTGATAACTTAATAGGTTAAACCAGCCATTGAGAACCTCCTCAAGGATTGCAAATATTAATCAGTTTACTATTATAGGAAATTGGGTAGTATGTATAAATTACTGTATCTTAAATCTACAAGTAACATTTCGGAATTGAGAGGATAAGATCTCAAATTGATATAATATAAGGTGCATATAACTTGAAGTACTTCTATAGTTTTCCAGATTCGATATTATTAGTCCAAAAATCCAGCTCCAATCATTAATATCCAATTCAATATTTGTAAACCATAGGCTAGGTTTCTAAGAAGAGTAAAGAATTCGATTTCTGCAGAATTGTAGAATTCCTTATCTTCCAAATCTATACTTTTGGTGATTTTATCAGGATTGATGGGTACATCATAATAATTGGTAAGTTTTTTTTGATCTTTCAAAGTGACAGTAAGAGTTTGGGATACTACATTTTTCAAGAATGTAAATTGAATTTGGATTGTTTGATTGGAACCACTACTATTAACGAATTCATAAGAATAATCTTTTTCTGTGAATCCATTGATGGACAAAGTGAACAGAGTGCTAATATTCTTAGTAATAACATCATCATATTTGATTTGATTTGTGAATGTGAGTTGTATGAGTTGTGGATCCAAGATAAATGATTTTAATTCGAATTCCCACCCTAAAGTATCAAAACATTCTGATGGTCCTTCATTCTGCACAAGTCTACAATTGGCATCCTCTTCTATTGCACATTCTCTGCTACAACCATCATCATTAGCAAGATTACCATCATCACACTTTTCATTAAGTGATACCAAACCATCTCCGCACTTATCTTCAATCTTAATGCATTTATCTTCTAAAGGTCTATAGCCTTATTGGCACTTGGTACATGTATTTAGTTCAAAATTACATGCTAAACACAACTCCCCCATATCACAGAACTTGCAAGAACCAAAAGGAGAATAATAATCATCGCAACTTGTACATTATGTTTCTGTCTTACAGACAGTACAATGAAGTGGACATTTCTTGCACCACTATCCTTTCAATTCATGTTCCTTAATGTAATATCCATCTGAACATTTCAACACACATTGGGTTCCATCCAAAATATATGGAGAATTGCATCTAAAACATTGAGCATTGTTATAGCATCTGACACAATTTTCTCCACATTTTAGACAGGCCTATAGAAATGGATCTGCATAGTAATTATCTCCACAATCATCTGTACAAGTCTTCTCAGACTTGTAATATCCATGGTAACATAATTCACAGCCCTCTATGTCTGTGTCTGTACAGATGGCACAATTTGTGATACAGGGATAACATTCATCTCTGGTCACATTATCTTACATCAAAACTTATGAACAACCAAATGATGTCTCAATCAAACAGAGACTACTACATCCATCTCCATTTCTAACATTACCATCATCACACTCCTCTTTGGCATCTCTAACATTATTTCCACAAGTAACTATACATATATCCTTCTTGGTTAAATCACCTCCCTCACAAGAGTACGATAATTCAACCTTGCAATTACTACTACACCCATCTCCATCTATTAGATTACCATCATCACATTCTTCAACATCAACCACCTTTTTATTGTCTCCACATATAGGTGCACACTTGATTTTGGTTGAACAATCCCAGCCAGTTTCAATTTTACAACTAGCACTACATCCATCTCCATCCACTGTATTACCATCATCACAATCCTCATTTAATGAATGAGACTTTCCATTTCCACAAACATCAACACCACACACTGAGGGTTAAACTGAATTATCACATACAAATCCCATGGCAATAATACACAAATAACACCCATCGCCACTTGCATTATTCCCATCATCGCATTCCTCACTTCCTGAAACTATACCATTTGGGCAAGTTTTCACACAAGTGTCAGGTGATGTAGGTGAACCTCCAGAACATTCATAATACTGATCAACTTTACAACTTGTACATCCATCATTGGAACTAAGATTACCATCATCACAATCCTCGATTTATTGTTTTTTTCCATCTCCACAATTATTGCAAATATCCGGATTCCCACCATTACATGTCCATGAGGGTTCTATTTAACATATGTTGCTACACCCATCTAGACTAACTGTGTTGCCATCATCACAAGTTTCATAGGGTTCTTTTTTGCTGTTACCACACATATGACATTGACTTGGATTACTTGCATCACATGTCCACCCTATCTCAACCAAACACAAGTGACACCCATCATATTAAATAGTT